GACTGCTTTAGTCAAATCTAACTAGGTGTTTTTACAGTGTACAGCTGGCCCAATGCTTTCACCATTAATGGGGGCCACCGTGAGTGTACAGCTAGCGACGAATCTGTGCCCAAATTACACGAACAATTTTCTACAACGAACAGCACCACCTATAGTGTCACATCGTATCCAGCCCACTCCGTAAAAAGAGGACAGTGTTTTTTAGTTCTAATTCTAAGAATCGGAGTCATGATACTATAGGCCTAACTGGGGCTGCATCCGAATCAACTGTCTAGAGCCTAGGTCTGCGCCCATTGAAAATACGCGGGGACGCGCTGACAATAGACGTAGCCGTAGCTCTCGAAGCCCGTTTCGGACATGTCGACACGGCCTGATCGCACACGTCAGCCTGTGAGTAAAGCCATAGCCCATAAATATATCATAAAATAGGGTCCATGGACATAGACTGAAATGGTTTCTATCTTTCTGAAGGGGGCAGCAATTTCTCATGAAACTACTACGAGGAAGCCATTTTGGTCGTGTTCCCTGAATGTATTTTATAAATTGTAAACTGTCGAATGGGATGGTGCCAGACTATATTTATGCATTCTAGCCTCACTTTCAATTTTTGTTTTTAATGTGGCTTAAAACATTATAGGGTATGTTTAATCGCAAATTTTAAATTATTCGTGAGAGCAGACTGTTATTAATTGGTAATTAACTTTATGCCATTGCTTTCATTTCTCTTCGTAAACTCCAAAAAATGAAGATTTTACCTCGCTTTCAATTTAATATGGCTGACTGGTTGAGCATTAAATATCTCTTCAACAGGACCTCTCTATAGATGGGCGCTGACATCCGGGAGCTTCTTACATCACATTGTCTAGTTCCCAGACCTATTTACTTAAAACTCAGTGGTTCTTGAGTCTGGAGTCACTTGGGAAAAAAAATTCCATACCTGGACATCACTTGACACCCTTTGCACAAACCCCATGAGACTGGTTTGAAAAAAAATGCCAAAGTGTTTTCTCAGTAAAATGCTTCAATATTTTCCCTGCTTAATTTGACTGTTTAGGACATGTTATCGCTTTCTGATGGCTGATACTCACTGCAGGGAACATTAGCGATGTCCATGTATATGGAATTCTATAACGTGAATGGTAACTCATCACAACCGATGAAAACTGGTGTGCAAATGAATAGATGTTTTAATCGGCTGACGTCATCCCAAAAATATACAAAAAACTCTCACCATTTTCTTCCCATTTCCTTCACCAATTTTCTCCGTCTCGGTTTCTTCTCTTCAATAACCAAAGTCACAGCTGACTTGAGAAGATCAGAGACAGGCCTCTCTCCTCTTGCAGTGATCACCAAGACTCCATCATCTATCATCTCGGTTGGCTGCCACCGTCATCTTCAGGCCCCGGGACCAATAAAGGGGCTGGTCTTTCCCAACAACCGCGATGAGTGAGGTGACGGAACGAACCGGGGCTACCCCAGCGGTGGTGTACCGGGGGAGTAAGGCATCATCCCACCCGGTAACTGTCCTGTCGTCTCGGTGTACGGATCCAGTGACCGCTGCATGGTTGGCCTGTGAACTTTCAACTTATTTTCAGTCCAACATTTTGTTTCAACAATGTCAGACAATTGGCCTTTTGGGATACGGCTCACACAATGGGAGTGCACGGGTAAATTTGGGTAAATACAAATGCGCTCACACACTCCACAAATAAAAAGTGCTGTTCTATTCTCTCAGAAAGGCTTATTCGGATCCAGTGACTGCCCAGCCCGTGCACTATCGTCTTGACTTCACTCTCAGGTGCACATTTTGTCCACAAGAATAGTCAGGACTTCGTCTTTAACTGTAAACAAAAACCCAACGGAATTTAAAGTCGACTTTCTAAAGAAAGGATCTGCACAAAAGAAGGAGGCTTTTGTGTTTGCGCTATCGTGACTGGGGGCTTGGCAGGCGCAATCTATAAGACACGTAGTCTTCATTATCGTCTTTTTTTTAATTTCGATACCAAAACAACATTCGTGGAGGGTCCGATTATATGAATCTACACTCACTGTTACGTACTCCTTCAAACAGTCAACTTCAAATCCAGTTTGGCGGATATTAACCTTCAAAATTTACTTTCCAAAGCGCACTTCAAAATTTAGCTTGCTACACTTCCACACTGACCTGTGCGTGATAACCGCCAAATGGAGGTGATTGCACAGTATTGAGCAGAAGCAGAAGTCATATGGTCATTTCTTGGCAGTTTACCATTCTCGGTCACTGTCACTGACAGTATAATAGAGATCAGTGTTCTCAATAGTCTGGAGGTGATTTTCACGAACATATATAGGGGAAAGTCGTTTCTAATAAGTACTCTGTTTTCGCTGAAATATTGCGACAGCTACACTAAAATGAACAAAAAATTGATGTGGGTTCATGGCCATAATACACATAGTATACAATGCGAAAAACACGTAGATGGCTTCAAGTTCATCATCAGTGTAGGCTACCTTGTGAAATCCTGTCCAACATCCGGTATCCTTGCACAACTCTGTCCATAGCATCGGTCGCTTTATGTTAATAGCGCCCTCAACGGTCGTCCACGAAGCGTGTATGATCCCATGGGAATATGGATGAGCGGGATAGACATTAGAACCATTGACCTTAAAGCTGCATCCTTAATGCTCCACTTTTAAAAAAAAACACACCAAATTTTCCCGATTTTACCAATCTCTGAAGTGGTGCTAAGTTTATCTCTTGATATCAATATCCTGCATTGTAATCGATATGTGCGATCACAGCGACTACGCACATCCGGACTCGGAGCCAATGAAGTTAATTGGCTGGCGCGATCATTGTGCAGAAATGATATTTCGCACATTGATTTATGGTTCGGGAGTGAGAATTCATCATCTGCGATGGGCGATATGATGTGGGAAACGAAGAACTGATTGTTTAAAGGGCACTACTTAGTATTATAACTTTAAAGGGGCAGGATCGGAATTTCTGTCTAATTGGACGGGAAGTGTCATTATTCTCGCGTATAGAAATATGGGACGAAATCAGAACACCCCTATATCAAAATAAACTGGACCGCACAAAATGTTCTAGAATTTGGTATTGGTTTCGTTTCATGAAGTGTCATAAATTATGGGTTCTTAATTATTGCCACTAATTCCCCTGTAAAACACAAACAAAAATAATAATAGTGTAACAAGGTTATGGGTAAGACAGTTTTTTTTTCAAAGATGGAGCTGAAATTAACAACAAAATAATTAACAAATGACACTTTAAACCAATCAAATCGATCACGAAATAGAAGGTAAAAACTACTGGAGGTGAAGAATACTACTTCCCCTAACCATTAACCATGACACATACGTCTAAAATAAAGCTCTTTAGGGACTTTTTGTGGTCAACTTTTGACTCCCGAGCAATTCCGTTCCCGAGTGATCAGCGCGCATAGCTCGTCACGCCTTGCCCGTGGCCGCGACGTCAGACGCCCCACCAGATCGCGGCTCTAATTTGCGCTGCCATTTCACGGTCTGCCGTTGCCTCTGCGTTAGTTTACGGCCGCGATGACTGAATGGACGACATCACGCTCGTCGACGCGTCACGGCCGGATTCTCGCTGGGATGTGGACCGAATTGTGTCCCATATAACATCTTTTTTTCCTGGCTGAACTTGTTATTTATCGGCTCAAAATGTCAAGGAGTCCCCCCCTTACCAAACTATATGTACAAACATCTTGAAAACTCAGTGATACGAGAAACTGAAAAGTCCACACACGCCGATTATTACAGCAGCAACTTCCACCAGCGATGTTTTTTATTTGCTGGATATTTTAGTGGACACACTGTTAGGCATTCATCATTAACTTCAACTAGACATCTTCTCTTAGAATTCAAATTATTACATTAATACGCCATAAGGAGTTCGGTGATTCAACTGCACATGCGCACATCGAGAGTTGACTATTTGCACGTCAGTGTAAACACAGCAATACCAATTCGATCTGCATTTGAAAAAAAAGACTGAATGTAAGATTTTGTTTGCATTGTGTACTCTTTTTCGGAAGACGAATTCCATCAATTTTTTTGTTGTTGTCACGCAAAAAGCGATTTGTCACTCCCGACGAACATATCATCAAACTGTACTAGGATGTGCGCAGGCGCAGCTTTGACATGATTTACAATGGGCGAACCAAACTCAAGTGTGCACGTGTCCGATTATTAAAAGTTCAAAATAGTCCAATTTTTTTTTTATCTTCGGCTAATAAGCAGAACTTGCCGGACCCCCTGGGCATCTACTCTTCCGGTGTTACATTGGATCGTGTCCCTCGAGGGAGAAAGGGCGCAACGGGTGGGCGTACACCAACCCCCTGCGGGGGTCGAGGGTCGTGTTTGCATAACCAGCGAGTCCACCTGGGGACGAGGTTGCCGCGGGCAACGACCGGGCACTATCAGGGATTTACGAAATCTTGGTCTCGTTTTCAGTATCGGCTTCAAGAGAAAGAGAACTTACATCATATCCTTATCCACAACGTTATCAATAAAACGGGGATTAATAGTACATACAATGATTTTTCATCTTGATTATGTGTATCAATTCCTGATTATGCAAATAGTTTTAATAAGTATCTACGTGATTAAACGTACCATTTTTAAGCAAGTTTATACCATTTACGTATTGTTTTTAGTTAATTTTTTTTCGTCTGCCAAACTGTAAAGGCCTGCATAACAACACGTTTCATCACTAAATAAGTACAGAGTCTTCTTTGCTATTTAGTTCTGCGCCTGAAAAGAATACTGACGGGTGCCATAAAATAAAAGATTACAAATTAGGTCCTTGGAATGATAGTACATGAATGCTTATGAATGCAATGGTAAGAATAATTTCACGAGGTGACAGATGGTGGAATGGAACATTTCATCTGCCACCGAATGAGATCATTCTTTCCATTGCACGAAATGTGAAACATTCAGTATTTGTCTTATACATGTACAACACCTGAATAAATTCTCATCATCTGATTGGTCAGAACCACCAATCGTGTGACCGTGCAATGGAACTTACATTCACCGTGCAATAGAACTTTCTGCGGTGCGGACGGGCCGCGGGACGAATAATTATTCAATGACATGTGACCAACGACCCACCAATCAGATGACGGGAATTTATTCAGGCGTTGTATGACACGGAATATGCAATGCACTAAATCAAGAAAGAAAGCTTGTGCAAATATAACTATAGGTGCTGCATTTGCGATACACATTTTATCTTTTACTCGTGCTTTCAATTCTTCTTATTCGGCAGATCTCAAAGCTAATTTCTTATTCTGAGCGACTGGAACAGTGCTTTTGTCACCGTCCGTTACCGAAGTGTCTGAGGTTGCTCCGTGCTTGCCTCTTGGGGGCGCTGTGCACTCAGGCTCCCTTTTCAAGTAGTGTTTTTTCCCGCTCGTTTTCAACGCCCTACTCTGAGTGTGCTGGTAACTCATTTTCTTGAGTTCTCAATTTATACATTTTGTTCAGGTAGTCAGCATTTGCGGGCTGTGCTGGCGAGCAAGTTCGAGCGAGGACCAGCGACCAGTGGTTGTTTTGTGACGTAACTTACACCTGCGAATAGCAACATGCCTGGTCACAAAACTTTTGGGTCCCGGTGTAGCATGAATTTAGGCTTTATGAAATACAGACTCAATGTTGGTATTGTGCATGCTCATGCATAGATAATAAAGAGAGGGACCGGTTACGTAAGAGGGTTTAATCAATAAAAGGGGAAAAGAGACCGATTTTCATACGAGTCGGATTTTCATATGACACCGGCTCCCTGCATTATGATGCGCGCTGCTATTGGTATCCAGCAATTTATCTCAGTTAGTTGCTAATGGAGATCAATGTCAATGCAACCGTGCCGGGGCCCCAGACTCAATTCCTTAATAATAATAGTCGACTAGAGTAGTCCAACAATCCTGCGTTCGAGTGAAGTAAGTCGAGCTATGGCTAACCCTATCGATCGAACTTGCTCTATAGCCGTATGCACGAACCTTGCGCACGAAATGCCCGTACATTTTTCTTTTAAATGGAAAGTTGTCATTAGTAAAGACTTAGTAAAGAGGATTTGCTGTCACCAGATAGATCGGATGGGTCAAGCGAACCTGACCATTTTGGCTCTGATCGTGCTTCCCTCTTGGGGGCGCACTATGTGCTTCAAGCCTCCTCGTCTGGCCTCCAACCATTCCGGAACGCGTCCACCTTCTCCGCCTGGAAGTCGGTCAGCTCCAGCTGCTTGCGCACCGTCTCGCTGTTCAGCAGCATCAGCAGCGAGCCGTTGATCTGGTAGAGTTGGAAACGGTTCACGATGTTCTCGTCCAGCCTGAGCAGGCGAAGACACTGCGCCAGCTCGGAGCTGGTCAGCGTGCTGATGTCCTTCGGGATGTGGTTGACGCGCGTGATGCGCCGTGTAGGCTTGCAAGGCGTGATGGGACGGCTCTGCACCGTAGCAGACGCCTCTGGAGGCTGAAATATTATGATATTCAAGACTGATGCTTCAGGTAAAGTTCATTATATTTTTTTCTCTAATAATCCAGTTTGGTATCCAACTATGTATACACATCAAAACGATGTTCTTCTTTGGAGATATAAACGATCCGAACAAATGTAGGGATGCTGCGTAGCACTGTAGAGCATTGTAAAACATTAATAGCAAAAGTTAAACAGTGCTCATCGGATAGTAGTTGTGTAACGATGCGAGAGATATGGATGACAAATCTTAAAAGGTATATCAATAATATTGTAGATTATATTCTACTCAGTATAAAAGTAGACCATTCAAAATTCTAAACTTTACGATGCACCATTGTGTTACAGCAAAATGTATGCTTCAACCTATATGTGCGAATATTTCCACTTTTAGGAACTACTTTTTCATTGCATGCAGTTTGCGGATAACCATTACTTTTTATACCTCCTCACTGACTTATATACATGTGCGAGCGCGCGGTTGGAATTTCAAACCGGTTTATGAGGTGCGCACATAAACTTCAACTTACTCGAACAGCGGACATATTTAATGGGGACACTGATGTAAGACTGCATGTTTAAACAGAGAACGAAGGCTATACCGGGAGTCTTACCTTGCTTGCATCGTGTGATGATGGCGAGTCAGAAGAATCAACCTTCTCTATCAGACTCTCTGCTGATTTGGAGGAAGCAGTCAGCCTTTTTTTCCCCATTCCTTTCGTCGGATACAGAGGCTTCAGGTACTCGGCCGAGGCGGATGCAGGCCGGCCGCACCAGATCGGCGCCTCGTGAGACCGCTCCAGTCGTCCCGGTGACCGGTTCCTGCTCCGAAGAGTTTCGTGGACCGTGCTGAAACTGTGGCTTACACTCAAGTTGATTCGCTGGTTATCTGGGAAAATCGTGCGAGTCCGTGGGACCGGTGGCGCGCGGCGAGGCATGGGCGGTGGGGAGGACTCGGGCGTGGTCGGTTTGGGCGCGGTCGGTTCCGAGAACGCCACCGGGGGATCCGGTTCGATGTTCCCGTACACGACATCCGTATTACATTCCGGCCGCACGGGCGTGGTCCGCGGGGGAGGGGGCGGGGGCTTGCGGGTGGGCGGGGCGTCATGTGACTCGGGATTCGCAACTGGCATCTTGATCTCATCCATTTGGGCGTAGCTCGATTGTTGGGAGGTGAACTCTACAGGCGGGTCGGGGTGGGGAGGGATTGGGAGCGCCATTCGCGGGACGGGCTCATTTGTTGGGCAATCAGATGCGGATGGCGTTGCCCCGCCCGGTCGCCCTGTAACATATTCTCTTAGGTCGAAGGGGTTCGTGTACGGTCCACAGTCTGGCTCGCGGTCTTCGTTGTCCTCGTTCTCTGTTTTCGATGCCATGCGGAACGGACCAGCCTGCATTCAAATGAAACGAGGTTGATGGATGATGAGGAAATGACGTCACTGGACATCCTGAACACACGTTGTTGTTGTTGTTGTTGTTGTTTTTAAATACAACACGCATGTGCAATGGTTTTGAGGGCGCTTTGTATATGAAGTTCATGTCTGCTTATTTTGTTTTTAATTAATGCATGAAAAAGTAAAGCAAAATAATGTAATACATCGAAATTGAACAGCCACAAAAACATCGGTGAATTTAATATACCGTAGGCCTTTGCAGTTCTTCAAATAGCTGCTGCATGTTACGTGCCTGGATTTGGGATGGTAGCGTGCCGAATCTGCGGAACTGACCTAAATTGTGTAAACGAACAAACAAACAAACAAGTACAAACAAACAGCCAATACAAGTCCAAAAGCAGATGCCATTGACGATAAAACTTTTGGCCCAAGAACAACATCAACCTGTGTGCATGTATGACCTACCACTCCACTTATACTACAAACAAAAGTTACCTCGATTTCGTGAATAAGGCAAATTGATTGTAAAAAATGACAAACGAAATTTTCAGAAGCTATCGAATTAATTAATTTAGCAGTTGATATTTAGCTATCGCCGGTTTTCTGTCATCTCAGGTTCAACTTCCGAATTTCATTCTGGATGAGAAATTAATCACTTTGTTCATTCGTGATAAGTAATTCACAGAGACATAGTGGGAACCAATTTACCGGGAGGGATTGTCTTGTAGACACATATGTTTTGTCCATACCTGTGCCGGGGTTTGCTTCCGGTGGTAGAGGCGGGAGCTCCCGTTGGTCCATCCGCTTTTTCACGTCCGGATTGACGTGCAAACGGCAAAACCCGTTGTCTTCACAGTCATCAACCTCGTTATCTGCGCCTAAAGCGGAGCCAACATAGGGATGTCCCCCAAAACATAATGCTCGTGTACTTTGCTATTATTAAGCTCTGTCAGGAGCTCCCACAAGTCACTTGCTGGTCGGTCTGTCGGTCTGTCGGTCTGTCGGTCGGTCTGTCGGTCCCGAAAATTGACCAAAAGTATGGTGTTCCACATGTGCCATTTGTCAGCTCTGGCAGGGATCATTTGATCGATTTCATGCAAGACTGTCATGCAAGACTTCTAGCAACACGGCCAGAGCTTATTGTGCACTCGCACTCGTCCAGATATCTTGTGAGTGAAAGCTTTTCGCGCTGTCACACTGTACGTGTACACACATTCTGGAATTTGTATTCTTGTGGAGACATTTCTTTGTTCTCGTGTAGTACAGTTTTCGAGTTTGAAATTGAAGTTTCAAAATGCTCAGAATTTATTTCCTGGGCTGAAATTTGGACTAAATGTCCCTTTTCTAAAACTCTTCCATTTGCGACCGATCAACCTACCTTGGAAATTCCTAGTTTTTGAGTAAAATCCATATATCTATTTCGTGAAATTCTTGTGGAGACGTATTCATCTATAGAAATGTTCTTGTGGAGACGTATACAATCTTGTGTTCCCTATTGTGTGCATGTCTCCTTAAGGTAGTAAATTCCAGCACCCATTGCGTGAGATGTGTTCACGTGGGTCTGAAAATAACTGAATGTAAATTCGACGTTAAGAGCAGTATATTCTATTCGTCTTTAAGAGAGTACTTTGTTTCAAGGTAATCACGCGCTGTCAACCATTTTAACCGATTTACTTGGCAATTCAGAAACCTTTGCCCGAATAGATGTATACTACATGTAGATCCGTACGAATTTGTGACATTTTAAAATAGAACCAGAACAAGAAGACAAATCAAGCAAACTTAAGCTGATCTCTGAGCTTGTCCATGCAACTGATGCAGATAATAGCTATTCACCAAATGTCTTTCCGGATTTAGAACCCCTATAGTCGTTACGGGGTTTTCATATACGATAGCACTGCCCAGATCCCTTCATAACCAGTCTACAACTAGTCTAGGCCACAAGCAGTGATGTAGTGCCTTGATGCTCAAGCTGGGCCGTAAGGCTGCCTTAAGGCTAGATTTAAGGGCCTAGGCCTGGGTCTTAAGGCTTGAGAGCAAAAGCCTTGGTATTGGCCTTCAGGGATCAAATCCTTGCAATTTTGAGTCAAGGCTCTTCAAGGCCCATAGATTTTGGCATTATCTGGATCCTTTTCATATTAAATGTTTGTATTTTTTCCGTTCTGCAAACATCACAGATCCGAGTCAGCTCCCCAGAAAGTCTGTCATCTACTCGCACCCCGGATTTGTGTGTTGACACACTTTCAGTTTCACAGCATACCACACTTATTACATTACCATAATCTCATTTTATAAGAATGTATTGGGAAGGGGCATACAAGTAACAGCCAGCCAGTCAATGAGTCAGTGAGATATGGACACAGAGGACACTTTATAGTTGGCCCTCTGGGAACAGCAAAAACAAGCAATAACTTTATCAACTACGAACTGACTATAGAACAACTGCCCACCCTACCTAGAGAAAGGTCGGGGGCGCTTATGCTGCGAGTCTTGCTGGGCATACCCGTCACATGTGTCGGTCCTGCCGTAGAGATCGGTGGCTCCTCCGTCCGGGCAAACGCCACCAATGGTGTGGCAAACTCGCAGATAAAGAGCTCCTAAAGAAGAGGAAAAACATCAGAGTAGGTTTTTATACCCACCTTTCCATAAACACTTCTTAGTCTGTCACGGTATAGGTTTGGATCCGGATGGCGGGGGGGGGGGGGACATCCCCCCCCCCAATTTGTGGGGCTGGGGAAGGTAATGGCAATCGGTTCTCCGCAGTTACTTATCCCAGTGCGTATACTTTTAAATAAACGAAAAAAACACTGACCACGGGTATTTTATCCATGCAACAGTCGCCGAACATGTCCAACAGGGACATGTATGTCGCCCTCTTGTGGACCATGTCCTGGCAGATCTGGAACAGCACGTTGGCGTTCTTGGTCAGCACCACCCAGGGCACGGCGGCTGTTTGGTGTCGTGCCGACCTGGCCTTAGCCCCATTGCCTACAGAGGAAAAAAAATGCAAAGTCACTTTTTGATTTAGGGCCTACGAAAAATTTGGTGGCCTACGAAACATTTGAAAGTGTGCCAACAGGCTTTCAGAGCTACCAGTTTGGCCTGGCTTGCTTAGTACAGCTTAGCATCAACGTTAACATGTATGTCGCCCTCTTGTGGATCATGTCCTGGCAGATCTGGAACAGCACGTTGGCGTTCTTGGTCAGCACCACCCAGGGCACGGCGGCTGTTTGGTGTCGTGCCGACCTGGTGGCCTACGAACCATTTGAAAGTGTGCCAACATGCTTTCAGAGCTACCAGTTTGGCCTGGCTTGCTTAGTACAGCTTAGCATCAATGTTAACATGTATGTCGCCCTCTTGTGAAATTGGTGCTGGTTCAAAGTGTGGAGTTGGGCCTATCCTGCGGAACACAGGCGCCTGGCGCCTACGGAACACCTAATCCGGCCCTGAATCGCTCCACTTACCAAGAGGCTGGGCAAGAGCGCCTACATCCACCGCAGTGCCGACCAGGAACTCGTGGGTGATCTCGCGCTCTAGGACCAGGGTGCCTTCCAGCTGGGGGAGTAGCTTGAGCAGGTCCGACTCGGGGTGAAGGTGTGACTGGGGATCCCTTAGGGTCACCTGTAAAGGGGAGGAACAGTGAGGGTTTAACAAAAGTGAATAAGGTATACAGGGTGACCCAAAAAAATTGCCTTTTTTTTCCAAAAATGTGATCGATGAATATTTATGTTAAGCATATCAGATTAAAGCTGAGAGCTTTTTCTTTCAAATACTGAAAAAAAAATCATGAAAACAGCACATTGGGTTGCTGAGAAAATGCCAATTAATGTCCATTCCAATGGCATTACCAAAGTTAACTTAAGGGATTTCACACTGTACAGCAGTATACAAATAATGAATGTTTGTGAGTGCAATGGTAAGAATAGTTTCATGAGGTGACAGATGAAATGTTCCATTTCACGAGGCGAAGCCGAGTGGAATGGAATATTACATCTGTCACCGAATGAACTTATTCTTTCCATTGCACGAACGTGAAACATTCATTATTTGTTTTATATAACACCTGAATAAATCCTTGTCATCTGATTGGTTGACTTTTAAAAGCCAATGTTCAACAGGTTGAGAACTATAATATTCAATTAATCTCACCTTAAAACTTTTCCATAAGTTTAGAACTCAAATAGTTCAATAAGTTCAGAACTTTTATTGCCAATTTAAACACCACAGCGCCACCATCGGCAACATGTGCAGTGACAGTGCAATGGTACTTCTAATCACAGTGCAATAGTACTACTGCGCGTTGCGCGCCGTGCATTGGTACGAATAATTCAAGACATGTGATCAACGATCCACCAATCAGATGACGGGGATTTATTCAGGTGTTGTATAATATACATTAGTGCATGAAATGCATGTAACGCACTGTGTCCTAATCCTTGTAAACATCACGGCACATAATATGACAAGAGTATGTAAACCTTTTAATTTCCACCTATACAGGTATCTTATCCTTTTTAGTTCTATTTCCAACCTTTATCAGCATTATAAATACATTATGTCAAAATATTAAAGAAATTGCACAAAATAATAAAAAATAATTGCACGGAGGGTTAATTTACAGTAACATGTTTCACTGTTTGAAGCTCCTTTGGAAAGGATAAAAAAATCACTTCTTTTACATATTTAGCATTTTCTCAGCAACCCAATGTTCTGTTTTCATGATTTTTTTCCAGTATTTGAAAGAAAACAACACTCAATTTTTATCTGATATCAAAAACATAAACATTACCCATCACGTTTTTGAAAAAAAGGCAAATGTTTCAGGGTAGCATTTTTTTGGGGGGTCACCCTGTATCATGCTCCATGTTAGTAGCAAATCCGAGCATGTTATCACTGTACACTAACATCAAAGGCCCCCTTCAATGGCGAAAAAGCACTGTGTCAGCTATTGTACAAAGCAACTTCCACATGGCGGAATATCTGAATAATAGCTTATCACAAAGCTTTTGAGCCATTGAAGGGGCATTTGTGAGTTAACAATAACAGCATACTCGGAATGGCCTATGATAGAAATAGAACTTTGAAAATTCACGATCACGGCAACATCGAACTTCTGCGGGGCTACTGTCTAATTTACAAAGAGTGAAATTCGGGACTAGACGTTTCAGAGTGAAAATCACTCTCATTTCCGATTAAAATAGTCTGAAAAATGAACCACTTCAGTCGAAGCTCGAGCGAAAACTCGATCTTTACGATTGAAGAAATTTCACTCTAAAACGTTTAGTACCTAGTTTTTGACTGTGGGAGTGAATCTTCATTCGATCGAATGGAGTGAATTTGCACTCTTTGCAATTAAGAGAGTAGCTGGTATGATTGGGGTTGCTCATGACCAAAATTGTACAAAAAAACCCATATGGCCGCATTTTACTACATTTTACAGCATTACTTTATACTGTCAACAGCAGTAACAGATCTGCCCCCCTCCCGTTCAGCCGCTGACTAATATTATGAAACTAGTAAACTTGGGCCAAAAATAATTAATGGAATGTTAAAGTTCCTAAATTTAATTTCAAATGCTTCAAAGGTAAACATTTTGGAATATTTAAATTTCGGATTTTGGAATTTGATTCTAAATTCCCGATTCTAGCGGCCGAGATGAAGTCAAAAGTTGGCGACACACGGCACCTGCAGCCGAGGTTTTATAAAATTGTTTCACCGGAGGAGGTTGTATACCTTGCACGGTAAGACGAACCGCTTGAGCATGTCTTGCAAAGTGTACCCCTCCGGGTCGGGAATAGCCTCGAACCCTCCTGCCCACTTCATGCTCAGCATCACCTCTTCACCGTCCGGCTTGCGACATCTGAGATAATTGAAAAGTCGTCATCAGAATCAAACGATTATCCCAAGTTTAAACCATTGCTATGACGTCACACTATTGTTAAAATTGTGGATTCGGATCTACGAATCTCTTACACTGGTCACAAAGTGTGGATTCGGAACGACGAATCTTTAGTAAAGTGTGGATTCGGAATTACGAATCTACACTTTAAACACGTCGGACAATTGTTCTCCATAATGAGCATGAATAGGCCCGTCTGCGTGAAGTTTGCTTTCCAAAAAATACCAATGCATCTTCACTCTCAGATTCTTCGCCGTCACTGCAAAATCTACTTTTAGTCAGAAAGAAATCGTCGTCTGAACTATCCATTTTGACGTAACGAGCCTATACACACAAAATGACTTGGTTGTACGGGTGTGGCGATGCACGTGCTAAACACGCCAGGAACAAATGTTGCAGCCTGACGCGCCTCGTGAATTCTTAAATTACGAATCCACACTTTCTCGTGTATTCTCCTTAACATAGTCAGGTTGACGAAGTGGTGTTTTCTCGCCTGCCAGTACTATTGACGTTTATCATTCGAATTCACAGTTTCTAATGCTCATTTTTGTCAAGCAAACCTCGATTTAGTGCACTTGTCAGACAATTTGAAATTCATTTCAAGCACATTTAAACGATGTGCACTCGTTTTCGTCCGGTTCAAGAGTATTCAATTTCGTCTCGTCTACGCAAAACCTTGTTATTCAGAAATCAAATTCGTCTCATTGATTTATATAAGACGAATTCGATCTGTGAATGCTGCCATTCGGCAACAACTTAGACAAATTTGGTCTGCCATGACGAATATTCGAGACCGGGGACTAAAGAGGGTGACCAAACTTTAAAATTGAATGGTAAATGAATACTGGTTTTGGTAAAAGCCTGTGAGTTTTTTTTCGTGGACAAAATTGAATGTTAGAGGCGGTGAATTTGAATGAAAAAATCTTTTAAGATCTATGAAAATCTATGAGTCGCGTCGGCTTCGAATCTCATCCAGGCTTGAATGTGTTTTTTTTTCCCTGGAATATCTTCAGGGTTTCTTCGTACACCTCTATTATATTGCACACACCCTTGTCATGTCCTCTCTAAGCTACCGTGATGTATGTGGAACTTTGGACCTTTGCTTTCATTCTCGTTAACAGGGGCGTAGCACGGTCATTTTCATGGGGGGGGGGGGTTTAACAGTTTTTTGAAAAGGGCACTTTTCATCCGTGGTGAAAATCTAGAAAGGTTTGGGGGTGCTGTTCAAAACCGACAATTATGCACACGCAGGGCCAATACATGGTGCTTTTTAGGGCGATACATGTCCGAAATTCTGAAAAAGGCACCCGAAACGGCAGATGCCACAAAAAAGGGCACCTGCACTTCTTGTTTCAATAGGGCACTTGTTCATAAGAAAGGGTACTTCGTAAAAAAGGGCACTTTTTACAAATTATTGGGGAAGTAATCCTGTTGAAAAAGGGCATTTGCATGGAAAAAGGCAGTCTTTACAAAATATTGGGGGGGGGGGGGGTAAATACCCCCTTTACCCCCCCCCCCCCCCCCCCCCCCGCTGGCTACGCCAATGGTTAATAACACATAGTTTTTTAATCAAAGGTTGAGCAAAAGGACATTCTTCAAAACGTGTATACATGAAACCTTACAGTGAGCCCAAGGGGACATACGATTTTTTTTTTTTCAATTTAACTGTCACGGTCTCACGGTCTCGTTCCAACGAGTTAACGACTTGTTTGCTATGGGAACAATACATCATGTCATGGGAACGAGAATATACGCTTTCGCATGTCCCTTTCGGGACTCCGTAGAGCACAGACAAGAACATTGCCTCTGTGCGTGTAAAATAAGCAGCTTTATGTTTAGACTTGGCCAAGTCTGGGTTGCGCTCGGTCTGTGCCTAAATCCACTCACAGCGCATATCGCATACGTCCTTACAGTACATAACGCGCGCCCTCATGCGTCGAATCCGGACCATCATGTTAAAAACGTACATGTACATGTTATTTTCAAGTGAATTGCTAACTTTTGCACCACATGTATGCACATGCTCTGCAGTACATGCACACAAATGTACGTGTAATACGCGTGTTGTACAATGTACATGCAGCGTGTGCGCATTGTTATACGGCACTGAAGTGGAACGCGCGCTGAAGTGTACCTTGTCAGGCATCTGGAAAGACGTAAACTAAGTGATTTTCGCAACTTTTTTTTTAAGATACCGACTTAAGGCAATTCCGACTTGAGTCAAGTCTACTTTATGTTATGCAGTAGTACTGTTTGCCATAATTATGTTAACACATTGAATACAGTGGACGTAGTGTCACACCTAACTGAACCTGATAAAAAAAACAGTCTACAAAAATGTTTACAGAATGTCAGAAAAGGTAGGATGAATTCAAAGTTGATCGAACCAGAATATACTTTTCACTGCTACTATTTATTATTTATTTATGCTGGGATGCTATTCTGTGCGAGTGGTTGACAAGCCTTGAAATGTAGCCAACGGATGCGAGGAAGCTGAGAGCTTACCTGAGGAAGCCGCGGTCTTCCAACCACGACTCGCACATGGCCAGCCCAAGTATCTCCAAGATGTCGTCCTTGTCCGGCCCTTCGCCCTTCTTACACGGCCGCTTCTTGACCCGGACGAAGTGCGGGGTCAACTCGGCCAACTTGCGGACGCTCTTGAAGTATTTGGGCATCTTGTCGCCCGCTTGGTGCACCGGATCGAAGCGACCGGAGAAGTTCTTGGGGAAGCAGATACGAATGGGCTCCGGGGGATCAGGGTACCTGCTGCCGTCCCCCTCCTACACGGTAACATTTCCAAAAAAACCCTATTTATCCAATGAAAGTAGCGGAATTGGCTCATGAATATGAATGAGTTGAAATAAAAGCCATTAGTACCCATAGAACTTAAAATAACGCTCGCTCGCGCGCACGTCGTGCGCGTTCTTCAAACTGAGGGCAAGTTCACGCAAGAACTATTGTTGACCATTGGTTAACCATAGTTCGACTTAAATTAGACCGAACTCTGTCTAGTCGACGATGGTTGACTACGCTAGTCGACTATTTGGAACCAACCTACTGGGGTTGGTTGCATCGCTGGTATAAACCAATAGCCGCGCGCATTCATAACGTACAACAGGGAGCCAAGATCCAGAAGTTTTGCGATGACATTTTGACCAGCGTTTGACAAGACGTTCGCACGTTGCTCAGTCGTAAGGTACGCAACGAATCAACCACTAGTCGACGAATGGTCCTTGCCCGAAAATGGCCTATGGCGCGCATGCCTTAAGCTTCTGGTTTTTGTTACACTTCTTGGCCGAAGAGCAGTCAGCGCGCGTACGACATGCGCGCAAGCGTGGTAATACGCGGTCATTAAGGGCTTTTATTGACCGATCCACTACTATACGCCCCGCCAACAGCACCAGCGCCATTATTGAGGTATAAAGACTTTATTACTAACCACAATTTTAGTCAGTACCATATCCACGCGCTGGATTTCGTGCATCTTGATGACGTCCATGGCGGAAAAGCAGGAATTAGTCGTGTTGCCATAGTAACCCTCGCAGATGCGGACCAATGTGGGCAGCTTATATCTGCCGTTTAGAAATCAAATATAATTGTATTTCACTTCGAAAATTGGTCGAATAATAACGTCAATATATCAAGCGTATAGCGGCAAATGCAAGAAAATGCCAGCAAAATGCAGTTGAAGCTCAGACAAGAAAAACAATGGGAATCGACAACAAGATAATATTTACTTCAATAATTAAACAAAACTTCGATCCAAGGCTGCACTTGGTGGCCATCTTAGAAAATGATGACCACCTATGTTTTTTCCGTTTATTGTTTTCCCTGCTATAAGACACATTCATATTTTGCGTCACTTATCTACTACACTAATACGCTATTGGCATATAGAAAATTAAAAGCAACGTTCGTAGACCTTAAGACCAGCACCAGCAGAAGCAGCAACAGCAGAGTCGGAAGCGGCGCAGCAGCAAAAGAGCCTGCAGAAGTAGCAGCAGCAGCAAGTGAAGCACCAGCAAAAGCAGCAGTATATGAGCAGCAGCAGTCGCAGCAGTAGAAACATAAGTTTAAGCAGCAGCAAGGAGTTTTGTATACAGTACGCAGCCGCAGCAGCAACACAAGCCAATATCTGACTTACTTTTCAATAAGCTGAAGCGGACTGTAAGACGTATCAAGCCAGTCCAGACTCCCCATGGCTGAAGCGTAGCACCCTTGGCTAGCCAGAGTCGTCGTCATCACCCCTTCCAGAATTAATCCTCGTCGTTTTTCGTCGAAAAAAAAAAGGCAGCACAACCACCAAAGGTCTAAAAAAATCTTTCCTCAGGTGAACAAACGTATCTTACAGAATAGTAAGAACTCTGTGACACGGTTTTCTTTTATACTGCCGATTATCGCAGCACCACCAAGTGTGATTCACTTGGTCGGTAAATCTTAGATGTGGATTTTGTGTTTACTGATGTCCCTTCATTTGATGAACGATGTTGATTCCTCCGATCAATCTAAAACTAATTTAAATGTTGCAGAACTGCATCACACTGCCCGGCAGATGGTTCCCCAATGTCGACGATGTCGCCCCTGAAAAACACTTTTCTGAAAAATCGGCGTTTCCCGCTAAATTGAACATCCCGTATCTGAATGTACCAATCGTAACGTGTCGTGGATTCGAAGGGCTCCAGTTAATATGATGGTGAACGCAATACCATCGAAAATATATCGGTTCTTTTTCCGCAGGGCAAAACAGGACTTAACCACTAATTCACATTACATCTACAGCGAGGTACATAGGCCTACTAATACACAGCTAACCAAAACTACACTGCACAGCTCACTAAAACTCCCAAGTAAACTGCACTGCTACATGTATTATGAAAACAAGTCATATACAGCAACAATATCATACACAGTAGTAGCGCGAAAACGTGACCACACTTCCGCTATAAATCCTTTCACGTCGATCCTTCCTCTTGCGTTTCGGACTAGGAGCTATGATCGCTATCGCTAGTTTCAGTCTCTTGCAGTTTCAACATTTGTGTATTATTATTTTCTTCCATTTCACTGTTGATGTTTCAAAGCACTTTTCGTTTTGGGGAATTTTATCAGCAATTTCATTTCCCTTATACGGCTGTATGTACATGTTTCGCGCGCGCGCGTGCTCGCTCGGGCTCATTTGCCGAAAGTGGAAGACACAAATTGTCAAATTTGGGCAATCTAATTAGTCGTTGTTCAGAGCTAGTCCAGCTATGATTACTTCAAACTATAAATGGGAACATTTTATTTACAACTACAGTACATGTACATAGTGAACTCTGTCACGAGCCAATGTGGCCCATCAGGCCGGCGTTTACCTCCGGTTTCAGTAGCATGAAACGACTGAGAATATTTCCATTCCCACTGGACGGGATGCTAGTCCATCTCCCCAGTTACTCCCCAGCAAATGCCGGTACCCTTTTATACTCCTGGGTGGAGACAGGCAGGTGGGGATAAAGTGGCTTGCCCAAGGACACAACATATGGCCAGCAGTTTGATTCGAACCCCTGATCCTCTGATCATGCGTCACAAACCCTAACCACTAGGCTACACTCTCCCCTCTACAACTACATTTCCAATAATTTCCTTGTACAAAAAAATTTCACAGAAAGTATCCCAACATTTAAAAAGCAGAAATCAAAAACAAATTTTAGATATCTCTTAAAAAATAAAAAAAATCTACAACCAGGCTTGCGAAGATGTAGGCCATCTAAATTCAAACACGGGAAACAAAGTTGATTTACTGTGGCCATCCTTTATTTTGGGGGCAATCTAGGGGCAGTTAAATTAATGGTTCCATCCATGATAACATCTCGGCTGATACTCAAAACGTGCTTGAAAATCACACTGGGAAAGCAGTCCATATTTTGTTTCGATGTTACTCACATTTTTACAAATTTTCCCAACAATGTTTTGGAAATTCCCATATGGTGGCACGTTGATTAAATATGTCCAACACTCACAGTATAAACAGAGCAAGGTGTGCTTGATTTCAATGTGCCACTTATTATAATATCACTTTCGGTACAACACACATCACCTCAGAAAATTTCCAGATACATTGTACATGTAGCTCATATAGAAATGTGCCACCATAAACGGACCATCACCGGCCATGAAATGGAAACCTCTGTTGTGCTTCCGGCCGTAGGCGGGTGGGTGAAGCAATGAATAATTCATTAGTTTTGATGGGACAATAATGTTTATTCATGAGAAAAGGACTATGACGTCACAGCATTGTTGCTATTTAGTCAACTAGTCACAAATTTTAAAAGAAGGGCTGTCGTCGAGCTGCCGCAGTAATCCAGTGGATAGTAAGATGAGCTATGGATCAAAAGACCCCTGGTTCGAATCCACATGAATGATCCAGGAAATTAGCTTCACCCAAATACGGAGAAAAGTGCCTCGCGGCCCAACACAAAATACCTAGAAAGCACTCAGAGAGCGCAAACATCCGCCATGGCTAAACAATTACCCGCCATATTGTCAGTACAACCAAAAGAAATACTGGCATAAATGGTGAAGAATCCTTTTCAAAAAATCCTGGATCCAGACCAAGATCCGGATCACTTCCAAAATCTAATCGATTCGTACTTGTACCAAAGGACCACCCCTAACAAACTTTGAAGGCAAATCCGTACGTAAGTTTTTGACAGACAAACCGACAAACTAACCACATCCGATGAAAACATAACCTCCTTGTCTGAGGTAATAATACACAAAGACAAAACAGAAACAAGATGACTAAACTAAACCAACCCAAACAACCCCACCCCCCCCAAAAAAAAAAATGATAAAGGGGAAACCCCAAACAAATCACCGTGGCCCTCAACATATAGACATTGAAACTTTGAAAAGAAAAGCACATATGTTTCATTTAATGTCGAAAAGGCGCAGTAGCTTTTTTTATTCAATAATAAAGCATATATGCATACTATTACTCTTAATGTACAGGGTGACCCTAAAAATGCAACCTTGAAATATTTGTCTTTTTTTTCAAAAACGTGATCTGTGAATTGTTATGTTTTAAGTAGCAGATTCAAGCTGAGAGCTTTTTTCTTTCAAATACTGAAAAAAAATCATAAAAATGGCAGATTGGGTTGCTGAGATAATGCCAATTATGTAAAAGAAGTGATTTTTCATCCTTTCCAATTGTGCCTCAAACAGTGAAACATGTTCCTGTAAGCCCACTGTGCAATTGTCTATCATTTGTGCAATTTCTTTATTTTTTTGCTATATTTATGATGCCGAAAAGGTTTAAAATATGACTTACAGGATAAGATACCTGTTCAGGTGGAAAATAAAAGGTATTTCCATCGAGAACTCATTTGTACTCATGTCATATTATGTGCCGTGTTGTTTGTAAGGATTAGGACACAATGCGCTACTTGCATTTCATGCACAAAAAGGTACAGAATAAAATCATGAACTGTGGTGTGCCATTGGAATGGACCAAAAATGAGGTGTTTGACATAATTGGCATTTTCTCAGCAACCCAATGTGCTAGTTTCATGAATGGACCGATCCAGTAAGCCCCGCCCACTGCGCGCACTGGGCAAATTAACACGCGCTCCTCTCCAATGCCACACTGCATTTTCCTGCCGCGCGCATCATACGCGCGTGCACGCATGTCGGAATTTTGTGCACGCACGTCGGACGTAAATCAAGGTTGTGATTGGTCAGACCACCATGGGGCGGTGCTTACTGGATCGGTCCATTGTTTCAGTATTTGAAAGAAAAAGCTCTCAGCTTGAATCTGATAGCCAAAACGTAATGAACAAATCATGTTTTTGAAGAAGAAAAAAAGGCAAATGTTTTAGGGTTGCAATTTTTTTGGTCACCCTGTATATATAAAACGCAAAATGTTTGCCATTTTATAATACATGTATATAATATCAAGATACACAGTGTTAGAACTACAGATATTATGTTGCCTTTAAAAATTCAATAATCCTGCAGATGTTAGTATCAAACATTAGGGGAAAAACCAACCAACAACCCAGTTTTCAAAAAACTTCTTTAAAAAGTAATATGAGCCGAACGCTTTCTGGGGGTAATAAGCTATTTTCAACACAAAAATGGTTAACATGTGTATACAGAATGTGTTTTTTTACACCTAGTGTTGTAATGATGTTTCTTCCGAACAAGAAAAGGGCATTTTAAACGACAGTTTGAAAGGTACTACATTTATTTCAGAAACGAAAAGTACAACTGTACTCCACATTTTGGGACAGAAAACTCTTTGAATAAAACTAGACAGTTCAAAAAATTTCAAAACTGTAATACATTTCTAAATGTATGAAATATTTAAAAGATCATATTCACACATCATTTATTTCACTGTGAATAGTCTAAAAAAATGTACAAATATGAATACTTCGGCGTTTTTCTAAAGTACATCATTCCTGCTTATGCAAGCATTCAAGCTTAATAACAGCAAAACTAGCAAAACACCAGATTTATAGCGTAACATAAAAACTGAAAGTGCATTGCGTTTTTGCACACACGAAATAATATACAGGCTAGAAAAAGTAAATACATTGTAAAAAGTACATGTCACTTTCATGTATAAACACTATATATGCATGTAAAATGGCAAGTCAAAACGAAAGGCAAAGTTAAACAAATATTTCGCACGCACAGTGTGCAGTATATAGGTCATCTAAAAAAATATACATTCAGTGTGCTATTTATTTTCACACTGATATTGTACATGTAGGTTAAAAAAACAACCACCTCCCAACTCCCAGATAAGCAAACTCGACATGATAACCATTCGCTTCCAACTCATAGGAAGACATGAAGGATGAAGATTTATACATGTACAAGTAATTAGATATATTCATAAAACGTATGTACATGTACATGTACATGTACATGCAAAGATTAGTTGCATAAAAAATATAAAGTTTGTGAACTAACATAACATGTATTTTCAGTAAAGAAAGCGTATAAAGCATTAGAAATTCACAAATTTATGTTAAAAAAGCACCGTACGCATTCAACCTCAGGAGGAAATGCATAAAGAAGGAAACCCACATTTGACAGGAATTTTAACCTACTTACCTAACTGATTTAAACTGTGTTTTTTTTTTATAATGTAGTGAAGTGTAGCTCTTCAACCAAACGTGGTGAAAAAAATCTTTTAAAAAAATCGAAAGAATAGTGTTATTATGCTAAATTTGAATAGAAGTCTCCGTAATCACTGTTGTCTACTGTTGTAATTCTAGTGTAGTAATGTTTTCTATCAAACTCCGGAGCTCAGTCAAGCGGATGGAATAAAGCCGTCCGTGGACAAAAGGGTTTGGCACATGAAATTTTTAAACTACCATATCTCAGAGACGTAGTAATTTGCAAACAATTTTTGTCACTTATGTTTAAAGATCAATATTTTAATACCATCAAATTGAATTTCTGAAATATGCTCAACAAGTAGGTGAAAAGTGCTGTCAAATGCTGGTTTCCTTCTGTTTGCAACACCCTGTAGATGAAATTTGTGATTGAAACTTGTGATTAAAACTTGTGATTGAAACTTGTGAGTTGAGATTGAAACTCTTGGTGAGTTGAGATTGACTTGTGATTGACTTGACAAAGACTCTGCAAACTGGAACCTCATCAGAGTTATGTGCTGACAAATTCAGTTGTTAAACAGGGCCACATTTTCAGCCACGAGGTTGTTTGGGATTCTGCCCAGGGACTTCCTGGGTGGCTTCCTGTGAGGCGAGGAGGGGTTAGGGGAGGGCGACAGGAGGGCCAGCCTAGCACTCAAGGGAGTCAGGGGCTTGTTCTCTTTGCCCGGCCCAGAGCTCAAAACTCCGCCCTGCCCCAGCTTCGCCTTGGGGCTGGTGAAGCTTTTACTGTGAGGTGAATTGGGAGTTGGGTGAGAAACAGGCTGGTGGTTTGTGTTTTCAGACTCGATAAGTGTGTTGCTTTGAGCTCTCTTAAAAGGCAACGCAGTTTTCTGAGTTTTAGCGGCACTGATAGATCCCCCAACAGACTTCGACTCTGGAGTCGTCAAAGTGGGACCAAGGTGGCTACTTTTGCTGCCGCCGTACTTATAGATCGGTTTGACGTCATGAGGGAAATACGCGGGGGAAGCAGAGGCAGCGTTGGGCAAATTATCTGACGTCCTGGTCATGCTAAGCCTATCATCTCTTTTGCTCATGTTTGCAACTTCTGAAATTTGGACAGGTTTCACAGGACAGACTGACTGACAAGTTGCAGTTTCACCAGATGGACTGGGATTGGTTTCATCACAGCGACTTCTGGTGTTAAGGTTATAGTGAGTTACATTTTGTGCTCCTTGGACATCTTGAGAAAGCTTGTTGGAGCCAGGAATATCGGCCCCTGTCGCCTTCCCAGCAGTCTCAGAGGATGGTTCTGCCTCCTCAGTTGACCGTTTGGAAGAGGACGCTTCAACATCTTTGCCCCTTTCAGCCTTGGTAACAACAGATCTCCTTGCACTTGCTGATTTAGCGGGCAGGCTAATACCGTCTGCTTGTTTCATTGGGTGGGGTTTACACACTTTCCTACTCACAGTGTTTGTTTCTGTACCAGGAATTATAAATTCTGTGCAGGGTCCGTAATCTTCACTTTCGGTACTGGAATCACAGGCAAGGACGGTTTCGGTACAAACACTTTCTGGAATTTCCACTCTTTCATTTTTCGACTGTTCCATTTCAGTAGTGGCAGGTTTCTCATCGGATACGTCATGGCATGATTTAGTTTCATTCTCTTCCGGCTTGTGCTTGTAGGCAGGGCTGGGCAGTTTATTTTCTAGGGGTTTCTGTTGATGTTTAATTGTCCCAGGCGAAGCTTTGGTTTTCGGAATGAGTAACTGTTTACATTTTGTTGTATTTAAACCGCAAACTTCCTCCGACTTACTTTTCAGTTGTTCTGCATTGTCAACAGTCTCAGGACAGTTTTGAGTAGCAATGCCAGTGCCGGAAACCAGGCTACTTAGAACTTCCTGGTTATCAAGATCTTTATCAAACCTCAGCTGTCTCTTAGAGATGCGCGGTGCGGGCTGCCTGTCTAAAATCTGATCGTATATTTTCTGGACTTCGTATGCGCTCATCTTGCCGGCACTTTCGGGGGAATCAATGCAATCGGGCATTTGAGCCAGATCGGCCGACACTTGGCTGATCTCCATATCACTTACGGTTTCAGGGGTCTCGGTATTTGGACGAGTAGGTGTTTGGGGGGCCTCGGTGCCACTGGCAAAATGTACAGTGACTTGCTGGCTAGGGTGGATTTCATAGTGAGCTGGCTTCAGCTCTCTGGTAGTTGATGGCGTGTTCGGTTGAGAAAAGGATCGGATTCGATTCGCAGATTTCATTTGAGTTGACCGACCGCTTTCAAATTTCAAGCACGCCTGGCACGGAGTCCTGTATTTAGCGGCACACGATCGGGCGGAATACAAACTCACTTTGGACTCATCGGCCAGTAATGACTGAGCGAGGACAAGGTCTTTACTCTTGTCATACCTATCAACCAAGTCAGTGGCAAACCCTGACAGCTGGTACATTTGAAAACTACACGTGCAAGGTTCTGGGGAATCCTTGGACGGCGAAGATATAGGTTTTGATGGCTTGTCCGTTTTCCCCAAGTGGTCTAACGATTTGAACTTTCCTGATAGCTGTGTATTACTTTCACATTCACTTTCCATTGTGAGCAAACAGCCTAAGCTCTTGCTCCTGAGCGGGGGCGCTGTTCGCCAATCCAGGGATCCTGGTTGGGTCTTAAGAGGTGAATACTTACAGGGGGTTCCCGCCCTATCGGAGCCGGGGTCCTGCATGTGCAGACCTGGCTTCCCATCCAGGGGGCACTTTTGTGGGGAAGGGGTCCTGGAGCGGTGGAAAATCTCTGCGTTCACGTCGCCATGGCGACTGAGGGTCGAGAGTCGGTTGGACTTGCCGTGTTGACAGACGTCACTTTTGTCGTCTTGGGCTCTGAAACAGAACGATATAGCTCCTCTGGGGTGGAAGAATCGGTAGTAGAAGATCATAGCGGTCACACCTGTGGGGAATTGACAAAACAGGCTAACCATGACGCATTTCCAGTTGACTTTGCAAGCAAAAATTGATTATTTAACTCAAGCTTTCCATGAAGGGTCTGTTTTCAAAAAAATAAAAATTTGCATCTGAGAAAGTTAATTTTCATGACAAGGTTTTGCTCTTTACCAACGTTATTTTAAAACACTCTTGAGTCACTGCTGTTCAAGAGCTGGCGAGAAAATTCACAAGATTGCTTGGGTGGGACTCGAACCCTTGACCTCCTGCTTACGAGATCAGACAATCTCAACCACTCTACCACCAAGCTTGCCCTGGGGTCAGCAGCACTCAGCAGACAGGTTGGAATCTGTCATATCAGTGAGTACCACAAACAATGAACTGTTTTCGAACCAGCCAGCTGACTCCGGCAAGCTCTTTGGTTCAGTGTTTAAGGAATCTGCAGAAGTAAAACAGGATGTCGACAAATCAAATTAGGTTTTGCCCTTCACCGACGTTTAAACACTGTATACTCAGTGTGTTACCTCCCGAGTGAAAGTTCGAAAAAAATCACTCGGGTGGGACTCGAACCCACGACCCCCTGCTTTCTAGTGCAGATGTCTTACCACTCGACCACCGAGCTAATGGGATCGGTTGGCCGGTTCGAATCTGATGTACATAGCAGCGGGTACCGCATAAACTATTATAAGATGGAATTTTTTTGGATGTCGATGGATGTCGACAGTTTGAGCCCAACCTGTGCAAGCTTGTTAAATTCTTCCTTGCCAGCTATCGGACGACACCCCTTTCACTAGATTGCATACACTGCTTCAAAAAAAAAAAAAAAAAAAAAAAAAAAAAAAAAAAAAAGCAAAAAAAACCCCGGCATTTTAGATGCTAGGAAAAGAAGTGTTAGCTCACCTATGATGAAACCACCAAACACCACTATGAACCCGAGAAACGTGTACCAATCCTCCAGCATCCCGAAGCGATGCCACAGCAGCAGCAACACGATGTTCTCCACGGCAACAATCAGGTAGAAGATGCTGATGCGGTACCTGGTATTGCCCTCCTTGAGGTTGAAGAAGCAGAAGACGTAGACGGTGCCGATGACGCAGTTGAAGAGCCTCTCCTCAGGCCAGGAGTCGCAGAAATCGGTGCGCTGGAAGTACACCCAGGCCACCATGGCAAGCCAGTGCAGGCCTGGTGAGAGACGAGAAAGTAACAGACAGTTAAGCCCGTCTCCAGCCAGCATGGTTCTTGCTGGTTCTGTTATCTCTATTTCCGTTCCCCTTGGATGGGATTTGAGTTAATCACAAGTCACTCAACGTCTATTATCCCTCCCCTGGGGCGGGTGGGGAGGCAAATGGGGGTAAACTGGCTTGCCCAAGGACACAGCATATGGCTAGTAGCTGAATTTGAAACCCTTACCCTCTATCATGAATCACAAACCCTTACCATAATGCCAAACCCCCCATATTGCCAGAGCAAAATTATTGGGTGTCAAAAAGTGAGGTTACTAGAGCTTTCAAGAAAAAAAAAGCGCCCGGCAGGTGGTGTCCCTAAGCAAGCGCCTTTACTGCAATTGACCCAAAAGAGAAATTACCACGGCTGTGTATACTCTCCATGGAATTGAAATAAACCTTCAAAACGATTATAGTGAGTCTTAATATTAGGTTAAGCAAGTCGATGCTTCAGGTATCATGCAGTATAAGTCTTGATAGATAACCCTTAATTTTATACAAGTACCTCAGTCGGTGGTAACATATAAGAACTTACCCACTACCAGAAATGTGTAGGCCTTGAAGGCGGAAGCAAACAGCACCAATGCCACAACACGGGATGAGATCATTCCGATGCGCCAAATGGTCTGAAGGATAGCGCCAGGCCACGATATGCCATTCTTGTCGGTCCGCACACGGCGATGGGCGCGACTGTAGGCAACCACCGCCCAGCAGAGGGAAAAAAGCGATACTGTACCAGCAATACCTTCAAAACAGAAAATAGATAAGGCAATATATTTGACATGAATGTTTTTGCTTCAAACTGCCCAGCAAAGGGCAGAAAATAGAAAATAGATAAGGCAATATTTTTGACATGAATGTTTTTGCTTCAAACTGCCCAGCAGAGGGAAAAAAGCGATACTGTACCAGCAATACCTTCAAAACAGAAAATAGATAAGGCAATATTTTTGACATGGATGTTTTTGCTTCAAACTGCCCAGCAGAGGGCAGAAAATAGATAAGGCAATATTTTTGACATGGATGTTTTTGCTTCAAACTGCCCAGCAGAGGGGAAAAAGCGATACTGTACCAGCAATACCTTCGAAACAGAAAATAGATAAGGCAATATTTTTGACATGAATGTTTTTGCTTCAAACTGCCCAGCAGAAGGCAGAAAATAGAAAATAGATAAGGCAATATTTTTGACATGAATGTTTTTGCTTCAAACTGCCCAGCAGAGGGGAAAAAAGCGATACTGTACCAGCAATACCTTCAAAACAGAAAATAGATAAGGCAATATTTTTGACATGAATGTTTTTGCTTGAAACTGCCCAGCAGAGGGCAGAAAATAGACAATAGATAAGGCAATATTTTTGACATGGATGTTTTTGCTTCAAACTGCCCAGCAGAGGGAAAAAAGCGATACTGTACCAGCAATACCTTCGAAACAGAAAATAGATAAGGCAATATTTTTGACATGAATGTTTTTGCTTCAAACTGCCCAGCAGAGGGCAGAAAATAGAAAATAGATAAGACAATATTTTTGACATGGATGTTTTTGCTTCAAACTGCCCAGCAGAGGGAAAAAAGCGATACTGTACCAGCAATACCTTCAAAACAGAAAATAGATAAGGCAATATTTTTGACATGAATGTTTTTGCTTCAAACTGCCCAGCAGAGGGCAGAAAATAGATAAGGCAATATTTTTGACATGGATGTTTTTGCTTCATACTGTACCAGCAATACCTTCGAAACAGAAAATAGATAAGGCAATATTTTGGACATGAATGTTTTTGCTTCAAACTGCCCAGCAGAGGGAAAAAAGCGATACTGTACCAGCAATACCTTGAAACAGAAAATAGATAAGGCAATATTTTTGAAATGAATGTTTTTGCTTCAAACTGCCCAGCAGAGGGCAGAAAATAGACAATAGATAAGGCAATATTTTTGACATGGATGTTTTTGCTTCAAACTGCCCAGCAGAGGGAAAAAAGCGATACTGTACCAGCAATACCTTCAAAACAGAAAATAGATAAGGCAATATTTTTGACATGAATGTTTTTGCTTCAAACTGCCCAGCAGAGGGCAGAAAATAGAAAATAGATAAGGCAATATTTTTGGCATGAATCTTTTTGCTTCAAACTTTTTTATATGTGCAAATTCATTACATGGTTCCCACTTCCTTCAACCATGTCTCAAATGCCCACATCTTACATTAGAGCTAGAGCAAATTTTCTCCAAGATTTCAGCTGAATGCATACAGATTAGAAAGACATCTATGCTCAGTACATCTACCAAGTTTTAGTCCTTTTCAACAGGACTACAGTGTGTGGAAAACACCGGACAAAAGTCATAAAAACAAGATGCAAACGAAAAGAAAATCTCTTGCTGTTTTTTGAAGAAAATGGGGGGGGGGGGGTTCGAGTCTGTCACACACTTAGAGGGAGTCTGAGGAATTGTTGATGAAGCTGTTGATTGGTCAATTTGGCTGTCATGTTTTTGTAAAACAATAACGGGCCACATTGGCTCGTGACAGACTTTACTCATTGAAGAGGACATCACTTCTCACCGGTGAAGAGGTTTTCGTCGTTGGTAGCCACCATGATGTACAGCTGCAAGACAACCTGGGGCGCCGATTCCAGAAAGGACTCGAACAGACGCAGCATGCAGACGTCGCTCTGCTGGTGATGTAGGCGCTCAAAGTCCAGCGGGTCCCTGCTCCGCCGCGCCTCCAGGCCCGTCTCGAAGACAGTCACATACCTTAGAGGTGACAAGAATCAGGAAATGGAAATACTTGTAAATTAAATATCCATTTTAAAAATGTATTTTGTATGTAAACTAAAACTGTCTGGTAGACAACTGCCAGCTGGGTACATTTTATAATACATCGGATTACATCCGGAGACAAAATTCTGAAATCGACCAAGGTAAATGAATTTCTATCGGGTGAAAGTACAGAACTCAAAATGGCAAGGACAGTACATCTTTACATTGGGCAAATGGGTGATGGATGTTAGATGAATTAAGGCAGTGGACATTTGGCTGGCGCCGGTTTTTGTAGTAAACGCTGTTTTCACAGAGGTTTTCTCTTACTGGCTTATATATAATCAAGTGATATCGACCGCAACAGCTTTCGTTTATTAAACCCTAGTGTGCCAGAGGCTACCTTTGATTTCTCTTGCAAACTAGAAAGCCTCTGTGAAAATACTAAAAATGAATTAATGAATTGAATGATTGAATAGTTGAAAACAGTTAAAATTATCTACATATAACATTGATGGTCATCATGGTGCCTCTCTAGTCCGAAAATTTGGGACTCTCAATACTGTGTTAGTGTATGACTAGGAGAGTCTCAAAACTTCAGATAGTGAAAACATGCAATACAAGAAAATAGACTGACACATGAAAAAAACAGTCCAACATCCCTTTAGTATACTGCATCAATCAACTGTGTCAAAAGAAGCGTCTGGTACCTGATCTCTATTTCTACACATTCTCTCCACAGTCATCAGGTCATGCCACCAGACTACTGAAGGGTCAATCTTTTCAAAAAGTTGGACATGCACCAGTCTAGTCTTAGGTTTCAAATTGAAGTCACTTTGCGTCACTCTCAGGTGCAAAATGTTGAAGACACCTTGTCTCCTTTAAAAATTGAATTGAGACCTCAAACTTGGCTGGTGAAATACTGAAGACCTTGTCTTTGCCTAGCCTTGGTCAAGGCGCTAGTTGTTTTTTATCCGGCCGTAGCGCGGTAATGCATGCAGTCATAATGTCTATGCGCTATGCATGCAGTACAGTGCATTAAAAATACAGCACGAACAGCGACCTCACGCGGCCACTATATTTATGCAAATCAGTTGGACCCAATATAGCGCCTCGGTTCAATCGTCCATGTGAGGTTTTGGGGGTGGTGCTCATTATGTTAATAGCCTTAGCTGACCTTAAATGTCGTTTTCTTATTGGTCGATCGTTGCAGGGAAACTTGCTTAGTAAAACGTGGCACCGTACATAATCCATACATGTACACGTACACGTTATGTGTCTCTGCACACGGCACCAATGCACAAAAACTGTGGTTCCTGTCACGTCCGCAAAAGGCGAATAGCTAGCTGCAAACAATTTGATGACGTCCGGATTTACCAAGGTGTGATTGGACACTCCACATATTAGCCCCGCCTACACTTATCTGTATTCGCATACGAGGTCGTGCGCTAGAAATCCAGCGCAAAATAAAGAAAAACATAAGCTTTTGCCGACGATTGAACCAAGGCGCGATATTGGGTCCAACTAATTTGCATAGAAATGGTGGCCGCATGAGGTCGCTGTTCGCGCTGTATTTTTAATGCACTGCATAATGCATGGCCCTAGCGAGGATATCGTTTACGCGCCACGGCCGGGATGAATAACATTTAGCGCCTTGACCAAGGCTAGTCTTTGCCTCATGAACATTTTGGACAATTTTGTGGGCTAAAGAGTGAGTAAAGTTGGTCTGATTTTGTTTGCATGTTTTCGCACTCAAGACAAGGTCCCAGTCTGGTACCTCTCTACGGGTCCAATAAGGCAACAATGGAAGACCCATCTCCAGCCTGTCATGTCTTCATCTGCCAAGTACCAGCGCACACTAAACACTTGAATGATGATAGAGGGCAGCAGTGTAAAGCCCAGAGTGAGGCAGCCCCAGCCTGGCTCACCGTGGACGAAATATTGACTCGCTGCCAGGCCATCTGAGGAAATAAAAAAAAACACAAATATTATATTATAGGGGCCTAAGCATCGGAACAAAATCTTGTCTTCAAGATGGACAACTAAATAGGCCTCATTGCTTTACCCCTTTTTTTTTGTTTTTTAAATTTGCGTGTTTCATTTTGTCATCTTCGTCATTGTTTCCCCCAACCAAAATTTCCCCCGAGTTTCTGAAAAAATTCAAAACTCTGCCTGCTTTCCACGACTTTCCAGTTGATTTTCAATATTGTCAAGTAAGAAACTAAGGTGAGTCCTAGTCCCACTATCTGGGTCGCTAGAACTCCTTTTTTGACATTTGGGATGTGACTGTCGTACTAGTATGACGGTAACATTCCAAATGTCAAAAAAAGGAGTTTTACTTTTAGTGAACCAGTTAGTGGGACTAGGTGAGTCCAATCAATAAACCTAAACATCGCTAATAAAACATAAAATTAAGTAGATTTTGGAACGGGGCCTGTAACTTAAGTTAACTCTTCCATGTCCACAATCGGCAAAAATGTAGGCCTAAAGATACCAAGTTTAACCGATCAAAATGATAGAGACTTTCTTTATATTATTAGGGGCGTAAATATACACAAAAAGCAAACACATACATAGGCTACATTGTATTTGTAGGCCTAATAAAACATTTCAGCGATTGTGTAGTTAAGAGGGCCAATTGGAGTGACTTATTTTACCAAACAAGTTTGGGCCATTGTTTTAACGCAGTGGCTATTGTTACGGCAGCCGTAACGCATTTCCCATTTTCTATCGTTACGGTAGACTGCAACTTTTATAAAAACATAAAAGAAAAATATAAAATTAGAAAAGAAAATATAAAATTAGAAGGAAAAAAGTGAATTTGAACGTTACGAAATTCGGACTTTATTTCCCTTTTAAAAAAAATCCTCCAAAGCCTCAGGTTAGAAAAGGAAAAAAATTCGAGTGCAAAACTGAGATTCGAACCCGCAACCTCGTGGTGCAAAATCCATCCCTCTATCGACTGAGCTGTCGCACTGCTCGCTAAAACGTGTGGAAACAAATAATTATATTCCTGCGTGCGTATCAAAAAAGTATCGTAGAGGGCGCTAAACAACGACTGCCGTAACGATAGCCACTTCGTTGTTTTAAAGGCTCGTCTCGTGGAATAGAGAGATGAGACTGAGAGGGCCGGGTTTCGATTTTTTGAGGGAAATTTTGGAACGAAAATTAAGATGGCGATCACTGCACCGCGACGCAGGTCGCACAGTGTACATGTATGCACAAAACCGTGTTGATTCGCATGGCACCGTCCGTTGGTTTGTAATGTTACACTTGTTGTACATCATTGTCATGCAATGTCATGGAATGCCAATGCATGTCGTGTGACTGTGAGTGTGACTTACCCGTTGCAATGTCGGCAGCGAATGTGACCATCGAAATCAGAACGATAGTGGCGTCAAACACGTTAAATGTGTTAGTCCGGGCGAAGAAATGTCTCTCACACTCTCTACATGGCGGCAATGTCTCATCCAGATCATTATTTTCGATGCGGATTGGCGATTCGCCGCCAGTTTCCTTCACAATTTCAGCACTTTCTTTAGCCATGTTTTTCCCGGCGGTGTTTTGAAATAGATTGACAGGTCCTTCTGAGGTCATTGAGCATGCGTACTATGCGAAGCTGTTAGTCTGGCTCCCAGACCAAAAGTTCTGACTACAACAGTTAGTCAATTTCAGGGGGATCGTCGGGTCAGGCAACCAGACTAAGCCGTTATATAGCCTCTTTTCGAGTCTTGGAATTTTCCGTTCAGCAGTAGACCGTTTTTTCTAAGGGCTGTGAAATAATGAAAACATACACTACATGTAAAAGTACCATAGATTTCAATAAATCTGAAAATTAAATTAGCCTTAACCCCCTAGAGTGTGTGTGAAAAATTATATTAAAGGGAAAATACAACATTTGCAAACATCAAAAAATAAAACTACCAAATCATTTTGAAATACCTTGCTGGACTGTTAGTCATGATAGTATAAAGCATCCTGTATAATCATGGCACCTGGTATACTGTCATTTTCAAGAAAAGTGGTATTTTTGTATCAATTTCCAACGCTGATCGGCCGACCAGCGTTGGAAATTGATACAAAAATACCGGCTTTTTTTTCAAAAACTGGCCCCAATTGACCATCGCACTTGTTTGCAATCGATTACACACCTATGAAAGGGGTACAAGCCAGCTAGACTGGTTCCCTGCCCTTACAATTCCCCAATGTATGTAAACTGCTCTGTTTCTTCTTATATGGAGTCAGGGAACCAGACTACAGGAAAATGATTGTTTTTCTTGGTTTTTAAAGCATTTTCGAACCCAAAACCTCAAAAAAGTCAGTGTAACTATATTTGCTATACATTTCCAACCCCCAATTCCATCCATTTCTGAAAATTACAGCAAAAGCTTAATGATGTATATTCCCTTTAAAGGGAATATTTTCCCATTAAAACTATATATACTACCACAAACCAGAATTTTCTTAAATTCAAACATATCCAGTACTTAGTATCCATATATTAACATGGAATATCACAATGAACAACACGGTGACAAACATTTTAATTTTTTCCCTTGAGGTGTTTATTGTAAATCGTATCAAATGAAGTTGGCATGACCGCCAACTATGATCATTTCTGCACATGAAAAAAACCCTGCAATATATTAAAGCATACTAACCACGAATTAGCCTTTTAGAGCAACCTTAACAAGACTTTAGAGCAAACTTAACAGGACATTAACTCAATTTCAATGGATTAAACTATTGAAACGTTTTAGGAATAAATTTTAACTGTAACCATAACCATTCATTAAAAAAAAAAGCAAGTAAGCTCTCGTCAAAAACAAGTTATTAAACTAATGTGTAAACATAATTATATCCGAGTACGTGACCCGTGTAGCGTGTAATGGGCTGATCCAGTAAGCACCACCCCATGGTGTTCTGACCAATCACAGCCGTGATTTATGTCCGACGTGCGTGCACTAAAGTCCAACATGCGTGCACGCCATAGACGCGCGTATGATGCGCGCGGAAGGAAAGTGCAGCGTGGCATTGGAGAGGAGCACGTGTTAATTTGCCCACGTACGTGCGCACTGGGCGGAGCTTACTGGATCGGTCCATTACCAGTGCAGCCCCAGCTCAACTTCCCTTTCCCCCTGTTCCTCCCTCCCCCCGTCAGAATTCTGAGAAGACAAAAAAGATGCCCCCCTCCCCACCGTTTCATAAATGAGACCCCAAGCACCCCTTTGTATTCTGCAAACTAGACCTCTAGTTACAACGTATATTAGCATACGACTACAAAACGTGGGTTTTTTTTCATTCAGAGCACGGTACGCCCATCGGGGCCGGTGTCACATGAAAATCCGACTCCTATGAAAATCGGACCCTTATTTCCCTATTATTGGTTGATCCCTCGCACGTGACAGGTCACTCTCCCGAAGCGATCCTAAAAAAAGCATAGTATTGTACTCACGCGTGCGCAGTACTACCAATGAGTCCACATTTCACGGAGTCGGATATTCACGCTACACCGGCCCCCTTCAATGGCGAATTAACATGGACGTTGCCAGGATTTTTTTCCAGGGGGCAAAGCACATTTCCCCCAAAACTCCTGAACTTTTTTTTTTTTAACATATTGTCAATGTATCGTTTTTCCGAGCGTGGGCAGGGGAACATTTGCCCTATCCCCCCCCCCCCCCAATCAAATGAACAGTAATATGGCTTCGCACCTCTTCCCCCCCCCTTTTTTCTTTCCTTTTCCCGGGGGGGGGGGAGGGAGGAAAGGAAAGCCCCCCCCCCCCTCGCGACGCCCATGATGGCGAACAGTTCACATACTCCGTCATGGGTCACTTTTTTGTGCAATAGCTGACACAATGCTTCCACCATTGAAGGGGGGTCTAGGATGCCCAGAATGGTCTTTATGCACCGCTGTTAAAAATAGATATACAATTTTGATAGATTTGTATTCAATACATTACAGTCATGCATTAAAATCAGTTCAAGACGTGGTTGTAGGAGTGCTTACATTTTGCTACTCAAATTTCATTGACACAAATTGCGTAGGCCTAGATCAACAATAAGCTTTCGTCAGAATTTCAATATGATCACTGATGGGCCTTAGAGTACTTTAAATCCACCCAGTGACCAGGCTTACAGGCCTAAAATTGTTTTTACAAGTTCCGTCTTTTTATTCCATTTGACATGGATACCTTTTTAGTTTATTTACTAGGTGGTGTTTTTTTTTTTTAGATTGGGACATCCACCGGGGTTGGCTTGCCTGCCTGGCTCGACTGCCGTGGACTGCGTCGTCGGATGATCAGGTCCCAGACGAAACACCAGACGGTCAGACCCGTCCAAAACAGAAAGGACACCCAGGCCGCAGCCTGTTTCGAAATTGAAAAAAAAAACCAGATAATCGTTTCTAATTTTACCAGAATATTTTGCCTTCTCTGTTTATGCTGAAAATCGTCAAGAACATGCATGCGCAGTTAATTTGGAGCAACGAATTGAGCGTAGTTGCACACGCTTCCACTTTAAAGGGCCATAAAGCGAACTTTTCAAGCGAAATATCCAAAATTCTGTCAAGCGACTTTTTGTGCTGAAATAGCTGTAACGCTGAGTTTTTCCCCCGGAAATGACATCACCTTTTTGCTCATGAATATGAAAATTCGCATTAGCGTAAAACAAAAAAAGGCGCCAATTCTTGATAACTTGAAAATGGCACAACGAAAATTGAAAAAGGGTTAAATGGGTCACAAAGTTGCACTTCCAAGGACTGTATTTAAAGAAAATGACACTGCATGGGCCCTTTAACGTAAAGCTGAATTCAGATTGCAATTGAACGAGCTTATAGGATTAAAGGAAATCTGCATTTTTACCTCAGCAGTTTTCGTCATATCGTAGAAAGACTTCCCATCGTAATAATCGTTCCAACCTATGTTGTTTTGAAGGTAGCGGCAGCTGAAAAAATATGGAAACGAAAAAATAAGTAATGTCAAATCGTGTAAAAACCATTCTTTATGGTGTGTTGAGAGGTGAAATTCTTCTAGCGCATGCCATGGCTTTAAAAGGCTTCCGAAGGTGTTGTATGAAGATGTGCGCGTCCGCGATGTAAAGAAAAATTACACTAAAAAATTTCGATCCCTGACTGGGGAGGTATTACCTTACCCTAAAATTATCCGGTATTAGAGCATTTTGAGGGCCGTAAATTTGAGGATTTGTAAAAAAAAAAAGGACGGAAGCCGTGCAGAGGACTGCGAGCTCGTATTTCTGTGAAATTTGGATGAAATTAGCTCTGTTTGCAATGGAGAGTATCCTTTTTCAAAATGGCGAAACAGTGCTGAAGGACTACTTTTAGGGGTGGTCATCTTTGGATGGAATTTTCTCCCAAAAGTTATTGGTTAACCCCCCATGCATGGGAACGAGGTTGACGACCTTTTGTGTGAATCGCTTACGTTTAAAGGCATATGGATCAGTTGCATTTATCCCAACCTACCGAATTATTATCAAAAAGCTCGCTTGGATTAAAGATGGTCCTGGCACTAAACACCCCGTAAAATTATTCCGTCTGGTTTGCTGTCATTTAGAAGAAATCAAGAAATATAGTTGATTTCCAAACGATCAGTCAATTGACTGATTTTTGGAAATACACAGTGCCATGGACGAAATCGTGTTTCGTGATCAAAAGGTCTGGCCTGTTATTTTTTCACTCACAGTTTGCTTGAAAAGTGTGACTCCTTCTTGAGCTGAAACTTCAACAGGTTATAGGTTTCAAAACATTCTTCTTTGGATTTCGAGTGGTGTTGTTAATTGGAAAAGAATGCCGAAAAATGCATGGAAAAGCAAATGATCCTATTTATATGCCTGAACAAAACAAAGAGTGTTCAACCTATAACCGAGCGGGAGATCGGTGATTTATGAACGTACTCTGCTCCTGGCTGATAGCAACCCAGCTGGTTGCAGAATGAAGCCAATCCAGCAGAAACAATTGCAGCCGTCACAAGCCAAAGGATTGATAACAGCGCAAGTCCACCGACGATGACTATTGTGATCACTCCTCTGCGACCAAAACAAAAAAAGCGTTTAAGTTAGCAAAGTATATACTTTGCTATACTTGAACGCTCTTACATCAACACCAGTTAATGGACCGATCCAGTAAGCCCCTCCCACTGCGCACGTGGGGCAAATTAACACGTGCTCCTCTCTAGACTTGACTCAAGTCGGAATTGGGTATTAAGTCGGTATCTTAAAAAAAAAGTAGCAAACATCACGACGCGACGCAGATTTGGCGCCTTTAGAACACCATAGTAGACAGATTCGGCGATTAATTATGCAAGACTGCGCATGACCTCGAGAAACCGACCAATCAGCAGGCGCCTTCTATACGCGCGTAATTCGAGCTCCCCGCGTACGTGCGTGAACATCACGCCCACGATGAGTAGCATTCTTGTGCAGGTTGTTGTATTACAAAAACGCGGCATCGAAATTGACCAATCACAATAATCTTAATTAGTCCTGATTTCGGAATGAAATGACATCACGCATGCTTAGAAATATCAGACGATATACAGGAGACTTTACTCCGTGAATAACAGGTGTTATCTTGTGTGCAGCTAATCCTAGCAGGCTACGGTCTGAAGTGAACTTAACTGCCCTAGTCGTATCTCCCTCTTTTTCTTCCTTTTTTGAGTCTCTCTCGCCTCTCTTGCTCTTTTTTTTTTAAGGAAAAAGGGGGACCCCGGCCGTACCCCTCATGCCATGATGCCCCCCCCCCCGATCCACCCTGGCAACTGCCCCGTGACGAAATATCTGAACAACAGCTAGTACAATGCTTTTGCCATTGAAGGGGGCCTTCATGATAGAATTGATAGCGTGCCCAGATTGGTCTACATGTATTTTTATACTCACGTGCCACGATTAGGCTTCAAGTAAACGAAAAACCGGTAGGCCGCAATCACTGGTGAAAGGACCACAGAAATGATGGGTATAGCCAGGCAGTAGTTACAGGTCGATGGTGCGGCGTCATTGAAATCGTAATCTACAGCAAGAAAAACAAATTCTTAAAATGGGAATTGCTAACTTTTGCACCACATGCATGCACATGCTCTGCAATACATGCACACACACATGTTCGTATAATACGCGTGTTGTACAATGTACATACAGCGTGTGCGCATTGTTATACGGCACTGAAGTGGAACGCGCGCTGAAGTGTACCTTGTCGTGCTTCTGGAAAGACGTAAACTAAGTTATTTTTGCGATTTTTTTTTTAAGAAACCGACTGAAAGCAATTCCGACTTGAGTCAAGTCTAACCTCGGGGAAAAAAAATTGCTTTAACGTAGTGACGTAACAATAGAAATCTCCATGCACGCGCGACCGTTAGCACGTCCACGCCGTGATAGTGCTTAAGGTTAGCAATTATTCTGCTATGCTAAACATATCTTTTTTGCTAACTGTTAAGCAGCGCCCTGAAATTGGGCCCAGACCCAGTAGGCTGGTTCCAAATAGTCGACAGAGTTCGGGCTAACTTTAATAGTCGAACTATGGTTAGCAACAGTTCTTGCGCCAACTTGCTCTTGGTTACAGCAGGTTACAGGAAAGCAAATGTCCATCACTTACTCGAATTACATGAAACGTCTACGGACAAAATGCACAGGTGAATCTTGGCCTATTGGGAAAAGAACAGCAGAAATTAAAGGAAAATAAAGACATTTTGAGAGACCCTTTCCTCAGCTCAGGCTTGTCATCCTGACCAACATTTTATTTTTTTGTTGGTGTAGCTTCGATCCCCCCCCCCCCCGCCATGGTATGGTGTTCTTAAAAGGACAAGACCGTCGTTTCCCCCCAAACGTTTCAGTGGTAGTTCTCGTTTCAAACGTCGTGGTTCACAAGTTGTCCCTCGTTGTTCATAACATTTTTTTTGGTCAAACATAGCAGTGCACTTTTTTTTTTCAAACGTCGAAGTTCACTTCAGCTTTTGTCCGTTCACCGACAACAAAACACAGATCGTGGTTCATTAATCCGTTGTTTTCACTTTTCAAACGTCGTAGTTTGGTTTCTGTCGAGCGTAGTTCCCAGTTTCAAACGCCGTGGTTCACTTGGTTAAACGTTGTAAAACGTTCACCACCTACTCGCACGAATGGCATTTTCCCTTGGTATGGCGTCGTTATAGCCGTTCAAACGTATGGTCATAAACTCACCCGTGTTACGCCAACCGTCGTGGCTACGGCGATGCCAGTGCACAAGGTAACCACTAGTGTTATCACCTCTACCGCGATCTTCACAAGGGCCAAAAGCGAGCGATCTGCCATGACTGTACGTGGATTGGAAGCAAACTACAATATTGACGATAACAACTGAGTGACACGAATCCACTGGCAATCCTGGGCCGAAACAACAGCCCGAGAACTCGCGTCTGTCCTGATTCTGTGAATGAACAGATTTACTCTCAGTGGCCGAGCTGGGTTGCAGTACGTGTGGTGCCTGAACTTTGCACTCCGTGAGGGTATGATTAACAATCCGGGTTAATGATAATGTGTCAAATTCACCGTTATTCTATAACGGCACACAGACCCTTCAGTTTAAACTATTGTGTTTACCTATGGCAACCCTTTCGCACAATTGAAAAAATGCGGTAGTGACGGGACGTTTTTTGAGGACTCATACATGTATAGCCCTTGTTTGATAACATGCCCGATAAAAAACAAACGCATACATCCTGACCACAGGAGAAAACAAGCACATGCATGTACTTGAACTTGGGACACAAATAGTCGCATCATACTTATTGCCGATGTTTAGGTGGTGTGTGTGCCCCGCGAATGTTGGGAAGTTGCACAAATGGCTTGCTTTCCCTCTACGTTTGCGGAGCCTCATGCAGTTACCACAAAGGAAACAATAGATCAGATGTCATAATTATTTCTGATAATGGCGGATGCTAATTTGCATAATGTGCATAAAATATATACATAATCATTGTAGAAATGGCTGTAATGCATTCGTTTTGACCCTAAGAACATGGGTTTAGATACCTCGTTTGTAACGATTTTATTGGACACATTTATGCAAAGATATAGATTGAAGTTAAATTTTAGATAATGGCGGATGCTAATTTGCATATTATGCACAAAATACATAAATTAATCATTAAAAATGGCTTTAATGAATTTTTTGACCCAAAAACATGGTCAAGGCACCTCGATTGATAAGTTTGGAGAAAATGCTGCAGAGATATGTAGAAAACTTATATTTTACCTTATGGCGGAAGCTAATTTGTACATTAATTGTTTTTAGAAAAAAATGCTCAAGGGTGCCAAGTGGCACCCGTCGGAATATTGATCTACAAGGTCCAAATGTGGTGCGATCTGAAGCAATTTCTGAGCATTTTAACCAATTGTTTTGAGCAAAAGATGGTGGTGTACGCAGTGGCTGCCTTTTTTGCAAGGTCACTAAAAAAAAAGAGAAACAAAACATTGGGTTCGAGTTACTTTGTGGCCCCATTGCCCTCCTGGATCCGCCGTTGCTAGGTTGTGAGAGAGGTGTTCAGTAGGCCTATAGCAAAACTTAATTTTTGCACAACGAAACAAAAAATTGGTAGTGACGTCAGAGAGGACCAATATAGAAAGCCCTTGTTTGATAACAAACTCAATAAAAGCAAATACACGCACATACTGAAAGATACTTGATCTTGGGACACAAATATTGACTATTGACCCACAAATGCTGACTTTTGAACTTCCGACCCGGCCAGACCCGGTTGTAATTCCAGACGGTTTGTAGGCTTATGATCATGTCTAAAAAAAAAAATCAAATTGGAAAAAAATAATGTTATCGTATTTGTTTTGAATTTCGCACGAGTCTAATATGGGCGAAGGGAAACGACCATATTCACTGTATAAAAGTACGTAAATGTCGAGTATCCAATATGAACCTAATACCAACACCAACAAAGACCCATAATTATTGTGTACAAAGTCTATGGGCAAATAAAAACATCGAATGTCGAATGTCGAATGTACACCATCCAAATGGAGGCTCCATCTGTTAATGCTAAAGTTTTGCCTTTAAGATAAAATAATTATGACAAACATTATTTATTTCTACGGCTATACAACTTTAACGTTTTTTTGGTAATAAACACATTACAACCAACAACTGCCGTTTCCACAGGCATAACGGAGTAGTCTGGAGCCTGGCCGTGCTTTAAAACACTGTTTGTTTTTGTCTGCGGTGTCTGGGGTAAAAACGAAATCAATAGGTTTTGGCGTGAGATCCGAAAAAAAACCCACACGATTTGTTTCCTTTAAAATTATAATATTACAATTTTTATTTCTCCAATAGGCCTATGCAGTATCACATTGCATAAACATGTAAATTATTAAGCAAAATGGAACAAAGAAGGATTAATTTATAATTCCCGAATGACCGTTAAAACACGTAACTGATATGCCAACATGTTTAAAATAAAATCACCAATTAATTACAAGATAGGCCTATATATCCACAGCTTGCTACTGCTGTCTCGAATCAGGATACGGGAACTTGTGCAGCAACTTTCCCACTCAGGGGTTACTGGTAGAAAACCATGGTTAAGTAAGCCCTGGGGAGGAGGATACGAGAAACCCATAACAATCAAACTTATTGACCACCATTTCCGTCATGTTCCCTGTATCCAATAACAGTACTGAATGATAATTTTTTTGTGTGCAAAAAGGAACCAGACTATTTTTTCTATAGCCTCGCTTTGGTTAGGTTTATTTGAATGGGAAAAACATCAAGATGGTCGCAACATGATAATGGTCTATTAAGGGCGTGGTTGTCATTGTCAAATTTTGACCGAACGGTGGCGCTGTGGCGACGCCAATTCGGAGTAAGGGACAGTAGAAATACCACATTTATCGAAGTAATTTAGAAAGTTAGTTTCAGTCTCAAAATGAAATATTTTAACAAAGTAAAAATATCGGCCTATTTTTTTAATCACAGCAACACGTGAACTGATGTCAGTAGCCCTACTCACACTTGTTTGCACCCCTCAAAATGCCGTCGCCATTCACCCAAAAATGTGGCCTGTAGAGCCTTAAAGTTGACCCCTGGTGGCGCGCTTCCGGACCCCTCGAATAGGAAAATTAGCATGTAAAAGTCGGAGTTTTTAAAAACTACTTTCGGGACAATGATTTCTACATTGAAATCAACCTCGTAAAGGCCTTTGTAAAACTGTCACCAGCATCTCAATTTATAGAAACTGAAAAGTCGCATGACGTGAAAGGGAAATATCGTGCCAAACATTGACCTCTCACTTCCGAAAATCTAAAATTTCGTACAAAGATGAAAATTCATGAACTAATTTTGTGGCGGTCATTGGGTAAAATATTAAATTTAAATAGGAGACTAAAATGTCTTTTGGGACACATAATTTTGCTGAATAAACTTGAAGGACTCATTCACATTTACAAACAAATCTAAAATGACCGTTGATAGGAACTGTATTCAAGCAAGCCTGACTAAATCTAGAATCCAGGTAGGGAAATCTTTGCGTCGTTATAATTTTCGTTCTCACGCAAGTACGCGACGTGAAAACAAACGTGATCGAACAAGCCGAGACCTAAGTATAAAATCCGGATGTGAAAGGTCGTAGGTATAATTCGTTTTCACCCATCTGAAACTGATTTCTCTTCATTATATTTTCTTGTGGAATGCCACGATTGAAAATTCCAACATGAATGTTTCTTGGGGGTGAATATGGTTAGAAATCATTCTGTCAAAAAGTATAGCAAGAGAAAGGGCAACCCAGTGTGTAAAGTGCCCACAGAAGAGTAGCAGAGGGCGGTCCGGAAGCTCAAAGTCAAAATGGCGCATTTTCAGGCTCTATATATGGCTGCCCCACTCACTAAGTTGGTATGATCGTTTAGATTGGGACATCGACAGGCGTGCTGCCGGCCGCAGCGTTCTTTTCCCGTAGGCTAGGGCGGCGGCGACTTTTTAGAAATAAGACGGAGAACCAGACGGCTAAGGCAGTCCACAGCACAAACGACACCCAGGCTGCACTCTGTCAAGTCAAATTGGGGGACAAGATGAACAACGAAAGTTAAAAGAAGTGTCTAGGAAGAGGCTTTTCTTTTGAACCTTGGTTTCGTTCCGGCTATAGGTAAAGGTAAAGGGGACGAACCTGTACTCACAGGAACGGAGTGCCCATCTCTCTTTCATAGCGATTGGGCCAGAGTCATATGCTGCTGTGGGGGGACCGCCACACCTCCTCCACAGCGAGTCTGTTACCTTCCCAGCATTGAACAATGCCGGTACCCATTTAACACCTGGATTGAGAGGAGTAATTGAGGTGCAATGCCTTACTCAAGGGCACAACACGCATGGCCACGGTGGGGTTCGAACCCACAACCTCTCGATCACGAATCCTGAGCTCCACCGCTAGACCACACGTGCCCCACACGTGTCCGGCTTTAGGCTTCAGGGGATGATATGCTTTTGGCTTGCTACAAGCTCACTTTTCTATTTCAGGTACACCAAACCATATACATGTAATATGAGGCCAATTTTTATTTGTTTTTGACAACAGGGGCAGAGATGATTGGAAAATGACCATTGGGCGCCAAATAATAATACAACAGACATTTCGCTATGTTAACACTAACAAATCAGTATACAGGGCGAGTAAAAAGAAACGAATCCCACATTTCGGGACCATTGTTTTAGTAAAGTTCTGCATGTAGCACTTTCAAAATCTAGGATATGAAAGCCCAATTCATAAGCACCAATTTCATAATTTCTTTTAGTACAAGAATCATTCAAATAACTCATGTAATTTTCAAGTTACGGAATTGTAAACACAACCACCGTTTTAAAGTTCTGTCCACGGATCACAAAACGGTAAGTGTTCTTTCAGCAAAACGAAAACAAATCAAAGGGATGTGTGTGAATTGTTTTCGATTTGCTGAAAGAACGCACACCTTTTTTGTGATCCGTGGGCAGAACTTTAAAACGGTGGTTGTGTTTAAAATTCCGTAACTTGAAAATTACATGAGTGATTTGAATGATTCTTGTTCTAAAAGAAAGCTTATGAACGGGGCTTTCATATCCTAGATTTTGAAAGTGCTACATGCAGTACTTCACTAAAACAATGGTCCCGACATTTGGTTTTCGTTATTTTGTTGACTCACCCTGTATAAGCGTAGCTTTTTGCTATAATGCGGAATGCTATATAGACAAGGGTCACCCTTTCAAGTTTTCAAATTTTAAAAGCACAATTTCGGATTCAAAAGAGAAACCCATACCTCGGCAGTTTTCGTCATATCGTAGAAGGCTGATCCGTCGAAATCGGGGTCCCAACCTAGTTTCTGAAAATGGACGCAGCTGCAATTTAAAAACAGCATCACAATGCCAGGTATTAACATACAAAGTATTCCATCTGCTAGTCTTCCTTAGTTTAAAAAAACAAAATTGGTATATTAGGCTAAATAGAAATCATGCTTGGGCTAGTCCTTGTAATTAATGTCGGACAAAAAAAAAGTTTCTTGTTTACAAAATATCGTTCACCAATAATTTCTATAGGCGAAATTCAATTGTGATATAATTTTCGTGCTCCAAGTGACAAATATGACGGCAGGTTGTTTTGCTTTTCTTTTAAGTGCCGCTCATAGCTTGCCAACCGTTGATAGGCCAAAAGCTACGGTGGTGTACTAAGGCGCGTAGCCAGGGTCAGTTTGTTTGCCCGTTCCAATTACATTTTTTCCTCCCGTTTAAACCACTTTCATCATCTGGCTTTTGCTTCTATCAGCGTCCCGATTTTGAATTTTTAACCTCCATTTTGCTGCAAATTGCCACTCTGCACGCCCAGCTACGCAACCGGCTGTACTTAAATTTGATGAAATTATCTTTGTTTATCCAATTTCGCATACACTGTAAGTACTCCCTGGCCAAAATTGACCCAGAATCTGCGTCTATATCTGCACAACCCTTTTCCGGGTCACAATTTAACCTTTTCTGGTCAAAATAACCTTTTTCCAGGTCAAAAATGACATTTTCTGGATCATTTTGATCATTTTTTTGACCCTGAAACGTCATGTGCAGATATAGACTCATATCGGGGTCAATTTGACCCCGGAGTTTTTAGAGTGTATTTCACATTCAAACGATGATGGTGTCTGCATGTGATGTCAATTTATTTTCACCTATATGGCGTACATTCTAGACATGTTCTCAAAACAAAAACAAAAAAACATTTAAAAAAGAGAGATATGTCTGTTTCGGAAGAATACACAGTTGATATTTAGTTCCTGTAATAGAGGTATCTGTATTAGAAATTCTTATTTCCTCGTTTAATAGAGATATCTCTGTTAAAAACAGAGATGTCTTTGCAATTAAGTTTATTTCATTTCTTAATAGAGATATTTTGGAATTAAAGGTAAGTATGCATGCCATACACCTACTCTATTTTGCTGGGTAGGGGGCACGCATCATTCAGCTTGTTGCACAGGGACGTTAGGCCGGCCGATATGATAGCAGCCACAACGAGCACGAGAATGGCAAACAACACAACCCCAACAGTTACAATAATGCGTAGCACTTTTCTGCAAAGGACAAGAGAAGAAAACAAATCATGATTTACTTAAGCAACGGTTTCGCACATGATGTAAATGTTGATTAGCACAAAAAAAAAACCGAAGAGCCAAACTTTTTCGAGTCTTGCGCATCTTTTGATACCAGAAATACAAAATTCTGTTTCGGCGCCGTGTAACTATTAATTTTCCTGCATACACAAAGCAGAATAACCGTTGGTGTATACACTGCAAAAACTGTAGTGTTAATTTAACACCATTCGGTATCTATATAGGACAACACCAGTAAAATGTAACACCAGATGGTCCTATATAGATACCAATGGTGTACATTTAACACTCCAGTTTTTGCAGTGTATGAATAATTAATTAGCCGACAATTCAAAAACCCTATAACTTGTAGTCATGAAATTTCATTCTATGCATGGATCGAGTTTCATATTTTTTTCGTCACTCTATGGCTGAGATTTAAGGAGGAGGGGGCGGATTCCGCCCCCGGATGTGAGTGAGATGGTCAAAATGACCCGGCTCATTCAGGGTTAATAATAATAAAGGAGGGTTAATGGTGCATTTCGAGCATGGGCGTCGCGAGGGGGGGGGGGGGGGGCTGGGGAGGGCGCTGGCCCTCCCCCCCCCCAAAAAAAAAAGATAAAAAAGGGGGGGGGGGAGAAAAAAAGAGGTGCAAAATCATAATTGTTGTTTATTTAATGGGTTGGGGGCAAATGTCCCTGCCCACCCTCGAAAATATGATCAATAGGGAAAATGCTGGAAAATATAGGGATTTTTTGGGGGAAAACATGGGTTTTGCCCCCCCCCCCCCTTCTAGAAAAAAATCCTGGCGACGCCCATGATTTCGAGAATGTCAAAAATACAATTTATTGCTGGTCCTGTCATTAGTGTTCACTGACTCACATTTTGTCCGGCTTCAGATTGACGACGACCCGGTAGACGGCAATCACCGGCGCGATCAGAACGGCAAGAATTTGGATGGCCAGGCAAAAGTTACAGGCAGATGGCAACGCGTCCGTGAACAGGTAGTAGTTTTTCTGACCTTTGGGAGTTTTCAGAGTGCAAAAAAACACAACAAAAAATGGTAAAAAGACCGACAAGTGTACACACTTCAGTGTAGGCCTTAATTTAAAGTTTTTGGCATTTAGTTCACAAATTGCTACATCTCAGAATATCATTTTTTTTCTTCAATCTTTGATTTTTCAGATAGAAACCAAGTTGCTCATCAGCTTCAATAAACGGGATTTGTATAATTATTATTAAGGGAAATGTTACACCAGGGAGACTTCCCCATAATGTGGGGAGTCAGGTTGCTGTATAGCGGTACTTTCCTCGCCTTCCACCGCTGTGACCCGGGTTCGAATTCCGCCTGGACCAATGTGGATTAGGTTTTCAGTTCCTCCCTGATTCCGTGGGTTTTCCTCAGAATACTCTCCTGGGCTTTTCCTCCCACCTCTGAAACTGTAATTTTTTACATTGTGTTCTCTTTACTGGGCCCCAACGGGAGACCAGTGGATGCCACTGAATGGGCTAGCCAATTAAAAGAAGAAATAAAACAATAAATAAATAGACGTGTGCACAAAAAATTCCTTAAGGACCCTTACCTTATTTTTAAATACACCTATACCCCTCACCAATTTTGTAAATGTGGGTTTTACATCTAGAGGAATCGACTTAACCTAATTTTTGCGACGCTATAAAAATAGGACTTGAAACTGTAGGGAGACATTCTAATGACTCCCCTATCTCGCTATTAAAGGTATAACTTTCAAAGATAACGTGTCTCGGAGTCCCTAATCATGCAGGAGCTGAGTACGGGGCTAGACCATAATCGTAAAATGTCAGATAAGCTTGCCACCTCGCGTATATAGCATACACTGCTCACCTTTCAGTGTACATTTGACGTCGGCTGAAAGATAGCACAACGATTTCATCCGGGCCTGGGGGAAAAGGAAAACGATGATTGGACAGAGTTATAAACCTGAACGTATAGTTTTGACAACATTACTATAATTGAAGGTTTGGTTAAAGAACAAGTCACCAAGAAAAACAATATCGATAGCATCATATCTCTTTGTTCCTTGTGCTTTGAATTAGCACATGAGATAAGACATTCTAACATTACAACACTTGTTATTGTCACCCATTTGGTATATATAGCCGTGGCCTGAATACTAGACGGTATATCGGAGCCCCAGGACATGGTTCCAAATGGAGAATTTAGTTATTGCTTATAAAATTACACGAGGCCTGTGGGTGTGTTGGGTTCTTATAGCTTACCCGCGTCACGCCGACCATGGCGGCTACACCAATCCCCGTACCCATCGCGGCCAGTAGAATAAGCATCTCTACAACAATCCTCACAAGAACCAACATGGACGAACGATCTGCCATATCGTGAATCTTTAGGGCTTAACACTGACGAAAATGACGGTGCTACACGTAGTAGGATGGCACAAAATCCAGCCGATACAAAAGCTTCATAACAGTTACACCATGCATAGAATACACGACGTGTTACGCCTCAGCTCATTTCATATGTGGAGCCGAAATGAGTCACGTATACGTGTTTATGTACTATATACCATCCCGCATTCATAATTTTATATCCAGTTATACATTAACCCCATGAACACTGGTATGCAACGGTACCTGCCATTCGTAGACATTTTGACCCCATGACGTCAACATACTCGACACTATTGGTACTTAAGTACTCTGCAGGGGAGTTTTAACAGGAGGTTATAGTAACCAGTTTCATTTTGCAGTTAGTCTGGATGTCAAAGTCCACTTTGGAGATGGACAGTGAATTACGGTCCGCACGAAATGTGTTGGCACTTTCTTGTCATTTGGACCGTGAAGATCAATATTCCGACGGGTGCCAAGCTTGGCACCCTTGAGCAAAACACGTGCTTTATTTCTGCTGCCTTTAAACGCTGGCGCGTTTTCCTCCGAAACGCGAAACGCACAGACAATTATGATTCCATGACGCGCACGCACGAAAAAACCGCGCTGTGTAAAAACAAGTAGAAATCCCATGATTGACATGCATGTACACAACAAACGACCAAAAGTAAAAAGAAATAGGCCTAAAACCGTGATACCTAAATTCTACAAGATGTCCAACTCCAGGCTAACCAAGGTTTAATTTGATGGAAACATCAGGTTATTTCTTTGAGCTTTAATATGGCGCTGGTCCGCAACATACTTCGGCTTGCCTAACGGGTGTAATTAACAGGTAGGGCCCAACAGGTAGGGTGATAAAATAATTAAAGTCAAATCTTTCGAAACGGTTTTAATAATGCCAGCAACTTGTATGTTGCACGGTACAAACCAATAACCTGGATCACAACGGTCATTGTGCATTAATTCACTGAGTGACAATTGTGGGATCAGAATGATATAATCCCATGGAGCGATATTATTATCTTTATTTTATAGTGCAATGATGTACGTGTAATCATCAAGTACATAGGCTAGACTCTCTGGTCCGGATCTGAGCCGCCATACCGGATAATACGCAGTGAAGATATATGTTGCGCATGCATTTTGCAACAGTTTAACGTTGCACTAAATTCCCATTCGTCACTCGAACCACCCCAATATGCAACGCAGCGTATTGTATACCGTTGTCACATGAAAATCCGACTCCTATGAAAAATCTGACCCCTTTTCCCTTATTATTGGTTAATCCCTCGCACGTGACAGGTCACTCTCCCGAAACGATCCTAAAAATAGCATAGTATCGTACTCACGCGTGCGCAGTACTACCAATGAGTCCACATTTCATGGAGTCGGATATTCACGCTACACCGTCACTTCCGATTTGTTCGTAATGCTTCGGTCATTGCGTAGTCTAATTAGGACATCCGTTCCGATATGAGAACGAAAACACACTTTCATGTTTTGGGACTTAATAGCTAAACATTTCGACGATACAAACAGGGAAAGTCACTTGATGTGTTTGGAATCATCTAAACATAGTTCGCTATAGTGTTGAATATCAGCCAGCCTAATTTCGTGGAAAGAGGGCAGGGTTTTGATTTATGAACGGAACTTGTAAAACACCATAATGTCCTCAACTACACGATTACCCATGTTTCATTTCATCAGTGTCAATGTGACTAACTATCATGACAAGGAGCAGTACGCCTTATATCCATTCAGCTTTTTTCAGGTGTACTGATCCGAGTTAATTTTTGATTGGAAAACAAGTTTGTTAAAAACATGTTTAATGTAAATCCAACAAGCATCTTTTACGAAGAGAAGGCCTATAATGTAGGGATCTGTAATGCAACTTAAGTTAAGGGGAACATCATTCGGATTTTCATAAGCTAGTTTGTTGTAACATCTTAAAAGAACCTGAAAAAGTCCCCCTCCGGTAAAAATGTGCCAAATGCATTATTTTTGGCCTTTCTTATTTTAGCAGATACGGTGGGTTGTCAGCTGGGGTTCGTCCCGGCAGCATACATGTCCCTATTTTCATCCAGCACCCTCGGTCTCCCCATTAAATTGGATCGAGAATCATTGCAAAGCGCCCTCAGTCACCACGACCATGACACGGGTCGCCGGTCATCTTACCTACGGAGTCCCGGAGACGACACCGCGGGCGAGTTCCACGTCAACCTACTGCTGTGGGAGCTGGAAAGCCAGATGAAGAAATACCAGGAGATCAAACGTCAAAAGCTGGTGCACAGCCAGCGTCAGTGCGAAACCAACGGACCGCAGGCGGGCACCAGCGTCAGCTACGAGTGGCTTCGGCGCGACGCCCCCAAGAGTCGAGAGTTGGACATCTCGAGGGACACGAGGCGGGTAATTCAAAAGCTGTGCAGGGAAACGAGGCCCAGCGACCTGGACCGGTTGCGATCCACCTTCGCAAGCGTCTTGGCGGCACGGGAGCCCCCACCTGAAGACGTCCCGATGATATTCGCGGAAGTCCTGAAATCTTTCTCGAGCGTCAATCAGCAACCCAAGAGAAAGGTGGGCAAATTGAGAGCGGCGTTAAATCTTCTTGGCACGCTGAGGCGCTTGATGAAGCCAAACAGGGTCGAGCCTACAAATGACACCGAGAAGCCATTGTCCCCACGGGTCCTTGAAGGCACTTCACCGTGCAGAGAGCACTTGTTTTTAGCGAGAAGAGAGCACTTGCATTGCCTCATCAACTTGGAAGATGAAGTCCAACCGTCCGACTTTGCGTTGTCTCTCTGTGAACGTCAAACGGATCACAATTCGAACAAAGAAACTGGAGATGATGATCTGGAAATGCAGCTGCGCGTGGGAAGGATGGCTTGGCAAAGTTCCAAGGAGGACGTCCCGTGTGACACAGCACGCAAACCAGACTACGAGGCCAACAAGCCATTGCAGGATATGGAGGTGATCGATCTGGTTTCGAACTCGTCGTCTGAGGAAGCTCTTCTCGCTAAAAGTGGTCCGACTTCGCCCATCCGCGTCTGAACAATATTTTGAGTAAAGGGCAATGGGTCTTTCGCTCCCCCCTCACACCCCTCCCCATTTCATAGACATACATTTCGAGTGACAGTGAAGCAGTGATAGTGAACTGCACGTTTCGAATAAGTCTGCATCTGTTGCACGTCTTGTAGTTTGTGATGCAACATTTTATTGCCTTTTTTGCACAAAAGCAGTGACAGTGAACTGCACGTTTTGAGTAAGTCTGCATCTATTGCATGTCTTGTAGTTTGTGATACAACATTTTTATTGCCTTTTTTGCACAAAATCATGGAAACTCATTGCATGTACATGCATGAAATTTTATTTATGCATTTTGCTTATATTGTCAGTCTTTTTAAGCAATGATTTGGACTCTTCAGTATAAAAAAAGTATCGTTGCCGATCTTTGAAATTTGTAATCCCACAAAGAAAGGACGTTTTGGCTATTGTCTTTTTAAGACACACTGACAACAAATCATTCAATGTACATGTGTTATCCATTCCATTTCGCCTGATGTTACAGACTAATAGTGAATACAATCTGCTTTTTACTATAGGCTGTGTAAAAAATGGTTAAAAGGCTGTTCATCAAGAATATTTACATTTATAATGTTGAAAGAAAAACGGAGACAAAAACCGTGTGGATAGCATGAGGTACACCTCAGTGCCCATACTACAATCATGTACATGTATATACAAATCAATTACATTATACAATTATGGCAAGTCCTCGATGCTTTAAAGACATTACTGTTTTCAAGTTTTATAACTCGTTGCGTAATTAAAGCACTTCTGAACATGATTATTGAAACGCGGAGATTTCACTGTAGCGATTTCCAGTTTTTAAAACGACCTTATAACTATAAATTAGACTGATTTCGGGTGGTTTAAATGATGTGTCCAGAGCAGTCTACATTTTGTCGGTAGCTGCATGAAGAGCGGCTCGCTTAGTCTGTCTTTTCATGTCCTTGATGTCTTGTGCTTTCTTGGCATTGTCGACAAAGTTCTGGAAAAAGGAAGAAAAATACCTCGACAGTTCAGTACAAATCTACTTTGTGTGGTGGTCTGCGACGGTAAGATTGCGATTACCAAATGTGTCAAAATATTTCGCATGAAGAGCCTAGAAAAGGCTTTATCAACCAAAAAGAGTATTTAAACCGTATTCACATATACCTAGGACAGTTTACCAATTCCTATTGGTCGATAGTCTGTCACGTGACGGATGATAAAGACTGGCTGGCTGGTCTTTAACACGTTTCAAGTGTCAATTTGGATTCCTGTGTAATCCAGTACCGACAAGATTTTTGACCGTAAAGGTATTTATGAATGGGAAAAAATATGTGCTTGGCCGGTATTAAACACTATGTTTAAGACCAGTTGGAGAATTCGGCTAGGGTAATTATCAGCATCCAGACTCCAGCCGGTCTTTAAACAGAGTGTTTAATACTGACCAAGCACATATTTATTCCCTTTAGTAAATGTTATCCTAATATTTACCATGAGATCCTTGCTCATGTAATATGGCTTCGTGATGCCGTCATTCCTTTCACAGTCTTCACAGAAACACAGGAAAAGCGTATCAATCGCCATCTAAAATCAGATGTAAATTTCAATAAAATGGTCAAATTAGCACAAACATTTCGCTTTAATGCATTCCTAAACCATTTCTACATACAAAGTTATTTTAAAAAAATAGTTTTTAAACTGAAATAAAATGCAATAAAACTTACTTACAGTATAAAGAAAAAGCAGATGACGAGCTTTGTTTTATTCTCGATTCTAGGACTAAATGCGCTATATTATTTTTTACGTTGGATTTCGTAAAATGCATATTTGTGAATACATATCATTTCAAATACAGATATAAATGTACAGTTCCTTGCAACGTAAATGTGGCTTCCCGAATAAATGTGAACATCTTTTCTGCTTATTTCATGATAGGTTCATAAGGAGATAATATACAACATTTGCTTTTGCTGTAATTTTCAGAAAAGAATGGATTCGGGGGTAAGTATTTTGTGTAACAAAGTATTACACTGATCTGTTGAAAGTTTTGTGTCGTTAGATGCTGGAAAACCAAGAAACAAAATGCCGTTTTTTTAGTCTGGTTCCCCGACCCTGCTTCAGACAAGACGGAAGAAATTATACATCAGGGAATTGTAAGGTCACTGGGAACCAGACTAGCTGGCTTGCACCCGTTCACGGATGTGTAACCGACTGCCTATGCCGACTGCAAACAAAATGTGGACTGTGACTAAATTTGGTAAATTGGGGGCAGTATTTAAAAAAACAAATTGGCCGACCATTTTTGGAAATTGATACCAAAACTTCTCTTTTCTTGAAAATGACAGCACACCAGGTGCCATGATTTTCACAGGATGCTTGAGACTATCATTCACATCCAGTCAAGTAAGGTATTTCATAAAAATTGTGTGGTTTTGTATTTTGATGTTCGCAAATGTTGTATATTACCTAGAAATCGATTGAAAAAACCACCAAAAATGGACCGCACAGTTTGGTACTGTTTTAATGTGACGAAAATTATTTGAGTCTGTACCTCGTACACCGACAGGAAGATATGACTGAGAAGAAAGGCGAAGATGGCGGCCAATGTGATGGGTACAAATTCGTAGTGTATATCGGGCTTGTCCTGAAATACAACCAAACATGTGACATCAAACTGAAGTTAGTTAGATTGGGGAGGAAAGAAGAAGACATCTTCTAGCTGTTTCAGTAGAGAATCATTTGGTGTAACCAAAAAGGTAATTAAGCATGTTTTACAAGGAAATTGGCTTTTGCGCTTTGGTCAAACCCGTCACTGAGAACTCTGTGCTTACAGAGAAAGTGCAGGGCCCAGTTTAATAGCGCTACTTGACAGCCAATTTTGTGATATAGCCTCCGTCTATTTCATAGAGATGGTATAAGCAGTTAGCATAGCAAAAGCATGCTTAACCCAAGATAAAAAAAAATTGCTTAAATCAGTGACGTAATATAGAAATCTCCATGCGTGCGCAACAGTGTTGTAGGTCTCGAGACCGGTCTCGGTCTCGAGACCACTTTTTGCTGGTCTCGGTCTCGGTCTCGGAAGCTGTGGTCTCGGTCTTGGTCTCGGTCTCGGTCCCCTTTGGTCTCGATATTTTGGCTGGTCTCGGGTCGAGACCGGCAATATGTAGCTTTTACAGCTCGATCGATTACTTTGTGTTCACTTCGTTCAGTACCGTTGTTAGTTAAAACATTTGCTAGCCCGTAGATCAAGCTTGTTATATATCGTGGTCGGTTTGCCGGACTCGACTGCACGTTGGAAAGTCCCCAAAGTACATGTAAAGCTGCAGCAGTACCAGTCACTGAACGATTTGGAGCAAGTTCGGCATTTATCTGTTGAGTCAGGCACATAAAGCAAAGTATGAACTTGTAACAATTTATGCAATAAGGGTCAACCATTTTCGGGGATTGTGTAGTTTAGCCCACCCCTGTGGGCGTAATCACTTGCATTTTGTATTCTAATAATAAATGAGGTGCTTCAAATTAGTTTTATTTTCGACCCCACACAATGTTCTCTTTAATTTGGGACAGTATTTTGAAGAAAAAGTAAATTTTTCTACCTGATTTTCCAGCATTGAACTCACACACTCTTACCAGTTACCACTCACTGTTGCCATGAGAGTGTATGATGAGACCCCATTTTCTGGCTGCTCCTTTTGAAGTACCCCATTATTCCTCAAAAATTAAAATCCCGTTCAAAAAAAAAAAAATCCATATCTGGCACATTCTGGCTACCACCTCGCAACTTGTGGGTCTACATGTACAAGTCAACATGCTATGACAGAAATTTAAAAATTAATTCAACATTTTCCAGGTCCCATTTTTTAAAATCAAGTACACAAGTCTTATTAGAAGTTAAGTCCTATATTTATTTTAGGAAAAAAGAAAAAGAAAAAAAGGCACAATGTAAAATTAAAATTGCATCTTTAAATATCCGTTAGAAGTCATAGCTGAAACCAAGGGGTGACTGTGGAGTTTAGGATCCGAGTTCCTATAACAGATGAAACATCTACCTTTAACTTTTTACTTTTGTCACGATTGGGTGCAGACAACATGTCAAAGCCCATATTTCTTAAGTGTAACTACTTTTTGCTTAAGTAAGGTGTCATGTATCAATTTGTCAACACTGCCACTGGTCAACATTTTGGTCTGTATTCTTTGTGAATAGAAGGGTTACATTTTTCAACTATAATAACGTGTCTTGTTTTTTTATTTCGACTATTGTTATTTATTATCAGCGGTCTCGGTCTCGGTCTCGGTCTCGGACCATATTGGTCTCGGTCTCGGTCCGCCTTGAAGGGGCTGGTCTCAGTCTCGGTCTCGGTCTCGAATCTTCAGGTCTCGGTCTTGGTCTCGGTCTCGGACTATCCGGTCTCGACTACAACACTGGTGCGCAACCGTTGGCACGTCCACACCATGAAAAAGTGCTCAAGCAGCAGCATAATATTCTGCTCTAGCAAGTACAACATTTCTGCTAACTGTTAAGCAGCGCTATGAAATTGGACCTTGCAAATTATTTCTCTGCTCATGCCGCTACAAGCATAAGAATGTAATGTGACATTGAAGCACAACATTCCGTGGCTAAGCAGGACCGTGAAATTTGGCACTGGAGCCGTTTGCTTGCTTAGCAAAAAAGATATATGAAAACCAGCCACGAGCAGTATATATCCCAAAGCATTTTGACTGGTAGCCTGCTTTTTTTTTTAAAGCTTCAAGAAAATGGCCCCTGGGCGTTCGGGTAAGAAATTGATTATGGCAGCGAAAAAAGTCATCATTTGATAAAAGAGTTCATCGTTTTCAACCGACCTTTAGAAGCTGCATGCCCACGACCACCACCGCAGCCACCACCACCGCCTTGCCGAGTAAAAGCACGAAGTCCCCCACGGAGTTGATGGCAGCGACCCGCAGGGCGTTGGAAACGATGAGAGTGAAGGCCTTCCGTGCGGCCTTGCAAAAACTGTAGCCGTATATAGCTGGGTAGTATAGGAGTGAAGATTAATTGAATTTGAAATTGGCAAGTGAAGTTTAAAGTGGAAGATTCGTCTGCATAATCGTAGTCAAGAAGACGGTCATTACAAGTCAGGTACAAGTCGTACAGTCTAAAGTCAAGCTATTCAAATGCATTGTGACAAAGATACTTTGTCGTCATTGTTCTTTCCTTGTTATACATGTGACCAGACTTGTGACTTGACTTATGATTGACTCGTGACGTGCAAATGTGACAACGTGACTACACCATACTGCCTTTGCGATATACATAATCATTTTTATATTACCAAACGGTGTTGTTAAACGTTCGTTGGTTAGCATTTTTTAACAACAAAATCGAGGGATCCCAACTAACCAAACTTTGAAATGGACTCGGCATTTTGAATACGGAGTATAACATAAATAAGGCATAATTGTTGAGCTCTTTCAAGAAAAAGACAACTTGACAATTGTGATTTGTAAAGACAGCTATGGTTTTGACTGTACCGATTTCAATGTAGGCATTTCTGTTGATGAAGCGGAGGACTTTCTCGAACAGCCAGAGACAACACTGAAGGCACTTCAAGATGTAAGCCACGATGTCGCTCTGTGAATGTTTGAGCCTGCGAACCAAGATAACATAAAACAATTTTTAAGGATTAATCGCCTGTGATAAAGCGGTCCAACAATTAATGCAGAAAACTTCGGGTGGAAAGCATTATGAGACATATTTCAAGCAAAATATTCCCCAACAATTTTATTTTGCAAGACACACGTGCGGATACAGTCAAGCGAGTTGTCGGGTTAAACCCATGCCAATTCAATGTCATGCTGCCACAACACTTTTTTTTATCAAAGAACTGTCGATTCCTAACAATCCGTACAAACCTGTTTTGGATATAGCCGAGTATGATGCGAGCCAGCATAACCAGTGCAATGATGAAGGAACCAAAGGCTAGAGATCCCAGATGATATCTGCAAGAATGCAAGAGGTATTATAAGTTATTATGATTGAATAGTACACGTATACATTAATGCTGTTAATGCGATGTCGAAACACAGTCTGTTCTATCTAACTCCTGAAATTTATAAAGAAACGATGAGATTTTGTTGGTATAAAGGCATACATTTTAATAATCATCATTTTGTTAATCTCCAAGGAGCACACAATCTCATAAACGAATGTTCTGATGATCCGAAGTCAACTATTCCCGATGTAACAAATAGCAAACGTGAATGACACAAAACTATTCTTTCCCATACAAGTTGTTTTGTGATATTTTAAGAGAGCGCTGTTTAACCATGCATTAATGGTTAAACTGGAACCTTTTCCCCAAACCTCGATTTCGTTACAGAACTGGTTCATTTCTGACTACATCTCTTTTCAAAGTTTTTTTTTATATTCCAACGATATAAAAAATTCCAAGCTTTGGCCTCACAAATGCAATGTGTTTGTGGCAGAAAACAGAGCAAAAAGTGTTTCCCCATGTCAGGGTCTGAAAGCCTGAAGCTGCTGAAGCCTGTAGCCGAAGCTGGGGACAATTAAGCCAGCGTTTCAAAAAGCCATTAATATCACTGCACCTGATAATGCGCTGGATTGATTTCAGGATTGGCCAGTTGAGACGACTCTTGTCCCGCGCAAAGAACCAGGCTGCAACAGCGCCCGCTATGGCGCACTGCTGGCAGGCAACTAGGAACTGGGAGCCCCACAGCAGGCCGAAGAGATGGTACCACCACATATACTGAAAAAGAGGGAATTCAATTCAATGGACAAAATCTTTATGGTAATCTCTCCTGCCTATGGTGGCCCATTGGGGACACAACAGTATTCACATAAGGCTAGTAACAACTTATGCCAGAGCGAAAATAGTCCACAAATAGCCCAGAAATTGCGATGCCATAAAATCAATGTGCGGCTTAAAACAATCGCATCGTAGGAGAAAAATCACAGCTCTGATGTACTAACTCGGCCAAAACAGGATGACAAAACACAAAACAGAATGACAAGGACAAGACCAAAACACCACAAACAGATATACATGTACTATGGGACTGACAACACACTGAATGGATTCCGATAACATAAGGGAAAAGTTAAACTGAAAATAAAAAATTATCAAAGAGTGAAAGAAAGACAAAAAATAAGAGTAAAGAAGAGAAACTCAAAGGAACTATGTCACAAAATGAGAGATAAGAGCTTGTTTATAAGATCGCTTGAAACGATCTTATGTAAATTGCCAACCTGATCTCATCAGCTCATTCAACTAAGTGAACAAACAAAACAACAGCCAGATGAACTCTGAATCTTTTGGTTTTGTGCATGTGTGCCTAGGCCTATACTTACTGGTCCTAATTCGTTGGATTTGTAGGTAACAAAGCCGGTCTCGTTGTCAAGTTCGGGCTTGCCAGCAGTCACCAGGTACAGATACACGAAGCCCCAGTAAGCACATAGAACTGCCATGGCAAGAATCGTCTACAGAGCAAAACAAGAGGTAACCTTATTTTGCCATAAGGACCAACGTAATGTTCGAGCTTGAGGATAATGAGCCTTGTTCGATGAAGAGCTTCAATTGGTACTGCAGTGGAGTTATAAGTTTTATTAAAACTTGTGCGAAGTTAGTATCACATAGGTGTTTTAATGTACAGGCATTAATTGCAGTCACTGTGTGGACTTGTGAACAAAAGATGTCCACGCACAGTGCAGGATAGCAAAGCGATGTGTGGACTTGTACAGGTCCACACAAGGTTTCCACCTCTCTGAAAAACAGTTTAAGAGGTTTTTTGGGTTAGGGATATCAATCGCAAAATAAAGAGGGGCACTCAAGGAAATCATGATCAAAAAAGAGAGTGTTCTCAGCGCGATTAAAATGAGTTTCTCCTCCGGTTTTTCTTAACTACTCGAAAACAAAGGAATGTCCACACTAGTATGTAACGTAAACGGGTGTCTGCTGGTTCCAAACGTAAAGAGATTATTTCTGTTTTGGATAGACGTCATACCTCGGAAAGAGATAACGCAAAACAACCTTTTTAATTTCCAACAAGTATTTTACCCAGACAGGTTGAAGAAGCAGGAACGGAATATCTGCGACAGCCTTGCCGGCCTCCTTGAACAGCGCCACCACAAGGGCGATGCGTTTGCGCATGACGAGTAGCACCAAATGCAGAATGACCTGAAAAAATTGTGTAGAAGAGTGAAGTATTGTAACTGAAATAAATAAGATTACCAAACGGTGTTACATTTGCCACCACGGCAATATGTGAAGTGCACTGTTAATAGCATAGCTCACAATTACAAGAGTTCAAAAAAACTGTAATGGTGATTGTTGTCAAATAATTTGTTGATTTGGTGTTAAATAATTTATTATTTTGTTAAATCCATTGCAATTCAGTTTTTAACTGCGATAATGGATGAAATAAACCAATATGAATGAATGAATGAATGAATGAAACGAACAAAAAGAATTATTTTGTGACGGAAGCTAAATATTGACGACAGCAAACAGGTATAAAACCCCGCCTCGAAATATCTTGAGCAAAGCAATGTGACTCACCGTAACACCACTAGCGATTCCAGCGTAGGCCAGCATGGTCTTAACTGTGTGCTCTTGATTATCTTTCGGAGCTGAACAAAATAAAATAAAGTAAAGAGAGGTTGACACTCGATCTTCGGATCCAGTTTAATACCACAGGATCATTAGAATGGCAATATTAAAAGCTTGTTTATCAATATGATCATTTTCCTCGGTTGCACACCGTTATTCTAGCACATCCAAACTTGAACACCCAAAGGAACTCACCATTAGCTGGCAAAGCGTCTAGGATCGATTTTTCCTGCCACCAACGATACCACAGGTATCCGGTCCCACCCGAGCTCCCGATCATAAACACAAACACCATGGTCCAGATAAGGACACCAGCGAAGAACCGGAGCAAAATCAATACGACTATGGCTAGACCTGAACAGAGACAAGAAACGTTCGCGTCAAGACTTTTTTTCTCAAGAAAAGAAAAATCACGACCAAAAGCTTAAACCTCTGCTCGAAACACAGAAACAACTTAAAACAAGTATTGTTTTGATATACAGGAAAGGAAAAAGTAAATAGAAAAAAGCAGAGATAAGTCTTACCGAATGAAATCAAACAAAGGTAGAGAATCTCGCGCCAGGAATTTTCGACATCTGCCACGGCTCTCTGAAGGTACGAAGACAAGAGTGTATTTTAGGCAAAGAACAACTGTTGTTGTAATTTCTGTCTCTTTATAAAGGCGTCGCTGTGTTTCTTCCCCCTGTGCAAGCCACTTATTTGCATCATACGTCTTATAACATAGTTATTATACTAGGTGTATGTATCTACAATTTGGATTGTTTTATTCTTCAAAAAGACACGGAATGTCATGTGAAGTAATGCATCGAAATGGCTGAAATTTCGATAGCAGAATCTATCTTGGATAATGATGACTAGTTACCATGTGGCCAAACTAATCTTAGTTATCAAACTAAGTCATGCTAATTACTACATCTAGTTACAGAAATCACTAGCAACGTTTACCTTTAACCAGTCGCTGTCAAGCAAGGAAGACGCGATGCCAATGGCGGACGATGGAATGCAACGGTTGAAGATGGCAGTGCTATTCGAGGAGAATAAAAAATGGAAATTTTTTTAAGGGAAAATGCAAATATTTGATTAAACGGTCACTTTATGTACGAAACGGCCTAATATTTAGGTTTTGTGGATGAGAAAAGGAATCGTCTCCCAATCTGTACACAAGTTGATATGATTGGTGAATTTTTTAAAAGTCAAAAACGTTAGCACGGGATTGTGATTTTTGGTAAAATTTCTAATTTTATTTTCTGAATTGAGAAAGAAAGAAACGGTTCCATTTGAGTAATTCAGGCGAATCGAACTGAAGTCAAGTTGGCTTGTTGCCAATTTCCTCGCAGTCGACTTCTGCAACCCAGGGCAAGTTCGAGCGCCAACAAATGGTTGGTTAGTGTCAAACAGTGCGCATGCGCTGTAACATTAAAGTGCGAACGACTCTAGTCGAATCATTGTCAACATTATGGCGGTCACGAGTATGTTTGGATTGTTTACGTTCTTTGACCTGTTGAATGAACCAGAAGATACCTCCGAGGTCCATCAGTACGTGGCACAACTCGCTACCTTAAATTTCTTGTCAATGGTTCCCTTTGCACTTAAGTATTGGAACGAAACGAGGCTATTGATAGCCAGCGATGCGACCAAGCCCAATAGGCTGGTTCCAAATAAAAGTAGTTGACTAGTGTAGTCCAACCATCGTCGACTAGACAGAGTTCAGGCTAACTTAGTCGAACTATGGTTAACAATAGTTCTTGCGCGAACTCGCCCCTGGTTTCGTATCCAACAGAGAGGTCGATATCATTGTCTCTGAGGTGCCTGTGTAGTTTAAAGACATCCTTGTTTTGTTACCAGAAAGAATTTGGAGAAATAAGAATAACATTGACAAAGAAAAGGTATCTCCTAGCATAATGATGACCTGATGCAATCTGAACAAGATTCGAGCTCACGCCACAGCAGGCAGCCTTGTCAGACTAACCGGAAATCAACTTATGAAAGATTTCAACAGGATTCGAACCCAGACTCACCTGGCATCCAAAGGTGTACCAGGGCAAGCGGCGAGGTGACCTTGCTGGGCCGCGGCGTAGTCACTGGGCTCGAGGTTGTAGTCGCACAGGAAGATGGAGCGATTCTCGGCCAGCTCCGTGATGTCATTTTTGATCAGGAGGGCAACATCCGGGCACTCGGAGACACACAGCATCTTGGTGGGTGTCGCTGGGTTTATAATTGACTCCGGGTTAAAGGTGAACACGTACCTGAATGGAATAAAGAAACAGATTATTTCGCATGAACGTACATGATCACACTTCGGACAGTTTTGACAAGATTGATGTGAGACCTTTTCCTTTTCCGAGGTAAATGACTACAATTTGACTTCACGAGTAAGATTTCGTATGTCCTTCCATCTCTTTGTGTTGTGTTTTGGGGATGAGATAGCTTACTCGATGTTTTTAACAGTATACCAAGTTTATCTTCAAAGTAAAGGTATACAGATAAAGGTTTACAGTGCTACCGCAAAACATGTATTCATTCCGCACATGCACAATGCAAATTGTTTCCTGTTACAATTTTGTTTATGACTTTAGATATCAAAACTGTACGTACTATTAAAGTTATCTTACAAAAAGAGACAGACATGGGCGTCGGACGACTTTGGACTACTTTTGTTGGGTTGCACCACTCCAAAAATTACATCCTCAACAACAGATTAAGACAAAATTTAAGTGAGAGTAGGTATTACTGCAAGGAAGAGGGGATACTTACGGTCTATCGATCAGGTTTTGCCCGGACAGGTTGACCCCCGGGATTAGCCCGTTGTTCTTGCCACAGACGTTGCCGTAGCTATCGGCGCCAAAGATGATTCGCTCAGGCTGGCCGTCCATGATAGACACCACGGCAATGTATCCCTGGAATGAGAGAAGAGATTTCTGGAAATAAATATCTTGACATAGCTATTTGCCAAACCTTTTTCAAAGTTTGTTATCAGTGGCCTTCAAAATTGTAGAGAGTCAATACCTTATCGTCATGTTTAACCTTATAATGTCATCGGTTTTGCATGGGCATTTCGCCACACTCTCTAAATTCCAAAGAGTGAAAATTCACTCCATTCGAGTGAAGATTCACTCCCACAGTCGGAAACTAGGGACTAGACGTTTTAGAGTGAAATTTCTTCAATCGTAAAGATCGAGTTTTCACTCGAGCTTCGACTGAAGTGGTTCTTTTTTTCAGACTATTTCAATCGAAAATGAGAGTGATTTTCACTCTAAAACGTCTAGTCCCTAATTTCACTCTTTCGAATTTAGAGATCAAGTTTCTCATCTGTTTTGGGATGTTTGAAAAGTTATTAAATGTCACTTATATTTATTGAGTATTAGGCGGGTGTTTTTCTTACCATTCCAACCCAAAAGGCCAAGAAGAGAAACAGGCAGATGACGTCACGGCAGCTGCGGTCGTCAAGGGGACCGTCAAAACCATCATCAACTTGCTCCACTCCGTCACCCTGCCAGACGAGAAAGAATCAATACATGGCACCTCATTCAGGAGACGGCCATAATAGATCGTGCTCCCTGAATCCACGGTACATTTGTTTACAATCCAGAAATAAAAGGCTTCTAGCTATTTTGTAATGATCGCAAAAATCGAACATTATCTTGCTTGTGGGGAAAAAAACACCCCACTACCCAAAAAATCGAGACGATTCTTCAGTAATTTATTATTATTATTTTTATCAGAGCTCTTAATGGTTGAGGTGTAATTTGCTTTTATTGTATATAGTTTTCATCACCCACCATCTTAGGTTAAAGAACAAAGGTCTCCTCGCCTCGTTTTCGATTCAATATGCCGGACACTGTTTAATTTCATCTTTAATGTCCTCTTTGAAAGTTCAATGAGAGGATTTGGAGTTTAGTTCGAAAAAACATGTTAAGACTATTATGCGTTCACTACATACGTATTCAAAAATGTTCGCCTGACGAACATCTCTTAATCAGTGCTATTTACATTGTTTTAATTGTCATGATGGAGGCTCAATTCCTCTACATTTCATCATCTTAAGTACATTTCGTAGTCACATTTTACCAATTTACACCAAGGAGCATGCTTTGCCTTTTTCAAGCACAATACATCAAAAAATAAGCAGAAAACATGTGGAGACAAAGTGTTTCATATACCCCGATAGTGGTTTCTTTATTTGCACCCGTTCCCGCCTCGTTTGCGACCAGATCTCCACCAATCGGAGCTGTCACGGTGTACTTCACACTCATTACTTTTCCCCGGCCTTTAATGTCACATGGGTTGTTTTTGGCGTCGCCCCCACAAGCAACCAACATCGCATCGCCGAGTCGACAGGTTTTGTGGCGCGTTCTATGCGTGTGTTGGTATCCGTTTCCATGCGCGTTTTATTAGCACGCGTATGATTGAATCGCGCGCGTGCGGACGACAAAAGAACAATGGATGTTTGTGAAGAAACAATGACATGCAAATATTTCTGTTACGTCACAGTATCACTTTTAGACTGGTACCACTGTCTTTTTTTCTTTCAAGTTGAAAGTAAGCAGTGATGTTCTTCGAAACGTTTTGAAAATATCAAATTTTTTTATTTTAAAGGAAAAGAGCTTATCAGTGTACAACGTTGTGAAACTTTAAATCAGAAAGGTTTTCAACTTTAAAGAAGTAGTAAAGGCAGCATTAAAAATTATTAATGAATCGTATGAGCACAGTAGCAATTTTTTCTGTTGTTGATTTTATCCCTATATGCTGTTTTCAGCTTAAATTTCACATTACAGTTACTTCCTCAGTAAAAAAAACAAAAACAAGCTCGATCGGGAATATCTCGGAAGTTGCGGGCCAATTAATTCGTGTATATCCATGAGTTACATGATAATGCCAAGTAATTTCAGGCAGGAGTAGTGTTTTGAGTTAAAGAAAACAACAGGTTTTGACCCCAGTGACCAGATGATGGCCTTTGACCCCAGTTTGTCATGTGACATGTTGGGGCTGGGCTACTGATACTGATACAAAGTTTGGTTGAAATCGGTCAAAATGTGTAGGAGCAATAGACAATGTCAACGTTTGTTACTAGCTATATAACGGACTAACGGAGAGATATGATGACTTGTTTGGCTGCTATCCTGCAGCTAAAAAGAGAAATCTGCTGATTAGCCTATGGCTTTTAAATATAGCGTTCTTTGTAATACTTTGAATTTTGTGTGTTGCCTTGAGGGCCAAGGTTTTTCAGCCACTGTATCGCAAAAAGAAGAAATGTTGGTTTTATAGCCTCGACAAAAAGTACATAAACCGCTCAGCTAGATTGCCGTGTGCTTAATGACCCGCGCTTCATTACACGCATTTCATACTAATGGGAATCTACAGCAAATACAATGACAAATGGGAGGCAATTAGTCAACTCAAAAGATGTCCACTGCTTTCGAAGGCAATAAAATCGCTTAATTTATGAAATAGGTGACGTTGAGCTTGTGGTTAGACTTGACACAAGTCCATTCAAGGATCCGGTCCACGCATCTTGGCAGTCGAGTTCAGATCATTTTCAATACTCAAGGATTAAATCCTCATACTTCAAAATCTGTACAAAATCATTCAACATGACCAGGACTACTTCATTCTTTCCATAGTGATAATTAAAACCTATCGTTTGCATGCAGAGCAATCGCAGTTGATAAAGCTTTCTTAAATATCACCAAAATGTTGTCGAGTGCACACAACTCCTAATGATAAGAAAATACAGTACAGTAATAGGAAGAGTTATGTACATGTACAGGGAAAGAATAATTCCACTGATAATTCCTGGTACACAAGGAAAAGTGCTTGATTCCTTATTGGAAAGAAACACGGACTATGGAGGGAAAAAAAGATTGGAGGGTGTTAAGATCAAAGGAAGGAAACAACGAAAAAACAAGCAAGGCAAAGATTAACAAGAAAATGCAAGCCTTGTAAACAACACACAAAACTCTTATTCACGAGTCGGCCATATTAAATTGAAAGCGAGGTAAATCTTCATCTTTGAAACTCGCGAAGAAAAATGAAATCAATGACATAAAGTTAATGACAAATAAATACCATTCTTCTTTTATGAATAATTTAACATTTGTGATTGAATATACCCAATATTTTAAGCCACATTAACTAAAAAATGAAAATGAGGCTACAAGGCATAAATAGTCTGGCACCATCCCATTCAACAGTTCACAATTTATACAATATCTTCAGGGAACACGACAAAAATGTCATCCTCGTGAATGAGGTCCATTCAACTGATTTAGAATGGCTATTTACTGGGAGTCGTTCCGTGAATCTGTTGGCATCTTGACCGTATTCAGCCCATTACGGGTGAACCTACACGATTGCACTGCCCGGCACTCTTTATCAGCCTAAACCAGACTACATGAATAAGCCACAAGTGATAGGTGAGTCAGTCAGTCAGTCAGGTACGCACACAGCAAAAACTGTAGTGTTAATTTAACACCGTTTGGAATCCACATAGGACAACACCAGTAAAATTTAACACCAGATGGTCCTATATATATATATAGATACCAATGGTGTAAATTTAACACTGCAATTTTGCAGTGCAGAGAACACTATTCGGTGGCCTTCTGCAATTGGGACCAGCAAATATTTCATTAAAGGGAAGATACAACATTTGCAAACATAAAAAAACCCCGAAATGATCAAATTATCACGAAATACCTTACTGAATTGTTAGGTACTGACATTCTAAAGCATCCTTCAAAATCGTGGCTCCTGGTGTGCTTACATTTTGAAGAAAAAATGTATTTTTCCCAACGCTGGTCGGCCGACCAGCGTTGGAGAAAACTGGCTTATTTCCAACAACTGTTCCTAATTTTTCATATTTAGTTATTCTGACTTTTCTTTGCAATTGATTACATACCTATGAATGGGTACAAGCCTGCTAGACTGATTCTCTGACCTTACAATTCCCGAAAGTGTATTAATTGCTCCGTTTCATCTTAAGTGGGGTCAGGGAACCAGACTACAAGATCATGATAGGTTTTCTTGGTTTGTCCAGCATCTACAAGCCCAAAACGTGAAACAAGTCAGTTTAACAATATTTTCTCTAACATACTAATCCTCCAAATCCATTTGTTTCTGAAAATTCCAGCAAAAGCAAATGCTGTACATTCCCTTTAAAGTAATGTGACTCAGGGGTATATACTGAAGATGATTAATCTTGTTTGTCGGAAAAAAAGTGCATCCGCGTCGGTCAATGTTAATCTTTAAGAAAGAAAATCCACGAGAGTTATCTACTTGTACACCTACCTTTAAAGGTTTAACGCGAGTATCGCAATCGCAACAACCCATGGTGGTTGTTTATGCTTGGGATCTACATGACGTCATACTGCAAAGTGGCTGCCAAACTCTGAATTTAGAAAATGTAAATGAAACATGTCAATTCAAACACATTCAAAATGAGGATGTTGTACCTGCGCCTGTGACTGCTTAGAAAGCTTCTCTTAAACACCGTCAGACTACCGACGGTTACCCTTTTGTATACAGAAAGTACTATGTTGTATATCCTTGCAAGCAAGTTCCTACCTTTAGGCAAAGGAGGCTTTGTAGAATAAGATTTGGGAATGCCTATTACGGTTCTGCTGTAAATGTCAGTAAACAAAATTGATCAACATTTTTAATCACTTTTATTCTATTTCAAGTGCCGTATAACAAGCACCTGTTACCGCCATTTTGAGGAGTCAAGATCGGCCCAAGGTGGTGCTGCGTAAACAAACATCTCTTATTAATGCTGCAAATCTTCGCTCGACGGATCATCTGTAAAATTGTATTCAGGAAAATTAGGACACAGTTTTCCGTATCAATGGAAATATAAAAGTGTGAAATTTAAAGGAAAACCATTTTTTTTTAATTATGGTATAATTATGGCCATCTTTGCGATGATCAGACATTGGGGAATGTCAAAAAGTGTTATGAATACGTGCGAAAATTTCTTAACCAACCCCAAATATACATCTTTGTCTATTTTATACAAAATGATAATAAAGCTACAGTAACTCACATGTTGAAGAGGTATCTGTTATAGAGAAGGCAGCCCGAAAATATCCTTTATTAATACCTTTGAACCATTTCTGCCACTAGTCTTCGCAGAAAATTATGTGTGGAAAATTGAAAAGCGAAAGCGCATCGTGAAGACGGTCGCAATACACAACAGCCGGGTTGTCTCGTCGAAAACCATTTAATAATTCAAGACCTAATTCATTTTTTTTCATGCAAAAACACCCGTAACAAACTAATGAAGCAACCAAGAGTTGCATTGTGCCTCTCACTTTAAAGCACACCATTAGGAATGAATTACTAAAGGGAGAGATATCGATCATCGTGATGCAGCGCGGGTAATTCCATTGTTGTCTGTATAGCTTGTCAGGTGAGCGGAGATCATGGTAACAATAGAATTAACATAACATTAACAACGGCTTGTGAATAAAAAATCCAGTCGATATTAAGCTTCCCGTATACATGTACATGTATATATGTATTATTTTTGTCGAAGTATCTTTTGGTGTGTCTAAAACAAACTTGGATTTTTTTGTTTTTTTTTATTTAAAAAAAAGTTTATTGTAAATATATGCAAAAATGAACTCATTAACAATTACCTCTTGACTCTAAATTCAATGTCTTGTACGTTTGTTTCTGGTATTTTTGTAGGCTTTCTGCAGCTTTTTCTTTGCATTGATTCCTTCTTTAAACGCAATGTTTTCTCAGTCTTTTCTGATTGTTTTTTGATTACTCAGCCCAGATACGTCCGGGACATCCTTAATTTCTGTATCATATTATTATCTTTTTGAAATTTAGATCTACATAGTTATTGTGAAGCACTGGTCAGACTACCCAGGTGGAAAAACAAAATGCCAAAAATACTTTTTACGCCAAACAACTATTTTCCTTACCTCTGATGTGAAGTTATAAATGCTCCTTTTGGGAAAAAAAGTGCGGATGTTTCGGATGTTTGTAACTGTTCACATCTTGTGTATTATCTGTGTATATTATACCAATCTCTGAGAAACAGCGCGTCGTTTTGATCCGTCGCCAAGTGCAGCCGCGCGTCTGCGTATAATACGCGTATAATCTATTGTTCTTGAGTGTGACGAAAGGTACGCATTGTGTCCTATCCGACGCGTCATCATGCCTGGTAGAACGAAAGCTGATAATTCCTGCTGCTAGAGTTTGTCAAGTTAATACATAAGACCAATACGTACTTGGTACTTGGTACTTGGTTGGTTCTTCTCCTAAGGACTTCCACAAGGGAGTATTAACAAGGAGGCCAGAAACACCGGGGCACTCGAAACCCCTTCTCTGAGTGTTACTGGGTTATTTTATGTGCGTTAGTCCTGAAATACAACACACAGCTTAACGTCCCATCCGAAGGACGAAGCAATAATGGTTAAGTGCCTTGCTTAAGGGCACAAGTGTCCGAGCCCGGGCTCGAATCCACGCCACTGTTGCCCCTGAAACAACAGGGCATGAGTCCGGTGTTCTTAACCGGTAGGCCATGACACTCCACGTTGTAAGTGTATTAATACAGCACTTTTCTCTCTATTCTTGCGGTTCTTTCTTCGAAAATGACACCATCACACAGGCCTACCTTGACTGAAGAAGAGCTGGATCTATTCCACGAGTCAGTTTCAACATTACATGCCCATGGCTACACGCACTTATTCGGGGATTTGACTCTAGAATTATAGAGTGATTAAGACACCATCAGTCCATCGAATCCATACGCAGACAGAACTATATCTTCAAGGATTAAAACCCAGTCTGGCTTCTACGTGTACAGTCCGTATTAAACAACAACCACTAGCGACACACAGACATTAAGGCGAACACTGCTGGGGGTATTATAACGCAGAGATCAACAGGTCCTTTCACTGCAGGAGACATTACCAGTCTACCGCGTCACTCGTTACCATGGGTACGGTTGTCATTGGTAGGCCTGGCTCATTGTAATTTTGTTCTGTAGGCCTTCTTAAGGTGACCAACCTCCGTATCCTCTTTGGCAGTGAAACGCCACTAGATGGCGCACTTGCTTCAAATTCTGAGCGAATACGGGCGCTTACAACCACGTCATTTTGCGGCGAACGAATGGGGACGCTATATAACCACTCCATATTTAGGTACAAACTGCCGGACACGATTCTCCGTCAGGTTGTTGAAATAGGTTTACGTATATGTTGCCACATAAAACCAAGCTCGATCGTATATATCTCGAAGCTGCGGGCCAACGAATTCGTGTTCATGTATGAGTCACGTAATTGTGCCATGTAATTTCTGGAAGGTGTGTTTTGAGTAAAAAACAAATCAGGTTTTTGACCCGAGTGACCCCCTGATGACCTTTGACAACCGAACTGGGCTACGGATACTTTTGACAATATTTGGTTGAAATCGGTCACAATATGTAGGAGCAATAGACAATTTCAACGTTTGTTACTAACTAACTAATTAACTAACGGACTAACGGAGAGACACCATGATTTGTTGAGCTGCTATCCCGCAGCTAAAAACGCGATACATTTATGCAATTTCTAATGTTTAGATTACAGTGAAATTGATAAATGGCTTCAATAAACGTTCTTGTTTCGATTATTTTGTTCGCAGAAACAAATGGCGTCGACAGCGCCCCCATCGTTTAAAAAATATGTCCTAGTGGCCACAGATGAATTTCAAATTGAATCCAAGATTCTGCAGTGCTAAGCCATTGCATGAATTAAGGACCTTTCCTTTTTTAAGTCCTCTCAACAAAAGTTCCAAGTTTCATTAATAATTTGAAATTCATCTAGGTCCATTCTAAATCGATTTTTTTCGTTCGTTCCTTCTTTTTTTTGGGGGGGGGGGAATAATCCTTCATTGTCATATTTTGCGTAGTCTACAATTATTAGTCATTCATTTATGATTGTAAGTAGTAACTATACTTTACATGTCACTGAGGTTTTTTGTTTTTGCTTCGCTTGGCGTGGAAAGAGGATGTTTCAATAGATACTAAATCGAAGTCTACCGATTTTAATTTTAAAAAAATACTTTGGTATATAATTCTTTACATTCTTTAGAATACCTTCTTATCTTATAAGGAAACAATTCACAGTAAAGAAAAAAAAGAATTCACGTCAAAATGATTAAAGCATTCATAATTCTAGCGATGTGCAATGTACATGCAGTGCAAAATAGAAATATCACGTGACCACAGCATCAACTGTTGTAAGCAATTGTGACAAAATCTGCAGGTGTTTGCAAATAAAAAGAGCTAGTATAACCTTATATAAAATTCAAGCAATAATACACTACTTGCTTAATTAATAAGATTTCCACTTATGCAGTATATAGTCATTACAAATTTACAATGGATTAGAATGTGCAAGGTGATAATCTAAAGAACTGATTCATTTTATGGACAAGCTCTCATTGAATCTGTTTTAAACTATTTCATTGTAAAACAAACCGCCACAATCTATGAAAAAGTAAACGCGGATAAGGAAGTAGGTATTCTACATCGTCAAGTTGGAGCAAACATATTCCCAATCCCCCAGTTAAATTTTGGGTTCAGGCAGGTTGACTGTCTGTACGGTGCCGGGCATCGCCGGCTGGGTCATCATCACATTGGGTGCATTTTGGGCGGGATGGTAGTAGCCGGCCGGGGCAGGGGGACCGGCGGTTGCACCTCCACGGTACAGCACAACGTGGGCATGTGTGGCTGCGTAGGCTGGGGGTCCTGGTGCGGGTGTTACCACCGTGGTCGGGTATGCGGGCGCTGTCATGTACTGAATCTGCGTAAAATCGCGACAGGGAGAAAAACAAAGTTACTTGCAACTGCACACAATTACAAGCAATACTTTGTTTCGAATTTAAGTGGGAATTTAAAAGAATCAAACTTCTGTAAATATTTAATATTTTGTTCGTTAATAATAACATTCATTATCTGCTGTGTGTATTTCCCAATGAGTTGAACTGTTAAGGAGCAATAAAAAATGTTGACGACACGCTGTTTATTAAAAGGGCTCTTCGAGTGCTGCTTTTCGGCGCGATAAGTTTTGGCTTGAAAAAAAATGCCTTGGATTACGTCTGCCCAAAACTTAGACTGAAAATAAAGAAGAATAAAGTAATCTTGACCTTGATATGTGTTTCGAACACTCAAGGCATTAGTTTACGTTTACATTATTTTTGGAAGAAAGGTTTGTTATCATTGCAGCCTATGGCAAATCACTCAGTGGTCTACAACCATATCGAGGCTAGCTCGTCAAACCGAGCTTCCCAGCCATTTGTTGGTGGGCACTGGCTCAATACAGAGCTGGCACTGAACGCCCTCACAATGGACTCTCGATTCTTTCACCGTGGTCGGGACGCTTACCGTGGGGGTGTTTTGGGAGGGCAGCTCGCCCCTGATCAGGCAGCAGTAGACGGCAGACACTATGGCGATGATCAGCTCCGCCAGGCTGACGACCGTCACTATGCCGTCCATGGCCATCACCAGCGTCCCCTGGTGGAAAAAGCATAACCGGCAGACTTAAACACTACCGATAAGATAACTAATTCAGGGTACCAGGCTTCATGGCAGTCTGCCTACCGTATAGGCGGAGATACCCTGAATAAACTGTTCTGGAAAAGCCGAAAATAAAAAAAAAACTTGTGACTGATCATATTTGCTATTAATTTAATGCATATTTAACAAATGGGCGTCTGCAGGGGTGTCGATGGGGTGGTTGGGCAAATGTCCCCCGCCTTCCCTCGAAAAAATGATAAATTGAGAATGTGCTAGAGAAAGTACAATGATTTGGGGGGAAATGTGCTTAGCCCCCTCCCCTAGCAAAAAATAATGGTGACGGCCATACTTGATCATTATCATTTCGTTGCTTGTGGGTATCCTACGGCCAAATAGTTCAAATAAGTTATTTTGGCCATTTTTAATTATCTTGTTAGTTACTCCTTTAAAAAAATTAACATTGAACCTACGTTGTAATATTGGTCAGTGGCGATGGAGATGCCTGCATATATAATATTTCCACCTGCCATGACTGCGGCTAGAATAGACATCACCATCCATCCTACGGCCTGAGAAAAGAATGGAGGCAACATGAAAAAAATACAACGCAACAGGAAAATGACTATGTACCCAACCCAATTTGCCCGCAATCGGGACCCCCGATTGTCCCTCTTTTGTTTGTACTTTTTAGGAAGACCTCCCATATGTTTTGTACACGAATCCAAAATTGGGCACCTCGGGAATGGGAACCATATTGTCCTATATTGTTCGACGTCCCCTATTGAATGCAGAAACAAACTCAACCCAACCCAACACGACCCGACCCGACTCGACTCGACCGAACCGACCTCAGCCCAACCTAACCCAACCCGACTCAACCCACCCCAACCCAACCCACCCCAACCCAACGCAACCCAACCAAACTTCTTTAGGAAGACCTCCTATACGCTTTGTACACGATCGTCAATCATGGACCTTCGGGACCCAACCCAACTTAACCCAAATCAACCCAACCCTACCCAACCCAACCCAACTTGAAACTCAACAAACTGAATCCAAGTCAAGGACGTCAAAATTCATGTACACAATCGCAATAACATGACTAAAACCAACACATAACAGCTTTGTTTGTTTTACTTACTGTAACGTTTATTGCGTTCTTTATTTAGCCCTTTTGGGGTAAATTTCGTAACAACATCTCCCTTTAAAAAATCAACTGGATTCTTAAGGCATGCTTGCAAGACCTTTGTTCTGAAGGGAATTCTGGCCCTTTCAGTGAAATATCTTACCACACATCTTCGAGAAGAAGGAGACACGCACGCAGAAACGACACCCAGGATCCCGGCCGGAAGGTAAAACTGAAAAGTAACCACAGGTTTGAAAAAAAAACTCGCCGAATAAAATTGGACTCGTGCGGAATATCAGCTTATATTATGTATAGATCATCGAAAGCCGTGGATGCTGGTTGAATGGTAACTTAGATGTTATCAAAGATTACTAAGCACCTCATCCGAAATGCCAAAAAGACCACCTCTTTTTACTAAGCGTCTCGTCAAAAAGGTGACATGAGGAAAGATGTTTGATGGTTCTGTCCTACTCGAGAACAAGTCCACAGTAAGTTATGGCGAAAAATCGATTTTCATTTCCTCCTTCTGGATACCGTCCAACCACAACAGAAAATACCGCGTGACTATTACAATACTGCACTTATCTTGCCTATGTTTACACAATTTTACGAATTGTTGCAACCAATTTTTAGAGTGCATCGACGGACGACGGCATGGTAGCTTCTCAATTTTTGTGAAATATTCTTGGCCACAAGCCAGTCTGACGGAAGGTCACATGCTTTTCGAATGAGTTGTGGCAAACAAATTCCTTTTTTTTCTGTCCATCTCCTTTTCAACAGTTGTGACTGGAATTGTAAAAGGCCTCTTGGGCAATTCCACGGAGAAGTGGACAAGGCTGAACAATTGCAGCAGTATCACATTTTCAGAACTACAAGAAATGCGGTACCAAATTAAAGGGGACAACAAGATCTTTCAATAGCGTGGTACGCCGGTGGGATGGAATGTAGTTAAGACTTTTTTTTCTGGGTGCTTCCTAGGTTTTTTTTTAAAGCGGACTCGTGATGGACTCGGCCACAACATCGCACAATAGCAGAAATTCTTCACGCCTATACATATATCCTTGTTTTATCTCAGTAAATAACCCATATACAGGGAGTTAGGACCCCGATTCCCTCTGAAAAAAAAAATGCCCAAAGAAAAACCACTCACCATAAGACCTCCCCAAATTGGACAGGCTACGACGCTAAGAGTAGAAAATGCGATGATATTCACAGTACCCGCAACGGCGGATCCGGCCGCCAGAATTATCTGGAGGATGCCCAGTGTTTTGGCCCCGCAGGCGTACCTGCTGGGCCCAAGAGGGGCGAAGGCCTGCGCCGGGGGAGCCGCTTGCATCTGAACGGCCTGGTGAGATTGGTACGCGGGAACTTGACTCGGCTGCATCTTCGCTTTAATTTCTACCAAATTGAAAAAAAAACCCAGCGATTTCGGAAGAGAATGTAGTATTTTTTTGGGGAAAAACACTCTACAAAGCACTCGAAAAGATGACACGCGGCTTTAGTACTTAATTAAAAGTCACTAGATTTCCTAAATTTATGTTATTATTTTTTTTAATAGCTTACAATCGTTTCCACGACGACTTTGGCTCTTTTGTTTTTCAATTTAATTTTAATATTGAATTAAAAATCAATCAACAAAGAAAAATGTCAACTACAATTAAAAATGGAATTAAAATTCGAACTAAAATGCACTTACGCTGCTTTCTGGAAAAAAGTCGGCTCAAAAATACGCTGCGAATATGAGCTAACTCCAAAATGGCCGACCAAAGGGACAATAAAATGACGGATGACAAAAAATGCGATGCTGCCGTGCAGTGCTGTGCTTGTAACCACTGAGCAGCTAATGCCAGCAAGTTCGTCCTGCACAAAACAGTTCAAAGTACAAGTAGATAGTGTTTTTATTGGATAAATTTACGGACCGGACTATTTTTAGGTTTATCACGTCATCTGTTAATGAATGACCCAATATTTAGGTCTACAGCAAAGTCCAATATATAGAACAGACTGTCATGTACTAAAAGAATGGGGAAATATTTGACAAGACTGGCCAAAGACGATAGTCTGCTGTCTTTTTTTAATGCATTTTCTTGTTCTCTCTGCATATTAAACATCAGCGTCTTGGTACAAGACACTAGACTTGCCAACGAGTCCTTTGCTTGTTTTTTTTTGTTTTGTTATTATCAATAGCAACATTGGATCGGTGGGAAATTAAGCGGATGCATTCATCAGTATATTATTTACCAATACAAACAACAATGAAATTTCAATCTCCCACACACAGGTAACAAACGTTTAACACACAAGATTAAATATTTTATATTTTAGATACTTTTTAAGGAATAACCAATAGTTACCATTTTTCAATAGTTGTATATGGTTTCAATTTGTTTCTCTTTGCAAGTATTTTCCGTGAAAGCATTTTCATTGAGAACAATATATTTGATAAATTTATCAATTTATTTTGTGTACACAAAACAACAATTGAAGAAAAAAACAACGATAAATAGCACGTGCAAAATAGTCCATTTATCATGAGATCATAATTGCTGTATTATGAAAACCATGTGTGACAAGGTCTACAGGTTTTGGTAAAAGAGTTAAAAGGACAATATATGAGGTTAGTATTTTCTCTGATATTTCCCTTAAGAAGAATTATGTTTGAAGTATCGCATAATCCAGTGGCGTAGATATCTGTACACACTATGTCATGTATTTGAATTTGAATTCATTTTATGACCCATTCAGGAGGAAAAAGGAAGATTCACGTTTATCAAGTTGAATAGTATATAGAACAGAGTATAATAATTATTAGATAGACGATATTTGTTGAGTGTACCGAGGGCGTTCGCTATTTACGCATGCACTAATCACGGCGGCGTATGCTACCCAGAGTGCTTTGCGAATTCACCATTTCCTTTTCAGGCTTTTGAGAAAGAGATAAACTTAACAACTCGTACGGCCTAGCCAGATTGACTGCATATGGAATAAGGCTGTATGACGCGGGCACTGGGGATCGGCGCGCCGGACCTATGCTGACCATACAGATGATGAGTGAGCGAGTGTAAGTACATGTAAACAGTCACCAACGACCCTTGCCTGATATAAAGGGCAGTTGGTACGAGCAGACGCTTTGCATATTTCCAGTTAATATTTTCCAGAACTGTTTTCTTTGGCAGTGGTATATATTACATTAGATCGTCAACAGATTTTAGTCACCAGTTAACCAGTAGAGTTCAAGTGGTCACCGTATGACAGGGGAACGTAGGCCGGGACAGATCTGTTTTACTGTGAACTTCGCACCCTACCGTTGTTATGGTCACCGACCCGCCATTTTGTTTAATCTACTCAAATAAGAGCTTCAAAGGTAGTTTTCGTTCACTATTAAAAAACGATTGCACTTAATCGTTTTTTTCCCTTTTACGAAACTGCTGACGAAATGGGTCGACCCAGTTACACTGTTTAGCGCCATTAAAGTCAATATTAGTCATTGTGCTGTGCCATTAAGAAACCCGAGGCTTAATTTGCACTTTCAAAACAAAACAAGCTAAGCATTTCGTCACCGACACCACGAAGTAACACTCTACCGTGTTAAAGCATATTTTTTTCGATTTTCAGTTTTTTGGATTTTTAAACATTATTCATCAAGACCTACCATTGCACGAAGTTTCAAAGCTTCAAGAGCTTTACTTTAATAATTACGCTAAGTATCCATGGCAACTTTTGCGCAAAAGTGACAATTTTCGTTTTCACGAAGTAACACTCAAGTTCCATTTTCCATTGCAATGCATGGCGCGCACTCTGCTCATAAGTGAGCAAAAACGTTTTCACGAAGTAACACTCTTCTTGTAACAAGTTGTATGAGCGCGCGCGCGCTGACCTGAAGTTGCACTTTCCTCGTGTTAAATACATTGAAGAGTGTTACTTCGTGAAAACGAAAATTTACAGTTCCGCAGCTTTTTCGGTTTCACGAAGTAACACGCATCTTTTTTCTCTTATTTCTTGTTTATTTGATACACAAACGAGTGAAAAACAGCAGATTTAATAAATTCAATTCATCAAGTGTCCACAACGAGAAACCCAACTGAAAATACTCTGTCGTTTTGACGCAAAGTGTTGTTTTAGAAGGCGTTCAACTTTAGTTGCCGTTTTCTCCGATTGCTAGTTTTTACTGGTATGTAGATGGGTGTTACTTCGTGGTGTCGGTGACGATTTTATGCGATTTTATTTCGTCTATAATATGTTTAACAAGCTCGGCTAACCGAAATGAGTTCCCTCTGTGTGGCATACCAGCTAGAGATACGTGTCGAAGGCCTCTATTTTATTTAGGATACCCAGATGTCCTGATCTAAATTGGGAAATCGTTTGGAAACTATACTTTGAACCCCGACAATTATGTTATTTATAAACGCAGCTGACAAAGGTCACTTTTAACAAATGCCCCGCCCGCAACTACGTTGTGAACCTCGTCTTGACATCATACAATGTATTAGCATTAATATCAGATAATTATACCAGAGCTGCTATTTATTAGCCATTTTGGTTTCTGTTTTTGGCGAAGTGAAACGGTGCTGTTGAACCGGGGCTCTGTTTTTCATTTCGGGAGAGTAAATACTTTGATATAAGCCTACATTCTCATTCGGCTGTGAACAGGGTGAGTCTGCAAGAAAGTAGCCCGGATTAACGATATCCTTTTCTTAAAAAGCCATCACATTTGATACACCAATCAAGCATGTCTTTAAAGAGCATGTTCTTCCACTCGTCTGAGAAAAAGAATTACCGAAATTGATCCGTGCTATCAAAGGTTATGCACGTTTTACTAAAGAACCCATTTTTATAATCAAGACTGAAACCTTATTTCTGCTGTCAAATGTTGAATATGAGGAACAAGACACTTTTCTTCTTTTCTGAAATACTGATGGCGATTTTTGTGTGTTTTCCTGTGCCAGTTCTCGTTTATTCATGGCGGTGGGAAAACGTCCATGTTTCATTGTACTCAATGGATATTCATCAGTTCAGAACGGTAAATGATCAGTGTTGGACAGCCCATCGAGTTTTGTGATTTTTTTTATTGGAAATAGACATAACTTACTTAATGCAAATTACGTAACATGTTCACAGTTAAAAGTCAATATGATGTACTTTATCCATATGTGTTTATTTTAATAGAAAGAAGCGAGCCAAATATGTTAAAAACATTGTTCATATTCGGTCAATTTCTTTTTGACTCGCCCTGTATACGTTCGTGTTGTGGTGGTGGCTGTGTTAGTGGTGGTGGTAGTAGTAGTATGGGTGGTGTTGGATGTGGTGTGAGTGGTGGAATGTGTGGTAGAGGTGGTGGGTGTGGTGTTGGTGTGTGTGTTGTGATAGTGGTCGCTGGGTGGAGGTTCTGGTGGTAGTGTGTGAAGGGTATGGGTGGTGGAAGTTGTTGTAGTTGGTATATGGTGTTGGTGGTGGTGTTGTGGATGGTGGTTGTCGTCGTAGTTGTCGTGATAATTTAGGTTTTTGCTGGCTGATTATTATCATATCATCGTCAAGATATCATTGAAAAGTCTTGGACACGTTTCTTGTATTTTAATCAAATAAACATGGTTTCATTTCAGTCTTAGAGCTAGCATTTAAGTACGCCTAAGTCAGCAAGATGCAACCCGTTGCCGAGATTCAACCAGCGCAGCTGCAGATGCCTACCCCGGAGCCCTCTCGGCGGAGCAAGTACTCCTGCTCGGTCAAGTCGCTCGGAGCTCTGCAGATGATCATCGCGGTAGCCTCGGCCGGTTTTGGCGTCGGGACAGCCCTTGTGTGGCCCTCTCTTAGCATTATAGGATCCGGCGTGTGGGGAGGCCTTCTCGTATGTTTTTAAGTTCTGTTTGGTATTTGCATAATTTTTTATACTAAACCACAGTGGAAAAGATAGTCAATCGTATTTATAAAGCAAATCCGGACAAAGGACAAATCTGCGATGGCCATACAGCCAAATATCTTTACTATGACGTACTCTGACTGTGTGCCACATTTTAGGCCTTTATCATGAAATGAACAATTTCATCATATTGTGCACCAATCTGCCTGACTAACTAGTCTCGGACAGCGACTGGTCTATTCAATGGAGGTTTTTTAATGCATCTGGTTTACGCAATGGTCGGAGTATAAGGCGTTACGAGGTATAGACAATTTCGAGACCTGCACTTGCGGAGGCCCCATTTAATGGCGAATGCACTGTGCTAGCTATTGTATCGTAAGCTACTGCCATATGACGGTTCGTGAACAATAGTTTTCCCAACGCTTTCGTCATCGAAAAGGGCCTCTAGTCATCTCACCAGAGTAAGCTTATGGTCCTCATTCAAGGAGAGTTCTACTCCTTACTTTCATCATTAAAACTTGTGTGTGGTTATTTTTTTCATGTTAGTTTTACTTCCCAGCTGGCATCCTCGGCTTATTGTCCGTAACAACGGCCGTCGGTGCGCGGAAATGCTTGGTAAGTGTCCACATCAACCATGAGTTGAGCCACGGAACCTCTACACAAGGATAGGCCTAAACGACTTCCAAAATTTTTGCTTAGAGGCGTGATAACTGCACGTGCGCGTATAGAACAGGAACATTTTGTTAAGGTTGTTCGGTTTCTTGTTCCACGGAGAGAACTTGCACACTTTTGAATCAGTCAAAGATGAACATTTTTTATTAAACTGATAGAAAAGTCTTCACGCTCTATAGGGACCTAATCGGCACCGGGAAAAAGTCGGTGTGATTAACTTGTTTTATGAGCGCCCGAGAAAGTCAGGTTGTTTTGAGAGGATTATACATGCACGTTAACATCAAATTTAATGGGTTTTTTTTGTTTATTTTGTTTGTTTGCTTGTTTTTTTTACTTACCGTAGGCCATCGCATGCCTGGTCATGTCCATCCTTTCTGCAGTAATGGCTGTCGGCAATGTTGCAGTGTATGGCCTCTCCATCCAAACCGACCTTGCTCTCTTCCGTTTTAAGGTCTATGATGGAAGTGTAAGCTAAAGATCCAATGGACCGATCCAGCAAGCACCGCCCCATGGTGTTCTGACCAATCTCAACCGTGATTTATGTCCGACATGCGCGCACTAAAGTCCGACATGCGTGCACGCGCGTATGATGCGCGCGGAAGGAAAATGCAGCGTGGCATTGGAGAGGAGCACGTGTTAATGTGCCCACGTGCGCACTGGGCGGAGCTTACTGGATCGGTCAAATTCAGTGCACACTTATAATTCCCATGATTTTTGTTCGGTAATTAACAGAAAAAAACCTGTCAGCTTTAATCTGATACCAAACCCGTACAAATTCACAGATCAAGTTTTGGAAAAAAGGCAAATGTTCAGGGTTCCATTTTTTTTTGGGGGGGGGGTTCATCCTGTATATGCAAATACATAACAATTAGTGTCTCAAAGCTCATAACAATTAGTGTCCCAAGTATTACCCCTGATCATCAAGCCATGAGATCAGCGCATTGTGGTCTCTCGCTCCCCAAGTACATTGTATACCCCTTTATACTCCGGTGTGGAGAGAGGCAATTGTAGTAAAGTGTCTCGCCCAAGAACACAAGCACCGTGTTCGCCGTCAGGGTTCCGAACCCACGTACCACGGCACACGAGTTGCACATGCATAGCTTAACTAATAAACCTCTGTCCTGTAACCGATAGTGGGATTTGCCGGTGGCCTTGGACTCCATCCTTGTGATTTTTTCCTCGACTGAAGTCTTCGTGTCAATCGTTGCTGCTGTCTACTGCTGCTTCGTCATGGGTGAAGAACAACCGAACGACAACACTGCGGTAAACAAAAGCAAATAAATTGTCTTACTTACAGAAACTGTCATTTCAAGTCTCATTTTTATGGGAAAGGATGCACAGTTCAAGACGACTCTTTCATAATTGTGCATAAAATGTCAACGGAGAGTTAGTATTTTTTTTTAAACAACTTTCTCAATTTTTTTTCTCAGTCCAACATTATGAAGTTTTATGTAACATTTAAAATGCATGCATGGCTATCGGAAATGAGTTGAAGAGGCAAAAACTTATTACTGACTTCCCTCGAAACGCTACTTTGTAATTGTTTCCACGCAGCTATGTAGTGATTTTCGCATTGTAAATGGTATCATTGTAACGATTATCAATATCCTTGAAATTAGGTATCCCATCACAGTTTAATTTGTCTATGGAAAGATGACACCCCATCGTAATCTTATCTCAATCAATTACTCATAAAGCACCTGTCATTTGATCTTTCTGTGGCTGTGATTAACAGATCAAGTACGACGCAACTCAAGTCGACCCACAGGGGATGGCATACAGCAAACCAGTCGATCCCTAACCACCAGGCCGCTCAGGCACGTTCGCGACTAGCCAGGCTGCTGGTACACAAGGTAATTAAACAATGCACAAAAGGTAGACCATGTGAAACATGGTGCTTAGAATTTAAACTCTCTCCAAAGGACCAATTTTCGACACGTTTAGTGTTAGCCATTAACAAATTGGCATGGCATGAATTCTATATTGGCATCAGGGGGCAGAGTTGTGATGACTCAAATCAATGACTTGACTCTTGAGTCCGACTCGAGTCACAATTTTGGGTGACTCGACTCGACTCGAGTCCCCAAGGGTAAATGACTCCACTCGACTCGAGTCACTGCGAACAAATGTCTCGACGCGACTCGAGTACCTCATCAGAAGACTCGACTCGACTCAAGCGCAGGCCAATACGACTCGAGTCCCAAAAATAAAAGCAAAACTTTGCGAAAAGTATTTGCGATGATCGACTTACGGTGCAAAATTTATGTTCACGTCACTTTGCGAATAAAGTAAGGTACAGCAGCCGCTTGTCATGTACAAACTTACAACGTGTCACAGATTCCCATCTCATGGTTTCTAGAACGCACATACCGGATTATAATCTCTTTTCCAATTCGTTGTTTCATCATTGGCTTTGGAAGATTTCTTTTTAGATCATTTTATACTGGCGCGATTTGAGGCAATTGCTGACAACCGTAACCACTTTTTATTGAGGAAATAATGGCGGTGTACGCGGTGCCCGCCTTCATTGCGACGTCACTTACAAAACAATTGGTTTCGGGTGTGTTTTTTTTAGGGGGGGCATGGCCCCCGTTGCCCCCCCCCCACCTCCCGGGATCCGTCCTTGGCTTCAGAATGAAATACGTGTGTATACGGGCTGAAAGTCAGCGTAACCGTTTCATGTTTTGTTGTTACTGTCTTGTTGCATTGCAGGATATGGGAAAGGGCAACATAAACTTTGTTTCATGTTTTGTTGTTACTGTCTTGTTGCATTGCAGATATGAGAAAGGGCAACATAAACTTTGTTTCATGTTTTGTTGTTACTGTCTTGTTGCATTGCAGATATGGGAAAGGGTAACATAAACTTTGCGTGATTCTGCATTCAGCAAACAGCCGTCGTGTAGCTCCAAACGACATCGGGCAATTTTTTTAAAAACAAATTGGTAACTTATAAAGCAACTTAATCCATAATTTCTTAGATTCCTAATACAGATTGTACTGTCAATATTCCATTACTACAAATTAATTTGCTAAGCTTTCAAGTTAACAAGGAAATCCTTATGTTTTTATCATTTTTATATGTTTTTGTCATTTTCTAAAATCCATGTGAGTACATGTATATCCATTTTGTGTTGTATTTGCTGTTCGTTTTTTTGAAGTACCTATGCAAGTATTAATTGCCCAAATTGCTAGGTTAAAAGCCATTGTGGAATGAATATGAGAGTCATTTTCTCAACTTCCAATTTAACATTATTAACATTTTTGGTAATTTTTTAAAATTCATTAACATATCATTTTTGTGTTGTATTTGCTTTTCACGTACATGTATATAAAATTCCTATGAAAATATTAACTGCCAAAATTGTTGATCTTAAAATGATTGAGATCAGAGATATGAGTATGAGATTCACTTGCTAAACTTCTAATTTTACAAACTAATACTATATTACGTCTGTTTTCGAATTATCTATTATCATCTTTGTGTTGTTTTTTTTGTGTCCATGTATTTTAAATTCCCATTGCAAGTATTAACTGCTAAAATTAATAGGCTTAAAGAGTATGAAATCATTTTTGTTTAAGTGACTTAAAATATACTACAGAGTATAACTGACGAAATTATTGTTGAAAAGCATACTTGGTTTAATAAAGATGATGATTGTACTAAACTCCTTGTGGAATTATTCTTTCTGGCATGTTGTCATTTTGTAGAAAGCAATGAAAGATATTTTGCAACTCATTTTAGATTAAAAAAAGAAAATATCTATAAACATCAGATAACATCGAGTGCGTGAGTCAGTTTCAGACAATATTGGGCTCTTTTTAAATTTGCGCTTAACAAACTAATGTCCAGTCCTCTGTGACATTTGGTGTCAATCTTGACTCCGACAATTTGCAACAGCTTTCCCTCTCCAAAATTCCTGTTCCGTAAATATTTTCTTTGTCGGTATATGTGAAATATTAAGGGAATAAATGTGTGCTTGGGAGTTGTTAAATACTGTTTACCTCAGACCGGATTTCATGGGAGTCCGAATTTCATGTGAGACTGAAAAAGTGTTTAAGTCCAGCAAGCCATCTTTACCATCCGTTTAAGACCGGCCACGTGACGGGCTCTCGACCTATGGGAACGAGTAAACTGTCTTAGGTATTTATGGATAGATCGTCAAAAGATTTGTTATCATCAAAATAATCAAAAGGATCAAAAGGCTCACCAGTTCACCTCAAGTATTAGGTCACCGTATGACAGTGGTACGTAGGCCATACTAACAGAGCTGTTCAACTGCATGGACTTCGCAACCTAACAAATGCCCCGCCCAGAGTGACACTTTGTACCTTGTCTTTGCAAAATCAGAACTGCTGTTTAGCCATTTTGGCGAAGCGAAACGGTGCTGTTGAAACGGGGCTCTGGTTTTCATCTCGGGACAGTCAATACTTTGGTGTGAGCCTACATTCTTATTCGGCTGTGTAAATATGTTGATGCGGAGGATGTTGTGATCGTGGTGGTTGAGGTGGTGGAGGTAGTGTGGTAGTAGAAGTAGTAGTGGTGGTGGTGGATGTGGCGGTTCGAGATGGTTGTGGTAGAAGTGGTGGTAGAGGTGGTGTGTATGGTTTTGGTGGTGGATGTTGTGATAGTGGTGGTTGTGGTGGCTGTTGTGGAGTGGGTGGTGGAGGTAGTGTGGTACCGGTAGTAGAAGTAGGTGGTGGTGGATGTGGTGGTTTGAGGTGGTTGTGGTAGAAGTGGTGGTAGAGGTGGTGTGAATGGTTTTGGTGGTGGATGTTAATTGTGATAGTGGTGGTTGTGGTGGCTGTTGTGAAGGGGTGGCGGTAGTGGTGGTAGTGATGATAGTAATAGTAGTAGTGTGTGTGGTGGTGGATGGGTGGTGGTGGAAGTACTGGTCAAGGTGGTGTGTATGATGATGTTGGTGGTGGTTGTCGTAGCTGTCTTAAAAATTCAGATTTTGGCACAAGTACACTGTTTACTGTCACATCATACAGACAAAATATCACGAAAAAATAGACTCGGTTCATGAGTCTTGTATTGTAATCAAAGTTGCTTTGTTTTTATTTCAGTCTTATAGAGGCTAGAGCATTAAAGTGCGCCAAGACAGCAAGATGCAACCCGCTGCGATGAATCAACAAGTGCAGATGCAGATGCCTACCCCGGCGCCCTCCCAGCGCAGTAGGTACTCCTGTGCAGTCAAGTCGCTCGGAATTTTGCAAATCATCATTGCAGGAATCTCGGCCGTGTTGGGCATCGCCACAGGCGTTGTCTGGCTCACTATTGCCGTTATAGCATCCGGCGTGTGGGGAGGTCTTTTGGTATGTTTTTAATTATTTGTTTTTTTTTTTTTAAGCCTTGCATATGAAATACATCCTTACCTGACGTGTTCTGCGTTAACGTAGCCGGTACTAGCATGTATGTACATGTAGTGTGAATGTCGAATAAGTATCTGGCTACTTATTCGATGTTGAATGTCGAACGGCGCACAGGGAATTGTAAGGTCAGAAAATCAGCCACAATTTTGTTTCGTTTTTTATGTTTGCAAAGGTTGAATCTTTCCCTGTTTTTATTTAATTTCAGTTTTACCTTCCGGCTGGAATCCTTGGTGTGTTGTCCGTTACCATGGCTGTTAGTTCTCGGAGATGCTTGGTAGGTTTTCCACATCAAGACTTAGTAGAAAATGATGAAGAGGAACATGTTGTGAAGGCATGTTTCGTGTTCCATGGAGGGAACTTGTCACAGTTTTGAAATCAGTCATGCGATGAAGTCTTTTTAAAGACAACTGGTAGAAAAAGGAATTATAGACGCTGAAAGGGGATCAAATCATGGCAAGTTATTGCCGTTTAAAACAAATGGGGAAAAGATCATTTTTATTGAGAGTATTGTTTTATGAGCACACATGAAAGTCGGGTTGTTTTGAGAGTAATTTACGCAAAATCTAATGTTTTTCTTTGTTTGTTTGTTTGATTGTTTGTTTGTTTCTTACTTTTTACTTTCCGCAGGCCATCGCAAGCCTGGTCATGTCCATCCTTTCTGCAGTAATGGCTTTCAGCAATATTGCAGTGTATGGTTGGGCCATTGCAACCGATATATACCTCAGCAAGGAATATCATAACGGCCACTATGATTATAGAGATGTAAGATGAGAGCCAATATTGTTCCCAACAGAGAAAAAATCTGAGCACGCAATCACTTTTCACTTACAGAGGCCCCCACTAATGGCGAAAGCATTGTGCTAGCTAATGTTCAGATATCCGTGCAGGTCATGTTACAAATTGTCCAGTACTGACACAATGAAGAGGACCGCACTGAATATACAGTCGCTGTGTGATTGGTTTGGTGCAATAAAACAAAATGTAAATGTCTCAAATGGAAAAAAAAAATTGTTTGTCAAACCGTGAATACTAATTGTATAGACCATTATCATGTTGCAGCCATCTTGATTTTTTCCCATTCAAATAAACGTAACCAAAGCGAGGCTGAAAGGATAGTCTGTTTCCTTTTTGCACAAAAAAATGTCATTCAGTGCTGTTATTGTTTACATAACTTGTGTATAATATTACACAACTTGTTCATTTTTGTTTACACAACTGGCTGCTAGGTTCATATAGTACACAACCGAAATAACAGTGCCTGATCGTCAGATCATGAGTCCAGTTTTTGCAGCAGCTCGAGGTCAGCGCATTTATATTGCTGGGTAGAGAGAGGCAATTTAAGTAAAGTGTCTTGCCCAAAAACACAAGCATATCCCCCACGAATAACGGTACATGAGTCGAACACCGTTACCATAATGTCAAGGGAAATGTTTTGAGAATTGTTCCTTTGATGATGCAAGCATGGCATTTGGCACACAGTCAGAGTTTATATGTATTAAGAAAGATATTTGGCTGAAGGTCCATCGCAGATTCGTTCTTTGAAAATGAAGAAAGAATAACAAGCAATATTCAAAGTTTTATCTGCCGTACAAAAACTAATAAACCTCTGTCCTCTAACCAATAGCCGTCTGCGCCGCTGGCGTTGGATTCCCTCCTGGTGATTGCTTCCGTGCTTGAACTCGTCGTGTCAATCACTGCCGCTGTGTACTGCTGCTTCGTCATGAGTGAATATCAACTGAACAACACCACCACGGTAAACAAGAGCAAAGAAATGGTCATCTTACTAAAAGAAACTGTCATTTCAAGTCTCATTTCATGGTGAAGAACAATCTATGAAAAAAGATGCACAGTTCCAGACGACTTGTGTGTAGAAAGTCTTTGGAGACTCAGAAACATGTTAGAATAACGTTCTTAAAAAAATTGTTTCTCAGTCCCACATAGTTGAGGTTTATATATTTAACAACATTTGAAATGCACGCATGACTTTCGAAAATGGGTTGATGAGGCTTCTTTGTTTCTATACAACTGTGCTGTGATTTTCGCTATAAATGGTATCATTATTATTGCTTGAAAATTGTATCATTATTATTGCTTGAGATTAGGTATCCAATATTTATCACTGTTTCATTTGTTGTGACGTGGAAAAAGCTCATCTATGGAAAGTGACACTTCATCGTAATCATATCTCAATCAATTACTCATAAAGCACCTGTCATTTTGATCCTCCTGTTGCTGTGATTAACAGGTCCAGTACGTCTCCACTCAAGCCACCCCACAGGTGATGGTGTACAACCAGCCAGCCGCCGTACCCTACACACCTGCAGGCGCCCCTGGCATGTTCGTGACTAACCAGGCCCCAGTTCAACAGCAGGCCTTCGGGGCCAGCGCTGCTGGTGCACAAGGTAATTAACACATTATACGAAATTCTATCCCATGTCCAAATGGTGTCTAGAATTTAAACATTCTAGACACAGCTGTTTTTAATAATAATGATAATAATGGCTTCTTGTACAGCGCTCATGTTCGTCACGAAGTGACGCTCGATCCTGGCGCTCTATTATTACCCTGGCTTTTAGCGCGGCTGCCATTACAGCGCTCAAGCTTTTGAAGGAATTTCTTCCTACCAGGTACCCATTAACTACACCTGGGTGGAGAGAGGCAATCGTAGTAAAGTGCATTGCCCTTGAAGCGCACAAGCACCATGTTCCCCGTCAGGATTCGAACCCATGTACCACGGCACACGTACGAGTCGAACATTAACACCGTAATTGTTGGACCACAGCACCCCACATGTATAGTCTAAACCATTTTTTTTTAAATTCCACGGCATGGAAGTCCATTAGTGGCATCAGGCCCATAACCTATAAAATTTCAAGTAATTATTTTGGAGTTCAGAGATTATTTGGTAATAAAAAATAGAGATAGTATTTACCCTGTCTTTCGACTGGAACCCCGTGTCATTTTAGTCACTTTTACAGTTATACTTCAGGGTACTTACAGGCTTTTGTGCAATGCCTATAAACATGCCACGGACATTAGGAGACTGATAAAATCATGGGGTAGGTTTGACAAAAGTCGGTGCAATCAAGCATGATAAAACATAAAATACTATCAAACATGGCGGGAATTTTGACCGTCGGGGAGCGCTGTGGCCTTGCACTCTACAACTGTTACATTGAATTGAAAATCTTTAGGTTGTTCTCCAGGTAGTGAGTTCGATTCCAGCCTTGGGTTGGGGGCGTGCGTCCTTGGGCAGGACACTTTGTCAGAACTTGCTTCTTCCCACCCTTGGTAATATTGGAACCTGTGAGGGGAAAGGTGGTTATCGTGTTTGAATTTAAGCTGTTTGTGGTTTAAAAAAATGGCTGGATTGAGTTGTATATTTCCAGGGTTCTGAGAGGGTATATGGAATTGGTTATAGTCCAATGAGCAGGGGTAATAATAATTATAAAGCGCTTTGATCTATAAACACCTAGTTTTATTATTAAGTACATTAGTGAAAACAATTGTTACGGTTAAGATCCAAACGCTTTTCTGACAATCTCAGCCTGGTTTAGGGAGCTTGAGCAGGGTTTACAGTGCAGCTTGGTTAAGTAAGCATTAACAAAACAAGCAGGCGGAAGCTCAGCGTTAACATTTCATGTTTGTTTTCTATATGGTTGGATTTCAGATATGGAAAAGGATACCATGAACTTTACTTGAGTCTGCATTCAGAAAACAGCCGTCGTGCATAGCTTGTGCGACTTCGGGCAAAATCAGTTTAAAGATCAATAAATCCTTAGATTCTTAATACAGATTGTACTGTTTAAATTTCTTTGTTCAAAATTCACTTGCTAAACTTCTAATTTAAGTTAATAATCCTTTATTAGGTTTGTTTTGTTATTTTCTAAAATCCATTTTAGTATATCATTTTTGCGTTGTTGTTACTTTCCATGTTTACGTAATTGAAAATTCATATGCAAATATGAACTGCCAAATTTGTTAGGCTTCAATGATTAAGAAATAAGTATGAGATCAAATATTAAAAAAAGTGCATCATAACTATGCAATTAGACCTCTAACCTTGATAAATATAATTCACGCTTATGTATATATTTGCTTCGATTAAGACAACGCATTGCCTTTTAAAGTAATTTTGTGAGTATTTTTCGCTGTTTGTTTTCTGAAAGTTAGTGTTTTTTCTAAGTTGACTAGGCCTCCTTGTGTCATACATAGTACGGAGCCCTTCGCAAAAAATCCTCGAGATCCGACATTATATAGCTGGGTTAGAGTTGTGAAGAGCACAAATCCTGGCTTAATATATATATATATATTAACAATATAATGTTTAGTACTCCACTCTATCTGTTTTTTCGCTAATAATATTACTCTACTGTACCTAGAGTGACTGTCATCAGTCTTGTATCTGTGGTTTTTTTCCCCAGTAATACTATATCATTACTCTAATCTACCTTGAGTAACCACCATCAGTCTTGTATCTTTTTTCAGTTATACTCATATTAGTACTCGACTCTTCCTCAAGTGACTGCCATCAATTTTTACCAGTAATAATTATTACTCTACTCTACCCAGAGTGACCGCCATCAGTCTTGTGTCTGGGTTATTTCCAGTAATAATATATTATTACTCTACTGTCTCTACCTAGAGTGACCGCCATCAGTCTTGTATCTGGTTTTATACCAGAAATGATATATTATTACCTACTCATCCTAGAGTGACCGCCATCAGTCTTTTATCTGTTATTTTTGTCATTAATATATATTAATACTCTACTCTATCTATAGATTGACCGCTATCATTCTTGAATCTGGGTTTTTTTCAGTGTTATTACTCTACTGTACTTCAAGTGACTGCCATACATCAGTCTTGCATCTACTTTTGGTAATAATATGTTAATCGCCATATGCAGCAGTAAAACATGCATTTAATAAAAATGCTACGAAGTTGGAAATTATGGGCCGATGTGTCTAAAGAATTTCATTTATTTGGTAATTTAATTCTTACATAATCATTGAAAACAATAATTTAAAGCTGTTTTCGGACACAATAGTTTAAGATGTTGAGCAATGATCCTTATGTTGGTATTAAGGCTCAGATAGTTTAAAATAGTTTGGCGCAATTCAACCAGAAAGTCATTGAATTGCCTCTTTTAATTGTACCGGTGTACTGTCGTATTCACATACCTTCGTTATTCTTAATTGCTGCAATGTTAATTTGTAGAAAATTACCTTAAAAATAAAATTAAAGTGTAAACTGACAGAAATATCTGTTGACTGTTTGAATGTATACGTAAAATCCTGTGGATACTCCTTTCCACTGAAATTAGATTATCTCCAGGCCTTCGGTATATTTCTCTTCCTTCTGTCATTGAACTTTACCAGATGCTCAAAAGGCTATAAGTAGTCTCCATAACCTATCAATGCAATAGTTTGAACTTGGTGTTTGGTTTGATCAAGTGACGATGCTGAACCCACACTTGATAAGTGGCAACTCAGTTTTGATATTTGTTTTCGAAAACAATTCTCGATAAACATCACATAACACGGAAAACATCACAGTTGCAGGATTCATAGTCGTACCAGCATTATCTTTCCAGGATTGCTGATCGGCCATTTTGATTTCCAGTATAGGGGGAAAACCGTTTTGTTTAGACTAGGGGCTCGAGGCAACCTTCATTTGGAGAGCAGAGTTAAGCCTATATTTTTTCTCCATTTCACTGGTTGTTAAGACCTGTTGTCGTTTTTTTTTTTTTTTTTTTTGTAATAGTTGATTATGTTTGAGGTAGGCCTACTCCCTTGTGGTTCAACGTTCATGTTGGCCTGTAAGCATGCATTATAGAATGCACATTTTGCAGTGACTGTCTTTCACGGTTGTACAAAGTCCAATGTACAATACACAGTTCAATTGCAAGTGTGCCAACCTCGTTCCCAGCCTCGACTTTCATTTCAAGTAGACGCGAGACTAGGCTGCTTGATTCCCATATTCTGATTCATTGGCAATGACAAGTAAATGATTCATATCATGTACTCGTCAATCGTGACGTTAATAATTAACATGATAAATTCCCCTCGCAAAAAAAAAATCGGTATAATATTGAAGATTAGTTGGGTGCGATGATTCACTGCATCTCTTGGAAAAATAATTTGTTTTGTAAAAAAATAGCCAATATTTTTGGATATACGAATGATCCAATACCGCGACGAGAGCGCCTTGCGTACCCCACAAATGTCATGGGGAACTGTACGTGCAGAAAGTCTCTATTTCATTTAGGGCCAAGTTCGGGCAAGGACCATGAGTCGACTAGTGGTTGATTTGTGACGTACCTTACGCCTGCGCACTGGTAACAACGTGCAAACGTCTCTAGTCAAACGCTGGTCAAAATGTCATCGCAAAACTTCTGGATCCTGGCTCTCTGCAAGCGTTATGAAAGCGCGCGGCTATTGGTTACCAGCGAAGCAACCAACCACAGTAGGCTGGTTCCAAATAGTCGACTAGCGTAGTCAACCACCGTCGACTAGACAGAGTTCGGGCAAACGTTAGTTAACCATTGGTCAACTATAGTCCTCGCGCGAACTTGGCCTAGGATGACCCACGTTATCTAAATTGGGAAATCGTTTGAAATCTACACTTTGTACCCCGATACAGATTTCTCATCGTCGTCATGTACTTCAGTGTCAATTGTCAACTTCACTGTCGTAGATTACTAATTAACAAATGCCCCACATTCGGTGACACTGTTTACCTCGTCTTTGCAATATCAGTTAACCACCAGGCTGTTCAGTCATTTCGGTTTTGGTTTTTAGCGAAGCGAAACGGTTCAGTTTGAAACGGGGCTCTGGTTTTCATTTCGGGATAGTAATATACTTTTGAGGTGAGCCTACATTCTTATTATTTTGGCTGTGAATATATGAGGATGCGGTGGATGTTGTGATAGTGGTGGTTGTTGTGGTGGTGAAAGTGGTGGCAGAGGTGCTGTGTATGGGTTTGGTGGTGGATGTTGTGATAGTAGTGATGGTGGTGGCTGTTGTGGAGGTGTTGGTGGTAGTAGTGGTATGGGTGTATATGGTGGTGGTGTATGTGGTGGTGGTGTATGTGGTGGTGCAATTGGTGGTGGTGGAAGTGGTGGTAGAGGTGGTGTGTCTGGTGTATGTTGGTGGTGGTGTTGGTGGTGGATGTTGTGACAGTGGTGGTTGTGGTGGCTGCTGTTGTGGTGGTGGTGCAAATAGTGGTAGAGGTGATGTGTCTGGTTTTGGTGGTGGTGTTACGTGTAGTAGTTGTCGTCGCAGATGACTTAATATTAGTAGAAGTACTGGCTGTTTATTGTCATATCATCGACAAAATATCATGAAAAAAAGACTCGGTACACGATTATTGTATTTTTATCAAAGTTGCTTTCTTTTATTTCAGTCTTATAGAGGCTAGAGCATTAAAGTACACCAAGACAGCAAGATGCAACCCGTTGCGATGAATCAACCAGTGCAGATGCAGATGCCTACCCCGGCGCCCTCCCAGCGCAGTAGGTACTCCTGTGCGGTCAAGTCGCTCGGAACTATGCAGATCATCAATGCAGGAATCTCGGCCGCGTTGGGCATCGCCACATTCTTTGTCTGGACCACTATTGCCGTTATAGCATCCGGCGTGTGGGGAGGTCTTTTGGTAAGGTTTTAATTATTCATTGTTTTTTTTTTAAGTCTTGCATATGAAATACATCCTTACCTGACGTGGTCTGCGTTAACGTAGCCGGTACTAGCATATGTACATGTAGTGTGAATGTCGAATAAGTAACTGCATGGCTACTTATTCAATGTTGAATGTCGAATGGCGCACAGGGAATTGTAAGGTCAGAGAATCAGCCACACTTTTGTTTCGTATTTTCATATTTGCAAAGGTTGAATCTTTCCCTGTTTTTATTCAATTTCAGTTTTACCTTCCTGCTGGAATCCTTGGTGTGTTGTCCGTTACCAGGGCTGTTAATTCGCGGAGATGCTTGGTAGGTTTTCCACATCAAGACTTAGTAGAAAATGATGAAGGGGAACATGTTGTGAAAGCATGTTTCGTGTTCCATGGAGGGAACTTGCCACACTTTTGAAATCTTTTTAAAGATAACTGATAGAAAGAGAAATTATAGACACTGAAAGGGGATCAAATCATGGCAAGTTATTGCCGTTTAAAACAAAATAAAAATGGGGAAAAGGTAATTTTTATTGACGGCATTGTTTTACGAGCACACATGAAAGTCAGGTTGTTTTGAGAGTAATTTACGCAAAATCTAATGTTTTTCTTTGTTTGTTTGTTTGATTGATTGTTTGTTTGTTTCTTACTTTTTACTTTCCGCAGGCCATCGCAAGCCTGGTCATGTCCATCCTTTCTGCAGTAATGGCTTTCAGCAATATTGCAGTGTATGGTGTGGCCATTGCACACGACCTAGCTCTCGCCTATTCTGACTATCACGGCCCCTATTTTTATGGAGATGTAAGATGATAGCCAATATTGTTCCCAACAGAGACAAATCCGAGCATGCAATCACTGTTCACTCACCAATTCTCAAATGAATTTCCTTGTGGAGACATTCCTTTGTTCTCGTGTAGTAAAGTGTTCAATTTTGAAAGTGAAGTTTCAAAATGCTCTTATTTTAACCAGAATTAGTTTCCTTGGCTGAATTTTGGACTTAATATCCCTTTTCTAAAACTCTTCCATTTGCGACGGATCAACCCACCTCGGAAATTCCTAGTTTTTGAGTAAACCCCATATATCTATTTCTTTAAAACCTTGTGGAGACCTATTCATCTATAGAAGTTGCCCTGTGGAGACCTTTACAATGCTGTGTTCCCTATTGTGTGTGAGTCTCCACAAGGATACGAATTTGTGGTCACGGATGCCCCAATCAATGACGATAGCCTTGCGCCAGCTATTGTTCAGATATCCGTCCAGGTCATGTGACAAATTGTCCTGTACTGACACAATGAAGGGGACCGCACTGAATATACAGTCGTTGTGTGGTCGGTTTGGTGCATTAAAACACATTGTAAATGCCTCAAATAGAAAAAAAAAATGTTTTTCAAACCGCGAATACTTGTATAGACCATTATCATGTTCCGGTCATTTTGATTTTTTCCCATTTAAATCAACGTAACCAAAGCGAGGCTGGAAGGAACAATAGTCTGGTTCCTTTTTGCACCAAAATTTGTCATTCAGTACTGGTATTGGATACAGGGAACATGACTGAAATGATGGAATCATGTTAAAGATCTATTATTTTGAGGATTCATCATTTATCAAGGAAAAGAGCTAAATTGATACTCAACTCTCTCCCTTAAAAAATGCACATGAATCTAATTTGTATTTTGCTTGTATATGCGAAATACATAATTACCATTCGATTATAGCGCTTTACACCAAAGGTCTCGAAGCGCTTCACAATTATTACCCCTGATCATCAGATCATGAGACCAGTTTTTGCAGCAGCTCTGGGTCAGCGCATTCTGGTCTCTACCCTCACACATGTATTGCTGGGTGGAGAGAGGCAATTTTAGTAAAGTGTCTTGCCCAAGAACACAAGCATATCCCGCACGAATAACGGCACATGAGTCGAACACCGTTACCATAATGTCAAGGGAAATGTTTGGAGAATTGTTCTTTTGATGATGCAGCATGGCATTTGGCACACAGTCAGAGTTTATATGTATTAAGCAAGATATTTGGCTATCGGACCATCGCAGAAAATGAAGGAAGAATAACAAGCAATATTCAAAGTTTTATCTGCCGTACAAAAACTAATAACCCTCTGTCTTCTCACCAATAGCCGTCTGGGCCGCTGGCGATGGATTCCCTCTTGGTGTTTACTTCCGTGCTTGAACTCATCGTGTCAATCACTGCCTCTGCGTACTGCTGCTTCGTCATGAGTGAATATCAACTGAACAACACCACCACGGTAAACAAGAGCAAAGAAATGGTCGTCTTACTTAAAGAAACCGTCATTTCAAGTCTCATTTCATGGTGAAGAACAATCTATGAAAAAAAGATGCACAGTTCCAGACGACTATTGTGTGTAGAAAGTCCTTGGGGACTCAGAAACATTTAGAATTACGTTCTAAAAAAAAATGGTTTCTCAGTCCCACATTGTTGAGGTTTATATATTCAACAACATTTGAAATGCACGCATGGCTATCAAAAATGGGCTGATGAGGCGGAAGCTCACTGCCTTCCCGCGAAAAGCTTCTTTGTTTCTATATACATGTAGCTGTGCAGTGATTTTCCCTACAAATTGTATCATTATTATTGCTTGAGATTAGGTATCCAATATTTATCACAGTTTCATTTGTTGTGACGTGGAAAAAGCTCATCTATGGAAAGCGACACTTTATCGTAATCATATCTCAATCAATTACTCATAAAGCACCTGTCATTTTGATTCTTCTGTTGCTGTGATTAACAGGTCCAGTACGTCTCCACTCAAGCCACCCCACAGGTGATGGTGTACAACCAGCCAGCCGCCGTACCCTACACACCAGACGCCCCAGGCACGTTCGTGACTAACCAGGCCCCAGTTCAACAGCAGGCCTTCGGGGCCAGCGCTGCTGGTGAACAAGGTAATAAACACACTATACGAAATTCTATCCCATGTCAAAATGGTGCCTAAAATTTAAACATTCTTGAAACAGCTGTTTTTAATAATAATAATAATAATAATGGCTTCTTGTACAGCGCTCATGTCCGTCACGCTCGATCCTGGCGCTCTATTATTACCCTGGCTTTAGCGCGGCTGCCATTACAGCGCTCAAGCTTTTGAAGGAATTTCTTCCTACCAGGTACCCATTAACTACACCTGGGTGGAGAGAGGCAATCGTAGTAAAGTGCATTGCCCTTGAAGCGCACAAGCACCATGTTCCCCGTCAGGATTCGAACCCATGTACCACGGCACACGTACGAGTCGAACATTGACACCGTAATTTGTTGGACCACAGCACCCCACATGTTTAGTCTGAACCATTTTTTAAAAATTCCACGGCATGGAAGTCCGTTAGTGGCATCAGGCCCATAACCTATAAAATTTCAAGTATATATTTTGGAGTTCATTTAAGAGATTATTTGGTAATAAAAAATAGAGATAGTATTTACCCTGTCCTTCGACCGGAACCCCGTGTCATTTTAGTCACTTTTACAGTTATACTTCAGGGTACTTACAGGCTTTTGTGCAATGCCTATAAACATGCCACGGACATTAGGATACTGATAAAAACATGGGGTAGGTTTGACAAAAGTCGGTGCAATCAAGCATAATAAAACATAAAATACTATCAAACATGGCGTGAATTTTGACCGTCGGGGAGCGCTGTGGCCTTGCAATCTACAACTGCTACATTGAATTGAAAATCTTTAGGTTGTTCTCTAGGTAGTGGGTTCGATTCCAGCCTTGGGATGGGGGCGTGTGTCCTTGGGCAGGACACTTTGTCACAACTTGCTTCTTCCCACCCTGGGTAATATTGGAACCTGTGAGGGGAAAGGTGGTTATTGTGTTTGAATTTAAGCTGTTCGTGTTTAAAAAAATGGCTGGATTGAGTTGTATATTTCCAGGGAGCTGAGAGGGTATATGGAATTGGTTATAGCCCAATGAGCAGGGGTAATAATAATTATAAAAGCGCTTTGATCTATAAACACCTAGTTTTATTATTAAGTACATTAGTGAAAACAATTTCTGACGATCTCAGCCCGGTTTAGGGAGCTTGAGCAGGGTTTACAGTGCAGCTTGGTTAAGTAAGCATTAATAAAACAAGCAGGCGGAAGCTCAGCGTTAATATTTCATGTTTGTTTTCTATATGGTTGGATTTCAGATATGGAAAAGGATACCATGAACTTTACTTGAGTCTGCATTCAGAAAACAGCCGTCGTGCATAGCTTGAGCGACTTCGGGCGAAATTAGTTTGTTTTCGTCATTAAAAAAAAGATTATCAATAAATCCTTACATTCCTAATACGGATTGTACTGTTAAAATTTCTTTATTCAAAATTCACTTGCTAAACTTCCAATTAAAGATAATAATCCTATACAAGGTTTGTTCTTTTCTAACAATCCATTTTAGTATATCCTTTTTTAATGTTCACGTTATTGAAAATTCCTATGTAAGTATTAACTGCCAAATTTGTTAGGCTCAAATGATTAAGAAATGAGTATGAGAATAAATATTTAAAAAAGTGCATCATAACTGTGAAATTAAACCTCTCACCTTGATAAATATATATTCACGCTCGTGTACATATTTGCTTCGATTAAGACAACGCATTGCCTTTCTAAATAATTGTGTAAGTATTTTTCGCTGTTTGTTTTCTGAAAGTTATTTTTTTTTCTAAGTTGACTAGGCCTTCCTTGTCTCATACATAGTACTGAACCCTTCGCAAAAAAACCCAAAGATTCAACATTATATAGCTGGGTTAGAACTGTGAAGAGCACGATTCCTGGCTTAATCATTTTTTTTATAATATAATTTTTAGTACTCCACTCTACCTATAGAGTGACTGCCATCAGTTTTGTATCTGTTTTCAGCTGCGTGTAGTACCTCAATAATCATCATATCTCCCCGTTAGTCCGTTAGCTAGTAACAAACGTTGACATTGTCTATTGCTCCTACATATTTTGACAGTAGCCCAGCCCCAACATGCAACATGACCAGTCAAAGGTAATCATGGGGCCACTGGGGACAAAAACCTGATGTTTACTCAAAAAAAAAACTTCCAGAAATTTGAAAACACAATCACGTGACTCATGCATGAACACGAATTCGTTGGCCCGCAGCTTCCGAGATCCGACCGAGCTTGTTCAGTAAGCTTGTTCAGTAATGATATATTATTACTCTACCTTGAGTGACCGTCATCCGTCTTGTATCTGTTTTTTCCCAGTAATAATGTATTAGTACTTTACTCTATACAGAGTGACCGCCATCAGCCTTCTGTCTTGGTTATTTCTAGTAATAATATATTATTACTCTACTCTACATAAAGTGACCGTCATCAGTCTTGTATCTGGGTTTATTCCAGTAATGATATATTATTACTCTACTCTTCCTAGAGTGACCGCTATCAGTCCTGTATCTGTTTTTTTTCCAGTAATAAATTATTATTACTCTACTCTACCCAAAGTGACTGTCATGCACCAGTCTTGTATCTGTTTTTAGCAATAATATGTTAATCGCCATGTGCAGCTGTAAAAAATGCATTTAATCAAAATGCTATACGAAGTGGGACCTTGTCGGCCAATGTGTCTAAAGAATATCTTTTAACTTAAAGCTGTTTTCAGACAAAATAATTCAAGATGTTGAAAAATGATCCTTGGTATTTAGGCTCAGATAGTTTAAACTTTTGGCGCAATTCAACCAAAAAGTAATTAAATTGCCTCTTTTCATTAAACCGGTGTACTGTCGTATTGGCCTTCGTTATTCTTAAATGCTGCAATGTTAATTTGTAGAAAATGACCTTAAAAAATAAAATTAAAGTGTAAACTGAAAGAAATATCCTATAGACTATTTTGATTGTATACGTAAAATCCCGTGGATTCTCCGTTCCATTAAATTTAGATTATCTTCAGGCCTTCGGTATATTTCTCTTCCTTCTGTCATTGAACTTTACCAGATACTCAAAAGGCTATAAAAAGTCTCCATAACCTATCAATGCAATAGTTTGAAAGTGGTGTTTGGTTTGATCAAGTGACGATGCTGAACCCACATTTGATAAGTGGCAACTCAGTTTTGATATTTGTTTTCGAAAACATTCTCGATAAACATCACATAACACGGAAAACATCACAGTTGCGGGGTTCATAGTCGTACCAGCATTATCTTTGCAGGATTGCTGATCGGCCATTTTGATTTCTAGTATAGGGGGAAAACAGTTTTGTTTAGACTAGGGGCTAGAGGCAACCTTCATTTGGAGAGCAGAGTAAAGCCTATATTTTTTTCTCCATTTCACTGGTTGTTAAGACCTGTTGTCGTTTTTTTTTTTTTTTTTTTTTTTAAATAGTTGATTATGTTTGAGGTAGGCCTACTCCCTTGTGGTTCAACGTTCATGTTGGCCTGTAAGCATGCATTATAGAATTCACATTGTGCTGTGACTGTCATTCACGGTTGTACAAAGTCCATTGTACAATACACAGTTCAGGTGCAAGTAGGTCAACCTCGTTCCCAGCCTCGACTTTCATTTCAAGTAGACGCGAGACTAGGCTGCTTGAGTCCCATATTCTGATTCATTGGCAATGACGAGTATTCATATCATGTACTCGTCAATCGTGACGTTAATAATTAACATGCTCAATTCCCCTTACAAAAAAAATCGGTATAATATTGAAGATTAGTTGGGTGCGATGATTCACTGCATCTCCTGAAAAATCATTTAGTTGTAAAAAAAAGCCAATATTTTTGGATATACGAATGATCCAATACCACGACGAGAGCGCCTAGCATACCGCACGAACGTTATGGCATGCTAGTTATAGAGGTACATGCCGAAAGCCTCTCTTTCATTTAGGACACCCAGATTTCCTGACCCACGTTATCTAAATTGGGAAATCGTTTGAAATCTATACTTTGTACCCCAATACAGATTTCTCATCGTCGTCATGTACTTCAGTGTCAATTGTCAACGTCACTGTTGTAGATTACTAATTAACAAATGCCCCACATTCGGTGACACTGTGTACCTCGTCTTTGCAATATCAGTTAACCACCAGGCTGTTCAGTCATTTCGGTTTTGGTTTTTAGCGAAGCGAAACGGTTCAGTTTGAAACGGGGCTCTGGTTTTTATTTCGGGATAGTCAAATACTTTTGAGGTGAGCCAACATTCTTATTATTTTGGCTGTGTATATATGTTGATGCGTGGATGTTGTGATAGTGGTGGTTGTTGTGGTGGTGAAAGTGGTGGCAGAGGTGCTGTGTATGGGTTTGGTGGTGGATGTTGTGATAGTAGTGATGGTGGTGGCTGTTGTGGAGGTGTTGGTGGTATGTGTGTATATGGTGGTGGAGTAAAAGACTCGGTACACGATTATTGTATTTTTATCAAAGTTGCTTTGTTTTATTTCAGTCTTATAGAGGCTATAGAGCATTAAAGTACACCAAGACAGCAAGATGCAACCCGTTGCGATGAATCAACCAGTGCAGATGCAGATGCCTACCCCGGCGCCCTCCCGGCGCAGTAGGTACTCCTGTGCAGTCAAGTCGCTCGGAATTATGCAGATCATCATTGCAGGAATCTCGGCCGGGTTGGGCATCGCCACAGGCGTCGTCTGGCCCACTATTGCCATTATAGCATCCGGCGTGTGGGGAGGTCTTTTGGTATGTTTTTAATTATTCATTGTTTTTTTTTTAAAGTCTTGCATATGAAATACATCCTTACCTGACGTGTTCTGCGTTAACGTAGCCGGTACTAGCATATGTACATGTAGTGTGAATGTCGAATAAGTAACTGGCTACTTATTCAATGTTGAATGTCGAATGGCGCACAGGGAATTGTAAGGTCAGAGAATCAGCCACAATTTTGTTTCGTTTTTTTATATTTGCAAAGGTTGAATCTTTCCCTGTTTTTATTCAATTTCAGTTTTACCTTCCTGCTGGAATCCTTGGTGTGTTGTCCGTTACCAGGGCTGTTAATTCGCGGAGATGCTTGGTAGGTTTTCCACATCAAGACTTAGTAGAAAATGATGAAGGGGAACATGTTGTGAAAGCATGTTTCGTGTTCCATGGAGGGAACTTGCCACACTTTTGAAATCTTTTTAAAGATAACTGATAGAAAGAGAAATTATAGACACTGAAAGGGGATCAAATCATGGCAAGTTATTGCCGTTTAAAACAAAATAAAAATGGGGAAAAGGTAATTTTTATTGACGGCATTGTTTTACGAGCACACATGAAAGTCAGGTTGTTTTGAGAGTAATTTACGCAAAATCTCATGTTTTTCTTTGTTTGTTTGATTGTTTGTTTGTTTCTTACTTTTTACTTTCCGCAGGCCATCGCAAGCCTGGTCATGTCCATCCTTTCTGCAGTAGTGGCTTTCAGCAATATTGCAGTGTATGGTGTGGCCATTGCAACCGACCTAGCTATCGCCTATTCTCACTATCATTACGGCCCCTATTTTTATGGAAATGTAAGATGAGAGCCAATATTGTTCCCAACAGAGACAAATCCGAGCACGCAATCACTGTTCACTCACCAATTCTCAAATTTGTATCCTTGTGGAGACATTCCTTTGTTCTCGTGTAGTAAAGTGTTCAATTTTGAAAGTGAAGTTTCAAAATGCTCTTATTTTAACCAGAATTAGTTTCCTTGGCTGAATTTTGGATAATATCCCTTTTCTAAAACTTTTCCATTTGCGACGGATCAACCCACCTTGGAAATTCCTAGTTTTTGAGTAAAACCCATATATCTATTTCGTGAAAACCTTGTGGAGACCTATTCATCTATAGAAATTGCCCTGTGGAGACCTTTACAATGTTGTGTTCCCTATTGTGTGTGAGTTTCCACAAGGATACGAATTTGTGGTCACGGATGCCCCAATCAATGGCGAAAGCCTTGCGCCAGCTATTGTTCAGATATCCGTCCAGGTCATGTGACAAATTGTTCAGTACTGACACAATGAAGGGGACCGCACTGAATATACAGTCGTAGCTCGATCGGTTTGGTGCATTAAAACAAATTGTAAATGCCTCAAATAGAAAAAAAAATTATTTGTTTTTCAAACCGCGAATACTTGTATAGACCATTTTTACGATGCGGACATCTTGATATTTTTCCCATTTAAATCAACGTAACCAAAGCGAGGCTGGAAGGAAAAATAGTCTGGTTCCTTTTTGCACCAAAAATTGTCATTCAGTACTGTTATTGGATACAGGGAACATGACTGAAATGATGGAATCATGATAAAGATCTATTATTTTGAGGATTCATCATTTATCAAGCAAAACAAGTAAATTGATACTCAACTCTCTCCCTTAAAAATGCACATGAATCTAATTTGTATTTTGCTTGTATATGCGAAATACATAATTACCATTCGATTATAGCGCTTTACACCAAAGGTCTCGAAGCGCTTCACATTTATTACCCCTGATCATCAGATCATGAGACCAGATTTGCAGCAGCTCTGGGTCAGCGCATTCTGGTCTCTTCCCTCACACATATATTGCTGGGTGGAGAGAGGCAATTTTAGTAAAGTGTCTAGCCCAAGAACACAAGCATATCCCCCACGAATAACGGTACATGAGTCGAACACCGTTACCATAATATCAAGGGAAATGTTTGGAGAATTGTTCTTTTGATGATGCAAGCATGGCATTTGGCACACAGTCAGAGTTTATATGTATTAAGAAAGATATTTGGCTATCGGACCATCGCAGAAAATGAAGGAAGAATAACAAGCAATATTCAAAGTTTTATCTGCCGTACAAAAACTAATAAACCTCTGTCCTCTAACCAATAGCCGTCTGTGCCGCTGGCGTTGGATTCCCTCTTGGTGTTTACTTCCGTGCTTGAACTCATCGTGTCAATCACTGCCGCTGTGTACTGCTGCTTCGTCATGAGTGAATATCAACTGAACAACACCACCACGGTAAACAAGAGCAAAGAAATGGTCGTCTTACTTAAAGAAACTGTCATTTCAAGTCTCATTTCATGGTGAAGAACAATCTATGAAAACAGATGCACGGTCTTAGACGACTCTTTAATAATTGTGTATAAAAATCAATGGAGAGTCAGGAACATTTTAAAACTACTTTAAAAAAAAAAGGTTTTCAGTGCCACATTGTGGAGATTTATTCATCAACATTTGAAGTACATGCTTGGCTATCGAAAATGGGTTAAAGAGACGGAAGCTTACTGACTTCCATCGAAAAGCTTCTTTGTTTCTATACAGCTATGCAGTAATTTTCGCTATAAATTGTATCATTGTTATTCCTTGAGATTAGGTATCCGATATTTATCACAGTTTAATTTGTTATGACGTGAAAAGCTCATCTATGGAAAGTGACACCACACCGCAATGATTATTCAATCAATGCCTTTAAAAAGTACCTTTCATTTTCATCATTCTGTTGCTATGATTAACAGATCCAGTACGTCTCCACTCAAGCCACCCCACAGGTGATGGTGTACAACCAGCCAGCCGCCCCACCCTACACGCCAGGCGCCCCTGGCATGTTCGTGACTAACCAGGCCCCGATCCAACAGCCAGCCTACGGGGCCAGTGCTGCTGGTGCACAAGGTCATTAACAATTGTACAAAATGGTATACCATGTAAAAATGGTGCCTAAACATGTTTAGTCTGAGCCATTAAAACAAAATTACACAGCATGGAGGTCTGTTAGTGGCATCCCATTAAAACAAAATTGCACAGCATGGAAGTCTGTTATGGGCATCAGGCCTGACTTATAAATTCAAGTATATATGTTCGTTTTTGAGATACTTTGGTGATAAAAAAACAGAGATAAAAGTGTGTATTTATCCTGTCTTTCGACTTAAACCCCGTGTCATTTTGTTAACTTTTACAGTTTATACTTGAGGGTACTAACAGGCTTTTGTGCGATGCCTATAAACATTGTCACGGACATTATGAGACTAGACATCCACAAATAAAAGCATGTCGTTGCGTTTGACAAATGTTGGTGCAATCAATTATTATTAGGTATAATAAAAAAAAAGGTGAAGTACACTAAAACATGGCAGGAATTGTGACCGTCGGGGTGCGCTGCGGCCTCGTAATCTACAGTTCTATAGGTTATGGGTTCGATTCCATGGTTCGATTGGGAGTTCTGCGGTGCGTGTGCCCTTGGGCAAGACACTTAGTCACAACTTGCTTCTTCCCACCCTGAGTAATATTGGAACCTGTGAGGGGCACGGTGGTTATTATTTTTGAGTTTTTGCTGTTTGTGCCTTAAAAATGGCTGGATCGGGCTGTGTACTTCTAGGGAGCTGATTGGTATATGGATTTCTTTTATCCCAATGAGCAGGGGTAATGATAATTATGGCTTTAATCTTTGTTTCAAAGCTCTTAATAAACACCTACACTTTCAAAACACTGGTTAAAATTTTGTTAGCTAAAAAAGTTAATAACAATTTAAACAACATTGTGTAAATTTTTAAAATTTTACTAATGTTGGGTACATTTTTACCCAACGTTGGGTAAACTTGGTTAATTTTTTTAACCAACTTTTTAACCAACTGCTGGCTGTTCACCGGTTAATCAGCAGTTGGTTAAATTAGTCATTTTTACCCAACGTTGATTCAATTTAACCAAATTTAACCAACGTTGGGTGGGTTTAACTATTTTAACTTACCGTTGGTTACCAGTCGAATAGCCCAGCAGTTGGTTAAAAAGTTGGTTAAAAAATTTGAACCAATTTTACACAACGTTGTGTAAAAATGTACCCAACATTGGTTAAATTGGAGAAAAAAATTACCCAATGTTGGTTAAAATTTTAACCAACTTTTTAACCAACCAAATTTTAACCAGTGTTTTGAGAGTATAATTTTATTATTTAAATACATTTGTGAATTCAATTAATTGTTTAGACTCAAACGCTTTTCTGACGACCTCAGCCGGGTTTACAGTGCGGCTTGGTTAAGTAAGCATTAACAAAACAAACAGGCGGAAGCTCAGCGTTAACATTTCATGTTTGTTTTCTATATGGTTGGATTTCAGATATGGAAAAGAATACCATGAACTTTGCTTGAGTCTGCATTCGGAAAACAGCCGTCGTGCATAGCTTGAGCGACTTCGGGCGAAATCAGTTTGTTTTCGTCATTAAAAAAAAAATTATCAATAAATCCTTAGATTCTTAATACGGATTGTACTTTAAAATGTCTTTATTCAAAATTCACTTGCTAAACTTCCAATTAAAGATAATAATCCTATGTAAGGTTTGTTTGGTTATTTTCTAAAAATCCATTTAGTATATCCTTTCCATGTTCACGTAATTGAACATTCCTATGTAAGTATTAACTGCCAAATTTGTTAGGCTCAAATAATTAAGAAATGAGTATGAGATCAAATATTATAAAAGTGCATCATAACTGTGAAATTAAACCTCTAACCTTGATAAATATAATTCACGCTTATGTATATTTTTGCTTCGATTAAGACAACGCATTGCCTTTTAAAGTAATTTTGTGAGTATTTTTCGCTGTTTGTTTTCTGAAAGTTAGTGTTTTTTCTAAGTTGACTAGGCCTCCTTGTGTCATACATAGTACGGAGCCCTTCGCAAAAAAATCCTCGAGATCCGACATTATATAGCTGGGTTAGAGTTGTGAAGAGCACAAATCCTGGCTTAATATATATATATTTTTTTACAATATAATGTTTAGTACTCCACTCTATCTGTTTTTTCGCTAATGATATTACTCTACTGTACCTAGAGTGACTGTCATCAGTCTTGTATCTGTGTTTTTTTTTTCCAGTAATACTATATCATTACTCTAATCTACCTTGAGTAACCATCATCAGTCTTGTATCTTTTTTCAGTCATACTCATATTAGTACTCGACTCTTCCTCAAGTGACTGCCATCAATTTTTATCAGTAATTATTATTACTCTACTCTACCCAGAGTGACCGCCATCAGTCTTGTGTCTGGGTTATTTCCAGTAATAATATATTATTACTCTACTGTCTCTACCTAGAGTGACCGCCATCAGTCTTGTATCTGGTTTTATACCAGTAATGATATATTATTACCTACTCATTCTAGAGTGACCGCCATCAGTCTCTTATCTGTTATTTTTTTTCATTAATATATATTAATACTGTACTCTATCTATAGATTGACCGCTATCATTCTTGTATCTGGGTTTTTTTTCCAGTGTTATTACTCTACTGTACTTCAAGTGACTGCCATACATCAGTCTTGCATCTGCTTTTGGTAATAATATGTTAATCGCCATATGCAGCAGTAAAAAATGCATTCGATAAAAATGCTACGAAGTTGGACATTATCGGCCGATGTGTCAAAAGAATATCATTTATTTGTTAATGTAATTACCATAATCATTGAAAACAGTAATTTAAAGCTGTTTTCGGACACAGTAGTTTAAGATGTTGAGCAATGATCCTTATGTTGGTATTAAGGCTCCGATAGTTTAAAATAGTTTGGCGCAATTCAACCAGAAAGTCATTGAATTGCCTCTTTTCATTAAACTGGTGTACTGTTGTATTCACATACCTTCGTTATTCTTAAATGCTGTAATGTTAATTTGTTGAAAATGACTTTAAAAATAAAATTAAAGTGTAAACTGACAGAAGTATCCGTTGACTGTTTGAATGTATACGTAAAATCCTGTGGATACTCCTTTCCACTGAAATTAGATTATCTCCAGGCCTTCGGTATATTTCTCTTCCTTCTGTCATTGAACTTTACCAGATACTCAAAAGGCTATAAGTAGTCTCCATAACCTATCAATGCAATAGTTTGAAAGTGGTGTTTGGTTTGATCAAGTGACGATGCTGAACCCACATTTGATAAGTGGCAACTCAGTTTTGATATTTGTTTTCGAAAACATTCTCGATAAACATCACATAACACGGAAAACATCACAGTTGCGGGGTTCATAGTCGTACCAGCATTATCTTTGCAGGATTGCTGATCGGCCATTTTGATTTCTAGTATAGGGGGAAAACAGTTTTGTTTAGACTAGGGGCTAGAGACAACCTTCATTTGGAGCAGAGTTAAGCCTATATTTTTTCTCCATTTCACTGGTTGTTAAGACCTGTTGTCGTTTTTTTTTTTTTTTTTTTTTGAAATAGTTGATTATGTTTGAGGTAGGCCTACTCCCTTGTGGTTCAACGTTCATGTTGGCCTGTAAGCATGCATTATAGAATTCACATTGTGCTGTGACTGTCTTTCACGGTTGTACAAAGTCCATTGTACAATACACAGTTCAGGTGCAAGTAGGTCAACCTCGTTCCCAGCCTCGACTTTCATTTCAAGTAGACGCGAGACTAGGCTGCTTGAGTCCCATATTCTGATTCATTGGCAATGACGAGTATTCATATCATGTACTCGTCAATCGTGACGTTAATAATTAACATGCTCAATTCCCCTTACAAAAAAAATCGGTATAATATTGAAGATTAGTTGGGTGCGATGATTCACTGCATCTCCTGAAAAAATCATTTATTTTGTAAAAAAAAGCCAATATTTTTGGATATACGAATGATCCAATACCACGACGAGAGCGCCTAGCATACCGCACGAACGTCATTGAATGCTAGCTATAGAGGTACATGCCGAAAGCTTCTCTTTCATTTAGGACACCCAGATTTCCTGACCCACGTTATCTAAATTGGGAAATCGTTTGAAATCTATACTTTGTACCCCAATACAGATTTCTCATCGTCGTCATGTACTCCAGTGTCAATTGTCAACGTCACTGTCGTGGATTACTTATTAACAAATGCCCCACACTCGGTGACACTGTGTACCTCGTCTTTGCAATATCAGTTAACCACCAGGCTGTTCAGTCATTTTGGTTTTGGTTTTTAGCGAAGCGAAACGGTTCAGTTTGAAACGGGGCTCTGGTTTTCATTTCGGGATAGTGACATACTTTTGAGGTGAGCCTACATTCTTATTATTTTGGCTGTGTATATATGTTGATGGATGTTGTGATAGTGGTGGTTGTGGTGGTGGTTGTGGTGGTGGTAGAGGTGCTGTGTATGGGTTTGGTGGTGGATGTTGTGATAGTAGTGATGGTGGTGGCTGTTGTGGAGGTGTTGGTGGTATGTGTGTATATGGTGGTGGAGTAAAAGACTCGGTACACGATTATTGTATTTTTATCAAAGTTGCTTTGTTTTATTTCCGTCTTATAGAGGCTATAGAGCATTAAAGTACACCAAGACAGCAAGATGCAACCCGTTGCGATGAATCAACCAGTGCAGATGCAGATGCCTACCCCGGCGCCCTCCCGGCGCAGTAGGTACTCCTGTGCAGTCAAGTCGCTCGGAATTATGCAGATCATCATTGCAGGAATCTCGGCCGGGTTGGGCATCGCCACAGGCGTTGTCTGGCCCACTATTGCCGTTATAGCATCCGGCGTGTGGGGAGGTCTTTTGGTATGTTTTTAATTATTCATTGTTTTTTTTTTTAAAGTCTTGCATATGAAATACATCCTTACCTGACGTGTTCTGCGTTAACGTAGCCGGTACTAGCATATGTACATGTAGTGTGAATGTCGAATAAGTAACTGGCTACTTATTCAATGTTGAATGTCGAATGGCGCACAGGGAATTGTAAGGTCAGAGAATCGGCCACAATTTTGTTTCGTTTTTTTATATTTGCAAAGGTTGAATCTTTCCCTGTTTTTATTCAATTTCAGTTTTACCTTCCTGCTGGAATCCTTGGTGTGTTGTCCGTTACCATGGCTGTTAATTCGCGGAGATGCTTGGTAGGTTTTCCACATCAAGACTAAGTAGAAAATGATGAAGGGGAACATGTTGTGAAGCATGTTTCGTGTTCCATGGAGGGAACTTGCCACACTTTTGAAATCTTTTTAAAGATAACTGATAGAAAGAGAAATTATAGACACTGAAAGGGGATCAAATCATGGCAAGTTATTGCCGTTTAAAACAAAATAAAAATGGGGAAAGGGTAATTTTTATTGACGGCATTGTTTTACGAGCACACATGAAAGTCAGGTTGTTTTGAGAGTAATTTACGCAAAATCTCATGTTTTTCTTTGTTTGTTTGATTGTTTGTTTGTTTCTTACTTTTTACTTTCTGCAGGCCATCGCAAGCCTGGTCATGTCCATCCTTTCTGCAGTAGTGGCTTTCAGCAATATTGCAGTGTATGGTGTGGCCATTGCAACCGACCTAGCTATCGCCTATTCTCACTATCATTACAGCCCCTATTTTTATGGAAATGTAAGATGAGAGCCAATATTGTTCCCAACAGAGACAAATCCGAGCACGCAATCACTGTTCACTCACCAATTCTCAAATTTGTATCCTTGTGGAGACATTCCTTTGTTCTCGTGTAGTAAAGTGTTCAATTTTGAAAGTGAAGTTTCAAAATGCTCTTATTTTAACCAGAATTAGTTTCCTTGGCTGAATTTTGGACTTAATATCCCTTTTCTAAAACTTTTCCATTTGCGACGGATCAACCCACCTTGGAAATTCCTAGTTTTTGAGTAAAACCCATATATCTATTTCGTGAAAACCTTGTGGAGACCTATTCATCTATAGAAATTGCCCTGTGGAGACCTTTACAATGTTGTGTTCCCTATTGTGTGTGAGTTTCCACAAGGATACGAATTTGTGGTCACGGATGCCCCAATCAATGACGAAAGCCTTGCGCCAGCTATTGTTCAGATATCCGTCCAGGTCATGTGACAAATTGTTCAGTACTGACACAATGAAGGGGACCGCACTGAATATACAGTCGTAGCTCGATCGGTTTGGTGCATTAAAACAAATTGTAAATGCCTCAAATAGACAAAAAAATTATTTGTTTTTCAAACCGTGAATACTTGTATAGACCATTTTTACGATGCGGACATCTTGATATTTTTCCCATTTAAATCAACGTAACCAAAGCGAGGCTGGAAGGGAAAATAGTCTGGTTCCTTTTTGCACCAAAAATTGTCATTCAGTACTGTTATTGGATACAGGGAACATGACTGAAATGATGGAATCATGATAAAGATCTATTATTTTGAGGATTCATCATTTATCAAGGAAAACAAGTAAATTGATACTCAACTCTCTCCCTTAAAAATGCACATGAATCTAATTTGTATTTTGCTTGTATATGCGAAATACATAATTACCATTCGATTATAGCGCTTTACACCAAAGGTCTCGAAGCGCTTCACAATTATTACCCCTGATCATCAGATCATGAGACCAGATTTGCAGCAGCTCTGGGTCAGCGCATTCTGGTCTCTTCCCTCACACATATATTGCTGGGTGGAGAGAGGCAATTTTAGTAAAGTGTCTTGCCCAAGAACACAAGCATATCCCCCACGAATAACGGTACATGAGTCGAACACCGTTACCATAATATCAAGGGAAATGTTTGGAGAATTGTTCTTTTGATGATGCAAGCATGGCATTTGGCACACAGTCAGAGTTTATATGTATTAAGAAAGATATTTGGCTATCGGACCATCGCAGAAAATGAAGGAAGAATAACAAGCAATATTCAAAGTTTTATCTGCCGTACAAAAACTAATAAACCTCTGTCCTCTAACCAATAGCCGTCTGTGCCGCTGACGTTGGATTCCCTCTTGGTGTTTACTTCCGTGCTTGATCTCATCGTGTCAATCACTGCCGCTGCGTACTGCTGCTTCGTCATGAGTGAATATCAACTGAACAACACCACCACGGTAAACAAGAGCAAAGAAATTGTCGTCTTACTTAAAGAAACCGTCATTTCAAGTCCCTTTTTATGGTGAAGAACAATCTATGAAAAAAAGATGCACAGTTCCATACGACTATTGTGTGTAGAAAGTCCTTGGGGACTCAGAAACATTTAGAATTACGTTCTTAAAAAAATGGTTTCTCAGTCCCACATTGTTGAGGTTTATATATTCAACAACATTTGAAATGCACGCATGGCTATCGAAAATGGGCTGATGAGGCGGAAGCTCACTGCCTTCCCGCGAAAAGCTTCTTTGTTTCTTTATAGCTGTGCAGTGATTTTCGCTACAACTTGTATCATTATTATTGCTTGAGATTAGGTATCCAATATTTATCACAGTTTCATTTGTTGTGACGTGGAAAAAGCTCATCTATGGAAAGCGACACTTTATCGTAATCATATCTCAATCAATTACTCATAAAGCACCTGTCATTTTGATCCTCCTGTTGTTGTGATTAACAGGTCCAGTACGTCTCCACTCAAGCCACCCCACAGGTGATGGTGTACAACCAGCCAGCCGCCGTACCCTACACAACAGGCGCCCCAGGCACGTTCGTGACTAACCAGGCCCCAGTTCAACAGCAGGCCTTCGGGGCCAGCGCTGCTGGTGCACAAGGTAATAAACACATTATACGAAATTCTATCCCATGTCAAAATGGTGCCTAGAATTTAAACATTCTTGAAAACAGCTGTTTTAATAATAATAATAATAATGGCTTCTTGTACAGCGCTCATGTCCGTCACGAAGTGACGCTCGATCCTGGCGCTCTATTATTATTACCCTGGCTTTAGCGCGGCTGCCATTACAGCGCTCAAGCTTTTGAAGGTTTTTCATCCTACCAGGTACCCATTAACCACACCTGGGTGGAGAGAGGCAATCGTAGTAAAGTGCCTTGCCCAAGTGCACAAGCACCATGTTCCCCGTCAGGATTCGAACCCCATGTACCGCGGCACACGTACGAGTCGAACATTGACACCGTAATTGTTGGACCACAGCACCCCACATGTTTAGTCTGAACCATTTTTTAAAAATTCCACGGCATGGAAGTCCGTTAGTGGCATCAGGCCCATAACCTATAAAATTTCAAGTATATATTTTGGAGTTCATTTAAGAGATTATTTGGTAATAAAAAATAGAGATAGTATTTACCCTGTCTTTCGACCGGAACCCCGTGTCATTTTAGTCACTTTTACAGTTATACTTCAGGGTACTTACAGGCTTTTGTGCAATGCCTATAAACATGCCACGGACATTAGGAGACTGATAAAAACATGGGGTAGGTTTGACAAAAGTCGGTGCAATCAAGCATAATAAAATGTAATATACTATCAAACTGGCGGGAATTTTGACCGTCGGGGAGCGCTGTGGCCTTGCAATCTACAACTGTTACATTGAATTGAAAATCTTTAGGTTGTTCTCCAGGTAGTGGGTTCGATTCCAGCCTTGGGTTGGGGGCGTGTGTCCTTGGGCAGGACACTTTGTCACAACTTGCTTCTTCCCACTCTGGGTAATATTGGAACCTGTGAGGGGAACGGTGGTTATCGTGTTTGGATTTAAGCTGTTTGTGGTTTTAAAAATGGCTGGATTGAGTTGTATATTACCAGGGAGCTGAAAGGGTATATGGAATTGGTTATAGCCCAATGAGCAAGGGTAATAATAATTATAAAAGCGCTTTGATCTATAAACACCTAGTTTTATTATTAAGTACATTAGTGAAAACAATTGTTACGTTAAGATCCAAACGCTTTCCTGACGATCTCAGCCTGGTTTAGGGAGCTTGAGCAGGGTTTACAGTGCAGCTTGGTTAAGTAAGCATTAACAAAACAAGCAGACGGAAGCTCAGCGTTAACATTTCATGTTTGTTTTATATATGGTTGGATTTCAGATATGGAAAAGGATACCATGAACTTTACTTGAGTCTGCATTCAGAAAACAGCCGTCGTGCATAGCTTGAGCGACTTCGGGCAAAATTAGTTTGTTTTCGTCATTAAAAAAAAGATTATCAATAAATCCTTACATTCCTAATACGGATTGTACTGTTAAAATTTCTTTATTCAAAATTCACTTGCTAAACTTCCAATTAAAGATAATAATCCTATACAAGGTTTGTTCTTTTCTAAAAATCCATTTTAGTATATCATTTTTTAATGTTCACGTTATTGAAAATTCCTATGTAAGTATTAACTGCCAAATTTGTTAGGCTCAAATGATTAAGAAATGAGTATGAGAAGAAATATTTAAAAAAGTGCATCATAACTGTGAAATTAAACCTCTCACCTTGATAAATATAAATTCACGCTCGTGTAGCCCAGCCCCAACACGTCACATGACCAAACTGGAGTCAAAGGACATCATGGGGTTACTGGGGACAAAAACCTGATGTTTACTCAAAATAAAACTTCCAGAAATTTGAAAACACAATCACGTGACTCATGCATTAACACGAATTCGTTGGCCTGCAGCTTCCGAGATCCGACCGAGCTTGTTCAGTAAGCTTGTTCAGTAATAATTTATTATTACTCTACCTAGAGTGACCGTCATCCGTCTTGTATCTGTTTTTTTTCCCAGTAATAATATATTAGTACTTTACTCTACACGGAGTGACCGCCATCAGCCTTCTGTCTTGGTTATTTCCAGTAATAATATATTATTACTCTACTCTACACTAAGTGACCGCCATCAGCCTTCTGTCTGGGTTATTTCCATTAATAATATATTATTACTCTACTCTACACAGAGTGACCGCCATCAGCCTTCTGTCTTGGTTATTTCCAGTAATAATATATTATTACTCTACTCCACATAAAGTGACCGTCATCAGTCTTGTATCTGGGTTTATTCCAGTAATGATATATTATTACTCTACTCTTCCTAGAGTGACCGCTATCAGTCCTGTATCTGTTTGTTTTTTTCAGTAATAATATATTATTACTCTACTCTACCTAAAGTGACTGTCATGCATCAGTCATGTATCTGTTTTTAGTAATAATATGTTAATCGCCATGTGCAGCAGTAAAAAATGCATTTAATCAAAATGCTATACGAAGTTGGACATTGTCGGCCAATGTTTCTAAAGAATATCTTTTATTTGGTCATTTAATATTTACATAATCATTGAGAACAATAACTTAAAGCCATTTTTAGACAAAATAGTTCAAGATGTTAAATAATGATTCTTGGTATTTAGGCTCAGATAGTTTAAACTTTTGGCGCAATTCAACCGAAAAGTAATTAAATTGCCTCTTTTCATTAAACCGATGTATACTGTTGTATTCACATACCTTTGTTATTCTTAAATGCTGCAATGTTAATTTGTAGAAAAGGACCTTAAAAAATAAAATTAAAGTGTAAATTGACAGAAATATCCGTGACTATTTTGATTGTATACGTAAAATCCTGTGAATTCTCCGTTCCATTAAATTTAGATTATATTCAGGCCTTCGGTATATTTCTCTTGCTTGCGTCATTGAACTTTACCAGATACTCAAAAGGCTATAAGTAGTCCCGATAAGCTTTCAATGCAATTTGATTATGTGGCAACTCAGTTTTGATATTTGTTTTCGAAAACAATTCTCGATAAACATCACATAACACGGGAAAAATCACAGTTGCAGGGTTCAGACTCGTACCAGCATTGTCTTTCCAGAATTGCTGATCGGCCATTTTGATTTCTAGTATAAGGGAAAACTTAACAGTATTGTTTAGACAAGGGGCTCTGCAACGTTCATTTCGAGAGCAGAGTAAAGCCTTTTTTTCTCTATTTCGATGGATGCTAAGACCTGTTGTTGTTTTTTTGATATAGTTGATTATGTTTGAGGTAGGCCTACTCCCCTGTGGTTCAACGTTCATTCTGACCTGTACATGCACTATTGAATTTACATTGTGCTGTGACTGTCTTTCACGGTTGTACAAAGTCCATTGTACAATACACAGTTCAAGCGCAAGTAGGCCAACCTCGTTCCCAGCCTCGACTTTCATTTCAAGTAGACCCGAGAGGCTGTTTGAGTCCCATATTCTGATATTTTGGCAAGTAAATGATTCATATCATGTACTCGTCAATCGCGTAATTTATAGAATATCATGCTCAATTCCCCTCACACACAAAAATAAGTATAATATGGAAGATTAGTTTGGTGCGATGTTTCACTGCATCTCTGGAAAAAAATAATTTATTTTGTAAAAAAAACAAACCAATGATTTTGAATATACGAATGATCCAATACCACGACGAAAGCGCCTAGCGTACCGCACGAACGTTGTGGGATCGAGGTTGCTGCAATTGGTAAACACGCGTCATGGCACTATCATTAGGCCTACGTCTGTTTGCTGATGGCCCAGAAAGTTGAACCCGGATCAAGTTCGTGCTCTGGTTGGGATGATTTATTTTGTAAAGAAAAAATATCCAATAATTTTGAATATACGAATGATCCAATACCACGACGAGAGCGCCTAGCGTACCGCACAAACGTCATGGGATCGAGGTTGCTGCAATCGGTAAACACGCGTCATGGCACTATCATTAGGCCTACGTCTGTTTGCTGATGGCCCAGAAAGTTGAACCCGGATCAAGTTTGTGCTGATTGAAGACGAAGATCATTGAACCCGGATCGTTGTTATTCGGAGTGGCTCTGCGATTGGGCTATTCCTCACTGAGAACTCTCTGTTCTTTGACAAACTGTAAAATTCCACTAAGCAAAGAACTGGACAAATCCAAGGTTTTTTGGGACTTGTGTGCAAAGATAGTTGTGCTTATGTTACAAAACTTTTAGTTAAAAAAGTTGGATAAAATTATAGCAGGTTTAAATAATTCAATATTTTCAATAGTTTAGAAAACCTTCGTTTTTGCAGTCTTATTTGTGTCAGTACATTGCGGTCAATTTCAGCTTTGCACTCAAAAGAGAAGGAAGAACAAATCTTCGTCTACAATCAGCACAAACTTAGTTGGCATTATTTTTGATAACCTGACGGTGGAGGGACTAAAAGATGTAGTATGCTATTTTAGAACACCGGCATTTGGCCAGTCAGGCATCTAAAATTAAATTTAAATAATGGGAGTTTGGGAGGTCTGAGTGACGCACATCAATTATCTTTAAGCATATGCGTCAGTGTCAATGTTCAATTGGGCTCTATATTGGTGGTTAAATATTAACAAATATTTCCCCCCTCCGGTGACAGTGTGTACTACGGACTGACGTGGTCTTTTTGTGCCAGTATAGGCCTATTTTCAGCTGTTAGGACTACTGGTCGGCCATTTTGATTTCTGGTTCGGGGAAGCAAAGCAGTGTTATTGATACAGGGGTTCTGCGAGGTTCATTTCAAGTGAGTCAAAACTTTCTATTTCTTCCAAGGATCTTTGTCGTTCGTTTTTTGTAGTCGCGGTGAGTGTGGTGTTTATGCAGGCCCGGTGATGATGGTCGTAAGGCAACGGCGGATCCGGGGGAAACAACTTAGTCAAAAGATTGACTGGCATTCCTAGTTATTGAAAATTGACTAGGAATTTAGTTAAACATGTAACGTTTCATATCATAACTAGAAAAAAATGTTGTTGGATTGGACTCCAATTTTAGTTATTTGCAGAACTATTTTTCAGTACTGACTGGAAAAATCTAGTCAGATTGACTGATTTTCAGTTGCACCCAGTTGACCCTGAATGGCCAGTCAGCTAAAAATGATTTCTAGTCAAATCTGATTCATGATTTCATGATTCATGAGTGAACGGAGGCCATCCCCCCCCCCCCCTAGAGAAAAAGAAAAAATTGACGTTGCAAAAATTTACAGTTACAATTTGGGCGGAAAATGCATCTTGACCTGCTTTTTCGGGGAACAAATTTTGTTGGCCCCCAAATTTGTGTTCTGAATCTGGCCTTGTCGCAAGGGAGGTCGATCGTGCTGGTTTTAGTGGTCGCAACTGTTGTTGTGACGATTGATAGTAATCGTGGTGAGTGAGTCAGATTGACGTGACCAGGGTTCGACTCCCACCCAGACCTGGTTTTTCAGCTCCCTTTCTTCCGTTCGTTTTTCTTTTCCTGGGGTTTATCCTCCCACCTCTTAAAGTGGAAATTTTCTACGTATAGTCAGTGCACATTTAAGGAACCGTACTATTTGAAGTTATTATATCAGAGGGGAAAATACTAAGTTGAGGAGAAATATTCGTTATAAGTATTATGTCGTAACAATCGTGACAAATTTGCTGGTCACGATAGTGTATGTAGGTGGTTGTGGTTGTATTTGTTCGCGGTATTAATCCTCCTCGTCTGTTAAACGAGACTAGGCCGACCTATAGTCAAACTGGACTTTAAGTTTCAGTGTAGGATATCATTAATAATCAGGCAGTACTCGGGGAGTCAGTCAGTCAGTCGGTCAGCTTGTCAGTTTGTTGGTCACTTTCGGGCAATATGCTTGCACCGGTACAGCAAAAAGCCCACACCATTTACATAAGCCATGCGTGTCCAGTAACTGCTTGCGTTGTATCTTGTACCTTATACAGTTGCTAAAGAGAAGGACACGAGGAGCTAGACGACAAGATGCAGCCCGTAGCACCGATTCAATCGGTCCAGATGCAGATGCCTCCCACGGCGCCCTCCCGGCGCAGTCGGTACTCCTGCGCTGTCAAGTCGCTCGGGGTTCTTCAGATCATCCTCTCGGGAGTTTCTGCCATTGTTGGAGTCGTCGCAGGCTTCACTGGATCTGTGATCGGGCTTGCTTTCGCGGGCACCTGGGGAGCGATCTTGGTAAAGCTAGTGCAATCTTGTTCTTTAGTCTATTTCCCTCTATTTTGTTTTCTTTTGTTTTCTTTTGATTTATTTTAGTTATATAGTTATTTTGTTATACACAACGCCTGATAAATCATTGGTGTGTGATTGCCAATTGGTGACTAGTATAACTGTTACATCAGAGCTGTTATACTTATAGCGCGACCAATATATTGAAACCGTGCAATGCAAGTTCGTTTTATCGTAGAATGGAACTTCTATTTTTGCAACGCGGCCGCGCCGTGCGTTAGGACGAATAATTCAATGGGCGTTGTAAAAAAAAACAATTAAAGAAAGTTCCACATTCGTGCAATGGAAAGAATGATTTCATTCGGTGACAGATGGAATTTTTGAATTCCACGAGGCGAACTCCAATCGGATTCGCCTCGTGGAATGGAACATTCCATCTGTCACCTCATGGGAATTATTCTTACCATTGCACTCATAAACATGCATTATTTTTATACTGCTTTATGGTGTTCCAAAGGGTGTACCCGGTAATAGAATGATTGCCCAAAATTAGAGAACTAAAAGACACTTTCAACTCTTTTCAAACTTTGAATAAGGGATCAATTAATCTATCACACTGGATTTTGAAGAGCTCCTGTCATACCTGTTGAGTCAGTGGGAATCAGAATCCGACCTATAACAGTTTAAGTGGTGCCTGCACTTCCAATACCAGTAGGGGTATTATTCAACTATATTTATCATCAAGTCATAAAGCCGGTGTGTTGTGGATTATTATCTGATATTTTTCCTGTAGTTTTTCCTCCCGGCTGGAATCCTTGGCGTGTTGTCTGTGACGCTTGCTGTCGGCTCCCGAAGATGTTTGGTAAGATATTTTTCCAGGCACTGAATGTAACTACTGCGAATCGTGCAGATTTCGTGTCATATCTGCAAATTTCATTCTGACAGTAATAAATTATTGGCAAAATTGTTAATCAGGTTGAGAAGTTTATTAGAACAGGACCTACATGTAATCATAATAAGACCCAGAAGCCGTTTGCTCTTAACTGAGCCACCCAACCCCAAAAGGGCACTCGTAAAAGGTCGCAGTTAATAAAAGGCCTGCACTTGTTTTACAAAAAAAGGGCACTTGTTTTAACTTGCAATTGTAAAGTTATTATCATTCCAGTGCCTTTTCAGAATGCTTATAATTCACTTCCCGTGTGTGGCACGGGCTATGCTCTAGTTCATAACACTTTTAAATATTTTTTTTCCTTAAGAAAACTCTTAATGTCGTGTTTGCTTTCCACAGGCCATCGCCTGCATGGTCATGTGCATCCTTGCCTCTGTAATGGCTGCTGCCAACATTGGCCAGTACGGGGCGTCGATGGCTTTCGATGGATATTATTACGGTGGAGGGGGCTATTATTACGTAAGATGAAATCGAATACATTTCAAACTGACAAAATGAAGTCTCCGTAAAAAATATACAGAGCGAGTAAAAAACAAACCCAAATGGTGCCCCTATTTTTGAAGAGGTTCGGCATGTAGCGCTTTCAAAAACCAGGTATGTGAAAGCCCAATTAATACGCTTTGTTTTACGCTACATGCAGAAATTCTTGAAAAATAGGGGTCACCACTTGTTTTTTTTTTTTCTCTCTGAAGTTATATCCTTGTGGTTTCTGATATAATTAATACCTTGCATTTCTATTGACGGTACATAAGGGTTGGGCACTCTTGATTGCCAAAAATGTATTCAACTGTGTAAAATCATTCATAAGTACAGTTAAGAAAAGGGATAGAAATCTGCTTTCATTAAAAGAGCCTTGCCCCTCCCATTTCACAAAATGAGCACATAGTAGGATATTTTTTTAAAAGAAATATGATCCATTGGGCTTGTCACAAGACCAAGTGTAACTTGACATTTCGCTGGTTGACGCACGCGCACCTTTCCTTGTGTGTGACGCACGTACACCAGGGGATTTGTACTATACACGCAGTGGCCGCAGCCAAATATTGCAGTCAGGCAAGATGGCGTCGTTCAGTCACCCCCAACTGTACTTTCTTTGCCGGTGAGGGGGTACTTGTGAACGGAGCGGATTGCGTCTTTAGCTTTGCGTGAGCGAATACATTCAAATATAACTTGCGATGGTCTCCCAGACTAATCCCCGCCCCCAATAAATTTGGATCATTCGAAATACGCAGTGGATCATGGGCCGGGAACCAGTCTAGGTCTCCTCCAACTCTTCTTTTCTGGCCGTTGAAGGGGTACTAGTGCACGGAGCCCATATATCTTTAATCCGCGGCCACAGACAAAGCCCGGGTTTTCAATCTCTTCTGTTGAGGTCAAGTCCATCACAACTCCCCACATGTTAATCACAAGTCCTCCAGTCCCAACTTACGTCACAAGCTCTTCAAACGAACTCTGACAACTTGTTTTTCCCCCACCGAGTTCATCCCCTGTTACCTGTGACTGGACTTGTGAATTACCTCGAATCAGCCTTGTGATGTACTCGTTTAACCATCGCAAGTGCTCCGGCATCATCACTGATTTTCATTATGTTGACTTTTAAGTACACATGTGTAGTGTACCCGAAATAACTTGTTTGATTTTGACATCTGCATGCAGTACACTCCAGTGCCCATCGCTATGGACGGCATCCTCGTGGTTGTTTCCTTGACTGAGCTTGTCGTCTCAATCACTGCTTCTGTCTACTGCTGTTATGTCATGAGCGAGTACCGCCCTACCAATCCCACGGTATGAATTGCTTCCAATTATAATGTCCATATTCCAATAGAGCATGCAAGTCTCGCCAGATGCAGACTTGGTACCTAGACGTTCACCAAACGTCAGTTAAACGGTACCAAACACAGACCAGTCTAGTCACATACCCCGTGTAAAAAGTTATCTACGTGATCGGTTGAACGGAAGTTGAGATCAACATTTTAAATTCATAATAGTTATCAATTTGCACAATTTTACAGTATGTTGCAAATTGAAATGCTTTCCTTTCTCCAGAAGTACACCCATTTAATACCCTTGATTGGACGGTCCGATTCAGGACACAAAATAAATGCAAAAATAAGACGTTGCACACGTTGTCGACACACAGGTGTGCTGTATTCTCGCGGGTCTTTGAGGTCAACTTGCACGCTCAGACGCTCTATTCACTGAAATGAAAGGTTACAGTAATATTTGTTTAGTAATAGAATTGAAGTGGGGCCTATTCTGTATTCATTGGTCACTACACCTTTTTGCTATCACAAGCAGTTCAGATTAAACAGTCTTAAGTACCGACTCGATAAATGTCCTGATGCTGTTGCTATTTTGTAAGACTACAGAAAAGAGAATTAAGCTCATGACGCAATGACGCCACAGTGCTGTTACCGCGATGCATTCTGGGAGTCATGTGAATGTGAAAAGTCTTCGGAGTCCGTTGAGTTGTCCCAACCGACAACATCAAAATCGCGGGGAAAAAAAATCCCATCTTTTAATACCAAGCGACATGAACCTCCGTCCCAAAAATGCAGCTGTCGAAGCAATACGTTATAGGCCTACATCTTCTTATTTGCGTAATCTAGATCCAGTTCATATCAACGCAAGGCAACCCTAACATGATGGCGTACAACCAACCGGCGGTGGCGTACAACCAACCGGCGGTGCCCTACACCGTGACACCAGCTGCCCCGGGCACATTCGTGGCCAACCAGCCCTACACCCAACCGCCGAGCTACACGGCTTGTACTACCCAACCAGGAGGTATGTAGGGGATATCTCAATCTAAATGCCAGTCTGTCTTTCTTTTTTGAGTCGGGACGTGATTGTCCCATGTTAAGGCCGACCAAAACACCTGCGTATATATAAAAGAATTCCGTAGGGCCTACATGGAATGCTCAGCCTTATGTTGAAAGATTTTCTCTAAGGTGTCACAGTGCAGTGCACGAGTACGCATATTTTATATTGCCAGTATTTTGGTGCATTAGATGTCAGATTTAAAATGGTATTGTACAATTAATATCAACATTGATACTTTTTTCTATTTTACATTATGAGTAATTGCCTTGTATGTTATACTTTTCGGACACCTTTTTGCAATCACAACTACTTGCGGTTCAAACATGTCAATTAAAGTATTAGAGAGCTCAAAGCAAAATGGACAAATAATGATAATAATAACAATTTGGAATATTCTGTCCAGTTCCAAGAAGGTTATTGTAGATTAATAAGGATGTTAAAGAAAACGGTGTAACATGTACTTGCGACCTAATGAAAAAAATAGAATGTTAATATCACATACAGAATACAACTCCTGTCGCTTGTTGCGATTTGCTATCTTCAGTTGTATAATTGTTAAATATGTTGTCAATGTGCGGGAATATTTAACTCACGCACCTTCGCTCCAAACAAAGACAGAAATATAAAAAAAAAAACACTGGACAACGGTTTAAATATCTCAGCTTATTCCTAGATGGTTCAGGGATTTTGTCAAACCGAAAGTTTTTATATTGAGTTCTGAGTTGTGAACAAGGGTATATTTACAGAAGTAATATTTTTATTTTGATTGAAATTGGTTATTAAGTAAAGGTCAACTTTTGAAAAATTTATATAGTCCAAACTAAAACATCTTCAAGGTGGGTTAATTAAAGGTGGTGACATTAATAACCACGTGCTTATTATCGCTGGTTTGCTTTTGAATGTTGCATTAAAACAAATTCAATCTTTTAAAAAGACATTTTTATGCAATCAATATGTATGTAATAATCGTCTTTCATTTCAAATACGCAATTAATAATTTTAATTACAGAAATACTATTAAATACAAATTAAATACAAAAGTCTATAAACAATTAAAGCGACTGTCTAGCACAATCTATCAAGCTACATATTACTAAATCTATTTAAAAAGAATCATTACCATGCCTGACATAAGGCGAAAATTGGAATAGGGTTGTAACACCGATAAAAATATTAAACACCATTCATAAATACCTAAGACGGTTCACCCATTCCTATTGGTCGATAGTCCATCACATATGGGTGGTTTTAAGCTGCCAGTAAAACACCGCTGCGTTCTGCGCCACATCGCGCGGGACGCGCCGCCCGCGCCGATTTCCATATAAGGATATTTCCAGCACTACGTGCGCGAGGCACATACCATAGACATAGCCAGAGGGGTATTTCACAAAACATGATGTAAATTTGTTGTACAAAATCGTTGGAAAATTGTGAATTTTTGGATATTTGGAATTTTTGACCCCAAGGTCATTACTGCGTCATTTCCCCATCCGGCTTTAAACGTACCGACCAAGCACATGTTTTATTCCCTTAGTAAATAAAATTAATGGCATTACGTCATTAATGATTGTTCCCCTTATGATGCACATCTACCAAAGTCAAGCAGCTACATATAGACGCCATTGCAGATATCAGCAAAGCTGACAGGCTGACGCTCGCCGCGAGGAAGTCATTTACGATCGTGGAAACCGACTGTTTGGAAAACAAGACAAGAAAAGACTAAGTTGTGGTCCCATATTGCAAGCACAAAACTGGCTAATCACTGAAAGTCTTGTTAAGCATGTCGCACACACAACGGTGCGGGTGATCCTACTACAAACTTTTGGGCGAAGGTGATACTTAAACCAGTCTGATTCACAAGTGGCAGTCTGGCGGGCACTTCTTCTTCTTCATTCATTCATTTTCATGATGACTTTATGAGTTGGGCCCAACTGTCCCTGTCGAGCATAGTGTTGGAAAGAGATGGACCACTCAGACCAGTTTCTAGCTCGATGGATGTTTTCAGGGTCACTGGCACCGGTTAATAGGTCTAAATCCTTCCGCCGAGCTCATGAATAAAAGTTATACCCTCAAAATATTCTATATTAGAGAGTTCCGAAAGCCATAAAATTGGGAAATTGAAGAGATATGGAAATGAACCTCTGGCCCGGACGCGAATTTTCTTTAAGCAAACGACATCGCATACATGGTTATTTAGCGCCCTCTACGATACATTTGTGTTACGTACGCAGGTATATTCGCTCGTACCCCCCGCCCTGCAAATAGGACGCTGGGAAGGGCTGACGAATTAACGCTCTGATTGGATAGATTTTGCGTGAATTGTGACCTGCAAGTCACCACGACCGCGACCCTGCAAGGTTTGAAACGGCCGTTTAAGACTGAGTCATTTATCACTCTTTTTATTCAAATGCGGCGCCCTTTTTTGGTTGAAAGCATAATGTAGGAAAATCTGTAAAACCTAGGCCTATCTGTTCTGTAAATGTAACTCCCGTCACGTCAGTTGCTCAGGCTCCGTTTCAAACTCAAGAAGTTTCGAAATGCATATCATTCAACGCTCAAAATTTGTCCACATGGTCCGCAATGAAAAGGAAATCACATTCGGTATGGTGTGTATGCATTTCTATGGCAAACCTTTCGGATACTATTTGCGCGCATTGGCTAACCGCGGTGTACAGCTGCAGCCAGATGCTTTATACATAGGTCATGATAAATTACCCAGAATGCCATCCCCACTTCCTTCACAAGACTCTGTGAAGCTCATCTGCCCTTCCCAGCGCCCTGTTTGCAGGGCGGGGGGGGGGGGGGGGGGGGGGGGGGGGACGAGCGAAGCGGGGGGGGGGGGGGGGGGACGAGCGAAGCAGGTATATAATATTTTTTTCCGCCATGTTTTGACGAGCAGTGCTATACACTACGACCAGCACAAAAAAATCTTGTAATAATAAATTTCGTCAAGGCCAGAATGGATTCGAGCCATCACCTCTATAAAAGTGAAATCGTGTTTGGTCAACGCCACATTTGTTTGTCATTGAGAACATTTACAGGTACATCGCATTTGACATTATTTGTGTACGAATACCCAGTTTCTTATTGAAAACAACCCGTTCATTAGCACAACCAGCATTTGGATTTGTCGGTTGGAAGGTTTTATGATCCAGGATATGCCAATCATTGTAAAATTGTGTTTGTTTTTCCTCAACAACACTGTTAAAAAAAGATCAGCGTAGTTTTCGAGAAAAAGAAATCGCAGTTTTTAAAATTGTTTACATACAGAACAGCATGCAGATGAGCAATAGGAATGTATTTCACTTACATCGACTCTGTTGATGTCTTCGACGGCTGAGATGAGGGAAAGGGTGAAATTCACAACGGCTGCGCTTGACGAAAGTACTGACATCACTAGGCTTGCGAGAGTCTTGCGAGATTAACAACAACAATGTAATTAGAAGTAAATAATTATTATGAAACGCTTTTCATATTACACGGAGTTTTGCATCGCCTTTGTAAATCAATATTAGATTTGCCATTCACCTACCCATAAATAGTGTATACACCCCCCCCCCCCCCCGGGTGAAAGGGGGAAAATCACTCGGGTGGGACTCGATCCCAAGACCTCCAGCTTTCAAGTGCAGACGTCGTACCAATCGACCACCGAGCTTGCGGGATCGGTTGGCTGGTTCGAATCTGATGAACATGTAGCAACGGGTACCGCAATTAATAAGATGGAATTTTGCGTCGGGGTTATGTAAATCAATATTAGATTTTGCCCTTCACCGACGTATAAACACTGTATACTCAGTGTGTTGTGTAAAGCTTGTTTTTTTTTTAAGAACAGTTCGAGGCCTTACCAATAACTTTCAATAACACGACCATCATAATCGTCTTGAAAAGAAAAAAAACACCCGAAAACCACTGTCCATCTCAAAATGTCACCAACTTGACGTTAATATGGAGTCTCAGATTTATTTCTTAAGTGATTTCGTAAGTCTTAGATAAACAATACCATTCGATTTCATTTCAGGTATACTGCTTTAGGCAAACCAAAATCTTACCAAGCTTTTCCGCGCCGAGGCTGGTGTTGTGGATTTCTGGGACAAAATACCGAAGATCCCCGCGGGAAGGTGCAGCTGCATACAAAAATTACAGACAATACAGTTGACATAATTTTCCGGTGAAATTATCAACAAAAATACGAATGTTTCTTTTTAATTGAAGTTTTGGGTGGGATTTAGCACCAACACCAACACCTGTACAGGTGTTGGTGCTAAATCCCACCCAAAACTTCAATTAAAAAGAAACATTTGTATTTTTGTGGCACTTTCAGTAATCTTTGTCTTCGTGTATATTATTATCATCACAATGTATATAGCCTATAATAGGTGACCCAAAAAAATGCAACCCTAAAACATTTGCCTTTAAAAAAAAAAAAAAAAAAAAAAAAAAAAAAAGTGGATTTTTATGTTTTGCATATCAGATTAAAGCTGAGAGCTTTTTCTTTCAAATACTAACAAAATCATGAAAATTGCACTTTGGGTTGCTGAGAAAATGCCAATTATGTAAAAGTAGTCATTTTTTATCCTGTACACAAAACATTACCATAGTAAGGGATTTTCACGGTACCTATTATTTTGTGCACGCCTAATCCTAATTACAAATAACATGGCACATTATGACAAGAGTACAAATGAATTTGGTGGAAATACCTTTTAGTGTATTAGCCTACTATGCAGTTATCCTTCATTTGTGCAATTTCTGTAGTATTTTGACATATGATGCTGAAAGGGTTTAAAATAGGACTAATAGGATGAGATACCTGTTCAGGTGGAAAATAAAAGGTATTTCCTAGCAAAAAAGCCTATAGGGAGTTTTAAATTAATCGTGTTTGAACTTACCAATAGACCCGTTAATATGTTCGAAACCCCAAAGCTGAGTTTCTTCGTGTCTGTCGCTACGACGGCGATTCCCTGTGCTACCGAGATGCAGGCAAGCAGGATCTGTAGGACTGCTAGCTTGGAGGCGGTCCGGTGAAGAGTGCTTGGCCGCTGCGGTGGCGTTGGCGAGACGAGCGGCTGGGCCTCCCCGGGGTATAACGGCTGAGCAGAGGTCTGATCCATCTCCGGGAGATCGACCTGGTTTTATTGAAAATCGAGGACATCCCCTGTTCTTTTGATTATATTTTTTGCAGCACTTCTCATAGGTTTTGTACATGTTTTCCAATCGAGGACAGTCCTCATTTGGGTACATATCCTCGTGGACATCACATTCTTCTTTTGTTTTGTACTATTTTTGTAGCGCTTCTCATTGGTTTTGTGCCTGTTTTCCAATCGAGGACTGTCCTCAGTTGGGTACATATCCTTAATGAAAAAGAATGTCCTCAAAATGTGTCCTCAATTTCCATGTATATGTGCATGGGTATGGGCGTTGCAAACATGCCAACAAGCATGACCTTATCCTGCTTCCACGAATTTCTGTATACTTATATTTTGGACCACGAGGATTCCATTTAGATGGTTTGCGACGGTAAAATTCCTTGTCCTAAGGGTCTTTTTACCAATAGGGCGACACAAATTTGTAGTTCCAATAAGGCAAAATCTGTCGCCCGTTTATGGGATTTTGTAGTTCTACTGCATCATAACACTTCGTTGGATGAGGGGCAAGCCCCTGAAATGATATTTAAGTTTATCTTTTTGCTTGGCAATTATGTATCCATTACCATCTGGATCATCCATCATGCTACCTTTTAAAACATTTTTCCCCCTGCAGAATTATTCTCCTACGATTCCGTACAGGTTTTCACTATGATTTTATCGGAACATTCAGGTAGAAATATTGTTATCAGTATATTCAAGTAACAAACGGAAATTTGGGGAAAGTTTACGAAATCTCAGACAAAATGGCTGTACTGGGAACAAAATCACGATAAAATCTCACAAAAATGTTTGAAAGGTGGTAACATTTTGATGGGCAGCGCAGCACGGAGATTGTATGTGTAGAGGCAGTCGATCCCCTCACCCACCCCCCGGCCCTTCCCCACTCACACCGGCACTAAGCAGCGCTATTATACTCACAGACTTGAAGCTTTTGAAGATTGTGGCTAAATTAAGATCGTCGCGCGAGCCTCTGTTAAAACTTTAAAAGGCACTCTATTCCAGCACGAACAAAGAGAACACCTGATCCCAAGCGGTTACAAAATAATTGTCTCTCAAAGAAATATTTGTTGAATATACAGAAGTGACACCCGGTGTTTTATTGAAACTCCGACCAGCGTAATATGCTGGTATACTTGCGGGAAATATTGTATCAGAATATCCGAAATATAACAGGTACTTGAACTATGACGGTGATAAACTATCTGGATACATGTAATATCATGTCAACATCAATTCTCAAGTTGACACCAGTACAGCTGGGCTGATGCACGCGCGACATGAGCATAATACAGCGGTGAGGGCATCTTATTGTTGTTCAATTCAATTCAAATTCAATTCAAAATACTTTATTTATCCTTAAAAGGGCAATTTCATATGGTTAGACAGCTCATTAAAGACACTTAGTAAATTACAAGTCGAGAAAATATAAATATATAAAACTTACATCAATCGCAAACAACATGTCCTTATCTCAATTAAAATTGGCGTAAAAACTCATCTTATCTAAAAACGTAGTATCTTTAGACGATTGTTTGCAACATAACGTCTAATTCTCAAAATAGGATGGATTAATGGTACAAAATAAAAACCCCCAGAGAAACTTGTATTTCGTATAAACCAGTAAGCTTTATATTGAGTACTTTTTCAAACATCGCTTAAAGATTAGTATAGCTTTATTTAAATACATAGTTAAGAAAGTGAAAACACACACACATACACCCCAACACGTTGATATATGCATTAAGCTAAGACGAGATAATTTGTTTTAAAAGCATAAAATCGTTGTGCATTTAATGCCGCCTTGTTTCATGACAAGTTTTCATATTAGGTATCAAATTTAAATTATAAAACATGAATACACAACGGCAAATCTTACACGCTGTATTTCAGCTACCAAGCACATTAACAAATCTAATTTATTTTTCAAACACTTTAAAGGCAAGAAATTAAATCAAACGCGAAATCTCACAAAAAATACAATGACAATCCTGATCTTAAAGTTGGTGTATACGCACTTTTTAGGTGTGGCACCTTGAAAAATAGATTTTCAAATTGAATTGATAATTTTCTAGCATCACATTAGTTATGAGCTTTCCAATGAGACATCGCACGTAAAAATCGGTCCACGACAAGTAATCAATTAACTAAGTTCAACTTTTGAATAAAGAGCGTGGGACGCTCCTAATTCGTTCTGAATAGTGTGCGCAATTTCTGAACGGGAGCGCGCCATTTAAAACCACTTTTTAATACTGTATAAAGGCCGGCAAAAGTAAAAAAGCACATTTATTTGTTGCAGGACATTGTATTCCTTCAAATTTCGTTCGGAAGAGAAAATCATAATTTTGAAGAAAAAAAAACACGTATATACTTTAAGACACCTTTTCAGTTTTTACTTTCAGATTAAGTTACGAGCATGCACGTCGTTCTTCAGTATTTTAACTCCTCTACTCTGAAGTTCAGTTCCCTTTCCGATGTTGACGATGTATTGTACATGGCAAAGTCTCCCATATTTCAGGCGAGGCCAACTTTCTCATTTTCTGAAAAGAAAAGGAATATACCCAAAGTTTGTTTTATGATAAAACATTACAAGAACAAAAGTTACAATCGCAAACAAAAACTGTAAAAAATCTGGGCAATGTGATACGTGGTTTAATAAACTCATGAAAAACCTTTGTCTTCTCGGCAATAACTTTCTACCAATTCAGTTGAACATTTTAACTGTTCATACTCGATGTTCTAGTTCAAACAAAACTCCAATGGAAAAGAAACTATACTCGAAAACACCACTCAGAAACAATGCCTTGACGCTACAATCATGACGTTTACACCGGGCCAAGATGTTTTTTGCGATTGTTATTGGTCTATTTTGAGCAAGTGACACGTAGAAGCTCCTCCCACGGAGCTTTAAAAAGAGCTAAGCATTACCCGGTGTGGGCATGGGCGTAGGTGCGCTAGGCGTGGGCGTGGTCGTTTGGCTCACTGGGGCGCCATAGTTGTGGTAGGCAGGGGGTTGGCCCATTCCTCCTCCGGGTATGTACGTTGGGACGTACTGGATCTGTGGGTGTCGAAATACAACACAATAATGTTATCAAACGAAAAGAAATGTAGCCTTTTCGAGACAAAAGCAAATGGTGTCGCTCTTTATACAGCGAGCTGCTGTAAACCTATCAAAGGGCCTTACGTTGGTGTTGTTCGCCGTGTGTAGTTCTCCCGTGACCAAGCAGCAGTAGGCGGCGGCTACGATGGCGACGACCAGCTCAAACAAGCTGAGAAAGAGGTTGCAAGAGTTTAGGGCAATAGCGGCTACAGTGTCCTGTAAACAACACATAACATGAGGTATCAAACTAATTTGATAAGTAACGTAGCAGAAAATACCACGCGCAAATTGTATAACACCATGAAGGAAGCTTCCTTCCTCCATGCTTACACTGCGATTCTTGTATTATGTTATTAATTATTTGGTTAATTTAAGGGCGCATGTAAAGGACTTTTTTTTATACAATCCTTGAAATGTAATTCCGTGTCCCATTTAACTTAATTTCTAATCTTCCTTTTGCCATTTTGAGGGCATTTGGGTGCCTTTTTGGTTCAAAATTTCATACTCATGAGCAAACTCGTGATGTCATTCAAGGCAGAAACTTCAGTGTCACATCTGCAGTATACAAAGTCAGCAGAATTTTTGGGGTTTGCTGTGAGTAAAGATTTCTGCTTTCAGTGGTTCATTTGTTGTTTCAGTATATGACAGTAAGACATTGAGGAAACTTTATGCGCAAATGTTTTTCAATAAGCAGAATTTTGGGTTTTACAATGTGAAGAGAAAAGCCTTATCCGAAGAGTATGTTCTTAAAAGGGACATCACGGCAACAGCGCCCTCAGTTGCCAGGAAAAGCGTGAAGCATTTTAAAGCTTCAAAAATGTGTACTTTGCACAAATATTTACCAAAAAGGGATGCCTCGTAGATTTAATGCATTTTCGAGGAAAGTGTGCTACAAATATGCTCGGGTGTAAAATTCATTTCATTGACCCTTTTATGAATGGAGGATATCTCAGAAGCTCTAAGCCTTAAACTTAAGGAGGCAATGAAGAAAGGGGGGACATTTTGACCCACGGAGGTTGATGACGTATTATTGTTCCAACAATGAGAACATTTTGTTTAGCACTTACACTGATACGGATGTCAACACTGATCGATGCAGAGCTCAACGCGATGTTGGCGCCAGATGCACAGGCAGCAAGAATTGACATCACCATGCACGCAATAGCCTGTCCAAAGAATGGTAAATGTGGCCCGTTCATGGTGAATAATTGTTTTGGGGATGGAGGTTTTTTTTTAAACTGATCAAATTTGTAATCGTTATTTTTTAACAATTAAGCGGACAAGCTTAAAACTGACATGATAAATCAATTTATATTTTACCGAGAATGATACCTTTAATGGTTGTGCACAAACTTTGTCCAACTTTAGTGACCCCTAATGAACTACTACATAATTGGCATTTTCTCAGCAACCCAAAGTGATACTTTCATGATTTCTTTCAGTATGAAAGAAAAAGCTCTCAGCTTTAATCTGATACCCAAAACATAAAAATCCACCTATCCTTTTTTTTTAAGGCAAAGTTTTAGGGTTGCATTGGGGGGGGGGGGGTTCACCCCGCACTGTCTTACGTAGCCTTTGCGTCTAGCAGGAACGGTCGTCGTCACGGAGATTGCGCCCAGGATTCCAGCCGGGATGTAAAACTGCAAGAAGATAACATAATTGTAATTAAAGGTTTTGCGGTTTGGAAATTTAAGTATGGGTGAGTATGTAAACACCGGCAATCGTGGACCTAGGACAAAAGGGTTAGGGCACAAACAATACGTCCACGATAGACCGAACGTCCGCGATTGAAAACCAATGAGAGCTGTTACTCAAAAGTTAGAGTACAAACAAAGGAATGAGGATTAGGGACAATAGTAATCAGTATGCAACTATACTACGTATACACACACAAAAACTTGTCCTACTTTTGATCTAATAACCTTGTTGTGTATTGCGCCAAACGATCGAGGAAGTGTGCAATGACATCAGGGGTGACCCTGCATTCCTTCAGAGGTTTTTGGCGGCAGCACACGCCATTTGCCACCGTCTCCAGCGCTGTATCGATGATTGGATCGACGCCAAGTCGAAAGTGGCCAATTCTGAAAATGAGAATTTGTTTTCCCTGTGGCGTTTAGATCTCACCCTCTCTACTTTATGGTGTGTTTGTTGGGATTGTTTACTCCATGATAAACTTGAACGTTCTGAATGCAAGAAAACACAGCGAAAATTCGCAGGGTGTATCTTATGAATGGGGAAAAACAGAAAGAACGTACCAAAACCGCGCCCCAGACGGAAGCACCCGTGTAGTAAAGCGCACTCTTGACTACCAGGATACCAACCCCAATTTGGGAGGCCAGAGCGCCTAGAAGGACCTGTAATATCGCCAGCGCCTTGACCGCGCACGAGTGCCTGCTGGGCCGGCAGCTGGTCGAGGGAGGGAGGAGCGGTTGACACGGGCCTTGGTACTGAGGCGGTCCCACTGCGTACTGCCCGTACTGCTGCGGCGGCTGTTGCATGGGCTGAGGCCGTATGGGTTGCGGCTGAAAAGGCTGCTGCTGTTCCATGTTTAGCTTCGTGGCAACGGAAAAGAAAAAGGTTAAATATCAAGGATGATTTTTCTATGGAACAAGTTTAATTCCCTCTACATTAGGTTGAAACCTGACCTTTTTTTCCACATGGGTAATTCATTCATTCAAATCCACCTTTTTTCATGTTACACCTAGCCTGACATCTATGATTTTATAATTCTGATGCACTCCTTAACACAGTCGTCCTTCAAGATTGATTATTGCACACTACAACTCAAACAGGTAAAACCATCTTTTTTGGAAGTTATTCTTCATTTTACTTCAATGGCAAATAACAACTCGGGGTGGACTCGCACCTGCAACTCTGTGCCTGAACTAGAGTAATTGTTTCAAACAAGTTAATTTCGGCAAGGCACTTATGTGAAAAGGGGTATTAAAGTGATAACAAAAAATAACATCTAAATTTGCAAAACTTACTTTTATCAGAATTCACGCTTCACTTGCAAGGTAACCCAAGAGTAGACAAACTAATATTGATGTCGTGTACATGAGCCAGATATTTTTTACACGAAGCAAGACAGTCCTTTTGTCAGTGGAGTTGTCGGAAATCACGATTTGGCTGGCTCAACCTGGTATTTATTTCTTATACTTGGTCACGAGATACAAGCGTCAACGGAGCGCGTGCCCGAATGATGTCATTATACCAAAAAAAGTCTCTGTGGACTAGCTAAAAAAAACAAACAGTGCGTTGGTTGTTTTTCCTTTCAACTGCAAGTTTGTTCACCGTGTCGGTCTAAAGTTCGGTCGTCACATGCGGGTAGTCTACAGGTTATGCCAGTGGTGTGTTACAACTAAAAAGTGAACAAAGTACAATGTTTACTTTTTCGATGTGTAAGGAAACTGATTCAATGAACTTGATATTTCTATTGATCTTACCCCATATGTCATCGTTACAGCGCCCTCTATATGACCTTCTATATTAGCGTGTTCGATTACTTCTCTCGCGTTTACCCGTACAATTAACAAAGTAATAATTCCATAGTTAAACGTGCATGGGCAGTTATCTTTTGTTGGATGTCTCATCCCAATGTGAGTAACTTTGTATGCTACAAAAAGTCCTATATCGGGGTGACAGTATATAGCGTGGCACGGCGGCATTACGTCACCGACAAAAACATCTTTTCATTAACACGTGCGTTTGCATCGGTTGCTACGTTACCATTCAGCGCTCCAGGTTCAAGAACTGTTCAATTTTATAAAAATGGGTCTGGGAACAAAATAAGGAGTCAATAGAGGGCGTCCTTCGGAGTCCCGACACGGCGGCTTACAAATCTGTTTGCTTGCAATGGAGAGGTACAGTTGCCTCCATTTTTCCCACATCTCAGTCTATTTTGGATGTCGCCTTCCACAAAAAAACAACAAACAGATACCCTCCTTAATTCCCCACCCATCAACACTTATACCCCACCCCTTTTAATTTCAACCAGTGACTGTCCTTGCTCTATGCTGTCACGTCCCCCTCCAGCTCCCCAGCCCCCCTCTGGCCCCCCTCTAGCCCCCCCCCAACCCCTCCCAGCCCCCTCCCCCCCCCCCCCCCCAAAAAAAATTCGTATTGATTTTGAGCTCTCCTGTTTTTGATTATTTTACAGACCTTTTTTCTGAAGGTTTTTGCGCATCAGTCATTCACCATTCAACCATAAAACAATAATTAAATAAATAAATGAAAACGACTAATTAATACTTTAATTAATTCAAGACACAGCTGCCCCCCCCCCTCCAAAAAAATTAGAATGGTCACCTTTCTATTTTTGCCAAGAGAAAATAGAGAACTGTGGGTACCAGACTTTGATCGACCAGTGCGCGAAAACCAATGCTGGTCCGTCGCGTCCGATGTGTGTAGCATGCACGTATCCAAGCGAGTATCAACAGAACACGTACCGGAATCGTATGTTTAATTTATTTATCGATTGATTTGTGGCTGATCGGTCCAGAAGACACCATTGTTAATTCACAGGTATTCGTTCTGCACCGACATGCAGACAAGAAATAAGTAAGTTAACCGTTCCTTGCAGTTGCTCTTTTTATAAAGTTTCATTTTGTTAATTGAATGTTTATCGTGTCATCAGTCATGACATTCATTGTCATTGTCAGCATGGTCAGTCAGCGCAGTCACTCAGTTAGGCTACTCGGTTTATTCTGACGTGACTGACAAGTGACATGATTAACATTAAATTAACAAAATGAAATATTGACGAAAAGCCTCCTGTCATGTGCCTGTAAAAATTGAATTGAGACTTCAAACTTAGTTGGTGAAATACTGAGGACCTTGTATTTGCCTCATGAAAATTTTGGCATGTTTGGAGAATTTTTTTTTCAGCCAAAGACTGAAAGAGTGGGTAAAGTTGGCCTGATTTTGTTTTAGCATGTTTTTCAGCACTCAGTAAGCAAGGTCCCAGTCTGGCGAAAACCTAGCCCCATAAATGTAGCCAATTTACCTCCGTAAATAAAGGTCACACTTCCACCATGTACAAAAACATGTTGAACTTTGTCAAATTTTGATTTTCACATTTAGGCTTCGTTTGTAGTTTATTTTTGCTTTAGAAGCATACTCACCCTCTTTATAGGCTAATCAGAAAGTGCTGCCTCTTTGTCTATTTTTCGTGAAATTTCCAGATTCATTTGCACATGTTTGCGTATCAAAAATTCAACATGAAATTTCACGAAAATTAGACATCTGAAAAAGGCAGCACTTTCTGATCAGCCTATAAAGAGGGTGAGTATGCTTAAGCAAAAATAAACTATACAAACTAAGCCTAAACGTGAAAATCAAAATTTGACAAAGTTCGACATGTTTTTGTACATGGTGGACATGGTGGAAGTGTGGCCTTTATTTACGGAGGTACAAAATGTAGTCCAGTAAATTGGCCACAATGGGGCTAGATTTCCAGTAGCTACTCAGTCAAGGTCCCAGTCTGGTGGAAAAAAAACCCCAATCCGTCGTATGAAGCCTGCAGTGTATGCCACTGTATGTATTACATACATGTACATGTACACTATACATGTCCATCATTTTGTCCATGTTTGTGAATTTCACACTGCCCCCATCATGCCCGGCCATGTGGGAGTCACAGCCCACAGCACATGCAGCTTTGATTATACTGTAGCCTCCTAGTCCAAGTAACTTTGACCCTACTTAATCGCCTTTTTCAACATTCAGACATATGGTCTGGTGAATGTTGCCAGACTATGTCCGAATGTTAAAAAAGGAAATAAGTACATGTAGGGTCAAAGTAACTTCTGGGTTTTTTGTATTAGTTAGGCCAAAAAAAAAAAATAAGTCGGTCTCTGGTCAGCGCGCGCGTCGATTTTAATCATGCGCGTCAATCTTTTTTTTTTTCAAAATGTTCCGCGGTAGCTCCAACAGCGCCCTCTATTGCCGCACCTCCTCAATTTTTTTTTACAAAGAGCACCAAGGAATGGGAAATTGCACCAAGGCAAATGATCGAGAGCACCAAGGCAAATTATGGAAGACACCAATGTACGAGGACACCAAATAGCAAAATAGTACCCCACCTTGTCTGTACAATCCAAGCTTGAAGAAAAAAAAAAAGCCAAAAAAAAAAAAAAGCCGCGTCCCCGCGTCAATTCCGGAACTTTGGTCTGACCAGAGACCGAATATTTTTTTTTTTGGCCTTAGAACAATTAAGCTCCGACATGACTCCCATGTTTAATTTGGGCATTAACTGAGCCAGTAGCATTAAGCAGAAGTAAAGGCTTGTGTGGACCTTGATGGATGCTAGTCCGAGTAACTAGGACTCTACAAATCGCCTTTTATAACATTTGTAGATGGTCGCCGAGTAACTAGGACTCTACAAATCGCCTTTTTAACATTTGGAGATGGTCGCCCGACCATCTCCAAAGGTTATAAAAGGCGATTCGTAGAGTCCTAGTTACTCGGACTAGATGGATGCTGGTTTGGAATAATTCTTAAACTGATTGATGATCCAGTGAGACTGGTTAAAATTGGAAGGCTCAGATTTAATTGCCGTTTCCTTCCTCCATGGTTGATTGAACCCCATAGATCATTGCTGGTCATAGATCAACTTTATCCCACCTCGCCCTGTAACGAGGCATAGATACTAGATTGCATTTGCATCCTGGGCCCCACTGACACTTGTGGACAAACATATGTGGAGATGTTGCTTCCTGCACTGTAGCTGTGAAATTTAGAATGTTTTGCAACTTTACAGCTTCTTGTTTGCAACAGTAAATTAAGATTCAGGGCATTCCAAAACATACATACTTTTCATGCAGTTTCCAGTTGAAATGATGAGAAGTTTTTTTGTTATATCAGAAATGTTCTCTCGAAATTGCATAATTGTAATGTAGGATTGTCTGACTATTTTAGACCAGGTTATTTTGCTTCCAAAACAGCCCGGGATGTACATGTACATGGACAGTCCAACATGGGGTTTAGGCCAAAAATAATAATAAGTCGGTCTCTGGTCAGCGCGCGCGTCGATTTTAATCATGCGCGTCGATCTTTTTTTTTTCCCAAAATGTTCCGCGGTACATGTAGCTCCAACAGCGCTCTCTATTTTCGCACCTCCTCAATTTTTTTTTACCAAAGAGCACCAACAGTGACCAAGGAATGGGAAATTGCACCAAGGCAAATGATCGAAAGCACCAAGGCAAATTATGGAGGACACCAATGTACATGAGGACACCAAAAAAGCAAAATAGTACCCACCTTGTCTGTACAATCCAAGCTTGAAGAAAAAAAAAAAAAAGCAAAAAAAAAAAAAAGCCGCGTGGCCGCGTCAATTCCAGAACTTTGGTCTGACCAGAGACCGACTATTTTTTTTTTGTGGCCTTATATGTAAAAATATTATTCAGCGCTGAGGGTACACTGCTATGGCAGTTGGTAAAACCTGGAGCCTCTTTTTTGCCCAAAAGCAATTCTACGGCTGCTATATGCCCCCTATATTAATTTAAACACAACTTAAGAATTCAACAAGGCGAAAACTGTAGTTTACATTTAACAGCCTTTAATACTGCTTTTATTCTTTTAAGTTCCATATAACTAAATGGATATGTCGCATTTTGGGAAATGAACTCTTCAAATGGTATTCTTGGAATCAGACAAAAAACCCAATATTTCCAGAAAATAATTCTTGTCTCATTCCCTAGAAACTTTTTCTAGGGAGTGAAATGAGAAAATACGGTAGTTCTACAAACAAGAATACATATTTCTTTAAATAAGAAGTGGTATTACTTTGTAACTTTACATGAGACTCAGAAACATTGCAGTACAAAAAGAATTTGCAATTGAGTCGATCCCAGCGATTTAGGGTCAGTGTTGAGTTTGAAGTTGTTTGCAGTGCACGATGTTTTTGTTGAATGGGACGGTTGCCATAGCAGCCCAAGTTCAATGCTATTTGAACAGTGCTTTGTTGACGCGACGCATGCATGGTGCCGTCACTAAGGCCTATAGTACTATGTGTATTTCCAACTGACTGAGTGCCATCTGGCACATGCTTCGTTGAATACTGTACAGTGGTGGCTAGAAAATGATTAGTATCGTATGTATGTACCGGTATGCAGTTTTTAATTAAGGATTTTCCGTTTAGCAGTAGACTGTTTTTCTAAGGGCTGTGAAATAATGAAAACATACACTGCATGTAAAAGTACCATAGATTTCAATAAATCTGAAAATTAAATTAGCCCTAACCCCCTAGAGTGTGTGTGAAAAATTATATTACATTGTATGATTCTGGACTGTAATTATAGGGTTTACTATTAAGATAATCAGCGATAGAAAATTGCAATAACACACTTGTAGATAAAGTCTAAAGCAAGGCCAATGATGACCGATCGGTGCGTTGACTTTTGTTCATTTGTAAACTTCGCTAAATCGGTTTTGATAACAGTGAACTCAATCAGCTAAAAATTTACATGTTCTGGTACATGTAGATCAAAAAGCAATGAAAAAAATGTGTCACATGTGAAGAAGAGTGATTTAGGCCAAAACAAATTTATTTAAAAATCTGCTTCCCGTTTTTTATGCGAAAAATGAGAAAAAACACCTTTTACCCTTGACTACACGCAGACGCCTCCATATGACCGTACACAGAAAAATTGACCAAAAAAAAACCCTACCTACCCTATTAGCAATTGCCATGTAATCAGAAGCAGAAGTATTTTTTATTTGGCCTAAGAAAGTCCAGAGACAAAGAAGAATAGATCTGTTTAAAGGTATCTGGGATAATTTGCATTGAAATATTTTTTTCATTTGAACCGACAAAATTGCTCAAAATCTTAAGAACTGTGTAGTTTTAACTTGTTGAAGTTTCAACTCAGGGGATACTATTTATTTTGAGAAAGCAAACAAATTTTTTGGGGTCTAACAACTGGATTCCGTTGCTAATGCACGCAAAAAAAAGGGTTTCAGGCAGAATAATTTCACAGGGTTTCGGTACTGGTCATATCTTGACTTTGAATAAGGATTTTCTTGTTAAATTGGTAGACCTGTACGTTTCGGGATTATTGCAAATTATGTTCCTAAGATACAAGTGCCTTTAAAAAAGAGTGATTTTTTTCCCTTTTAGTGTGACTACCTGATGATGGCGATTGCAGTAACCAAGATTCGAAGATGAATACAATTTTTTTTAAACTGAACTGACAGCCCAATTGACATCCCTGTTCACTTACTCCCTGCCAACTCAACTTTTCCCTTAATGTATGTTGCTCCCCTGTACAATCAGTCAACCATTACTGACGACGTACCCTATAAGGGGCTTTTCAATAATTAACACTGAGTTAATTTAGGCCCATCAATGCCTTTTGCACATTTTGTTTATAATAAGTTGAAAGTGCCACAGAATACCATGGTAACGCATCATAACAGTCGAGGAACGAACATGGGTGACCGTGGAAGTGCACTTTATATTAATTTTATGATCGGTAACTATCCATTGTCGATTTCTGCACTGTTGAGAAAAGGTAAAAACCTTTTTTTTTTCGCACAGAAAAGCTACAAAGGAAGTGGGTTTTTGGAGTGCACTTTTAATAATTGCATTCGTCTTGTTTTTTTAACCAGTTCAGTTCGTGCCGGGATTATTTTGACATGACCGTCCCAGGTGCGCGATTGTTTTCATGAACCTCGATGCCAGACGGGTTCAGGCCATCATCTGTGGGTAGCACACCCTGATATTTCCAGCCTCGCTCGCTGCGAGCGGGATGCAGACAGATATTTCCGGCCTCCCTCGTTACGTGTTTATCCTTCATCTGTTCCGAATACCGCATTACCATTGCGTGATACACACGCCTTCAAACGTTAATTGGTTAATTGCGTTTTCTTGTTTCAAATTGCAGGCTGAACCTTGCATTTAATTGTGCTCATGTTCTGAATTACGGTATATTTCTTGGTTTCTCTAATTCTCTTGCGTTTTGTAAGAGTAATGGCTCCAACTTTTTGTGACAGAAAATGATTTTATTTCCTATTTCATGAAAAAAAAACCTATCAATTACCTTCATGAAATCAGTCTAATAAGGCATACACTATGCAGGTTCTTTTTAAAATTCATAATTAATGAATAAAATCTTGCTGGAACTGTGTGTCCTGTTATTTAGAGACATAGGATCAATTAGCTTTTTTTGTGCATTTTGTTCGTTTCCAATAATAACACTGTCACTCAAAATCCACAGAAGAATGTTCAAAACCTGGCTTGCTGAATTTTCACCTCAGTGGATGTTACGCTTTGCGAGGAAACAGTGCAGACCATTGACAACCTTTTGACCACAAAACACGATTTCGTCGCTAGCCCCCTTATTTCCAGTTGACTGCTGTTTGGAAATCATCTAGATTTCTTGATTTCTTCTAAATGACAGCAAGCCAGACGGTACTAAATAATGTTTAGTACCAGTACGATCATTAATCCAAGTCATTTTTTTGAAATAATAATTTGGTAGGTTACTTTTTGGATAAATGCCTGAATATTTTGGATTTTTGTCTTCTGTCTTTCAGGTAGCCCAAGGGTAGCGCGTCACATTGAGTTATGCGAAGGACATCTCAAGTTACCGATATATATTTGGGCCGAGCGCACAAAGTCGATAGCTAGTTTCCATAGCGATGATCTCCAGGAGCTGAGGAGCGGCGCATGCATGCATACTGCGCCTTGGAAGCTGTTGATTTCTGTGCAAGAGGAAAGAAGGGCACTAATCACGATGCCTTCCCTGCACGTACACACACTGGGCAGACGGGTAGGCAGATGGGGAAAAACTTGTGCAGTCGCTGAAGATGCGGTCGCCATGGGCACAGGCAGAAACACAAGATGTGATTGCAACCAGCAGAATTAATGAACCAGAATGCAACAGGGTTCTCATTTTAGTCTTCCACGGTGCTCAGTTGGTATGGGAACAATCAAAGAAATTTAGAGGGCCAAAGCTGTTCTGATTGGTCGGCGGGAGCATGAATATTCAGTGACTCTCATCAGTGCATCAAATTGATCGTCTTTGGGGTCTGTTACCGGGCAGTGATATTTTACCTTCGGAGCTTTTCGAGGCATGCCAAAGAAGATGGAGCCTCCGCCGAAACAGCAGCACCACCCCAGCCTGGCCGACCGGGTGACCGGCCGGGCCAAAGTCGTCACTTTCTACAAGAGCGGCGACAAAAACTTCAAAGGCATCCAGATCCCGATTCGGAAGAAGTACAACTTTGGCACGCTTCTGTCTGATCTGGACAGGGTCAGCAACTTTCCGTTTGGCGTCCGACGTATCGTGACGCCCACAGCCAGGCACGATGTGACCGACTTGGAAGATTTCGAGGACGGCAAGATGTACATTATGGCGCCCACGAAGAAAAAACCCAAACCGTTAGACTTGGGCGGCATTCAGGCCAGACCGCCGTGGGCACACCCTAAGTCCCTGCCGGGTAGTGGCGCAAACAGCGCCGATTCAGAACCCTTGTCGCCACGGAAAATGCAGGGTAACTATGCCAGTGGCAACCCCAGAAATTCGGAGTCCAGGAACCTGACTGTGAAGAAAATAATGGTGATGCGAAATGGGGACCCTCACAGTAAACACATGATACTGTTGAATCGGAACAGAATCCCGTCTTTTGAGGCGTTTTTAACGGACATTGGAGAAAGCTTCCAGTTACCGGCACAAAAACTCTTCACTTCAGATGGCCTCAAGGTATGTACCAAATTTTCTAATTTTCTCTCGATATTTCAGGTCCTTTTTAGTTTTACTAATTTATAAACCCCGATTCCGGCGATTCACAATGCAGTGCGCCACCAAGAGTTTGCCACGGAGAGTTCATTTTTCCCAGTGCATTGTGGGAGATGGTCGACAGATTCGCAGCGCGGGACATTTGAAATTGTTAGTTTTTTTCCGGTCAGTAGTTTCGTCAGCGTATGATTCGAGGATCTGTTTTCCCTTTTCTTTTCTTCTTATCAATATGGTGATTTTTTGTAAGGCGGCAGAACGCTATGCTCCAATCCATAACATATTAGATCAACTTGTCTACTGACACTCATTCAAATGGGCCCTGTTTTGTCGACCGTAAACTTGAAAAATGGACTCTCCATGGCAAACTCTTGGTGGCGCACTGCATTGTGAATCGCTGAATTGTGAACTTGTAAAAATAGGTGTGTAAAATGGGGCAAAAAAGCCGCAATGGGACTATTTTGCTGCCAAGTTCTGAAAAATTTTGAAATTTGCCACGACCCCCCTCCCCCTCTCCCCTCCCCTCCCCCTCCCCCCCCCCCCCCCCCCCCCCGATGTCCAAGAAATATCAAAAGATAAAAACAGACACAGAAGAAGCAGGCCTATTTGTGTAAATTTATGTTCAGAAAGCCTGTGATGACCAGAGCCCTGGCAACAGTGCATTGTGGAAATGTCTCGCTTTTTTTTTTGAGAGAGAAAATAAGGAGAAAAAAAACCTCCCACGTTCAGAAACATTCCATTGCTGCTAATGTGTTACTGCGAACACACTGCAGAGGATATTACACACAGAAAGTGCTCCGATAAAACTGACTCAGCACTATGTAATCAAATTAAAATTTGATTTTGAGCTGTTCAAGTTTACATTTGTACACACTTAAAAAATTTGGGCCACTTAAAAAATTAGTCTGGACAAATGTATAGGTGTCTATGGTCAATGAGTGGTTAAAGTTAATGTCTGAAATCTAACTGAACAACATTAGATTTCAACATACAGTAAATAGACCTTTTGCATTGCTGTTGTCTTGGAGGGAATTCTTTGTTGCAATTGTAGTTTATTAACCATGCTAACCCTACCCTAACTCCCTAGATGGTTTTGCTAGAATGCAACCTCAATCCTGCAAAATCCTCCAAATGCCTCCATACAAAAATTGCATTATACAGCCTCAATCATCCCAAATCACCCGTCATTTCTTGAATTCTTGAATGTGGTCCTTTGAGGAAGGGTGACCACTGCCTCAATTCTGCAAAATCCTCCGGCAATCACTGTCAACATGTTGAGGCAGAGCCAGCGACATCCTGGAGCAGTGCGGATGATTAAAAGTATCTAGGCCTAGATTTATGCACGGCTGAGCATAAACAACACAAGGTCCGGCCCAAGACCTTGACACAGTGCATCCTGCAAAAAATGCTACACCTTTTGCCTCAATCCTGCAAAGAGGATTTTGCAAAGAGGATTTTGGAGGATTTGGGAAGGCTAAAAAAAATAGGAATAAGGCCAAAAAAAAATGTCGGTCTCTGGTCAGCGCGCGCGTCGATTTTAATCATGCGCGTCAATCTTTTTTTTTCCAAAATGTTCCGCGGTAGCTCCAACAGCGCCCTCTATTGCCGCACCTCCTCAATTTTGTTTAACAAAGGTCACCAAGGATGGGGCATTGCACCAAGGCAAATTATGGAGGACACCAATGTACATGAGGACACCAAAAATAGCAAAATAGTAGGCCCCTACCCCACCTTGTCTGTACAATCCAAGCTTGAAGAAAAAAAAAAAATGAAAAAAAAAAAAAAATCTGCGTCCCCGCGTCAATTTCGGAACTTTGGTCTGACCAGAGACCGATTATTATTTTTTTTTGGCCTAACAGTGACAGAATTTTTAGCATTGCCGACTTGTTACACATTTTCGAAAGAATGCCGGATAAAACTACTTTTCAAATGGTGGGCGGAGGAGTTTGTACGACATAAATCACTCACAAACAGCTCAAATAGAGGCTGTTGTTATCCTTATCAATACAAGATGTTTAAATTACTTTAAATGTTGCGCAGGTGCGCCAAGTTTTGTGAAATCGATCGTTGCTCAACAATTTTGCTGTCTCGCGCTCGTGACGCAAGTTACGCACTTTTTCCTTGTTCGGCCGCTTTTTGCATAATAACTTTCACGAGCAGAATTTAATGGATTATGTACATTTTGTACATTGTCCATTGAGTACACTATGATTTGATGAGTTACCACCACCTGAGAGAAACGTTGTGAAAATGTGCGGTTAGTTACCACGGCAACAAAGGAGAAATAATGGCATTGCGTGCCAGCCCTTAGACAATTACCGTTCCCTGATTTTAGATCTATGCAGATTACTTCTCAAGGCTGAAAAATATGCAGACGAGTGAAAATTGGCTTATCTCACATGAATGCCTGGTTACCTTGGTTACAAGGACAAGAAATTATTTAGAGCTTCGCTTAATCATTCTTCAAAGTCAAAGTCACAAATTTACTGATAAATGTATACATGCAACCGTGACAATGGGCTCAATTTCGTTGCTCTGAATGTGGAAGTCTGCTCAGCAAGGAATTCTTTTGTCAAATGAGTGTGGCCACAGCGCTTGTACAAAAATTAAAACCTTAACCTACAGTACAGAAACAGAGTTACACTGTACCACAGGCAGATAACAATGTATAATGAATGCACAAAGCCCAACATACATTGTATGTACCGGTACATACATAGAAAATGGTTAGTGAAGCTCCCTAAGGCCATGCGCGTCGGCAAAATGAAAAAGTTTTTTTTTCAATGAAAACCGCGACACTCACTGGTTTGACTGGAATCCTGTTGCTGCACAATTTTAATGTGTTTTTAGATTGGGTTATGGTCGAGAATAAGCTTTATGTGGCCTATCTGGACTCCCATATATTTGCACTAAGTTTAGTCGGACACCATTTGCAGTCATCAGCTGACATTTGAAGCAAAAAAATCAGGTAAAAAAAAAAAAAAAGCCGCGTCGCCGCACCACTTTTTGGGCAAGCTCCATACCAGAAACCGGAGACTTTTTTGTGGCCTAACGTGGCCCTTTTTGACATTTCCCTCAACTTTCCTCATGTACATGTACTGTTGCCAAACCTTTTTATTGACAAACTTTAAATTAATTCAGTTAAATACTGGTACAAATATGTACTTTTACCTTAATAATGCTTGTTGTCGAACCTGTACGTGAACAGTTTCAGTGTCATGAAAGTTTAGTCCGAAAATCAAAAAAAGGTGGCGTCTGGAAATTGGGCACAAAATTAGCCGAGCGTTCTCTAACGTGGCACACTTGAACAAATCTGGTAAAAGTGCCGACTCAACATTTAAGGATTTTTTTCATTTTGAAAATTCCCAACAAATAGCATTCAGAACCTTTCTTTTTCATTGTCTGAGAAGTTACCAAGTAAGTTGTAGAGTTGGTTACTGGTACTGCATCCCATAATCTGGAATCGGTCCCTGAATCCTAACATCAGTGGTCAGGTACTCAGGTGTACACCCAGTTTTGATGCACGCCGCTATTAAGCGTAACAGTTTTTGCTGCATGTACAGTGGAATGCCGCTATACCGAACACCGCTATAACCGAACATTCGGCCATACCGAATATCATCCTTGGCTCCAGGTTTTAATGTACAAAACGTACCGAACATCGTTGTTGAAAAAAGTCAACAGATTAACTCAAAACTACCGGTTGTACATGTATTAAACACTGTTTGGGCCACTTTTAATTCCTGAACATCAAACCACCCATGGTTACATCGTGTTTGAATGTTGAAGAGCGATAGATGACTATTATTTCCCCCAAGGAATAAAGGGAAAACCACCCGTTGCTAAAGTTTTGTGACAACTCCTTGTTGCTCGTGCGGGAAGTGAGAAATGCCAGTTCAGTGACTTCACTATTGGCCTAAAGAGGGTACCGGCGCAAAATCGCTTTTACTGAACGATCGTTATTGTGAACACTTTCTGTGGATCCCACGATGTTCGTTATAGCGGCGTTCCATTGTACTTTTAAGTCTGATAATATGTACGCATCATATTTGATTTGAACATGTACATGTACCGGTAGGCCAATACATGTAGTGCACTGACTTGGCTCTTTTAATTAATCAACGTTCCTACCACATATATGTATTTGTAGTAAGGAACACAATACACATGTCTGCCGTTGTGTCTTGCAGTCAATGATTTTACAAGCATGCACGCGGATGTATTGACTGGTACTCCACTTACAATGCACTGCGAGTCAGTGCATACTTTGCATGCAATAATTGTATTATCCTGCAATAATGATGGTATTGTGTATTTATCACCATGGCAACATCATGGCTGAATGGGAATCGCAGATGCCAGAAAGTGCTCGCCGTGGTTATTGTCTGTCGCACGCATTTAAAACGCCGAGGTGTATAAATTTCATCAGTGTACAGATCGCATTAGTGTACAAGGGCACGATAGCCTGCTTGCTCGAACAAGTATTTGTACATGTAGTAAATTTCTGTAGAATTTAAGAAACAATGGCAACGGTTCTCCCTTCAGTTCGTACTACGACAAAAAGAGGTGATACAAACGGTAAAACAAAGAGACATGTCAAGAGAGATGCAGGCACTGAGCCAGAGCATGTCGCCAAGTCTAGTAGCAGAGATGGCATGAAGCAGAACATTCGTCAAGGCGGAAAGCGCGGCCGTGGAGCTGACACAACAAAAAGGAACACAGTTCCTGAAGACGGCAAAGGCATCAACGAAGCCACCAAAGATGGAGAGAATGCGGAGAATTGGGCGGAGCGAGAATCAACAAAAACCGATTCGAATCTGCCGGACGGTTCGGGTTTAGAACCATCGCCGGCGCCACCCGTTGTGCCGAGTAATCGAGTTGCCATCAAGTTGGTGATCATGAGAAACGGGGATCCATTCACTAGGAGAATCCTGCTGGTCAACAGGACCAAGATCCGGTCGTTTGAGACTCTGCTGGGCAACATTGGGGAATGCTTGCAGCTGCAAGCTAAGAGGCTGTATACCGTTTCTGGTTGTAAGGTTGGTTTTTCATGGCGCCATGTTTGGTGTACACTGTACAATGTACGGTGCATCTGTACATGGCCGCCTGGTCTGCTTCTCTTAAGAAGTGACTCAAGACACTTTCATGTCGAAAACTCTTTTGATAAAGAAGTGAGGGGTTTTAATAATGTTTTAAACTCAGTGTCCTCTACATTATGTGTGTTAGGTTCATCATGTTGTTGCTGAGTTTGCATATGTGCTGTAAATTAGTGTAGATTTATTGATGAAATATTGTGACTTGTATACTACATACATAATTTACAGTGTGTAAAAATTGTATTCCAAATGTTAGATAAACGTTGCAGCACACATAAAAAAAGTTATGATAAAAACTAGATACATAATAATTAAAAAAAAAAACCAATTTTATTCTTGCATAAAATAGAAACAAAATAGAAAAAATACAGTTTCTTTGTGTACAATGGTGCTTCCTATTAGTACATGTACATGTAGGGGTGTGCATTGGGACCGGGAACCCAAGAACCCGACCGCTGATGTCAGGAACCGGTTCCAGATTATGGGATCGGGTACCCGTAACCAACTTGACAAATTACTTAGTAACTTCTCAGACAATGAAAAAGAAAAGTTTGAATACAGATGTACCATTTGTAGGGAATATTTCAAAATGAAAACCTGGCTACGTGAAAATCCAAAGACAGATTAAATATATTTTCACGCCGGACAGATGACGCTTGCGAAAGTTGCTGTCTACACCATCAAGCTACATGTTACTCGTCTCTTCAGACAACTTCCGGGATTTGAGTTTTTGGGTTGGGTCTCTTTTACGGGTACCCGTGTTTTTAGGGTCCTCGTTTACAGCATTAGGCCAAAAAAAAAAGTCTCCGGTTTCTGGTATGCGCGCGCGTCGCCGTAGCCATGCGCGTCGGCAAAATGAAAAAGTTTTTTTTTCAATGAAAGATGATGTCTCAAAACTGCCAAACTCACTGGTTTGACTGGAATCCTGCTGCTGCACAATTTTAACGTGTTTTTAGATTGGCTTATGGTCGAGAATAAGCTTTATGTGGCCTCTCTGGACTCACATATATTTGCACATGTTTAGTCGGGCACCATTTGCAGTCATCAGCCGACATTTGAAGCAAAAATATCAGGTAAAAAAAAAAAAAAAGCCGCGTCGCCGCACCACTTTTTGGGCAAGCTCCATACCAGAAACCGGAGACCTTTTTTTTTTGGCCTAACGTGTAAATGCACACCACTAGCACATCCTCAGCACACAGATGTACCCATCGATGAATGTTTTTGTGTAGAGCATGGACAACACAACTTTATAAAGTACTATCTTTGTTGTTTCAGGTTGAGAGCCTGTCCGCCATCTTCAATGGCAGCGAAGAACTCTTCGTGGTCGGGACCGGCGTGGAGAAATTCCGGCCCAGCAGCTACAAGGAGAACTCGCCGTTCAAGCCGTCGTCGAGAACGCGGGAGTCGCTGCGCCGAAAATCCATGGACGAGAGTGACCAACCGCCCCAGAAGATTATCAAGAAATCCAGTGAGTTGTGTGCTTTTTGCTAGACTACTCAATCCACTTTAACACTGTATATTGTTGGCTGATCTACGATAAAATGCACAAAGTCCATAGATGATCCGTGGCCTCGTGGTTAAGGGCACTGATTCGTCATGTTCGTGGTCTACGGGTAAAGCTGCAGGTTGTGGGTTCGAGTCCTGGGGTCAAGGTGGGTGTGCCCTTGGGCAAGGCACTTTGTCACTCATTGCTTCTCTCCACCCAGGAGTAAATGGGTACCTGTGAGGGCAGAGATGGTTATTGTGACTGAATTAGCTTCCTTGCACCTAACAGGCAGCATCGAGCTGTATACTCCCCAGGGAGCTGAGATGGTATTTGGAATGTTTCATGTGCCCAATGAGCAGGAGTAATAATGATGTAGCGCCTTGAGCACCAGTCCTGGTGGATACGTGCGCTTTATAAAAACCCACTATTATTATTATTATTATCCGTCACAGTCATGTTCGTGGTGCGTCAAAACTATAATATTGGCCACTTGGTGCACCCAATGATCATGACGATATTCTGATTTTTTCAGGATAATGTAAAATTACGGGTCAAGATGTTTACATGTACCGTATTTCACGAAATCGATTGACCGAAAAAGACTTTTGAGCAATATTAAGTCGACAGTAAAATTACCATTGGCTCTGCTAGTCAGAAGCTTAAACGAGTAGAGCCATGTGAACAGGACCATGCCCAAAGTTTTGATGCCAGCTGGTTTCAAATCCTGTTCCGGTCAAATTCTTAACTCAACATTTTTTTAGTCTGTAGTTATGTTGATCCTTCTTTTTTTCTGTTTGTCATTTTTAGGGGGGAAGTTTCGCGTCTGGGTCGCCACCAGCGAGAGTCCAGCGGCAGGCACGGATGCCGTGGTGTCCATCACGGTGTACGGCGACAAGGGCAAATCAGACGATATAGTCCTGGGCTGTGGGAACGGCCGATTTGAATCGGCTAATGAGGACGAGTTCAATGTACGTACAGGCAGATTTAACCAGGGGACATTAGTTTTAAAACTTACAATTTCTTCTTTTTTTGACATGGAAGGGAGGGGGCGGGTGGAGAATAGTGCTGTATCCTTAATGAGGCGGCACAGTAGTTTCTCACATGGAGTAGACCATCTTAAAAAAAAAAAAAATAGCAATAAGGCCAAAAAAAAAAAAATATTCGGTCTCTGGTCAGACCAAAGTTCCGGAATTGATGCGGCCACGCGGCTTTTTTTTTTTTGCGCTTTTTTTTTTTTTCTTCAAGCTTGGATTGTACAGACAAGGTGGGGTACTATTTTGCTTTTTTGGTGTCCTCATGTACATTGGTGTCCTCCATAATTTGCCTAGGTGCTTTTGATCATTTGCCTTGGTGCAATTTCCCATTCCTTGGTGCTCTTTGGTAAAAAAATGGAGGAGGTGCGGAAATAGAGGGCGCTGTTGGAGCTACCGCGGAACATTTTGGAAGAAAAAAAGATCGACGCGCATGATTAAAATCGACGCGCGCGCTGACCAGAGACCGACTTATTTTTTTTGGCGGCCTAATTTGACTTATTTTTTTTCTTTTCCTTTTCTTTCTAGATTAACGTGGGCAATATTGGCGACATCTACAAGATCAGGATCGGGCATGATGACAGCACCGAGTTTTCTGGCTGGCTGTGTGAAGAGGTACATTGTAACTACAACATATATATAATTAGAAAAGATGAAAAACTATAGTCATAGTATGCACATCCATATTGTGCACCTGTGTTTTTATGACTCAGCATGAACTCTTTGAGCATTCAGCTGAGTTGACTAAACTCAAAATTTCAGACCGTGCAAGTATTTATTCCTCCATCCTTACCCCCTTTCAATGGTAGGGTAGATCATTTGCAGCTATCCAAAAAAGTAACTGACCAAATTATTGTTAAAAAGCTGTCTTGGTTTAAAGATAGTAATGGCACTAAACACCCTGTGAAATTATTCTTTCTGGCATGCTGTCATTTTGAAGAAAACAAATAAAAGAAGGCCATCTCCAAAGATGCGTCAAGTGACGCATTTTTTTTGGAAATTTTCTTTAGTAGTTGGTTTGTAATTGGGCGAATCTGTGAATGGGTGTGCACAAGCGTTGACACGACACACACGAGGGCATGGTTGCTATTACTCGTCGGTTCAGTGCGTGACATCGGGTAGCTGCAATCGGCTGAATGAGAACGTGTTCTGGACGCTCATTTCGGGCTCGAATTCAATATTTGACTCGGCAACTTTTGAATTGAAATTGAAATCCTAGAATGTTGTTTTTCGCGGAATATAGGGCCTACAGCATTCACTGAGCTAAAACTTCATCAGGTTCCATTGTCAAGCACCTGTCTTTAGATTTTGAGCACCTTTGTTGCTTTAAACGAAAAAAAATAAAGCACAAATGACAAATGATCAACTCTACTTTTAATACCTCCTGAGGAGGAGATGGCTATAGAAACTGACGGGATGTACAACATAGTTACAGGTGTACATGTGCATTAATTGTCACCAAATGTCTGTTTAAGTTCAACCTCCTCTCAAAATTAAATCTCAGCCGAAAAATTGCGTGAGAATTTCATGAAAAGCTTTTTGAATAGCCAACTTTTTTGGGTTTTGTGCTTTTAGAAATGTTCTGCCGCCACTGGTCTAATCAGACTGTTTTGTTGTGACCGAGTTTCGTTGGATATTTTTGGAACCAGACACAACGCACACAATTATAAGAATCATCCCATTTATTTGAACCAGTGTTCCCTTCGTCAACAGGCAGCTTTTAGCTTCACCTTTAGTTGAATGTGGGTTTTAGTTACTCTTCCAAAAACCCTAAAAAATAAATGTTATCTCAGCAATACCGCATTGTTTGCTGTCAAACTGTAAGCAAATTAAACTATTATCCCCAAAATGCTGCATCATTTGTTCACAAAGCCTACAGAAGCACAATTTCAGCGCAGAAACAAATGCTAGAAAATTATCATATTTTTATACACAGGGCAAGCTGTTGGCAGGCTGTCTGTTTTTTTAATTATGAATGTCTAACCGCCGATGAAATATTTATTAGTTTTTGTCAAGGCCAGAATTCATGATGCTTATGAATGAGAAGGTGTGCGATTTATGTGCTGAGGGTTTTTATTAGTAGTATGAATAATATTGATTTACATCGGCTCAATATTTTGTTTTTTACACTTGACTCGCCAACATATTGAAGTAGAATTAAGGTAGGGACATGTTCCACACAAAAGCCAACAATTCTATGGATTCTTTCCGACTACGAACAAAATAAAATGAAATAATTTTAGCACGGAAAAGCTCTTGCAGCAAGCTGCTGTCTATACAGCCTTTCTAAAAAAAAATGGTACAATCAGAAAAAAAATTGGTTAAATATGAAATTTCAAAATAAGTCATTCTTACTTGGCATAATATTAAAGAACAAAGACTGGGCTTTCCAATAGTGTTTGTTTGATCTTATTTGCTTTTGTCAATTCAGAGATATAATCAAAATAGTGCGATACACCAAAATCAATTTTGTGCCACTTTTATGCATGGGCAGAGTTGTTTCGAGTACTGTGCCATGCTGTCTTGAAGCTCACAAAAGATTGCAACTTGGCAAAAGAAACAAACTCGATTTTTGTGTTCCGCAGTAAACTGGAGTTATCTCTGGATTGACAAAAGCAAATGAGATGAAACAAAAAGTATTGGAAAGCCTGGTCTTTTTTCTTTAATGTGATGCTCAAAACGACTTACTTATGTTGAGATTTAACAATTTTTGATTGTACCATTTTTTTTTAGACAGGCTGTATAATAAATGAACATGTTGTTTTAAGAAAGGTGCTATGCTTTTTTCTATCGTAATATGTGAAACTTGGTATGAACAAAGTTAAAATTTCCTCGCATTTTGTATGCAAATCATGCACATGACGCAAGAGAATTCGCCTGCAGAACTACATGTAAATGGTCTTTCAAACTTAATGTCTGAATTTGGAAATTGGATCTAGTCATTCAAAGCTACAATTTCATTTAAAACCCCTCACCCCTTCTCCCCCAAAGTAGATGAAAACAACAACGATACCTCACTTTAAAGCATGATGATTGCCCAGTTTTCGCTTGAGCACTCATGCCTTTCCATCGCTAATAAGAATGTAGACATTTACTTGAAGTTTGTCTGAGTGCACCTTTAATAGTAATATAAAACACACGTAACTGGTTTCAGTTTTGTGTTTGCTGTACATGTATATTCCATGGATACATAATGATAATGGCCCACTAATGGGCCTAATATGCTCTCTAGAGGCAAGCATTACTCTTTTAGGCTGCAAAAAGCCTTCCAGCTATTGGTCTAATGAGTTCAAACTGATGATTACAGCTTCTTAGATACTCTTCTGAGAATGAAAAACTGTAACATGTGCATGTACATGTCAACCTCGTCCTCAGTGCTTACTTTATTTCCAACCTCGTTTCCAATAGTTAGCCCTGGATAGCAAACTTTTTTCCTGTATCCTGATTCGATACCGCAATTGGCTAGTAATGGATTTACAGGTATATCGTGTACTTGCACAACGTGCAGTACGTTTCGCGATCATTTGTAAACGCCTTCTCGAAAATATTCATTTCCTTTCCAATTTGTTAATATTAATATGAAATGTGACACTGCATGTTGTCTCGTTAAGATCGTAACAGTTTAATTAAAATAAAATCGTGTTTTTGTAACTCATGCCATGCTCGCGCTGCGAGAAAATTGATTCTGTTTTTACCCCAGACACCGCATACAAAAACAAACGCAAATGTAAGGCACGGGCAGGCACCAGACTGTTCCTCATTTGCATACGTGTTCAAAAATCTTGCACATGCAAATGATCCAATACCAGGGTGCGAGAGTAGGTAGTGGTGGGCGCGTACTGCTCGACACCCTGGGGACGAGGTTGATGTACAGTACATGTACATTTACCGGTACGTGTACCGGTATGCAATAACTAACTGGGTTCCCAATACATTTTTAGCTGCAGGATAGCAGCTCAACAAATCAACGAATCTCTCTGTTAGTCCGTTAGTTAGTTATAAATGTTGTCATTGGCTATTGCTCCTACATATTTTGACCGATTTCAACCAAACTTTGTCAAAAGTATCAGTAGCCCAGCCACAACATGTCACATGACCAAACTTGGGTCAATTAAAGGTCATCATGGGGTCACTGGGGTTAAAAAGCTGATTTATTTTTTTTTACTCAAAAACACTACTCCTTCCAAAAATTGCCTGGCACAATCACGTGACTCATGCATGAACACGAATTCGTTGGTCCGCAGCTTCCGAGCTTGTTTTCCCTCAACGCCATGAATTGTTTCGGATAATTCCCTCAGACCGTCTTGCGGTTTATCAGCTCCTTTACTTTGTTGCCCTCCCCTTTCAATTTTGCCCTTTTCCTCATCCGCCTGTTTCCTCCTCCCTGTCAATTATTAGCCAAGGTGCCATAGTTTTGGCCAATCAGAGTCATTTGCACAAGTAGTGTTGACCAATCACATCTATTGCCCTAAACCCGCCCTTCTGTTGCCAGTGGGGCCGCCCTTCTATTGCCAGTGGGGCTGCCCTTCAATCACCAGTGGGGCCATTGGTGTTTGTCATCAAAACCCACGAGACCTCCCCAATATCAAAATGCTAATATTTTTGTAACCTTTTGTTGTTAGGCTGTAACTTAAGATACATGTACGGTACGTAGTGCTTGTGTTTGAGAGGTATAATTTAAATATTCTTTTCCTTGATGAGGTTCCGGGAAACTTAATGGCCTATTAAAACCGGTAGATGGATATTACACGGTAGCTTGATGGCCGGACCGATGAAGCAAAAGATTGGCGGCGGCAATATATGGAGCTGTTCTGATGGCAAAAATAGGGCCCACGCTCGGTCGCTTAACGAGCGTTAAACAAGAAGAAAAGGCACCAACCCAAGTGATCGATAAGCATGGCAGAGACTGGTAGCGGAAACAAATTGTCATTGATTAGCAACTCAAGGTAAACGGGGGGGAGGTTTGAGGCAAGTTATGAAGTCTTGCTGATTTGCCGGCACGGTAACCATGGCAACGCACAACTCTAACGGAGAAAATCGATACGCTTGTTGCCGCCGCGCTAAAGATAGCCACAACTTTTATTGTGGAAATGACCTGGACCGTTAAGGCGTTGTTGCTTGGGTTGCTTGGCGATAGAAAAAGAGAGTTGTGTACAAGGACCAAGGATTTTTTTTACGCAGTATTTTAGCCGGTAGTTTTTCTTAGTGATCCCTGAAGTTTGCGGTCAGTGACTTCAGGGGTTTTGTAACTTCTGACTGAGGCCTGCTAAACAGAGGCATATACTAACTGAGACACTGCCAACATGCGGTTGGATAGCTCAGTTGGTAGACCACTGGTGCGGTGTTCTGGTGGTAACAGGTTCAAATCCAGCTCCACATTGATAACAAGTGAACTCAGTCAACTTCCCCTCATGACTTATCCTGACAATCTTATTCTCTCAGAATAATCTGTGGAAAACCGTTCTTTTAGTTGATCTAAAAAAAAAAGGATTTTATTGCTTTTTTAATACACAAGGGCGGATCAAGAAATGTTATAGGTGGGTGGGGGAGGGCTTTCTCAAGTGAAAAGTGTTTTTATTTGAGAATGAAAATGGTCACTGCCGTGGGGGGGGGGGAGATGAAAAATATTGCTAGCAAGCAATTACATCTCATGAAAACAAAAATACAGCAGAAAAGAGAAAAGCAGTATATGTGTTATTGTACGTGGGTTCAAACCCAGACATGGGGAACTTAGTGCTTGTGTTCTTGGGCAAGACACTTTACCACAATTGCCAGTCTCCACCCAGGAGTATAAACGGGTACCTGTGAAGGTAGAGACCAGATTGCACTGACCTCGCGCTGCTGCAGAAAAAAATAGTCTCGTTGCATGATGAACAAGGGAAGTAATTAGCGCTTTGCATCCCTAAGCAAAGGTGCTTTATAAATTTACCAGTTCTTATTATTTTTAAAATTTCATTATTACAGTTAGTTATTGTCACTCTTTTTTCATATCCTGTTACCTCCTAAACATACGTTAGGATCTCGGGCTGTATTCAAAAGAAACACATTTTCGTTCTTTATCCGCAATTCTTTCTGTACGCTTTCTAATTAAGTCGTCTCCTTGGAGTGGCCATGCGGCCTGTAAAAAATCCTTTTATGATCAAGACCTTCTCCAGCTATTCTTGGAGACCCAGTTGTTAATCGTGGATGAAGGGCGCTGTTGTCTGGCACGGGCGTTGAAAGTTTATTAGAGAATTGCCGCAAGCGTACAGCAGAATAGATGTTACACAAACTCACATTAACATAAAACATACATTCTCGGGAGATGACAAAAGGAATGCCATTAATACATTTCGATACGTACCTTGGTCGCTGTTGTTATCTCAGATGCATGAATTATGTTCTAACATGTTTTTAGTAATGTTCATTGTGTATCTTATGTTGCTAATACAATCTAGACCTGCAACAATTCTTCGGTCTTTTGATTTTTTGAGCATAATGTTGATAACTCGAATACATTTTTTGTTTGTTTGAAGAATCCCAATTTTTTTTTTTAAATGAAAGCTACTTCTTCTGAAGCAAAACAATATACAAAACTTCCCCTCGTGAAACTCTCTGAAAGTATATCCTCACCTCGGCCAGTTGTTGGCGAACAGTTGCTTAACACTTACTCGATACGCATACATAATTTCGTCTGGGAATAAAATAGCTCCTGATTGGAAGTATCACGATATTGTGATGGCTCTCTGAGATTTATGGAAAATTTTTTCAAAAACAAAGTCAGCCGTTCAGTGAATTGAAACAGCAACCAAAAAGGGAAATGATAATATTAAAAAAAAATCATACACTTTTAACCTTAACATAATGCAGTACCATTGGATGCATAGTTAACCTGAATGTATTGGTGGAAGGAACTTCGAGCAGATAAAAAAAATAATCAGCCAGTCAGTTGATTGAGTTTGTAATGGAAAGAAATGATTAAACATTTAAAAAAAAAACCAACAATTTATGGGTTTGTGGCTTCCGACTACTGCCCCTGGAACAGTGACATTGACAAATTGGGGAACCGCCAACATGGGGCTGGATAGCTCAGTTGGTAGAGCACCGGAACGGCAATCTGGAGATCGGTGCAGGTTCAAACCCCGCTCCAGTCAATTTCTTTCTTAAACTTTGACAAAAATAATTGTGTACCATGCCGGCCTAATATTACAGGTCATGTAGATCGTAGTATGCACCTACCCTGGAATTTACCTGTTTGCAAATGCTTCATTTTTTGCCTCAGGTGCGGCTTCAAGACGTACATACCGGTGATGAGATTGTGTTCCCTTGCAGTCGTTGGATGTCGCGTCAGGAAGACGACGGTCAGACTTGTCGCGAACTGCCTGTTATCGTGGAAGGAAGCCCAGTGTTCCCAAGTAAGAATCTCTTTGTGAAAACATGGAGTATTTGTGAAGCGTTCTGGCAAAAATGACACAGAACTGGGAAGAGGTCGAAATGAGGATTTCTTGGTATTAGGAAAGATAATAAGGTTCTCCTTGCGGTACTTTTTGATGCACCTCATTCGGACATTCCGTTGACAAGTTATGGCTGTTTATTAAGTTCGCGTTAATTGACATGTCAAAAAAGTGAAATACTGAGAAAAAGACCTTTAAAGTTTCAAGTTCTGTATTCATGAAAATAACAGATGCCAATTTTTTTCCTTAAAAAAACACTGTTATTCCACGATTTTTATGCTATTTCTTTATAAAAGATGAGTAGTAGACACAAAAGAGATTACAAATATCAATATATATGAAAATCAAAAAAAAAAAAATCACCCCTATTCGTTGTTTTTCATTTTTCTCTACTACGGCCTGTGCAGGGCCAGTTGTGTCTCATTTTGACAGAACGCCATACAGTTATATTCAAATATATTGATTTTGAATGTAGACAGTTTTTTTTGACTTTCGTGATTCATTTACTGCATCTTTTCAAGTCCTATCTTCTAATAAACCATTCCCTTCTATTTCTAGTTGTCAACTACTACGTTGCTGTTGTGACTGGCAACTATTGGAACGCTGGTACCGCTGCAAAGGTCTACGTAACCGTGTATGGGGAGAGAGGAGACACCGGCCCACGGTTACTGCATAAAACGAAGCGGACCAAAAAATTTGACAAAGGAAAGGTACGTGACTGTGTCTGCACACGGCGAAAAATAACCTCCATCATTTCTAATTTAGTGATTGGGTACGACCCTATTATTCTTTTGAAATTAATGTTCTTTGTTTGTTTCTTGTTTTTCTGGATAACAATTCTCCGCGGGTTTTTTCCTTAACGGTTTGTGGTATGAACTTCTAACTTTCAATATATATTGACCCTGATCCAAAGTGGTGCATATTGCTCTGACGTCATGATGATATCATCAGGTATCAAATTACAAGCGATTTTTTTTCTTCAAAATATGACAATTTTGTGTTATGTATAACTCAAGAGCAAAATGTCCGATCATGTCCATACTTTGTGATCTGATGGACTGTATCTTGATTTACATTTTTGATTACCAGAGTTAAAGTCGTCTGACCTTTCCTTCCAGTGCTACCGGAAGGTCAAAGTTAGGTGAAATCAAAATATAGAAATAAGCCTGAAGTCAAAACAAACCAAGATTTCTTCCAAACGGTTGATGTGTTGATCATAAAACCTGGTATGAACTTGGACCCCATGAATCTCTAGGTTTTTTTGTTTTTGTTTTTGTTTACCACTTTTTGTAGTGACAACACTTTCTGCAATTTCTGGTCTTTAGGAGTAGCCTTGACCTTGAATTGTTCTCCTCGTCACAAGAGTTTTGTTATGGACTACAAATAAAACTCTCCCCCTCTCTCTCTTGGGCTTTTTCCAACATCTATAATTAACAAGACTTTCCGTACTTGATCTTAATGAGGTTTTTGTGCCTCCATTTGACTGCTTTTTTAGTCCTTGCCTCAATGCTGGAATGACGACGTCAATGAGAATTAGAGACGCTTGACGTCTTTTTGAGGTCACTTGTAAATTATGATTGTAATTGACATTCGGGCTGGAAAAAATTTGACGTGTGTTTATCGCATGGCCCAATTTCAAGGCTCTGCTAAGCACACAATTTTCTGCTTACAAAGTTCTGTCCGTTTCTCAGAGACCTTACATAATACACTAGGAATAGGAACAGTAAATTAAAGAGCACAATTTCCTCAAAGGCAGAATTTTGCTTAAAATCTCTGTGCATGTGACAATGTCTTTGCACAGACGTACTCTCTAGATTTGAATTTTGTTTTTGATTTTTCTGTTTTGGTTGGCACAGTCTTTCTACTTACATGATCACCTACCTTGAAGTAATGCCATGTTATTTGCCCCAGCCTTGAGAAATACACACAGTTTGTCTATAGAATGGACTTCAAATAGAAAATGTTGACTGTTGGTTTATACATGTATGTGGGCAATATGCTGCTGCCCACTGAAAAATTAAAAGTATTGATGGTGTTCGCACGTATAGAAGATTTCATGCAAATGAATGTATTTTATGAATGACTCAAATTGACTGTTAGTTACAATTTTTGGCATTCACTTGATTTTATTTTTCCCCAGACGGATGTGTTTAACATCGAGGCAGTGTCACTGGGAATGCTGAAGAAGATACTCATCGGCCACGATTCAACTGAACCAGGTAAACATTTTGTCGTTTACGGTCGAGTCTCGTTAATACAAACTCGTTCGGACCTAGCCAAATTGTTTGTTATATCAGAATTTTGTATTAAGAGGAACATCAGTCCCATTCATTGTGCACATAAATTGCACAGTCGGGACTAAGGCTTTATGTTTTGTATTAATTTAGAATTTTGTATTAACAGAGTTTGTACTAACGAGATTCGACTGTATATTGTCCAAAAAAAACCGCAGTGTTCTGATGCTGTTGAGGTTGAAGGTTTAATTTCTCATTCTCATTTCTTATACTTGTTTATGAGGATAAGAAATTCCCCTTCCAAAGCTTGTCAAAGTGTATCGACAAATCTGGTGGCAGCTATGTTCTGCGGCCATTTTCTGCTTGAGATTTATTGCATTGTTTTTGATTTGGCAAAAACACATTTTTTTTCTTCAAACGCTGTGCATTACCTTTTAAATCCCAAAACTCACACAAATAGATGAACACGCTTTTCTCGGGTAACAATTCTGTATTCTAGTTTCTTTCATTCTCAAATAAAGTGACTGAATCTTGACAACGTTGAGGACATCTCCAGAGCATTGTTAGTAATAATTTAGACTGATTAAAAAAAAAATGTTTTTATTTTTTGTCGGCAACAGAGGATGGTTGGTTCCTTGAGAAGGTGATCATCAAGGATCACAAGGGCTCCAGTCTAGAGTCGGTATTTCCCTGCCATAGTTGGCTGGACGCAACTCTTGAGGAAGACGGCAAAACCAGTAAAGAAATCTACGTCAACAACAAACAGACCAATTGTAAGTTTACCTATGCCACCCTCAATGTTTTCCCGGCAGTTGCTGCGTTCACTGTAAATGTATAACCCCCCTTACTGCATGAAAAGCAAGTTGATCTGAATCTACAAAAATCTAAGACAGTCTACCCATCATTTGCCTAAAAGGGTCCAAGAAATAAATTTTACGCTGGAGTATATTTGTAGAAAGCCATGAGACATCCCTTTTTTTATATAAAGTTTTGCAAAGTGCGTTTTTTTTTCAACACTAACAAAGTTTCATACTTTTCCAGACAACTGAGGGCGCTGTTGCTGTGATGTCACTTTAGAAACACACTCTGAAGATTAGGGCTTTTCTCTTCAAATTGTAAACCCAAAATTCTGCTTATTGAAAAACATTTGTGCATAAAGATTTTTTATTGTCTTACTGTCGTATACACCAACAATGAACCACTGAAAGCAGAAAAATAACCACGGCAAACACCTACAATTCTGGCGACTTTTACGTGGAAGCAGATGTGAAACTGATCTTTCTGCCTTGAATGACATCACAGTTTTGCTCATGAATATGGAAATTTGAGATAATTAGCATGAAAACCAAAAAGGCACCAAACGCCCTTAAAATGGCGACATCAAGATTACAAATAAAAATTAAATGGAACACACAGGCACATTTCAAGAATTGCATAAAAAAAATCCCATAACATGGGCCCATGACAGAAACCCACTTTAAAAGTTGCTGTGGAATAATTCATAGCAGTTTTAAAAGCCATTTATTGGAAAGCTCACTCACAGTAATCTCTCCTGGTATCAGCTTACCGGTATTGTGAATAATTTATAACAAGAATATAGAGTCTTTGTTTGTCGTGCACATTGCTTCATAGTGAAACAGTATGCCTCAAATGGAAATGCGCATTTTCAATGAAAATTTGATGAGTCTTGTGTTGTTAATGAGTTGCCATGGAAACAGATCTTGTTGATACTTATGAATGCAGAAGGTTTTTATTCATGATTATGGCATTGTACAGACAAGCACATTGTATATACACATATGCAATTGTAAAAGATTGGACATTTCTGTGAAAAAAATCTTTTTATTTTCATTGTGATGTTGACCCGTAACCTGACTTTGCATAGATAATTGAAATTGCTTAAAATGCCAGCATTGCAGTGTCAAGATTTTAACCAGTTCGCGCCGGATTACGTGTATACACGCAAAGGTTTTGCGATATTCAAAACTGATGACGGATAAACACCCAACGAACGAGGCCAGAAATATCTGTCAGTGACCCGCTCGCAGCGAGCGAGGCTGGAAATGTGAGTGTGCTGCCCGAGGGTGATGGCTTCAACCCGCCTGGCTTGAGGTCGAGTGAAAAAAGAATCCCGCGCCTCGTTCCGTTCTTGTCAAAATAATCCTGGCGCAAACTGGTTAAACCCGTTTTTTTTTGGCATGAATTTGCTATTGTTTTTGCATGAGCATGTGAGGAGTGAAGTTTTACACTTATGCCTTAATATTTTTGTACTCTTTGACAAACTTTCAGATCGTGCAATTTCATTTTTGAATTTCTCTATATGAAATCTACAGGTGTGTACATAGTTGAACTTGACTAAAGTTCTGATAAAGTGTGAGGGAGGGGGAAAATCGGTCAACTTTATAAGAAATTATTTTTCTATTGTGTTCACAAACCTGTTATTTAGATGCATGAGGTTTTGAATGCTTCAAATTTTAATGCTTTGTTGTGATTTGGTGTTTTACTAATGATATGTTTTGTCGTTCTATTTGTTTATAATCTTTGGTTTTTCCTGCATGCATCTGATCATTGGAATTGCAGTGGAAAAAGAAATGGTGAGAATACAGTAGAGACATTGTGTGCAGTAGAGAGAATGAAAATGCATTATACTTGTCTTAAAATCTAAAAGTAAAAAGATTGAGAAGCATTCTTAGATAGTGTAGAAGTATGTGTTTTACCTAACCAGAGGAAATCTTTTCTACAAGCTTTTGTATTCATGAAAATAAACACTGCCAAAAAAAAGGAAGTGCACACTGATTGGAGGGGTGATAATTTTGAATCTGACCGTCTTATGATGACGTCATTTATATAGACCTTTGGGGAATTTTGTCAACTACATTTTGACGCCCCGTTTGCTACCAAAGACTGTAGATCACCCAAGATTGACAACGGTTTATTGAAAATGATGCAGTTTGAAAAGTTGAAAATGTAAAGATTACGCGAGGAGAAATTGCTAAGCGTAACCACACATGCCCGTTATTGGCCCCTATCAACTGCACAGTGCCCGAACAAAGCGCGGGTAATTCAGTTTGTGTGCTCCCATGCATACAAGCACTGTGTGATTGGTTTTCCCTGCCGTTCGTTTCGGGCAGTGTGACATTGTCACGCAGCAATTTCCACTCGCGTACTCTTTAAATTTGCAGCTTTTCATACTGCATAATTTTTCATAAACCGTTGTCAATGTTGGACGATTTACAGTCTTTGGTAGCAAACGGGGTATCAAAATGTAGCTAACAACATTCCCCAAAGGTCTATATAAATGACGTCATCGTAAGATGATCAGATTCAAAATTATAACCCCTCCAATGAGTAGACTTTCTGTTTTTGAGACGAATTTTTGTCCTACAGTATCTAAGTCTTAACAAAAATTACGAACTCACAAAAACCCTTCCAGATCTTTATTTCTTATGTATTCATCGTTGTTTCAGAACACTTTATTACATTTTGCCAATTTTGTTTCTGTAAACCTATAATAATGATTTGCACCTTTACTTGTTCTGATCAGTGGGAGCAGGAGAAGTGGAAGTTTAAGCCCGGCAATCAGCTGGTGTTCATCAGCAAGGGATCAGGGAAAGCCATTCAGATCAAGGCCGATGGCTCTATCGAGGCAGCGGCCGATCCGTACAACATCCAGAAAACAGGTATGTATGTAATGCGATCAAGCTAAATGAGTCGTTTATCGACCCCGGTCAATTTTTTTTTTATTACAGATTTGAAAAGAGTACAATCTCAGCATTACTGCTGTGAAAACCGCATGCTGATACCATCTTTAGTTAAAAAAATAATGGAAGTTGGAACACCAAGAGATGTGATGAAGTGATGTGATGAAGTGGTCCTATTTTGGCCTGAATCTCCAAATGAAAATTCCTGACAAACGACTCATGTATCTTGATCGCATCACATATGTAATCAGAGCTGTTCTTTAAGTCAACCACAAGTCAAAACCAAGTCCTATCATATTAAATCTAAATACCAGTCATGCCAGATGTAACAGGAGGTGAATAGTAAGAAAGGAAAACAATTACCGCAGTTCACTTGCGTAGCTTTTTTATGCTGTGTTCTGTCAAAAACTGTTCTGGGCAGTTGCCTCGGGGGGAAAAAAGCCCAGATTTTTCAATATTGTAAAAATGTTAATCTTTGTTTTACAATTTGCCAGTTTTGAAGCTCCTCAAAATTGTTTTCACAAAGCTTTTTTCCCGTAGCATTTCTTGAACTGCCATGCCTCTACAAATTTTGCAAAATACCTTTTAAGCAAAACTAAAAAAAAATGCAAAAACTAAAAAAAAAAAATTAAAAAAAAAATCCCACATGATTTTTTGTTCCCAATTCATTTCAAGTTCTCCCGAAAAGCCTTTGATTTTATGAACATTTGATTTATATATTTCTTTTGATTGGCTTGAACAAATAATTGAATTTTTTTTGGCTTGTAGCTATATTTGAAGTTCAAAAGATGAAAGCCAATGTGCACGTCGTCACCAACGTGGCCAACCCCGACCACAGCATCGCTATGGACTCCAACAAGATATCCGGAAAGGTAAAAATTGTGTTCTTATTGTACGTATGTACTAACTTAAAACCGGAGAACATCATTTGCAGCTATCCAAAAAATGAACCGACAAAATTATTGTTGAAAAGCTTCCTTGGTGTAAAGATAGTAACGGCACTAAACTTCATGCGAAATTATTCTTTCTGGCATGCTGTCATTTTGAAGAAAACAATAAAACGTCATTTCCAAAGATGCGTCTAAGGACGCATCTTTGTAAATTTCCATTAGTATTCGGTTTTTAATTCAGCGAAGCCACGAATAGGTGCGCGCAAGCGTTGACATGACGCACACGCAAGCGTGGTTGCTATTATTTGTCAGTTCAGGGCATGACATCGTTTAGCTGCAATCTGCTGAATGATAACGTGTCTTGGGCACTGATTCCGGGCGCAATTCAAAAAAATGACTTGGCAACTTTTGAATTGAAATTGAGATTCTAGAATATTGTTTTCTTGGAATATACAGCATTCACTGAGATTAAACTTTGTCAGGTTAGTTGTTAAGCACCCTACTTTAGATTTTGAGCATTTTGGTGGCTTCAAACGAAGAAATGCACAAATGACAAGTGATTTACTCTATCTTTAAAAGCAAGAATTTGATTTTTTAAAATATTGATATCCTCAATGATATTGCACGCACAAAATGAATGTTTTTCCCAAGGAGAAATAATTTGATCAAATTTTGATGGGCACAAAGTCAGTGTGAATATTCAGTTGGCTTATTGGTTTCATTTTTTATTTTAATGATACGCCATTGTAAATATGGTAGCTATGAATACTAAATATGTTATATTCACAAAAACATTTGCATCAAATTTTTTTTTTTGTAGTTTCTTCTTTGACAGCATTCACTTTTTTCCTACAAAAATTCCATTTCTAGGGGAAGGGGAACGAACTGAAGCTCCGAATTCAACCGGATCGGAGCATCGTCATGGAAACGGCCAAGAATTCCTCCCAGCTCTTGACTTTTGGTCAGACGGGGAAACCCGGGGACGTCCGCGGGCCATCTCTGGGACCGACCAGGCAGTTCTACTGCTATGTCAAGGTATCGCACGCCAACCCAGTCATTTCTTAGACACTCATGATATAATTAGAGTTGATATGGGTGGCATGGGTGGCTTGTGCGTAAAGCGCTCGCCTCTCACCAAGGTGACCACGGTTCGAATCCTGGTCGCGGATCGCATGTGAGTAGAGTTGTGCGTTGGTTCTCTCCTGTGCCACGTGGGTTTTTCTCCGGGCCCTCCGGTTTTCCTCCCTCCGGAAAAATCAAACACTTTCGATCTCAGGCTGTGCTCCGTGGTCATATATGGGTTGATGCGGCCGGCAGCCATAGGCGCCTTTACGTGCCAGCGACCCGGCCACGTTGTAGCCGCGTCCTTCGCAATTCAGCATACCAGCTGCTAGTAAGGATGATTAGCCTCCCAAATTATTATTATTATATGAGCAGTTCCTAACTCTTCGCATACAGCAAATATTGGCTCATAATGGCACCCACCGAAGACTGCTATTATTTGCAGCCAGGGGCCAATTTCACGGCGCTGCTAAGCACACAAATTTGCTTAGCACCAAAAATGTTGTCTTATAAAAGCAGGTTATCAGCCAAAACTCCATGTGGCATATATTGCTCGTGATTAGTATTCAGCTGTTGTTTGCTATAGCATGAAAACCACGTGGAGTTTTGGCTGGTAAACTGCTTTTATAAGCCAGGCTTTTTTTTGTGCTAAGCAATTTTTTTTCCTTAGCAGCGCCTTGAAATTGGGCCCAGGCTACATTACAGGACTCAATTCCATGGCTCTGCTAACCACAGAATTCCGCGCTAACGATCACCATTTTGTGCTAACAGCGCTAGCAGAAAAATTCTGTGCTTAGCCTGTAAGCCCAGAATCCTTAGTTACGGGATGTGCGCAGATGTAAAAAATCCTCGCTAACCCTTTTTTGTAGGGCATGTTCCGAGACGAGGGCATCGTGATGTTCTACACCTCGCGTATCCAAACCCTGACGGTCACGTCGGACGGCGTGTTGCTGGCCACAGGTCAAAGGTCAGAGGACGCCTACTGGAGGGTGCACAAGGTCGGCGAGAGCGGCTCGGTCAGGATGTTTGAGAGTCTTGCCCAACCCGAGAGTTTCCTCAGGATCAAGGACGGACACTGTGACGTGCAGGTGAGGATTAGAACAGAGACGAAACAAAAGCAGCAAACAAAACATAGTAAATCGTGACGTAATAAACAGGACTCGTTTATACAATGCTGCATCGGGAGTCCTGTTTATTACGTCACGATTTACTATGTTTTGTTTGCTGCCCCCAACCACGACTTTTACACAAATTGCACGTTCGGGTCGAAACAGGACCTGAAAAACAGCTCTCAAAAGTACCTTTTGTACTCATTTCATGACAGACACAATAGTCGTTTTATTTTATCACACCTTAGGCTACATATACCCGAGCATTCCACAACCTCTTTAATTGTGACCTGACTTGTGTTGGACTTGGGACGATTGAAATGCAAGATGCACGATAAGCACAAGTTTGTTGTTTTGTGCAGCAAATGAAGGCATAGCTGATGTAGCCATTGCAGGGAACATAAATGATGGTGCTCAAAATTAATTATGAAAGAACAGGTGTGCTTGCTATTTGTGGCCATCGTAAAGCATACCATTGCCCAAGGTATCGAGGTCGATAAGAGGAATTCACAGCTTGATTTTTGAAAGGTACAGGAATGCTCATTTAAACCAAGAGACAATGTTGAGAGTTACAACTGATTTTGAAAATAAGGAAAGATAAAACTTCAAGGATTACCATCGCTATAGTTTAGGTTTTTTGCCAATGGCAGAGCTAGCACTTTCAAAATCGTAACGTGAATGTGTCTGCTTCTTTTCAAAACCACAATTTTCTTATAATCAGTTCGCGTTTGCCAGCTTCTACCAAGCTGTACGCTTAACCACGCAGAACCTCGAAATGCACAAGTTTGCCTGTTAACAAATTCACAAAACTGAAAAGCCAAAAATATAAAAAAAATTTACAGGGATCTGGAGACGACTATTGTCACTTCAAAGTCCTTCGAGTGAAGGAGAAGGGATACGTGAGCCTACAGTCAGTAGCCAGCGGGGACGTTTGCGTCGGCTTCGTGCCTTATGGCAGCGTCAAGCCGACGGTGGATACTGGAGAGGATAACGTGAGACTCCACCCGCACGTCATACAATGTGAGTATCCGCTCCGTTCACAAGTACCCCCTCACCGGCAAAGCAAGGACAGTATGGGGTGACCGACCGACGCCATCTTGCCTGACTGCAATTCATTTGCCGCGAAGCGCGGCCACTGCTTGTACATAGTACAAATCCCCTGGTGTACGTGCGTCACACACAAGGAACGGTGCGCGTCGACCAGCGAAATGTCCTGCCCATGGGACATCGTTGCTAGGTAAAAGGGCGTCCTCTTTCATCAGCGCACGGAGCTCATACTTGCTTTGTCTTTCATCTTAACTTTGATTTAATTTTTTTGGGGAAACTGCCTGAAACCCACAAATTCCAACACTGTGTAGAAAACTAATGGCACATGCTTTGCACTTGAACAAACAGGGGACTGTTGAGTATCATGTAAAGTATTAATGCTGGGCTGAGAAGCCCTGCAATCGATTTCATGAAACTCATTGTACATGACTAGCGACGCACTGCAGTGCTGCGACGTGTTGTATCCCTACGATGCGTCGCAGCTGTGACGCGTCCTGCGATTCATTTCACTAAACACGTTGTAAGTGCGACGCTTAAAGAGGTGTACTTATAGCATAACACGGCAACGTTCAGAAAATAGTTGTCTGATATTCAGCAAAGAGTCGTTGACACGTCATAACTTGCGATGTGTTTTAAGCCGTTGTCAGGAAACTTAGGACGCGTTCAACTCATTGTAAGTTTTGTGAAATGGATCATTGCAACTGAGTTGCGACGTGTTACAGCGCTTAGTGAAATCAGGTGCTCATTCCATCACAATCCAACAAAACCAGGTGTTAGAAACGGAATGCTTGGATAAATGGGCATTTCCAGCTTTATGTAATACCTCTGGCAGGAGGTCAAGGAGATTACAGACTAGGAGTTTTGGATCGTTTCTCTGAGTCATAATTCGGGATATTTTGATGTTCATGAAAATTGTGCAACATATTGAAAAAGGCTGAGATATTGAAGACCTGGCCAGAAAAATGGTAAAAAGTGTGTGGTGGATACAACTTGTTCCCCGTGTTAATTTTCTTGTATTTTACTGTCTTTCAGTCGGGACCAAGAAGCAGGTTACTACGCCAACCCCACCAACGTCAGCCAAGCCTGCTGTCAACAGGAAGAAACGTAAGTCATCTCACGCACTGAGCTCTTAATTGAAGTATTGAGCACTTCACTAACTCTCCTATGCAAACATGCGGTACACTCCGTGCAAAGTTGTCCTTTCAGTCAAAATCAGTCAAGTGACTGTTTTTTACAGTTAAGAGCTCCGAGTCTACATAAAGCAAGATTGACTGGCTGTGACTGTTTTATGTAACTTGACACAGCTGTGCTTTGACTGTAGGTGAGTGATAAGCCAGCTGTGCCTACCACTTGCCTGCATTTGTCAGTTGACTGAATTTGACTACTCACAGTGCTTGCTTGAATAATTATGATCTGGCCGTTGGTGACTAGCCTGTGTAAAAAGCATGGCAGGGAGAGGATTGATTTTTTTGACTGTCTGTGACTGTTCAGACAGCAGGAGGGTTAAACATCATGTTTTGTACTATTCACATCGTGGGCACGTGTGGTCTAGCGGTGGAGCACAGCATTCATGATCGTGAGATTGTGGGTTCGAGCCCCGCCGTGGCCATGCGTGTTGTGCCCTTGAGTAAGGCGCTTTACCTCAATTACTCCTCTCAACCCAGGTGTTAAATGGGTACCGGCATTATTCAATGCTGGGAAGGTAACAGACTCGCTGTGGAGGAGGTGTGGCGATCCCCCCACAGCAGCATATGAGTCTGGCCCAATCGCTAATGAAAGAGAGATAGGCACTCCGTTACTGTTAATACATGTTCGTCGCCTTTACTTTACTAATTAAAAGCTAATGTTTCTCATTAAATTTTGTCACATTTTATAAAATTAGCTACCATAGAAGAATCCACGCTCCATGACACTTTGACCAATCACATCCGTGATTGATGTCCGACATGCGTGCACAAAAGTCGTACATGCGTGCGCGTGCGAAAGACAATTGCCCAGGTGCACAGAATCTATTGGCTGTATGGCCCGCAGAATTTGCATAAATAAGCATGCAAACATCAAGACATCTTTAAGGAGCAGACTCCAACTAACTGAGGGCATCTCAGGATGAACACCTCTGAGAAACAGTCACGAAAATGATTACCACAACACAATAATTTCCCGACAGGTGTACTGAACAAACAGCCCGGCAACAACCCCAAGAAAGCCGCAGCACTGCCCCTCACGCCGACTCCGACTCCATCCCCACCGGTCCGAGAAAAGTCTGTCTACGATGGTGAGTTGTAATAATCTGCAAGATGTTAAATTTCTGACTTCACATTTTTATCTGAAAACTTCCTGAATATTCCAAAGTGCAACACTCTGCTGTACTACAGTAAGACAAAGGATCAAGCTCTCTGTAAAAGTACATGTAAATGTCTGGACACTAAAGTACTGACTCCATCAAAATCAGGCAAAACCAATTGTTGGATTTTAAAAGAATTGGGAAGATTAGGGTTAAATAGCACCACGTACTGTGGAATCAAATGAGATTGCTTTTGTCAATTCAAAATGGTAAGGAAAAATAGGCCAATTTTTTTCACGAGACACTCAAATCTTGGAAAAGTCTTTGCATTGTATTCACCCACATCTTGGTGTATCTCGCACGATTTCTAATAATCTTTACACACTTGACCAAAAAGCAGAAGAATGCCCTTAAACAAGCCATGTTTCTTTTTTTAAACGTATAACAAAAGCTGTGTTCAAAATGAAACATGACAGTAAATTATAACAAGAAATAGCTAGCAGTATCTTTGATATATTCTCATCATTTCACTTTCCCTTTCTTTTCTCTTTTATTTTTTATTTAATTTATATTTTCCTCTTTTCCTTGAACACCACTCTCTCCAAAAAAAATTGGGTTAATAATTCCCTAAAACTCACTTACCACAAGAAAAGAAAGTAAGACATTTGAGTACCCCGATACCCTGACCCCTACCCCTACCCCTTGCTGGGATGATGGGCGTTATGAGGAGTTAGAGTACCACTATACACCCAGTCTGACCCCCACCCCAACCCCATCCCCCGATGAAGGGCTGTGCGACGAGTTCTACGCAGGTGAGTCTTACAAACGGGACGGTGAATTGAGGAAAAGCAACCCGAAAATGAATCCTTGTTCGCTTGCAAAAGAATCCAGCGTGACTGGGGGAAAAAAAATGATGCAATAACCTAATGTGTTGTATTGCATCTGTACATGGAGACATCTTGTCGTCATTAATTGTACCTTAGAGAGACATCGGACATAAGGGAGACATTTCAGTGTCTACCTAATTTCACAGCTCCTATTTAGAGCCAAATTTAACCGTCGCAAATATGCTACATCGATTGCTCGTGGTCCAATTAGTAAAAATACCAAATTCGCGGGGGAAGGATAAGGTAAAATTTAAGTTGGCCCTTTTTTTTTTTATTACACAAGTCTGTTGGTTTGTCTCCCTAGTGACCCATTATCGGTAATTATTATAATTATTATTATTTATTTCTGGTAATGAAACCAAGGATTCCTCAAAAGTGCAGAAAAGTGTAGAATTTGCGTTGAAAAATTAAGCCGACGTTTAGCTTCTGTGTCTAGTACATGCAGATGACAATTCTACAACAGATTTTGTTGAGTTAATATTTAGATAATTTACACCATACAAAAGTCAGACTGGAGCATTGACCAAATTGTCAAATGCTCAATGATGTGACGTAATGAACAATATAAAAAAAGACTATTCAATGTTAAGCATGATAATTTGGCTGGCAAGGGCATGAATTTAATTAAATAGTACATGTAGTTCTCCACGCTTAAACAAAGATTCATTTTTGGTTGCTTTTGTTTCTATGTCGCAGTTAGTATATTTATACACATTTTAGTTAGCTTTCTTGTGCACAACATTTGCATGTGCAATATGAGAAAAAAAAACCCACTATGTTTAGGCCGCCGATGTAGTTTGTAATAGTAAAATACTGATGAGGTTGACATTGAGATTCTGTCGGACAGTGTCTACGGTTTTTTACCAGGCAGTGATGAAGACAAACTGGTGTTTGTTTGCATGGTTTTATGCATGCAGTTTCTTTCAATTTATACAAATATTTGATATCTGTTTACCCTTCTTGTTGTCTTAGTAATGGCAGTGTTTCATGGTTTGTGGGTCGAAAATCGGCGGTGAGCATCTGCCTCTTGTTCACTTGTGAGGGGTCTCATGCATCGTGGTTAGATGTAGGTCTGTTTGTGTGTTTTCTCCATCTATGGTAATGTTGTGACACCTGAAATGAATGGTGCTTTGTTTTGCCTGTTTTCTGTGTTGTTGTATACATGTATGTACCTTAAAGAGGTTGTGGAATGCTCGAAGACATTTCCGTCATTTTTCGGGTATATGTAGCCTAAGGTGTGATGAAATAAAAACGACTATTGTTTCTGACATGAAATGAATACAAAAGGTACTTTTGAGAGCTGTTTTTCAGGTCCTGTTTCGACCCGAACGTGCAATTTGTGTAAAAGTCGTCGTTGGGGGCAGCAAACAAAACATAGTAAATCGTGACGTAATAAACAGGACTGCCTATGCAGCATAGTATAAACGAGTGACAGAAACAATAGTCGTTTTTATTTCATCACACCTTAGGCTACATATACCCGAAAAATGACGGAAATGTCTTCGAGTGTTCAACAACCTCTTTAATTTCTCCTGTTCCTATGCTTGGTGATGGTTGTGTTGAGATGTTTTTGAGGATCGTTCTGTCACAACTGCAAATGTTTTTTGTTACATTCTCACTGTGTAGCATATCTCACCTATTGTTTTGTGTTGCGGTTTCACGAGTCTTTTTTTACTAAAGTAACTTGGGAGCCCTTGTTTTCCTGACAATGTTGTCCACATTTTATCCTGTATTTTCCATACTTTGTCTTGAATACTTTTCCTTTTTCATCCTGTATTTATTGGTGATTATGTGAAGTTTTGTTGGGGAGTGTGGCCTAGTGGTTAGGGTCTGTGACTCATGATCAGAGGGTCAGGGGTTCGAATCCAGCTGCTGGTCATATGTTGTGTCCTTGTGCAAGCCACTCAACCCCCACTTGCCTCTCTCCACCCAGGAGTATAAATGGGTACCAGCATTAGTTGGGGAGTAACCTGCGATGGACTGGCATCCCATCCAAGGGGAATAGAAATACTTTCAGTCATTTCATTGGACTATCACCGGAGATAAATGCTGTCCCGATGGGCCATAATGGACCGTGACCGACTTTAATTTTATGTGAAGTTTCGTACTCTTCTGTGCTTCATACATGTACATGTATCTGTCAAGTTACAATTTATTTGTAACTTTAATTGTCTTTTGGTATGTGCATGTTACCTGTCTTCAACACTCTGACCACAAATTAGTCACATGTATTTTGCAGAGAAGCAAAATTTGCTGACGATAGTTTAACAGCAACTTTCTGTCTTTGCACGGAAAAGAGTTAAAGCACGACGAAAGGCTGTGAAACACACGCACTCTTTAGGTCCGCACACTCTTAGCAAGATTTAGTTTGAAAGCTTCGGCTTTTTGAACGGATCTTTACACGTTGCCATAGCAACCTACCTAGTAACAATGTAAAAAAACTCTTTGGTTCGGAAAGCTAAGATTTACTCTTTTTCCAATAGGAAGATACAATGTATCTACAAGTACATACACGCAATTGGCGTAAAACAAAAAGTTTCTGTACATGTATTAACCCTCCTGCTGTCTGAACAGTCACAGACAGTCAAAAAATCAGTCCTCTTCCCCTGCCATGCCTTTTACACAGGCTAGTCACCAACAGTCAGATCATATCAAGCAAGCACTGTGACTAGTCAAACTCAGTCAACAGACAAAAGCAGGCAATTTGGTAGGCACAGCTGGCTTATCAATCACCTACAGTCAAAGCTTAGCTGTATCAAGTTACATAAACAGTCACAGCCAGTCAATCCTGCTTTATGTAGGCTGGGAGCTCTTAGAAACAGTCACTTGATTGATTTTGACTGCTAGGATAGCTGTGTTGAATTTGACAGCCAGAGAGGGAGGGTTAAAAAAAATCAGTTTTTCACCAGGAAAACAACGGCGACAGTTTCATATATACCAGAAATTAAGGGAAATAATGGAATTATTGTCTATTCTAGTTTTCACTTTGTCTGGGTACCACCGCTGCAATTTTTTTAATTAAAATCTTCCATACATTTAACACCTTAGCACCTGTTCAGCATTGTGTTACATTTTATTTATTCCCTGGTGAGCCCAAAAACCCATACGGTGCTGGGTCAGTTGAGGGCGGTACAGGGAGTAACAGGCAGGGCAATAGACCTTGATCATGCTGCCACCATTTTAGTCATGTTCCCTGTATCCAATAACAGTACTGAAGGGTAACTTTTTTGTGCAAAAAGGAACCAGACTATTTTTCCTTCCAGCCTCGCTTTGGTTACGTTGATTTGAATGGGATAAAATCAAGATGGCCGCAACATGATAATGGTATATTGGGTGGACACGGGGACTAATGGGTTTAGGGGCTGTCATGGTCATGTCATTTTTTTCTGGACAAATGTTGGATTTGTTTGATTTTCCAGATGGTGACTGGAAGGTCTGGGTGAAGACGGGCAAGGTAGCCACCAAGGCCTCTGTGGTCCTGGTTGTATATGGGGAGGACGGAGTCTCCCAACCGTTCACGCTGGGCAAAGGAGGCAAGGAACTCTTCAAGGCAGGAGAGGAAAACGAATTCAAGGTGAGAGCTAGAACCAGGCTAGGAATGGAATGGTAGCATGCCATGAATCTTGTTAATACAATCTATTTATTGGGGTCTAAATTTCTATGAAGTTGGACAATATTGTGTGTCATTTCAACATATTATAAGGGGATCACACATGATTAAGGAATTGTTATTGTTTTGCTTGCATGGACTTTTATGTTGTGTTTATATGATCTGGTACATGGTACCCTGTGGAGACATGTGCATAATAGGGAACAAATGATTGTATACGTTTCCAAAGAGCAATTTCTATAGGTAAGTACGGTACGTCTGCACAAGGTTATCACGAAATAGATATATGGATTTTACTCAAAAAACTAGGAATTTCCAAGGTGTGTTGATCCGTCGCAAATTGAAGTATTTATGTAAGGGATATTAAGTCCAAATTTCAGCCCAGGAAATTAATTCTGGTTAAAATTGGATCATTTTGAAAGTACACTTTCAAACTCGAAAACTTTGAACAAAGAAATGACTCCACAAGGATGCAAATTCTAGTATGTGTGTTTCATACCATTTAGCATGATTCATCTTTAATGAATGTAACATACCAGGATTCAAGCTTTCTCTGATCTGAAGATTTAAATTTCAGAGGGGTATTTAGTACTAGATGAATTCCATCAACAGAAAATTTAGAACTGCCGTGATATCTGATTTTTGTGTGATTATTTGATCTTGTGCATCAGGTGAATGTACTTAGTGTTGGCGACATCTACAAGATTCGGATTGGTCTGGACACGACCAGCAAGAAAACCGCATGGAAGCTTGATCAGGTACATGTACAAAAACTTACAAGTCAAATCAGGAGTCAACTTTTCTCCATTCTTATACTGAAGCTATGAGGGATCTAAAGACACTGTAATTTACGATGGTTGGTTTCAAATATTTCAAGAAACTTACGTTGGGTGGCAGGCTTTATGGTTGCAGACCAGTAAATAAACTTCCATTGACCCCAATGATAAATGCCCCAACTTCAGAAATTCAGGAAAAATACTCACAACTCTCTGAGGTGTTCGAGACACACATCAAATTAAATCTTCTTTCATCATCTTTCATTTTCTTATCAATTTTTGGGGGATGAACTGATGACTTTTAGGAGAAATTTCCATCTGAAGATGATCACCCCTTAAAATAGTCCTGAAGCCCATCGCCATTTTGAAAAACGATGCCTACACTCCATTGCAAAATAGAGTGCTTTTAGGGCCCAAATTTCATCAAAACTGCACAGAACTACAAACTCACAGTCCTGTGCACGGCTTCTACCCATATTTTTTTACAAACCCTCAAGTTCATGGCCCACAATATGCTCAAATACCGAAGAATTTGAGGGCATGCAAATCGTGATTAGGCTGGCGTATGTATTTTAGACCGATTTACTGACCTGCAACCTTAAAGCAGCGTTATCATTAGTTCCTTGTTTGTTCACTGTTGGAATACGGGTAACTTGATGCCGCAGGTTAAGATGAAGGACATGATAACCGACGAGCAGCTTCTCTTCAAGTTCAAGAATCGTTGGTTGTCTCCTCATGAAGACGACGCCGATGTGTGGCGGGAATCACCGGCGGTACGGCCAGGGAGCAAACCTCTCTCAAGTAAGTCATGATTTATTGTAAACAGGGCTTTCTCAGGTCCCGGCCTATATCTGGGTACAGAAAAGTCAGCATCGCCATTGTAGTAGGCACTGATGGTATAGCACCACAAGCAGTACCGGTAGGCACTACTTAAGCCTTCAAAGATGTGATGGTTGGCAATAGCTGTGTGAAAAACGCGGAGCCACCACCTTCAATTCGTCACCGTTTTCACGAAGAGCCACATATGTCAATAATTACCATTTTTTTTTATTTTGATTTTTTTCAATATTTTGATTTAAAACAATGTACTTAACCATTTGGACATGTTTCTGTAAGCAAAACATTAACTTCCAAGTTACATTAATGTTGCAAGGGGCCAAAATCTCGATAAATGAAGTTTGCGTTTTCACGAAGAGCCACATACATTTTGGCCCTTTGAACGCGTACAAAACCCATTGCACGGAAATACGTAAAAGTAGGTCAAATGAGATTTGCGTTTTCACGAAGAGCCACATATCTTTGTTACATTTTCAGCTGCGCGCACGTACTCACGCGCGCCTATGGAAATACACATTGAACAGAAAGGGCCAATATGTCGGAAACCTGAATTTGCATTTTCACGAAGAGCCACATATCTTTACTAATTAATTTTCACTAATTGACTTCTGAATTAAGTCTTATTACTGGGTTCATGTAAAAATTCAGCTCGCATAGAATAGTGTGATGGTTTCCTTGCTTCACAAAGTTGTTGCAAAGTGGTATTTTTTGCAGTTTTAAAATATGAGAAACTTCTTTTGCGATTATCTCGAAAACACTTTTTCTTCAAAATCGACATGTGGCTCTTCGTGAAAACGGTGACGAATTGTGCTGGGTTGTCACAATCGTGAGAACCGTACACAGCACAGGTAGTGACCATTATGCCATTTCGATAAAGAAATCACGATTATTTTACGTGAAAATGAGTCCTACTGTCTACGTTACAGCGTACGATCGGGTTACTAACCAAATGTTTGCCTACTGCAATGGTTGCCAGATGGTCATGTGGTTTCGTGACGACATACAATTGGAACCTGTTCCAAACAACAGTTCTGATGCTGTATTGTTTTGCATATGAACAGTGTACCTTCAATTTCCTTCGAAATTCGTCAGAGCCTTTTTACATCAGTATAATTTTGTAATTTTATCGTTTGAATGTTTTGCAGTACATAAATACAGCATACAAGTGACGACAGGTTATGAAGTAGGCTCGTCAACCGATGCCAACGTATACCTGTGTCTGTTTGGTGAGAAGGGAGACACAGGCAAGAGACAACTCATCAAATCTAACCATCAGGAGAAGTTTCAGGAATCACAGGTCAGTAGCATAAAGGTATAAGTTGTGTGGGGTTATAGTCTGCAAATGCCACACTTTTGTTGAAAGCCATTATTCCACATTCTTTGAGAGCTTCCATGAGGAATATAAGCTCAAATGTCTTATAATAATCATAATAATTTGTGGGGCTCATCATCCCTACTCGCAGCTGATAAGCTGAATTGCGAAGGACGTAGCTACAAGGTGGTCGAGCCGCAGGTATGTAAAGGCGCCTTAGGCAGCCGCCATGCGACCCATGTATGACCACGTAGCACAGCCAGAGATCGAAAGTGTTTGATTCTTCCGGAGGGAGGAAAACCAGAGAGCCCGGAGTAAAACCCTCGTGGCACAGGAGAGAACCAACGCACAACTCTCACGTATGGTCCGAGCCGGAAATTGTGCAGACCAGAGGCATGCAAGGACTTCCAGTGAATAGACCTTTATCAAACTGCCACCATTTCAGTCATGTTACCTGTATCCAATAACAGTACTGAATGATAATGTTTTTTGTGCAAAAAGGAATCAGACTATTTTTCCTTCCAGCCTCGCTTTGATTACGTTGATCTGAATGGGAAAAAAATCAATATGGCCGCAACATGATAAGGGTCTATAGCCGTTCAGAATCAATTGAATAGAATTCTGTAAGCTCTGGCGCCAGCTGTACTAGGCTTCTAATTAAATTTTCAGAGGAGATTTGGAAAAGATCACTTCAGTAGAAACGGGCTTTAAGAAGTAAAGTAATCATACTCGCGTTCTCTCTCACAGACTGACATGTTTGAGATGGAGGCAGTGACGGTCATGACCCCTACAAAGGTCATAGTGGGGCATGATGGGAAAGGACCCGGCGCAGGCTGGTACCTGGGCGAGGTCATCATCAAGGAAAGTAAGACGTCCAAGACGGAGTACGTGTTCCCGTGCAATAGGTGAGTATGCCAAGGTCGATTCTGCGAAATACTAAGTTTTGGAAATACTGCTTCTGAATTTTCAGGGATATTCATGAAATTTCTCTACCGGTGTAAAGAGTGCTATATAAGGCTGCGGCTTACGGCTTGTAATTGCATGATTGCCTATGGAAGCCACTGAATCCACTTTCTATAAACACATGCTTTACTGGGAGCCGTAGCCAAGTCATTCAGGTGCGGCTTACGGCTAGGCTTCTCTGAAAGTTTTACCTGACCGCGACCGGAGTGTTTGATGCTATGATTTGATTAAGGTGATTTTATGTGACAGTTATGATGCATTTCCTTTGTTTCTTTTATCAGATGGCTGGACGAGGGACAAGATGACAAGCTGATTGAAAGAGAATTGGAGCTCGGAGAAGTGCGGGAGATTCAGCGTAAGTTGAACTAGCCGTAATTTATAACAAACCCAATCCTGTTTTTAAAGGGAATATACAACATTTGCAAACATCGAAAAATAAAACTACCAAGTTTTTACGAAATACCTTACTAGGATGTTGGTAAGTGACAGTCACAAGCATCCTGTAAAATTATGGCACCTGGTGTGAAATCTTTTTCAAGAAAATGGTATTTTTGTATACATTTCCAACGGTGGTCGGCCGACCACCGTTGGAAAAACTATTTTTCAACTACTGCTCCAAATTTACTTTTCTTCAGTTCAAATTTTGTTTGCTATTGGCTACATGTTCATTAACGGGTGCAGGCCAGCTAGACTGGTTCCCTTACCTTACAATTTTCCGGCATCTATAAATTAATCAATTTTATCTTCAGTGGAGTCAGGGAACCAGACTGCTTGAACTTTTTTTTGGGGGGGGTTTTTCCAGCATTTTCGAACGCAAAACTTAAAACATGTCAGTGTAATAATATTTGATCCATTATACTATCCCGCCAAATAGTTCATTATTGAAAATAACAGCAAAAGCCAATGATGTACATTCCCTTTAAATTAGAAAAAAAAATTTTTCAAGAGAAACTTTCTTGTCTCGCTCGCTAGAGTAATTATCTGGGGAGTGAGACAAGAACATATTTCTTTGAAACAAGATTTATTTTCTTTTATTTTCTTTTTGCACGGAGTCCATATCGATTTCAACAAAATTGATAAACAAAATCTTGTTTGATGTTTTGCTTTTTTTGAAGCCCATGAATGGCAGGTGTACGTGACCACAGGCAGCGACGGTTCAGCAGGCACCACGGCTATGGTCACGCTAGTGGCCTACGGTGACAAGGACAAGACAGAGGTGGCTCTGATACCCAAGGGAGAGAATGGCTTCCAAGCAGGGACCACGCAGGATTTCAGGGTAAACACTTGTAGCTGATGTCATCGTACTACTTGATGGAAAGTTGGAAAATTCATTCTTAACTATAGCAAAAAACTACGCCAACTATACAGGCATGTTTCAAAACCTCAACTGAGCATAAAGGATGCCATGCGTAGGATTACACAGCACATTTGTTGTGAAGCCGGGCAATAGACTTAAGTGTCGCCGCACAGTGTTTGAAGTATATTCAGCATCTTGGATGAGGATGATCAGAGTTGTTACTATGGCTGTGCTTGTACGATATCACATTGGTCACAAAACAGTTTTTGAACCAGTTCTGTCCACTGTTTTGAAAATACACCGTTTTGAAAATACACTTTTTCAGAGGCAGTTTCCTCAAAATTGAAGAGACATGTTGAAATTGTTTTTTAAGATATTCTTAAACTACAAGATCTTGGTCATATATGGTGAAAACGGCATTAAAAATAAAGCTCAAAGTAAGAAATAGCGGCCATTTACAGTAAAATGGTAAAAAAACTAGCTTGTCCACATCTATGGCAGTCACGTAGACGTAATTACAATAATGGCAAATGTTTGTGTGCACAGTGCTATTGTGTTGACCATATCTCATAGACTTGTGTGTGGATAAACTGGTTTTTGACCATCTTTGTTTAAACCATCGCCATTTCTTAATTAGGTTTTATTTTCACCTCATACCATGAAGATGCTGTAGTTTAGTAATATCTTGAAACAATTTTAACACGTCTCCCCAATTCCAAGAAATCTGTGTCTGAAAAAATGTCAACGTTTTTTGGACCAACCTGTAGTTAGTTTTGTCTGAGTTCTTTAGAATCAAGGAGCAAGTCTTAAAAAATCTGGCAATTCTATTAAAAATATGTTTCATTTGCCTAAGAAACAAAACGGTGAAGTTTCTGTGTCAACCTTAATAAGTTGGGCAAATTGTTAGGTATAAAAATGTGCCTTTAGTTTTTGGAGAATTCAGAAAGCTTCCTCAAACTGCCAGGGAGTGGTTTTTTTAACAATAACTGGATTATCATCCTTTTCACATCCAGGTTTATCTGGGCGACATAGGCCAGCTCTACAAGATCCGCATCGGCCACGACAACGCGGCCCAGGAGGCCAGCTGGTACCTGAAGACCGTACGCATGCTGGACCTGAACGAGTCCACGGAGGTGGAGTTTGCGTTTGATCGCTGGCTGTCTGAGAAACACGACGACTTGGACGTCTGGCGAGAACTGCCTGCTGTCGTCACCGGGAAGAAACCTCTGCCTGGTTGGTATCTTAGAATGTGGCTTTGAATTATAGTTAAATTGAATTTTATTTTCTCGGATTTCCATTCAGAAAGACAAGGATTACAAATTGTTTTCTTAACCCCTTAAGGACGGGAAGCGGTCATGGCCGCGGCCGCTAATCCTCATTGGAATGCAGTTGCCAGCTGTGGTATGCCATGGCACAGGGCTAGTGGGTAGTTCCACAGCTGCTGCTTTTGTGCAGTCCCGCTACCACACAAAGGCTGTGCAGTCATGCGGGCCACTTGCTCTATGCGTGGAGGAATGTCCCCATTACACCCCGTCCTTAAGGGGTTAAAATACACAGAATTGCAAAGTCAGTGGCACAGGCTTTCAAGTACATGTATTCCTACTTTTCCTTCTTTTCCGGAGGTTTTTTTTCTCCCTTGCTCCTACTTTTCCTACTTTTTTCTTCAAATACCTACTTCTCCATACTTTTTTGTCCTACAGCACCGCAAAATGAAATCTCATTAAATATATTTCCATTGCAACTGTACTTCCAAGAGCTTAGTTGAGGATGGAGCACAAGTGTTGTGAGTACAGAACTTGCCAAATGAGGCTTATGATGCTGTGGACATGGGTGAGTACCAAGAAAACTTTTCAAAGCCCTCAGAGGATATAACACTTGACATTTCTTGTCCCACAGTCACCAGATACTACATCCAGGTGTACACCGGCAGCGAAGAGAACTCCAAGACGGACGCCAGCGTCTACCTCCAACTCTGGGGCAAAAACGGCGACTCGGGCAAACGCCACCTGGTCCGCTCCAAGAACAACAAGGACAAGAAGTTCCTGGCGGGCCAGATGGATGTCTTCGAGATCGAGGCCGTGTACCTTGGCCGTCTGCTGAAGGTCACCGTGGGACACGATGGGAAGGATCCCGGCCAGGGCTGGCTCCTGGAGAAGGTGGTCGTCAAGGAGTCCAAGAACGCCAAGAACGAAACTCTCTTCCCTTGTAAAAAGTAAGTCCAGAAGTGTGGATTTTTTTTTCAAAGAGTGTAAAACATTCTGCATTGTGTGAGGTGGTTTAATTGCTACGGAGAGTGAAAAACACCCACGATCTTTTTCTTTCTTGTCTGTTTGTTTTCTGGTTTATTTTTGGAGCCTTTGGCCCGGTGCGGTTTCTAGCCTTTTTGAGGCAATTTCTACTTTAAAAATTTAAAGACAGTTGCGAGGTTTGAACCTACGACCTCCGAATTGCCGTTCGGGTGCTCTACCAACTGAGCTATCCAGCCCCAAGTTGGCGGTTCCCCAATTCGTCACTATCTATGTTTAAGGGGTGCTAGTCAGAAACCAAAATTTTGTTCTGTTGATGTTGTCTCCTACAGGTGGTTAGATGCAGGACAAGATGATCAGAAGATAGAGAGAGACCTCACACCGGCCAAACCAACGTCAGGTAAGCAAGGATGAATCTCCTCAATTCCATAAGACATTCCCCTCAATCAGGCTTGCCCATTGCACTTACTTCACCTACCCCCTCTGTGACTTAAGATCTAAATTCCCAGACATGCCAACACACAATAGCAAGGTCCTGCCTCAGTCAAACGGTAGGGCCAGTATCACAACTCCAGTGGTACCACTTGTGATAATTTATTCGTACGTCAACAGGCCAGTATGTTTATTCATGAGAACAAAACAATGATATCAAGAGCATTGCTGTTACTTAGTCAACCAGTCACATTAAAGCATTTTTAAGAAACGGTTGTCGTTGAGCTACCACACAGTAGCCTAGTGGATAGCGAGATGAGCTATGGATACAAAGATCCCTGGTTCAAATCCACGTCGTCGCTGCTCATTTATTTTCACTATTTTTCTTCTCTGAGTTTATCGTTGAGATAATTTTAATTTAAGGAAAAAAGAGAACGATAACCTTGTGGGGAGCTGTGGTCCAACGGTTACAGTGTTCGACTCGTGTGCCATGGTACACGGGTTCAAATCCTGACCGTGGGAACATGGTGCTTGTGCTCTTGAGCAAGGCACTTTACCATTATTGCTTCATCCTTCGGATGGGACGTAAAGCCGTAGGTCCCGTGTGTTGTGTAATGCACGTTAAAAGAACCCAGTAACACTTGTCGCTAAGAGGAGGGGTTTGCCCCGGTGTTTCTGGCAGTGGCTGCAATATGCGCCGCAGCACCTAGCAAAAAGGTGCTACATAATGGGTCTCATAATGTTCATATACTTCATTTACCCGGCTTTGGTTGCATTCTCCCTTAGCGCTTTGTATCCTCTGGCAAAAAGCGCTATATAAATACAGTTATTATTATTATTATTATTAACCTACCTGTCTTTCAGTGATTCAAAGGAAAAACATAAATTATCGTAAGTGGTACCTTAGCAGTTGTGATACTAGCACTACCCGGTCAAATACTGCTCAACCAGCTTCGTATCGTCTAAATCTGACCATATGTACATCTGTCTAAACCTGTGTCTTTGCAGCACCCAATCCCGTAACGTCCGAATCGGCTGCCAGCAAAACCGACAGCATCACGGTCTCCTGGAAGCAGCCGACCTCAGGAAAGGTCACAGGTTACCGGGTGACCTGTGACCCGCCGGACGCGCCGGCCTCCGAGGTCATCATCGCAGACGCCAAGACGACTAAGGCAGAGTTTGGCGGTCTGACGGCCGGCAAGGCCTACCAGTTTGAGATAGTGACGACCAACGGCGAACTGGAGAGCGATAAAGTCACCCTCAAAACCAATGCCAGTAAGTACATGAAATGAACCACAAAGGGCGAACTCACTGGGTGCACTTTTTTAAAGTCATAAAAGATCCTTTGCAATTATCACAAAAGTAACATACCAAAAGTATTATCAAATACCAAAAGTATTACCAAAAGTATATCAAAAAGCTTACTTGGATTAAAGATTGAACTGGTGAAATTAACACCCCGTGAAATTATTCCGTCTGACTAGCTGTCATTTTATAGAAAAAATAAAGAAATGTAGGTGATTTCCAACGATCAGTCACTTGACTGATTTCGTGTTTCTTGATCAAAAGGGTGTGCATGGTTTTTCACTGTTTTCTCAAAAAGTGTAATATCCACTGAGCTGGAACTTTAACAAGCTAGGTTTTGAACATTCTTTTTTGGATTTTGAGTTGTATTTTTCTTGGAAATGAACAAAATGTATGGAAAGAAAAATGATCCTATATGAGAGTACGCTCGGGCCCAATTTTGAGCTAATGCATCAAGCGGGAATATTGCTTAGCCGTTTTATGTGCTAAGCATGAATGAGCTAAGCTAACAAAATGCCCGTCAATTTTGTGAATTACCAAGGATCTGAGGATCAGCCATAAGGCCAAAAAAAAAAAGTCTCCGGTTTCTGGTATGCGCGCGCGTTGCCGTAGCAGTGCGCGTCGGCAAAATGAAAAAGTTTTTTTTTCAATGAAAGATGATGTCTCAAAACCGCCAAACTCACTGATTTGACTGGAATCCTGCTGCTGCACAATTTTAACGTGTGTTCAGATTGGGTTATGGTCGAGAATAAGCTTTATGTGGCCTCTCTGGACTCCCATATATTTGCACTAAGTTTAGTCGGGCACCATTCGCAGTCATCAGCCGACATTTGAAGCAAAAAAATCAGGTAAAAAAAAAAAAAAGCCGCGTCGCCGCACCACTTTTTGGGCAAGCTCCATACCAGAAACCGGAGACTTTTTTTTTGGGCCTAAAATATTGAAGGCATAGTTACCAGGACTGGTTCTAGGTAGCTGGAAACAGAGGTTTTTCTGGCTTTTCATCATTTTGCTTTTATCTTGTCAACAGCTTTAAGGTATTTTCTGAATGTAACAATTTGTGAAAACTTTCTTGACATCAAGTAAGTGTATCTTTCTGTGCCCTGACAGAGCCCAGCCCTGTTCTGGACGCGATCCTAGACAGCACCGCAGACACCATCGTCGCATCCTGGACCCACCCCCAAGGGGAGCTCTCCGGCTACAAGCTTCGCCTCACCCCTCCGGACGCCAAGAAGTCCTCGCTGAGGATCAAAGACCCAAGCAAGACCAGGGCCGAGTTTACGGGGCTGACACCAGCCAAGAAATACAAGGTGGACATCACGACGATCAGCGGGGAACTGGAGAGCGAAAAGGTCACAGTGCAAGAAACGACAAGTAAGAAATTTGTCTCTCTAATTTAAGCCACGCCTCACTTTTTAAACCCACGGTAAATGTTGGCATAATTGTGTACATTTTCCCAAGTTATACATCTCCACCATTAAGTCAAGTCTGTCATGAGCCAATATGGCCCATCAGGCCGGCGTTTATCTCCCGTTTCCTTGGCATGAAATGACTGAGAATAATTCATTCCCCCTGGATGGGATGCTAGTCCATTGCAGGTTACCCATTTATACTCCTGGGTGGAGAGAGGCAAGTGGGGTGAACTGGCTTGCCCAAGGACACAACATATGGCCAGCAGCTGGATTTGAACCCCTGACCCTCTGATCATGAGTCACGAGCCCTAACCACTAGGCCACACTCCCCCAACTCTCCACCGTACTAACCTGACATCAAATTTACATGTTGCTTTGTTTTTTTTCTTGTTGCCGCAGAGATGCCGGAAATCCGCGTGCTTAAAGTCCCCAGCGCCGAGACCACCAAAACCACCAGCGACTCGCTGACGGTCTCTTGGACCAAACCGGAGGGGGACGTCACTGGCTACCGACTCACCATCCTGCCAGCTGAGGGCGCTTCGCCGGATATCAAGATCGACAGTGCCGACAAGACGACAGCAGAGTTTAAAGGGTTGTCGTCTGGTCAAGAATACACAGTGGAGGTGTACACCGTCTACAAAGACCGAGAGAGCGAGAAAATGACACTCACAGCAAGAACAGGTAGGTATTTTTTTTCCCCCAGCACATTGCGACCATGTGTATCCTCACTCAGTGGATTAATGTATTACTTTCGTCGTTCTGAATGGCAGTGGCACGGCACTTGTTCTAAACGCCGTGCCATTGCCGTGCCGAACTCAATTCAGTTGGAAGTTGGGGCAAACAGTTCAGGAATGCGTTTGCTCACAATACCCTCTCTCGCGTCCGCATCACAGGAAGTGAAATAAGCGCGAATGTTTGATTGCGCTGAAAGTCTCAGCGCAATCAAGCTCACAGGAACTACTTGAGTCTTTTCTTTTCAGTTTAAAATATTATTGCAATCTTCTGCTATCACAAGAGCTAATTCTTGATTAACTAATGTGAACCAGAATTAGCCAAGGTAAACAAAGTCCGCAAGCCGGCCGCAGAGGCTACCACGGATACCGTCACCGTCACCTGGAAGAAGCCAGAAGGCGAGGTTACCGGTTACCGGCTAACCTGTGCCCCGAAGGAGGCTGACAAAAAGTCAGCCGGCAAGGAACTCAAGCTTGACGACGCGGGGTGCCAGACTGCCACATTCGAGGGTCTTGCGGAGAGCACCGAGTATGTGATCAAGATTTACACGGTGGCCGGCGACCGGGAGAGCGAGAGGGCTAAAGTTAACGCGACTACCAGTGAGTCAGAAAAGTCGGAAAATCGACTGTGTGACGAGCACCGATTGAAGTGTAGATTGACGCGCACTCACAGTTCTGTCCAGTCCTCGTTTGTGTGATTGACACCAGTGTTTATGTAGGGAGGTATTCCGCCCAAGATTTGCACTTAGTATGTGTTGAATCAATGTTGCTCATGGGCCTGTTTATTACTGGTTTTCTCGACATGAGACTACATGTATGTCTATCCCACCTTGATAGGATGCAAGACCATTTCATGTTATGTCAGTATCTAGACAAAGAGAGGCAAGTACAGCGTATGTCAATAAAAACGCAGGATTCAAAGCGATTTTTTTTCTGAGAAAATTATGCTACTGGTGTGCCTAATTTGATAAGGATTTGATTGTCCATCATTTCATCTTTGACAAGATTTTTGTTTGGTGGAATTTGGACTTTTGGTTCAAAAGTTATGACAAGTTTTTTGAAGCCCTTCTGAAGCGGGTTGGTCTGATTCAATGACCTTAACACAACGACCAGTTATGTACAATGCAGGTATGCATTGAAGACAATTAAACCAGAACAAAACTTTCTTTGAAACAACTGATGATAAGTATCACTTAAATTTAATAACTGGACTATCATTGTTTCAAAGCATCATGAATTATTGACTAATAACATTGATTGTGGACTAAAGGATTATGTAAGCCTAATCCTGCCACACATGTCCTTCTTTGTGATCCACAAATACTTTCACCTGTACTGAATTCAAACCTTTCATTAGGTATGTGTGATTTCACAAATCAGACCAGCTTGGAATTTATAACCCTTCTTCAATGTACTCTATCTCTGGACAGGATTGTCCAAATGAGATGGGATAAAAAGCATAGTGAAGAGAAGGAAAGGTACTTTGAAAAGAGGGTTAACATTATGATGAATAGGGGTGGTTTATATTCTTAATATTTTTGTTTTTAATCCTGCGTTTTTATTGACACACGCTGTATGTGTGGAATGGCTTGCCCTAGGGCACATCCTATGGCCAACAGCTGGATTCGAACCCCTGACCCTCTGATCATGTCACGAACCCAAACCACAATATGCCACACTCTTGTCTACATGTGGTAATTTTCAATATCCAGTACTACCAATGAAATGAAATAAAAGATGTGAAAAGTGTATCACAATTTGAGATTTATGTGTTATGTTCACATGTACCTTACTGTTTTATCACTACTAACACGTAAGACGAGTGTTCTTCCAACAGAAAATTATACGTGGATTTGATCAAAAAATTTTCGTGATTGTGAATCACTTTTGTGCCCATTGTAGAATTTCTGCAAATTGCTTCAATTGTAAACATTTACCCAATCCCAAAAAACAGAATCGGCGACAGTCCCCACGGTAACTGAACCAAACGCTGAAGCAGGCACAGACAGTATCCTCGTAACATGGACCAAGCCTGCAGGAGAGACGACTGCTACCGGTTACCAGCTAACGTGCTCCCCGAAGGGGGCCGGGGAGGGTGACACACCCCGTCAGATAACCCTGGACACAGGGGAGGCCTCACAGGCCACGTTTGATCAGCTAGAGCAGGGGCGGGAGTACGAAGTGCAGATTGTTGCCGTTTTTGGCGAACAAAAGAGCGATGCTGTCTCTGTCGCGGCGCAGACTAGTGAGTTGTGTGCTTTGGATTCTGTGGAAGATGTGACAGCTAGTGATTTTTTTTTTTTCAAATCTAAGTCTTATGGCTTAACCCTAACAACTCAACCCATCAAACCCCAACAGCATGTTTTGTTGGAATCTGTCAGGATGGGTACAGTACTCCTAAAATACATTGGGTTGGCACACCTCCAGAAACAAAGTCAGAAATATGTGTGTGCAGTTTCCCATATGGTGTTGGAATTTGCCAGGATGGGTATGGTTCCTAGTAAATCATGCTAGGGAGTTAGGGTTAATAGTGTTTACAGTTCACTGAAGTGTGAAACAGATGGCTGTTTTTATTTATCTCTTGATGAGAATCAACTGTGAAACGGCCATCTGGTTCATAATAGTGTGTTTCTATGAATTGAATATAGTGATGCAAATGAAAGAATTTTTACCTTCAAAAGTACTCTCAAACTCTCAAAATGAAAGAAATCTTAACTTCCAAACATACTAACACCCTCCCCACTTCCCCCCTCCCCCAAAAAACAACTTTGAATGAACTCCAATATGTTCTTTCTCTATTTTTATGCAGAGTTTGAAAACAGCAATTTTTCACACTTTTCACATTTCCTTTTTGAATTAACTTCTGTTTCCCTCCTTATTCCAATTAAAAAGAAAATAAAAAAATGTGGACTCTTAAGCAATTTCCCCATCCTGTTGCTTGCAATGATACCACAGAAGTCGTCAAGGTGAGCAAAGTGCGAAAGGCATCCGTTGCTGAGACGGGCATAGCAAGCATCGCCATCTCATGGAAGAAACCGGAAGGAAATCTCTCAGGGTACCTCATCACTTACTCGGAGACAGGCAGTGCCTCGGAAGACAAGAAAAACAAATCCAAGAAATCCAAGAAGAAGCCTAAGGAGGAGACAAACGAGTCACAAACAGAGGAAGTTGCTGAAAATAAGGAATCTACAGAGAAGAAAGATGCCGAGGATAAAGAAGCTGAAGACAAGACGAAATCCGACAAAACCAAAGATGATTTGAAGGAGATGAAGATTGAAGATCCAGACAAGACTGAAGTCGTCTTGGAAGAGCTGAGGTCGGACGTGGAGTACACCATCAAGATTTACACCCTAGATGGTGATAGAAAGAGCGATAGAGTCAAGTTGACAGCCAGGACGAGTGAGTCTGAGTGTGAAGTATTATAAGCACCTTCACAGTGTGTGGTATTTCTGCACCATTTGCCTTCAACTGCACTTTCAAATCACTGGACGAAGTTTCAGTTTAATACTTTTGGTATTTCTTGAGTTATTGCCCAGACAACGAGTGTGTTCTTTTTCTTCACTGCAATGACTGCCACAGTATCCATTGTGCGTCTTGCTTTTGATCTCTTGATGTGCCACAAATTTCACTCTGGGCCAGTTATACCACTGACGCCCTTTCCTCTTTCTGATCTTGATTCATATTTATAGTCTACCGGTTCCTCTCCCAAAGCAGAGAGTTTTGTTGGGAGGGATAGTTCAGTGTGTGTGAGTGGGGAAGGGACTATAGAAGTTAGGGATAAAGGAGGATTTTGACTGTGAAACCAACTAATATGTTTCCGAGGAGTGCCGTAGTTTTGACTAACGCTAAAATGCGTGGATTTGTTTGTGAATTGAAGAATATCAAATAAAAATTGTTGTGATAGTAAGAATCAGGCAACAATTAAGAAAGTGACTTACCTACATGTATTTATCAACTTCCAGTTTGTTTGTTTGTGTTTTTTGAGATACATTATGTTGAGAGGCCGATTTGCAACAGTCATTATACTTACATGTAAGCACGGTAACCCTCTTTCACCAAGAAATGCTGTAAATAACGAGTAACGTGAACATTTAATCCGCTGTTTTAGAGCAACTTGCCGAGCTGAATCCAGTCCAGGATCTCTCCTGGGAAGCCTCCAAGACCACAAACTCTGTCACCATCTCCTGGAAGCCAGCTCCTCCAGACGAGAACACCAATGTCTCGGGCTACCGTCTGACGTATTGCTTGAAAGAACAAGCATCTCAGGAAAACAGTACCTCCCAAGAAGAAGAGATGATATTAGACAAAGAGGAAACTAACGAATCAAATGGCACTGTAGAAAGCAAAGACAGACCCGATCAAGTCACTGCGGGTTCTAAAGACATTGAGATCGCCGGAGCGGACACCTTATCGGCAGAGTTGACTGATCTGGAGATTGGTCGGGAGTACGTTGTGACAGTCTTTGCTGTCAGTGAGGATGGGCGAGAGAGTCAGGGCACTAGCCTGGAGGTGGTTCCAAGTAAGCATCAAAGCGTGCGGTTTACATTTCTGCGTGTTTTTGCACTCTGCACATTGTGTTAGTTCACTCCAGCACTAGCTCTCGAACAGAACCAATTGTTTACAGAGCCAATTTCGCAGAGATTTTTTTTTTAAGCAGAATATGCTGCTCAGCGACTTTCGTTACTAAGCACGAATCAGCTTAGAGCTGAATGGACTTCTGCTTTGTCAGTGTCCGTGCTTACAATTTCTGCTATAGAGTATTATGGGTGTTATATTGTGACATTTTGGTGTGTGATTATTTTTTCGCTAAGACTATTTTTATAAGATGTCTTAAGATGAAAAGGGCAGTTGATCTCAGAAAGGTAAGTTCTGAAAGCAGAGATCTTTAATAAAAAATTCCACCTTCATCATGTTCACAAAAATCTTGCAGAAGCTGTGAAGGTGAACAAAGTGCGGAAGGCATCCGTTGTTGAGGCGGGAACAACAAGCATCTCCGTCTCGTGGAAGAAACCTGAAGGAGGTGTCTCGGGGTATCTCGTCACTTACTCCGAGACGCAAACCACGGCGGCAGATTCTAAAGACAAGAAAAACAAATCCAAGAAGACCAAGAAGAAGTCTAAGGAGGAAACTAACGAGTCACAAACAGAGGAAACTGCTGAAAAGGAAGAAGTTACAGAGAAGAAGGAGAAGGAGGAAGAAGCTAAAGACAAGACGAAATCTGACAAAACCAAAGATGATTTGAAGGAGATGAAGATTGAAGATCCAGACAAGACTGAAGTCGTCTTGGAAGAGCTGAGGTCAGACGTGGAGTACACCATCAAGATTTACACTCTAGATGGTGATAGAAAGAGCGATAGAGTCAAGTTGACAGCCAGGACGAGTGAGTCGAGAGTGTGCACACAAACACCTTCACAGTTTGTCGTCTTTTGTCTGCACAGTATCAGCACCCAGTGTCTTTTGTATATTTTATCATTACAACTTCTTAAGAATGAAGTTGTGTAGATTAAATGCAATAAACTTTTATCAAAAAATGTTTTGGTCATATCTGAATTTTCAATTACTAACAATTTTGAATGTGCATTAACAACTGTTGACCTGTATAAAGTTTTTTTTGGAGAGATATTTCTTACTTCATATCTTTTTATTTCTGGCATAGCTGCAGCAATGATTCCTCAGGTTTTAGAGGCACAGATTGAGGAGACATCTCAGACAACGGTCACTGTTTCCTGGAAGAGACCCGATGACGAGAGAATCAGTGGGTACCGGCTCTCCTGCCGGCCAGTAGGCAAAGACGATCAAGAGGTATCCGAGGCAAATGGTAGTCACGACGACAAAGTCAAGGATGCAGAAGCAACTGGAGAATCTGAAGACAAAATGGAGGTATCCGAGGCAGCAGGTAGCCATGACGACACAGCCAAGGATGCAGATGCTACCGGAGAATCTGGTGACAAGATGGAGGAGGAAGCAACGGAGGTAACAGAGAAACTTGCCAAGACAGAGGAGAAAGGAGAAGAGAAAAGCGACAATCAGCCCGGAGGTGGAGAATCTGAAGACAAAATGGAGGTATCCGAGTCAACAGGTAGCCACGACGACGCAGCCAAGGATGCAGATGCTACCAGAGAATCTGGTGACAAGATGGAGGAGGAAGGGGTGCAGGAACAGGAGAAAAAACTCTCTGAAGAACCTGGAGAGATTTCTGAAGATAAAACTGGAACTGAAGAGGATAAGGATGCAGAAAATGAAGATACCAACGTCTTGACGATTGTCCTGGAGGATGCAGAAGCTACTCAGGCGACATTCGAAGGCCTGCAGCCTGGGACGGAATATGAGATAACAATCTACGCACGCGCTGCAGAGGCCGAGAGCGAGAGTGTCTTGCTGCGATCAACCACATGTAAGATATTTCTGAACCATCAAGGCTTGCTGTGTGTGCCACCACATGGTTTTGTCAGCCACTGGTGTCAACTATTGCACGCGTGGATGTCAACTATTGCACGCGTGGATGTCAACTATTGCACGCGTGGATGTCAACTATTGCACGCGTGGATGTCAACTGTTGCACGTTTGCTGATATCACTTGTGGCTCACATGTCACTTATTGCACTTGCTGCAGTGAATAATTGTTGCCTTTGTGATGAATAAAACTACTGTACCGGTAGAGCCATTGTACTAATTATAATGCAGTGTATACTACTCCTGTTGATATCAACTGTTACACATGTTGATATCAGCTATTGCACATGTGATGTCAACTACAGCACACATCTTGTCATCAACTACTGCCAATGCTGCTGTGTGTTGCACACTTTGATGGCTTTAACACAAGCTGTGTTGGTGTGAGTTCGGCTATTTTTATATCAACCATAGAACATGTTGATGTCAACCAACCTGTGTTGATATCAACTACTACTGTGTGTTGATGTAAAACTACTTAACAATTGTTGAATGATGTGATGTGGGATAAGACGTTTTTAAACCCGAGGGGGTTAAACTTGCTCCTTGTTGCACGAGAGTGACACATGCATTTACAACTTCGTTCAGTGTGCAACTTAACACGTTAACATTTGTCACTCCAGAATGTGAACCATTTCACCCCTTTTTATGCAGCTGTTAATAGCACTCTGTAAATTATTTAAGTGTGTTTTGCACAATGAATTACCACAGTAACTGATAATAAAAAGCAATTTGAAATATTTGTGGTTTGCCGTGACACCATAATGTGAGTTATTGTTGCTTCGGATAAAAACCTGTCTACATGTAAACTCAGCATTTCAAATTGTCCGTTTTTTCCTGGTTACAGTGTAGGAGAACGAAGGCAGAATGCCCCAGCATTAAATGGTTTATTCGTGCTAAATATAAACGATTTTGTGTTTTTCTCTGTGCCACACTGCCACTCACTTTGTTGGTGTTTCTGATAATTTGAATGTAATTCTACCCTGATAATTTGAATGTAATTCTACACTGAAATCAGATCACAGGTAAGATTGTGCATTATAACTACAGCCATCTTCCTTAACCCTAAAAGGGCGGGGGGGGGGGGGGGGGGGCGGAATCCCCCTGAACTTTTTCCGGTGGGGGGGGGGGGGGGCGGAATCCCCCTGAACTTTTTCCGCGATAGCCTTGAATTTTTTTTCGCAACCCGAGCTGTTATGACTTTTTAGCCTCGAGCCTTGCGCATCTTTTGATACCAAAAACATAAAAATCTGCCCCCCCCCCCCATTGGACCCCCATACATTGGACCCTAAATTTATAGAATGACCCATAAAAGAAGCTTCATTCTGTATTCAAAAGTGTTTCAGACTGTTGTTTCAGGGTCCCTGAAAGCTAGTAGTTCCCGAACCTCATAGCACAATTTATTCTCCCTCCGCAGACGCAAAAAGCAACCAGCCCAAGGATCCGATGGCAACTAGTACCCTGACTGCAATCAGTGTGTCCTGGACCAAACCAGAAGGCCAGGTGACAGGCTACAGGGTGCTCTGCACACCCGCAGATGCCGAAACCTCTGAAATCAAGCTAGACGACGGGGATACGACCGCTGCGGAGTTTAGCGGACTGACTCCCGGCCGGAAGTATGAAATTGAGATCTACGCACAGAATGGGGAAGTACAGAGCGACAAAACGACCATCTCGCAAACAACAAGTAAGCTTTTGATGGATCTCTGACTTACTTAAAGCCGTGTTCGCACTGGACTTATTTTGGTTAAACTGATAAACTGAGGGAGACTGACATTGTCAACTAACACCAAATTAGATCCACATGAAAAAATTTGATCGAACGAAAAAATGGAACATTGTCCCTTAAAAGGTTGTACCGAGTCCGTATCTGATCAGGTTCAAGGAGCTTCCTGACCCAACGAGCTGACACCTTGGATATTTGGACATGATGGTCGATTTTTTCCATTTTTCCCATTTTCAAGGTTTAATTCTCAGGAACTGGTCAAGGTTTAATTATCTGTAACAGAAGAACAAGAAAAGATAATAACTTCAAACTTTCTGTGTAATCATTCAACATGTTGAACTGCGCGCAATATCAGTCAAACCTGTACAGCTCATCTCCTTCTACCTTAGGCCGCGAACTTATCAATCACCCTTCACACTAGTAGCAACCTGCGTATGTCTCCTGTCAAATGCTGGTCAAAACATCGTCACAAAACTTCTTTATCCTGGCTCCCTCCTGTGCATTGTGATGCGCACGTCTATACGTAACCAGCGATGCAACCGTGCACCGTGGTTCGGTTCCAAATAGTCGACTAGATTAGTCCAACCATCCTGCGTTTGAGTGAAGTTGGTCGAATTATTGTTAAACATGGTCCTTGCCTAAACTTGCTCTCAGTTTTCAGTTAAAGCAAGGATAGATTGAAATTATCATGAGTTAAAAATCATCAAAATTGTCCTTATTGGTATTTGATGGAAATGGTTTGAATCATATTTGATTTACAGAGCCCAATGGAGTTCTAGATGCCAGCGTTGAGTCAAGCAGCACAGACACTGTCAACTTGGCGTGGACAAGACCCGAGGGTGACCTGACTGGTTACCGCATCGACTATCGACCAGTTAGCAACCAGGAAGCTGGTACCCAACCTGAAGACCATCCGGTTGATAAACCAGTTGAGGAACAGAATAAACCGGTTGATGGACAGGATAAACCAGTCGACCAAGATAACTTGGTTAATGGTCAGGATAAACCAGTTGATGAACAGAACAAACTGGTTAATGAACAGGATAAACCGGATAATGACCAGGCTAAACCGGTTAATGAAGAGAGTATACTGGTTGATGGCCAGGATAAACCGGTTGATGAACAGGATAAACCAGCTAACGACCAAGATGCAGAGGTTGAGACTAAAACTATCGATAGTTCTGATGCAACCAAGGCAGAAGTAACTGGTTTAACGCCCGGCCAGTCATATCGCTTCAGCATCATTACCGTCAGCAGTCAAGAAGAAAGTGAGCCAGTAACCGTCAACTGTACAACAAGTAAGTTCAATAAAACACAAACAAAGATGAAATATTTAAAGCCTAATTTCTGATGTTACTAACATTTAATTTGAAAAAAAAAATGGTCTTGTTTGATTCTTTTTCCATCTAGTGCCAGGAAAAATTCTTGATCCCCAAATTTTGACTTTGGCCGAAGCTTTCACCTGCACGTGGTCCCCGCCCATGGGCGTGGTGACAGGTTACAAGGTGGCTTGCACACCCCTATCTGGGGAAATGGAAGAGCCCACGGGGCAACCAGGGTGCTATACCGACAGTGGCTATGTAAAGACCCTGGATTTGAGCTGTAGGGAGATTTCTGTGGAGGGGCTGGACCCTGACAGCGAATACCAGGTGGCTATTTGGGCTCGGAGTGGGGAATCGGAAGGGCAGAGCGTTGTCCTGACAACACAAACAATGTCACTGGAGAGTGAGTTTTGAATTGCTGCAATAGATAATGACACCAAAACGTTGTAAAAGTGGCCAATTAGTTACGATCACATTAGCAAAATGTACCCAGATGGTTATAAATTGTTGCCAAACTGCTTACGAATCAGCATGCAGGCTGTAACTAGAGTGAAGCTACATCTACATGCAGAAAGTAGATTTTTAAATTAATATTTCATCTCCATTTTCAGTCAAAATGGACGCAGACTTTTCTTCTGTCCAATTTTGACTACAAACAAGAAAAAAATATGATAGAAAATTGTTTTGTGTGGTTTGGTTTCCCTCCACTTTTAAATTGAACTCTGATTCATATTTATAAAAGAGTTGTTTTTTTCTCTTTTTTTTAAGTAATGGCAAAAGTTTATAACCATTGGGGAAGCATTGTTAAATGCAATTGGCCCCTTTTTTACCATGTTTTGTGTCATCTGCAAACACTTCGCCGTGATGTGCACTATTGTGGCAGTTTGTGTCTCACTTTTCACTGCTGAGGATTCACAATATTCTGGACTTCTCGAGCCACATTCAGTAATTTCAGCAGCACGGTTCTGGTGTTACACTCGTGACAGTTATTGGTTTTGTGTGATACCCGGTAGTCGTCTGTTTTGTGGCAGAAATTGAAAGATGTACATTTTTATTTCAGGGGCCAAGTTTGTGTAATGATGTGCAAGAAACCAGTTTTATGAAGTTTATTATAATATTGATAGCTGGTTTCCATTCTCTCGAATTGTTTTGCAAATGAAATCTATGTCTGTGTAATTGTTGGATATTTTTTGTCACCTTCACGTACATGTAGCCAGTGGCGTAACTACAGGGGGGGGGGGGGGGTGCCCCCCTCTCTCCCATTTAAAATCATGAATTGCACAAAAACAATGTACAGTTGCCTTCAGTGCCCCCCTTGAAAAATTGGTGCACCCCCAGTTGCCCCCCCCCCCCAAATACACGTTTAGCCCTAGTTATGCCGCTGCATGTAGCTGGACACATGACACGTTTTAGAGACGCACCTCAATTACATCCGCAATATAGAACGATAAATCTAACGACGCACTTCATTGCAGCTCTGCATCACTGCTGTCAGTACATCAGCTAGAAATCTGTTTTTACTCACATAGTTGTTTTCTGTGCCATATGTAAGCAATTTTATGTTGCAATGGGCAATTTGTTCATGTAGATCTACACAGATCGATGTTTACATAAGGATAGATGTAACTCAGAAATACTCAAGTTAAGGAAATGTTATGCTCTTCTTATTATGTGCGTGAACTTCCTAACCTTGATTTTGAAACCACTCTATCAGAACCAGTCCCTGTACAAGAGGCTACAGTACAACCAACGGATACCTCCCTGGCTGTCTCCTGGATACCACCAGAGGGCGCTGTTTACACGGCCTATAAGATCACTTGCACGTTGCAGGATTCCTCCTTGGACGACAATAATGCCGCTGAGATCAGGGTAGTTAACGATCAAAAGGCCGATGTGACATTTTCCGGGCTGGTCCCTGAGACTGAGTATGTAGTACAGGTAATTGCAGTAGCTGGTACGGTGGAGAGCGAAAGTCTAGCAAAGTCTGCAACAACTACGGCAGCAAGCGAAGAGCAAGCACCAGAGATACCACCGAGTGAAGACAATGAGGTGTTACCTGCAAGTGAGTCGCGTTTGGATGTGATGCACGTGTTCATAAACGGATCAGCACTTCACATAGTTTGTCATTTCACACCTTAGTCATTTAGAGATATGCCATGAACCCTCAAGATTTATCTGTGAATGAGTGCACTGTTTTGAAAATGAGAAAAATATTTATTTCTGTAATGATTACCGAGCACTAGTTGATTCTGATCATCCCCTGTAAAGGGTATATTGCTTGCAGTGTCAGAGTTGTAGTAAAGTCCATCACAAGTAAATCACAAGCCAAATCACAAGTACAGTTACACATAATTGGGCATGAACAATGACAGAGGACTGCTTGTGTCACCGTTCATTTGAAAGTCTTGTCCTGCAATTTGAGACAAGAAAACTTTTGATTGACTTGTGATGACTTGTCGGGACTTGTGCACCAACAAAAATGCCTCTACAAAGTTATACTTCACTCTTTGTAACTCGGTTCACGTAACACGATAAGACAACAAAGTAACAAACCTAAACTTTTAATGTTTGCTTTGCCCTTCACCGAAATCAGTAAAGGGCAAAACCCTACATTGAAAAAAAGCATCTCTCTGATGTAAGATCCTAGAAAAAGTCAAAATAAGGCAAAACATGAACGCTTGAGTTTAGATTGCTGACGTGGTGTAGCTAGCATATATCTACAATTGCCCATTCTGTTATTGTATAGCTCCCAACAAGGTACTAGATGCCGCAGCGACGGGTACCAATGACTCTATACACATATCATGGAGGAATCCCGAGGGACCAATCACAGGTTTCAAGGTCGTCTGTAAGTCCACCGACCCTGACACAGAGCTCGTTAAGATCGTGGATTCCGGCAAGACCAAAGCATCGTTTAGCGGCTTGAACGCTGCCTCAGCGTACGCACTAGAGGTTTACACACTGAATGAGACTATTGAGAGCGAGGCGGTGAGCACGGAAACCATGACAACGGAAACCATGACAACTGCTGTTGAGCAGGGTGAGGAGGGAAAAGAGGCAGAAAAGGTGCAACAGGAAGAAACAGAGGATGAAGAAAGTGAGTCTAGCCGAAGTCAGGAAATGTCTTGGGAACGTCATTCTCTTCACACTTGGAAACTCTTCAGCATTTTCGGATATTCTTTTTTGGTAGACATGCCCTTGTGGAATTGAAAAGAATGTTATCCGCTGGACGTGCAATTTTCTTGTGTTGGTCATATTTTGGTATTCTTGGGCAACAACATGGGGTATGGGTTTGTCAGGGTTGATATTGAGATTTGATTTTGTTGAATAAATATATTTTCCAGGATGAAGTGACAGAAAAACATGGGATCTCTTCAAAACTATAAATAAATAGACAAAATAAAGTAAAGCAGTCTCATACAAAGAATTGATTTTAAATATTGTATAAATTAAACCATTAAACCATTCCAGAGCCAAACCCAGTCCTAGATGCCACCTTGAGCGACATTACAGACTCATCCCTTGTCGTGTCTTGGAAGAAACCGGACGGACCAATCACAGGCTTTAAAGTGGAATGCAAAAATACTTCCGACCAATCCGAGACTAGAATCCTTGATCGCGAGAAAACCTCAGTGAAGTTTTCCGAGTTGGACGCTGGGACTGAGTATACAGTGGACGTTTTCAGTCTGAACAAATGTATCGAAAGCGAAGCTGTGATGTTGACAGGGAAGACGACAGCCCAGGCTGATGCTGTGGAGGAGAGTGAGTTGCCATGGTTACCGATGAGTGGAATTGTGTGGTGCACGGATTGAAGTGACAATTGGACTCACTTTGAAGTGATCAAGACTTTTTGGCACTTGCACATTTAAGTCTCTGAAGTCAAATTTATTTCTGACAGGACAGACAATATTCTCGGCTGTTTTCCTGGAGAGGACAGTGAGTTACCATGGTAACCGATGAGTGGAATGATGTGGTTCACTGATTGAAGTGATTAAATGGGAACAATTAGCGTTCCAGCAAAAATGGGCTGTTGCCGATTAAACATCCACACACATGTTCCAGTGTCCCCACGTGTTCTTTTGTTAACGCTTCATTTTGAACATCTGTACATTCCCAAATCATAATGGGAGCAAGGAGTGTTCCAAGCTACCCATATCTTGCGTTTGCCGTGTTTTACAGATATTAAGAGGTTTTCTTGATGTCAGCTTGAAGGACAATGAAAGTCTCTACTGGCATGACTGGACAATACTCACATATTGTTCAAGTAGTTCATGTATTTATTTCAAAGTTGGATTGTTTCTTAACACAAGTTTTTTGCACCAGTGTTGCGATTTCGTACGCACCGACCTTTTTGAGTTTTTGTACTAAACCCCACTGCTTTCTTGCACACAGGTGTGAAAATTGCAAAGAGCCAATCAATTAACTAGAGAACCTTTCGCTTGCAGAGCCTCAACCTGTTCTCAATGCAAAGAGCGAGTCTCTGCAGAGTGTGCTGACCCTTTCATGGGAGAGGCCCACCGAGGGCCCAGTTACCGGCTATCGTGTCGCCCTCTATTCACCATCTTGTCCCGATGACCCAGAGATTAGGGTCGTAGGCAGTGACAAGACGAGTGTAACGTTTAGCAGCCTTGAGGTGGAGACTACCTACACTGCGAAGATTGCGACACTAAGCGGTGACTCGCTGAGTGAGGAAGTTACCATTGAGGGGACGACGCTGCCAGCGGCTGAGCAAGAACGTGAGTTTTGAGTGATGAGCGTTTCTTCAAACACCTACTATTCCGCTTCACCAAGATCAGTGAAACGTGGCTCTTTCTTTGACTGAAGTACATGTACGGTAGAGCAGTGGTCTAGTTCCTATTTACACTAATACGATGACAATTCGGAGCGTAACATTTGGTGTACCATTTAACCACGGAGATATGCGTCTTGGTGATTGTTTTTTTTTATTATATTAATTTGTCCTTTTCAAATACTATTAATAACCTTTGCTATAAACGATTGAAACAGAAAAACAGAGCAAAACTGCTGCAAGCTGCACACTGACTGGAACCTCCTAAAATAGACCCCTCCAAAAAATAATATCGGAGGTCTTGATGTTTGAAACGTCAGGCACTATTTTTATTTCCAATTGAAACTATTTTTCCCCTCCATTTTTGACAATTCAGGTCAAGTAATTTTTGAGGCTAATAGCCCTGTAGTTGAAATGATTTTAACCTTAAGTACATATTGGTTATTGATTTTGGCTGGTGTCCTTTTAAATACTTGTAGCAGAGTTAGGGTCGAGGAGTAAAAGTGTTTTAGAATTTGGCAATGGAGAAAAAAACACAACAAAACAAACTAAAAAAGTAGACCCCCAGCTCCCCTCCCCCCAAAAAAACCCCAAAACCCAAAATACACTGATGTTCCCGCAGAACCCCAGCAAGTTCTAGAAGCCGCCTGCGAGACGACATCAAACTCCCTCAAAGTCTCTTGGAAGAGACCAGCATGGCCAGTGACTGGCTACAAGATCAGCCTGTCACCCAAAGACGATCAGGACGATCCCGAGATCAGGATTCTAGACTCTGAGAAGACCTCGGTCGAGTTTGGGTCGCTGTTGAGTGGTAGAGAGTACCTTGTGGGGATTCTAACCCTGGACGGGCAGAGGGAGAGTGCGGTGGTTCAGGTTGAGGGAACGACAGAGGAGTCTGGAAGTGAGTTGGATGCCGTGGTTCGCTGCACTCATGTTGGTTGAGTTTGAAGTTTGATGTGTGTCCGAGACGCAGCCCAACCTTCATTTGCACCTAATACTTCACTGAGGTTTGGAGACAGCACAAGTGTTTGATCGTTAATAACAGTAACATATATTGCTGAGTTAATTATATAATTATTTAAATTTCTGACATTCTTTGTGTACTAACTCTTTCTTTGTCCTCAAATACCGTAGTTGACTTGTTTTTCATCGTTGGCGTATTGTTGTATGCCAAATGCATCCAAGTTTACATGTACATTTTGCACCAAGTTTTCAATGAGATTTGTAAGTTAACACATACATGTACGTGTGTATAATTGTTAAATACAGTCCCATATTTTTTCATGCATAAATAATCTGAAGTTCTTTCAGGCCTTCTTTGCGTACTTACTTTTATAGCTATATATTTTGACATTTTTGTTGTTTGGACAATACTAATTTTTTTCTCCATTTGAGATATTGATGTGTTCAAGGTATTAATTCCATTTTTCACCACATTGTCGAGTGAGTCTTGAAAGTCAGCACAAGTGTTTTATTGTCTAAAGTTGTACTCTAGATTTCTTACATATGTTCCTCCTTTGTGTATATTAACTATTTATTGACAGGAACATCTTGGATGTGCTTTACTTTTGACAAGGTTTTTTTGTCAACTTTTGAACAGTTTGTGTCATTTTCAGGAATGTCAGTCTTCTGTGTCTCAATTTATTATCCAACATAATTAATGGTTGATTTAATGACTGTCTTTGTCTGTTCACAAACACACACACTCACACACCTTGCAGTGTTAGTGCAGAGAATGACCAATCCACCAAGTATGACATGTGTTCACAGCATAAGGCCAACAAAAAAAAGTCTCCGGTTTCTGGTATTGAGCTTGCCCAAAAAGTGGTGCGGCGACGCGGCTTTTTTTTTTTTTACCTGATTTTTTTGCTTCAAATGTCGGCTGATGACTGCAAATGGTGCCCGACTAAACTTAGTGCAAATATATGGGAGTCCAGAGAGGCCACATGAAGCTTAATCTCGACCATAACCCAATCTAAAAACACGTTAAAATTGTGTCAAATCCAGTCAAACCAGTGAGTTTGGCGGTTTTGAGACATCTTCTTTCATTGAATAAAAAACTTTTTCATTTTGCCGACGTGCATGGCTACGGTGACGCGCGCATACCAGAAACTGGAGACTTTTTTTTTTGGCCTAACTAAAGTCAAAACCATTTTGCACAGTGTCGCTGCAATTTAAAACCTTTGTGTTCACACAACACTTTTTAATCACCCCCATTCAATAGTAATCACAAATGCAAATGTAATTTACAGAGCCATTGCCCGTGTTGGACCCCGAAACAAATGCCACGACGGACAGCGTGACGGTACAGTGGTCACACCCTGACTGCCAGCGCACCGGATACCGCGTGGTGTGTCGACTCAAGTCCCCCGACTCCCAGAATGCAACGGGAGGTAGTGAAGACAGCCCAGCCAATGAGAAACCAGAGGAAACCGATGAAACCAAGATGGACACCCAAGCGCCCAGTGACCATGGCAACGAGGCCTCTCACGGAGATGAAACAGCTCCCTCTAGTGACGAGAAATCGGCCAATGAGAAACCAGGGGAAACTGAGAAATCCAAGTTGGACGAACCAACACCCAGTGGCCCTAGCAACAAGGCACCACCCGGCGATGAAACAGCTCCCTCTAGTGATGAGAAATCACCAACCGATTCCAGTCAACCAACAGAGGGCGACAAACACATCGTTGAGGAGAAGAAGGTCGAGGCAGATGTCACTGAGGTGGAATTCACTGGATTGACACAAATGACGGAATACGCCTTTGACATCTACACGGTCTCCAATGACGTGGAAAGCGAGGCCGCCACAGTTGATGATAAAACAAGTGAGCTATTTTTTTATTTTAAATAATGTTTTGAAAATATTCATACATGTTGATCTTTAAAGCCCAGTCACATTATTATCTGCACAGAAAAAATATGTACTTGTAATCAGTTAGAAATAATAAAACTTGTTATAGGCCTACCTAAGGTTGTTAGTGGAAAACAAATCCCAAAACCAAAAGTAACGGTACATGTACTTCAAGGGACTAGTTTTGATAGGTCACATTTAGCATCCATTAATTACTTTATCACACCTTTACGCAATTCTGACCATTGCAATTTTTTTTTCCATTTTCAGAGAAAGTGAAGCTACCTACCCGTGAGTACATTATAATCTCAAAATTAGAAAAAAAAATCGTCTCATGCAATTTTTAATCTTTTTAACTGAAAATATATGATACTGGTCAAGGGGAAATATATATAGGATGACGTGAAGTTCCTTTACTGCCCCAAATCACTCTGCCTATTACATCCTGTACCGCCCTAAACCATCCCAGTACTCTGGGAATTTATAAATTTAGCAGGCCGCGCAATAAAGAGAATTTGGTAATCCTTACCTTTAGGACCCCGTTCCTATAAGGTTAAAAGACTCACCAAACAGCTGACTAAACTGACACTCAAAAGTGACATTCTGATATTTCTTGACACATTTGAACAGTTGGCAATGACACTTTCTGGAATATCAGCAGGTTTAATTTTGTGGAAAGAGGGCAGGGCTTTGATTTATAAGAGGGTAAAAGATGACGATGACAAACAGAAAATAGACTAAAAATGCAAGATGGCGAACTGCAAAAAAAAAGGTAGGAAAGTCACATTTTCTTTGAAAGTGCTTTCAAAATTACAACTAACATGAGTTTATCTGAAGAAAAAGACTGCTTTAGCCTGCAAAAGTCACTTTGGTACTGGACAGTCATCTGCAAAAGTCAGTTTTGAACAGAACTCGTAAAAAATAGAGGTGTCCTAAAGATAAGGATTACCGAGAATTTAATACGTAGCACAAATGCCAATGAGTTAATTTTTGTTTGTTGATTTGTTTTAGAGGGCGAATGGAAACTCTGGATGACTACTGGCGATGACTCCAAGCCGGCCCACAACGCTCGCGTTCACATCGTGGTGTACGGCGACAAGGACAAGACGGCACCGATAATGCTCACTGAGGAAGACGAACACTCGTACTTCCAGGCTTCTAACACTGATGAATTCAAGGTTAGTCATTAGAGATGATAGCAACTTGTTGATATCGCCATAGCAACTTGTTGTAATCGAGATCTGATACACCGTGCCCTCTGGAGACATGCACACAATAGGGAACAAAAGATTGTCTACGTCTCCACAGGGCAATTTCTATAGATGAATACGTCTCCACAAGGTTTTCATGAAAAGTTGTATTCTGTGACTGATCATTTGTTTCATTTTCCTTCACTACAGATCAATGTTGGTGACATAGGAGATATCTACAAGATCCGCATTGGTCATGATGACGATATTGAATGGGAGGGTTGGCATCTGAAGCAGGTATATACTGCAACGACTGCTTTGCTTCTTCTGTTCTGTCTTAGAGGGTTTTTTTAATGGACAGCACAGTGTCGAAACAGGATGAACAGTGACGAAACGGAAGACCAGCTTGTCACTTGACTTAAAGATGGATAACTTGTGATTTGTCTGTGATTTGTCTGTGCTTGGCTTGTGATTTGTCTGTGATTGGCTTGTGATTTGTCTGTGATTGGCTTGTGATTTGTCTGTGGTTGGCTTGTGATTTGTCTGTGATTGGCTTGTGATTTGTCTGTGATTGGCTTGTGATTTGTCTGTGATTGGCTTGTTCTTTGTCTGTGATTGGCTTGTGATTTGTCTGTGATTGGCGTGTGACTTGTCTGTGATTGGCTTGTGATTACTTGTGATGATGAAATGGCAACTCAATCAATTTTATCAACAACTTGTCTGAAAACTTATATTGAACTGATGGGATAAAAAAAGTCTCACAATGTGGAGGCCTTTGTTCAGCATCTCATACGATTGTGTGGTTTGCCCAACTAGGTGAAGATGGTGGACCAGCATTCCGAGGAGGAGTTGGTCTTTGATTATGATCGCTGGATGTCGCGGCGAGAGGACGACTTTGACATCGTACGCGAGCTGCCGGCCGTGAGAGAGGATCAGGAAACGTTACCAGGTAAACCTGGCGACACGTTGAAGACAAAATTTAGTAGAAATTGGGCATTACGTACATGTGACACCCTATAGAACTTTTTTATTGATATATCGGGACATGTGCAGTGCTGGTATATGCTGCATTGCATCATGGGACAGTTTATGCTACGAAGTGGGATTTTTCGCGGCACAAAGTGTTCCATAATACATTGAAAGATAAAACGTCGCTGCACAATTCCTCGTCAAAACTGGGGACCCCAGGCTAAATTTTTTTTATTTTTATTTTTCCTAAATTATTTTTGTCTGTTGCTAGTTAACGTGTACCACGTGTGCGTGTCGACTGGCGACCATTGGGCAGCCTATACCGATGCCAAGATGTGGGTTACTCTGCATGGTGAGAGAGGCGATACAGGCAAGAGAGTCCTGTACCACTCGCTGAAGCATCCCATCAAGTACATGAAGGGACAGGTGAGCTATATACTCAAATGCATGTTTGGTTTGATTTTGCAAAACAATAGAAGCCGTTGTCCGTCACCGACACCACGAACTGACTCTCATGCGTTAGTGGATGTCGGTTCGTGAAAACTGCGTAACCAACAATTTTGGTTTTACGAACTGACACGCAAGCATGTTGCGGCAATACTGGTTGAAAAAAAAACCTTGAAAGGTTTGACACGAATTTAATCCGTCTGTATTCTTGTGAGCTTCACACAAACATTTGATTAAAAACCTATTTTACTGGTGAAATTAAGATCAGTGTCGGTTCGTGAAAACGAAAATGTGCGAAGTGCGTGCATGGAATGGCGCACTGAAATGAAATTTTTATTACAAACTGTTTGGGTGTCTGATGATGACAACCATTAAAGTGGTCTGCAAAGGCACTGGCAACGCAAATTTTCTCCAACACGGCAGAGCGAGGTTAAATTTATTGTAACACAATTGTCGAATTTTGGGGCAAATATCTCTGAATATCTCTGGGTTTTTTTCTTCAGATGGACGAGTTCAAGGTGGAAGCGGTGTCACTCGGCAAAGTATCCATGGTGGAAATTGGACACGATGGTGTTGGATATGGTATGTCATCAGATCATTCAGTTTCTGCAATAAGGACAATTTTTAGGATTGGCAGCTCCTTAAAATCGTGAGGCTTCAAGTTTTGCTCCTAGATTTCAAAGCTAGAAATGAAACTGATCAAGAAATTATTATTTGTGCTTTTAAGTGCATAATTAGGAGCAAGTTAACAATCTGATAATTGAGGTAACACACTGAGTATACAGTGTTTAAGAAACGTCGGTGAAGGGCAAAACCTAATTTGATTTATATCACCCCGACGCAAAATTCCATCTTATAATAGTTTATGCGGTACCCGCTGCTATGTACATCAGATTCGAACCGGCCAGCCGATCCCGTTAGCTCGGTGGTCGAGTGGTAAGACATCTGCACTAGAAAGCAGGAGATCGTGGGTTCGAGTCCCACCCGAGTGATTTTTTTCCAACTTTCACTCGGGAGGTAACACACTGAGTATACAGTGTTTAAGAAACGTCGGTGAAGGGCAAAACCTAATTTGATTTATATCACCCCGACGCAAAATTCCATCTTATAATCTGATAATTGCTAATTGTGTTTTTTTTTTTTTCATCAGGTGCTGGTATCTTCATCAACTCGGTCAGTGTGCGTGAAAGCGAGACAGCTGACAAGGAATACCTGTTTGCATGTAACAGCTGGCTGGACGACCACATGGAAGACAGACAGACAAACAAACAACTCCAACTACTCGGTAAAATATGAGGCGTTGTCATATCACTTCTGAGTTATTGCACTTTAGTTGGTCCAGCACTGTTGGCCTAAGTTGAGGCATACAAACCATGGTACACAGATGATTTTAGTGACCATGAGAGTTGTAAAGCCCTACATTTCTAAACTTATCGATGTTGATGTATTAGAAATTGACAGGTTTGTTTTTGAAAGATTTTGTAGTCGAGTCCGTTACGAGCAAGTTACGATGTTATTAAACATTTACAGTGAAATATGGCGGAGTTTAGATCTGTTCAGCTTGTGCAAATTCACAGTGCGAATACTTCCTGTGTCGTCAGAAAGTCACATTTGCTGTTGCTGGTAGCCTCAACCATTTTATATGTACTGATCCCATGTTATTTGTTTTCTTTCATATACACATATGTTATAGGCATACGACCAATTGCAGCTGAAAACAAGGAGGAGCCATCACAAGGTATAAAGATAGTCAATTTACGATTCGACACAGTTCATTCGGCTTTTCAAATTTTTCAACACAGCTTGTCAAATTTTTGTTAAGACTATCCACTAAATTTTGTCATAGTTTCGAGCTGACAGTGTGCTTGGCGTGCAAAATCTTAAATTGAACAGCATGTTAGATGCATTAACATTTGAAATTTAAACTATTTAACTAGACAGGCCACTGGTCAAACTATTAACTGCAGAGGTAAAATTTCAACTGGGCAAGTCCAGTTGAAGTTAGTCCAATTTTGAACGAAGATACCATATAAATTCATATTACAGCTGTTCAATACACATTGTACCTGAAACTCTTTCGGGAATGATGATAGTAATTTAACCCTGTTCTCACAAGACGTCTCAAGTCAAATCCTACTTGTGATCAACTTGACTACATTTCTAGTCTTGAGTATCTCTCACGGTATGTGGGACATCTTTGCTTTATTGTTTCAGACGCTGCAGATACCAACTGGAAGGCCCTAATCCAAACTAGCGACCTGGAGAGTGCAGGCACCACAGCCAACGTCTACTTGACTGTGTTTGGAGAAACGGGCCGATCGCAGAGCCATATACTGCAAGGACAGACACTGGACGCTAACACTGAACAAGAATTTGAGGTCAGTTCATTTATGTCATGAAAAACTTTTGCTAAGGCCCAAAGATTATGGATTCATTACAATACTTCACATTCAGCACCTAGAAGCAATTATTACCATCATTGATGGACAAAAAGCTTTATTAAGTTTTTATTTTCTGAATCAATGATCAGGGGTAATAATAAGGTAAAGCGCTTTGATCCTAGTTAAAAGCGCTATATAAGCACCTGTTATTATTATATGTGTAAAGGTACCACTAAGGAGACACGTTATCATAATTTCTTCGCACGATGGGAGATATTGGTCATTAGGGAGACATTTTATGTTTCCCTAATGTCACAGTCGCCCTTTAGTGGCACAATTTTGCTGTCGCAATTAGGTTATATTTGTTGCTCGTGGTTTAATTAGTAAACATACCGAAATTCGTGGAAAAAGGACAAGGGAATATTGGGTTAGGGCACATTTAAGTTTGAAAAATTGTGTGCACAAGTCTACGGGGATGTCTCCCAAATGTCCAATCCAGGACAATATTTATTATTATTATTATTATTAATGAAACCAAGGATTCCTCAAAAGCGCCCTGGGCCGTGTAAGCTTTGTAGCTCACAAGTCTGAAAACACCTGTAGAGAGAAGACAATGAGAAGCAATTACAGTTTTAGAGGTGGGAGGAAAACCCCAGAAGAACATTCTGGGTGGAAAAGTCACGGAATCAGGTAGGGACTGAAAACCCAATCGACATGTGGACCAGGACAGGAATCGAACCTGGGCCTCAGAGGTGGAAGGCAAGGAAAGTAACCACTGCGCTAACCTGACTCCAATACATACCCTCGATAAACCGATTCAGTTCAAGTGGGCGAGAGTTCTTTATAACACCCATAGAAAGTGCTGTTTCAATAATACATCATACATATAATGATTGTTTATTGTATACATTTCTTACCAGGTTGATATTGGTGAAATCGGTGAGATTACTAAGATACGGCTGGATCACGATGATTCTGGGGCTAGTCCTGCATGGCATGTGCAACAGGTAACGTTACAAAATATCTTCAAACTTCAATATTCTAATAAATCACTTGATGATGTCCTCATAACATTGACTTTGTATTGAGTAGTTATGTTGCAAGATCTATATACATACCAAGTTTCGGTCCCATCAGATTTTTGAATTCAAACTTCAATCTCCTAACAAATCACCTGATGATGTCCTCATAACATTGAATTTGTATTGAGTAGTTATGTTGCAAGATCTATATACATACCAAGTTTCGGTCCCATCAGATTTTTGAATTCAAACTTCAATCTCCTAACAAATCACCTGATGATGTCCTCATAACATTGAATTTGTATTGAGTAGTTATGTTGCAAGATCTATATACATACCAAGTTTTGGTCCCATCAGATTTTTTTTTTTATCTGTACATGTTGCTCTGAGATTTCATTGTTTTGCAGACAAGACTTTTATTATAGGGTCTTTGTTTGTAACAAGTTTCAGTAGGATTTGAGTCCTAGAATTGACCAAATCCATCTTGAAAACTGTGCCAAAAAACTCAGAAGAAAGTTTCATGCTAAAAAAAATACAGACATGGCTTTGGTAGTAAAGTTAAAAGCTGAGAATTTAAGTCAAGTAAATGATAAGTCAGTCATAAATCAAATTTCAAGTTAGGTCATAGAATAGCTTGTCACTTGATTTCTGACTTAATGACTTGTGATGGTAACACTGCAATTTGTACAATTCTGTGAAATGCCGTAAGATAGATATGATGCACGATTTTGCTTTGTACTTGCAGGTGCGACTGGTCCATCCAACCAAGCCAGAGCTGGTGTTCCGAGTCAACGCCTGGCTGTCATCCGACCAGGGTGATAATCCAAGCACTATCAGGGAAGTAGCTGCTATCAGGCCTGGAGCGGATCCACTGCCAGGTATGGACAACCAGGCTAGGGCCATTTCTGAAACTGCGACTTTACCTCCGGTGTTGGTTTCGTCTCTCCTGAAGCTTTTAATGTTGAAATCCAATTGAAATACTGTGAACCGTGGCCCCATATTTATGGGGTTGGATGTTAAGCTAAACTTTGGGGCCCAAAATCATGAAAATAGAGCCTAGATGCAAAGCCTGAGACAGAGCAAGGGGTTGACATTCAAATCACTAAAAACATTGACTGAAAATGTGATGGAGCATTAAAAATGAAATCATTTTACAGTGTTTTGCAGGTTCAAAGCCCTTTGAAAACAAATTAGGTTTTGAAAGCTTCTAGGGTTGAATACTTAATGATATGCACAAACATGCGGTGGAGGATAACTATACTTCACTTATTTCTTTCGCGTGTGAAATTTCACAGATGTTATCTTGTCTCGCAAGTTACTCATAAAGCTAAGTCATAAGTCAGTCACTAGTCAACATCACAGGTTAATCACAAGTTGAATCCCAATGCTTGGCGTGGGTCGCTAGTGCGTAAAATGCTTGCCTTTCACCACTGTGGCCCGGGTTCGATACCTGGCTCGGACCATACGTGACGACGTGAGTAGAGTTGTTCGTTGATTCTGTCTTGTGCCACAGGGTTTCTCTCATGGCTCAATGGTTTTCCTCCCTCCGCAAAAATCAACACTTTTGATCTCTGGCTGTGCTGCGTGGTCAGACATGAGTCGTATGGCGGCTGCCAAAGGTTATGCCTTCGGCTCAACCACGTTGTAGCCACGTCCTTCGCAATTCAGCTTCTCAGCTGCGAGTAAGGATGATTAGCCTCCCAAATTATTATTATTATTAAGTAACAGGAGATGAACTGTGACTGAAGAATACCTTTTTCACAGTTCATTTGGAATAGCTTATCGTTTAACTGGAGACTGGGTGACATATGATCGACATGTGATGACTAGATGGCTACCGTAATACCTGCTTGTTTGTTTCGCAGTGGTTACGTACACTGTACAAGTCTACATCAAGGAGGATCCCGATAGTGCATCTACAAACCCCAGCCTATACATAGCACTGATAGGCGAGGCGGGAGAGATGGCTAAAAGAGAACTCATCAGGACGGGTAAACCGGTCTCCGAAGATGGCAAAGTCAAGGTAAGGCTGGGTCTGAATCACTTGGCTACGGCTAGCCATTACGCATGCGCTTATGGAAGCCGCTGTAGCCACTTCCATAGACACGTGTGTAATTGGAAGCCATAACTAAGTAAGTTGGACAGCACCAATGTCAGTGCCTAAGTTTGAATTTGAAATAGCTGTTTGAATGAAGATAAATCAAGAAATCAGTTGAGCAAGCGAAGCATTTTTTTGGCGTGAGGTCTTGGTCTGCTTGTAGAACATGACACCTGAAATAGACCTGCGCTCTGGCGGCCTTTGTTTCATTTTAACACTCCACTGCTTTCTAAATTACTGTGCTAAGCCTAAATCGGCTGAGTACCAGCGACAGGCAATGTACATAGTATAACATTTTGGCTGGTAACCTGTGTTTCTTTGGTAGGCAGATATTTATGCTATGCATATTTCTGTACCCAGAAGCTTGAATTTGGCCGTAATCCCTTAGTGGCCAACTTACTGGCCATTTCACTGGCCACTTTGCTGCCCAAGTCACTGGCCACCATTTCACCAGCCATTTTTTTTAAAATTCATTTTGTTTTAAAGCATACTCTTAATTCTTTCCGTTAGGTGGACACTGTCAGTTTCGAGGCCATTTCTGTCGGCTGGCTGCAACAGGCCGTTCTAAGCATCAGCTCCGACGAAAAGCAAGACACGTGGTTCGCGGAGAAGGTCACCGTGCAAGAAGGAAAGTACGCCACGACGCGGTCCGTCTTCCCCTGTAAGATGTGGTTCGGCAACGCGATCATCGGGGAGGACGGAAACACGGTCTTGCAGACTGATCTACAACCAGAAGGTATAAGCTGATTTTTGTTTGAAATGATGTACTCATATATTTGTAACTCTTATCCCAATTTTACAAAACTACTAAGCACAGAAACTTGCGAAGCCTACAAAAAAATATTGATGGACAAAAACGGGTTACGAGATTCAAAAAGTCATCTACTCATAGTCCAGGGTCAAAGTTCATGAAATTGGGTAGCGAAGAAATTGGCTAAGTCCAGGAAATATTTAGGGAGCAAAAACCACTGATCTCTATAAACGTGATAAAGAGTGGATAGCGTATGCCCATACGCTGTACATTTACTTATTTTTGCATTTTGACCAGTTCGCCTGGAACTTCCAAAAATGGCCGCCGATATAGGAACATTCCACATGTACATACAGCGCGCGCTGTATCCAGATTTGACGTGCATTTTGTTCACGTACATGTATTATGTTCTCAAAAGGTTTCCGTCGTGAATATTCCAAACGTCGCAAAACGTGAACTGCGGCATTCAAAAAGTGAACCACGACGTTTGAAAAATTGCGATCTGTGGTCAGTGGTGGTGATGGACAAACGGTGAACCACGATGTTACAAAAGTGAATCACAACTGCCTATAAAGACGGCAACTTGTACTTTATAGAACACCAGCCGGTCTCTCCAATATGGCTTCAAATGGCTTTCTTCTGCGGTTCTCTGTGCGCTGCCCAGTCTTTATGTAGAGATCTGTGGCAAACATAGTTCACCAGCCAAAATGCCATTGCTGTATAGTATGTCCCCAAAAAAGTGTCCGCCTAAATATTATTGAAATAACAACAAAACGGCAAAGTAAATATTGAAAATGTTTAATTGTGCAGATACTCCTTATCCCTGGCCTAAACCCCTATGAGTTTCATTTAAGTTCAGTCACGCATCACTGCACAATGGTTAATTGATCACAACATTTTTGGACACTGTGACCAAGTTCCTTGCCTTAATCAATTTCGGTGCTGTGTTATATAAGCTGTGTTTAACACTATATGTTGTGAAACAGGGCTGCGGGTGGGATTGGAATCATTTGCCTGGCTATCGGTCATCATAGACCTTTATCATGCTGCCACCATTTTAGTCATGTTCCCTGTATCCAATAAAAGTACTCAATGATAATCTTTTTTGTGCAAAAAGGAACCAGACTATTTTTCCTTCAAGCCTCGCTTTGGTTACGTTGATTTGAATGGAAAAAAAATTACGATGGCCGCAACATGATAATGGTCTATTGCAAGACCTCAGTTTAATGCTCACGGACAAATGAGGACTGGTAGCCTGGCAAATGAGTCAATTTCATTTTGTTGTTAACTTGTAATACAAAAGGGGGATTATTGTTATCTTTCTTAACAAAAAAAAAGTTCTCTGTGTAAGAAATTGAAATGTAAAAAAAATGGAAATGTAACTGGAAAAAAAAATGCGTTATTACAGATCAGATGAAATATTGACAATTGAGAGTAGTTGACGTATTCATGTCATTGTGTTTTGCCTGAGCACGGAAAATAATAATTTGAGCATGTAAGGATTGAAACCAAACCATTCTACTCCACTACTAACTTTGAATGCAGTTTTAAAATGTATTGGTTTGAACGATTGGAATGCTCTTAAGTAGTCATGGATTTGCTCTGACGAACTTGAATGCCACGCCTGTTTTCTTAAAGTAGCTTGAGAAGGATAGAAATGCACGTATTATTTTTGGAAGAAGTTGATTTTAATTGGTGGACTTTTTATGCCAAGGCACGCCTGTTTTGGAGCAACATTTAACGATTGAAGGCAAGTTGATGTGGCACGGTTGTTTTTGAAGCACAGTTTTCACCAACACATTTCACACTGACTTGTATATTGTTTTTTCTACTCTTCATAAAAACACACACCCCTTTTGCACAGATATCTAATGTTAAATAGCACTCTGTTTATCACTTACAGCACATATCTTTTTGAAGATGTTCTTTGCACTGATTTTACGACTTATGTCACCCTTGGCACCCCTTAAGCACATTATTTCATGCTTGACTAAATCCTGGCTTATTCAAGTTTTTTACACCAACAACTTCGCACAATTGTGTATTTGCCTGCAATCGGGGATCCCCTATTGTCCCTCTTTTGTTTGTATGGGAGGAAGACCTCCCATATGTTTTGTACACGAATCCCAATTGGGGACCTCTCGGGAATTGGGGACCCTATTGTCCTCTATTGTTCAACGTTCCCTATTGAATGCAGAAACAAACTCACACACTTTTTGTAACTTTATTTTTACCAATTTCTTGGGAAATACACTCGCCAAAGGAACAAGGTGATACAAATAATATATCAAATATTCAGGTTCAAAAATTATCTTGGTATTTTTCTAGAAATTCCTGAATCGACTAAAATCCTACAAAATTAATTTAAACATTATTATAGTCAGTTTCTCTTTGCGATTTATTTGAAAGTTTGTAATTAAAAACGGGACCTCTCTGAGTGACTGAGTGATCCCCGTTAGCTATTTTCCAGGTTTGTAGCATTGCTAACGTTGCTAGCATCGTGACTTTGGGCGTGATCCCTGACTACATGGCATATACGGGTTTACGGCTTCTGACTAGCGCTCCATGAACAAAGATATTGACAGAGTGGGGAACCACCAACATAGGGCTGGATAGCTCAGTTGGTAGAGCACCAGCTACTCAGTTGGTAGAGCACTGCTAGAGCACCGACTGCAGAGCTCAAAATCCATCAACATACCTTTCATTCATTTGGTTTCCATGTACTTTGAAAATTTGGTAAAATGATGTAATTGTAACCATGTCACAAATGAGTGTAAATTAATGTTGTGCAAACCCGACCCAAAACCGACCCGACCCGACCCGACCCGAAACTGAGGGTCGGATCAGCTTATCCATCATTTCAGTCGGGTCGGGTCCGTTTCAGACGTGATTTTTGGGTCGGGTCGGTTAAGCCATCTTGTGAAAAACCCGAATTAAACCGAAATAAACTGAAAAAAGACTGAAATTCACGCGGTGCAATATTGTTGCAGAATTAGTGTGCCTGGTACTACCAACGTCAACCCACTGCGTGAATAATGTGCATGTAGTTTGCGGTCTATCACGCACGGTGTATAACGTGTAGGCCCACCAATAAACGTTATGAGTCTTCACCGTACCGTACAGTATGATTCTTTACTACATTTTTCATGCGATGTGGGTATTAGTTCAGGCACAAAAAGCAAGATATTTGGGATTTTGTCGGTTTGGTTTCAGGTAGGCTCAGGTCGGTTTCTGCTTGAATTTCTGTCAGTTTGGGTCGTATTTGGGGAGTTCAGATCGGTTTCGGTTCAGATTCGATTTATATCTACAATGTTTTTCGGGTTCCGATGCACAACATTAGTGTAAATCGTGTTTTGTCTTGATCTTATTGTTTCCTCCGATGATACACTGCAACACATTCAAACTGTTTATAAATTTTCATTGTAAACATTTTAGTTGATAAATTTTATCACCAAGTTTTTGTTTTAATTCATTAAGGTGAGGAGGCAGTCCCCAAAGATAACAAGGAAGCAGAGAATGAGGATGATGGGGAGTCTGCTTCCAAAGGGAACTGGACCATCTGGATCACCCCTGGCAAAGAGGATGGAATGGGCTCCAACTCCGGCCTCTCCGTACAAGTGTATGGGGAGAAGGGGAGGAGTGAGGTCATTCCATTGCAGCCACAGGGGGTTTACAAGGAGGCAAAGGAGGGTGAAGGCGAGGAGGAAAAGGTGGACGAAGAGAAGAAAGAAGGGGCGGAGGAACCGGCTGAGGAGGGGGAGACGGCGAGCAGGGAGCCTGAGGCTGAGACTGAGAAGGCAGAGGAGAAAGGAGACGGGGAACAAGACCTGTCATTCCCTGCAGGATCCACCAACGATTTTGACGTAAGCATTGTCCAATAGACTAGAAAATGTATTTGTACGAACATGAACAGGAAACCAAGGATATATATTGGCGTTATCGGCAATATTGGCTGAAGAGCAACTTAAAGTATTTCTGAATTTAAGCAAATTGTTTGAGGAAGTTTATAGAGAACTGTTTTTCAGAACAGAATGAAAATTTCCCATCTTCTTGCGTTTAACACTATCAACAGAAATCAAGTTGCTCAAAACTCTCATATGTCAAGGAAAAATTGTGTTCTTCTTTCTGATTTTTGATTTTTCTTTTTTTTTGATGTGCAGATTAATGTAGGAGAGATCGGTCCAATCTACAAGATCCGTCTTTTATTAGAGGCTGGCGATGAGAAAGATGAAACACCAAGCATTTTCTTGGATAAGGTAAGAAAACTTTTTACAATTCCGTGATGGATTGCTTACATGTAGATTGTTTAGATTTCTTAAAATGGAAGCCTTTTTCAGTAATGGAATGTTTGATTTTTGCACTTTCATCCGTAGTCATTCTTTACTTATGGCAAAGAATGTAAATATGAATAAAATATAAATAAGTGAAGAAAAAAAGTTGTATGACTTTATCATTGTTTTTAAGTTGCAGCCTAAACCAAGGTCTGTATAGCTTTACAGTTACATTTTATTTGAAATGCTTGCAAGACTGAATGACTTGTGATTTATGGAGAGTTGTCCTTTCAGTCAAAATCAGTCGAGTGTCTGTTTTTAACAGTTAAGAGCTCCCAGCCTACATAAAGCATGATTGACTGGCTGTGACTGTTTATGTAACTTGATACAGCTATGCTTTGACTGTAGGTGATTGGTAAGCCAGCTGTGCTTACCACTTGCCTGCTTTTGTCTGTTGACTGAATTTGACTAGTCACAGTGCTTGCTTCCAATATGACCTGACTGTTGGTGACTAGCCTGTGTAAAAGGCATGGCAGGGAAGAGGATTGATTTTTTGACTGTCTGTGACTGTTCAAACAGCAGGAGGGTTAACCCATTTTTATTGCGGTGTACAGATAAAAATGAAGGACAAAGACACCGACCAGGAGTTTCACTTTTTCGTCGACCGCTGGCTCCGTCGCTCGGAAGACGTCAAGCTTCCCACTTCAGCCCCCAGCCCTCCGGATGCACAGCCGGAACCCGAGGCAAAACAGGAACAGAAGAACGACAAGAAGGCAAAAGACAAGAAACCGGAGGACAAGGCGAAATCCTCCAAAGCTGGGAAGACGAGGAGCAAGAAAGATGAGAAAGGAAAAGCCGAGGGGAAGAGGAACAAGTCAAAGATTGCTGAAGAGGATGATGAGAAGGCAAAGGAGCCTGAAGCGAAAGATGCAGTGCAAGAAAAACCTGAAGAAAAGACGCAAGAAGGCAAGACGGGTCAGACGGAAGAAGAGGTCGCAGATTGCTACTTGGAGCTGCCTGCCATCAGGCCTGATATACCTCCACTACCAGGTAACGTATTTAACAATTTGTGACTGCTGTGATGTGGCCCATGGTATTTTTAACACCCGATGGCATAGGCTGCTAAAAAGGGGGGAGGTGGAATTGGCAAGGGGGCATTTTCCCCTACACTTTATATAAAAAAATTGTTTTGCCTGCCTACTTTCATGACTTTTGGATTCCCTCCATAAAGACTTAAAACTTAGCCTCCAACTTTTCAAATATGTTTGGCCACCTTTGTCTGAGGATGCCCTGTGGCCACAGCACAGCAGTGAACAATGAAAAAAGTGCACTAAATTGCAACAATTAAGTTTTACAAGTGTTTGTAGAAGTGCAACATGTAACTAAAGAAGTTAAGCTCTTTTACTACTTGTCAGATGGGAAGGGAGTGAGGCCCAGTGGTTAGGGTTTGTGATTCACGATCAGAGGATCAGCGGGGTTCAGATGATGATGGTTGTCATGTTGTGTCCTTGGGCAAGCCACTTCACCCCAGGCATGCAACTTTTCCTCGGATCCGCTGATTTCCTCGTATTTTACTTCTCATGAATGCCATTAGAAATTGAAAAACACTGTACAAAGTCTTGTGTGGTTTGGAGTTTCCTCGTTTTTTCTTAATTCCCAGTTGCATGCCTGTCACCCTCGTCTTGCCTTTCTCCACCCAGGACAATATTGGGTACTTGCATTAGCTGGGGAGTAACTTTCGATGGACTAGCATCCATCCAGGGGAATAGATATATTCTCAGTCGTTTCATGCCAATGAAACCGGAGATAAACACTAGCATGCTGAGCCATATTGACTTGAGACTTGATTTGAGTAATTATTAAGTGTTCTACCTGAAGTTGAACTTCTGTGTCTTTTTGTGATTTAATTGCAGTCTACAAATATGAGCTGTTGGTGCGTACCGGTGACAAAGGAGCGGCATCGTTGAGTGACGTCATCTACGCAACGGTGTACGGAGAGAGAGGGGACATGGGCTGTAGGATTCTACGCAAGTCAAACAATCAGGTCATGTTCCATCAAGGACAGGTCAGTTAAAAAGAAAATCAAAGACTTCTTTTTGAAGTAATGTTTTTAATCTCCATGGTACACATACATGTACTTTCTCCAAAACTGTTTCAGAATGACATTTTTACAGGGCGTGCTCTCAAAAAAAGTAAGTTCGTCAAAGAGGAGAAAAAAAAATGAATACATTTACATCTTGAAGAAAAATTCCATTTCACTGTCAGCAGTGTCGCATGGAACTTTTTACCTCAACATACACAACATATATTGTGTCGTGCTAATGCTATTTACATACTTATCCTACATAATATGCTTATCCTTACATACATGTAATAAAATGGTTATGTCTGGATGTAAAACAAAATGCATTTTTTTTTTTTATCACTATGTGATTGAAAGGCGTGTAGATGTACAAAACACAGTTCTTTTTTTTTTTTTTTTTTATCTAGTCTGGGTAGCATTTGAACATTTTTTAATCCACATGTTTGTATCAGAGTCTTTTTAGAATATTTCTATGTTTTAACATTATGCATAAAAAAATAATGGTCTTTTTAGAATACTTTAATGTCGAACATATGTATAAATGTTTTTTTTTTTTCCAATGATTTCTGTTAATTGTAAATTGTAAACCATCGCAATTCAGTCTTCGGACAGCGAGAATGGTACGAACAATAAAAAAAACCTTCAATTCCAATACATAAAGACATTTGGTATGAGTACAAAGCATCATACTAACACTTTTTGTACATCATGAGGCCACGCATTTATAAAAAGAAGCAGACGAACTCGTCTACAAATTGGGTTTTGGCCTTGTGGCATATAGGGCACAGACATGCTACATTATTCTGTATTCCAACTTTCTCTTAGAGGGGCCTCGTAGCCGAGCGGTTAGAGCGTGGAGCTATGGAGTGGAAGGTTGGCGGTTTGAATCCCATTCGGACCAAAAACTAGAAAACTCTCTCTGACGACCCAACAGTAAAATGGGTACCTGACTCGTTCAGGGAAGGTAAGACGGCGAGAGGAGAGGACTGGGCCCCGCCACTCATATGCCGCGCCCAAGACACAGTGGACCTCTAACATCCCACTGCCCCTACGGCCAGTAATGGCTATGGGATCTTAACCTTTACATTAATCATTCCAAAGAAACGGTACCTGACACTGGCCGCTTGATTTTTTTCTCACAGGTTGACGTGTTCACCATGGAGGCAGTTGACATCCTCAGGCCGACCAGCATCACCATGGGCCATCACTCGGAGGGACACGGGGCTGGCTGGTATCTAGACACAGTCACGCTCAAGCAGTCCGCGCAGGCTACTACGCAATATGTCTTCCCTTGCAAACGGTGCGTGCATAAACACTAGAGGGCGACATATATACTGATGAAGACAACCAAGTTACGGCGCACATTTTGTGTGTGAAGTGGTTTGTGCCATAAAAATGAATGTGCATAAAACAGTAGATTGTGTCTTGTATTAACAATGTATAACATTGTATTACATTGTATTACATTGTATTACATTGTATTACATTGTATTACATTGTATTACATTGTATTACATTGTATTACATTGTATTACATTGTATTACATTGTATTACAGAAATTGCGCCAATGGGCCAGCACCTCATAGTACTTTTCATTCTTTTTTCACAGATACATGTAATACACAGAGACCGTACAATTAATGCATTATTCACATGAAAGATGGTGAATTTGCATTGTATTGCTGGGAAAATATCATGAAAACTTTGCAAATATCGTTGTAAAACCATGACTTATTTAAAAAACATTTTCTTTTTTTTAATAGAGACCCTGAACAATTTGGAACTTACATTGCATGCACCCTTAAATATTGAATAAAACTCATTGACTGTAATTACAAAATGCATGTCTTTTGTCAAAATCTATTACAGAAATGGATGTTGACTTTCCGATGAGTTTTTCGACACTTAAAAAAATGGCCTGTATATGGTAACTTTTGTGTCATGTAATGATTTGTGAAAAACTCCTGTTCTTTTGATTTTTCAATTTCAGGTGGATGGATACCGGTGTGGACGACCGCAAACTCGAACGCACCCTCCCCCTCCTGGGTGAAGTGGAATGTCCCGAGCCTGCGACCTCTGACACCAGAGGTCACTGGCAGGTCAAGGTTCAGACCAGCGACAAGCCAGACGCGGGCACTACAGCTAAGGCGTGCCTGGTTGTGTATGGAGACAAGGGGCAATGTTCCACGCATCAACTGGAGAGGGAGACATTTCAACCTGGAACAGAAGAGGAATTTGAGGTATTTCTTTGAATGATCCATTAATTTCATTTGTGTTCCTTGTTAATCTTAATCCCTAAAATGTATCAAAAACGAAACACGGTCAGCAACCGATTTCACAAAACTACATATTAACTTGCATATGAGTATGCAGCTGAACGGCATATTGTCCTCAAATTGTGATCAATTACTCTAAAACTTGGCGTAGATGTAGAGAATGTTTTGAATATTTACACAACTCGAACCAGGAGAACACAGGTTTATAAATTCATTGGGGAGTTAATACAATGTAATACAATGTAATACAATGTTATAAAATGTAATACAATGTAATACAATGTAATACATTGCTAATACAATGTTATACAATGTAATACAATGTAATACAATGTAATACATTGTTAATACAGGTGCTAATGGGTGAAGTATAGACGAATCCGGGCAAGTGATTACTGTACACTCATGAGGCCCCCTTCAATGCAGAAATCATTGTGCACACTGTTGTACACAGCGACTGGCCATTGACGGATTTTCTGGACAATAGCTAGCACATTGCTTTTCGCCATTGAAGGGGGCCGTCGTTATAGAATTGATAGTGGGCTTGCATTGGTCTAAAGAATGCACCTAAAGAACAGGCAGCACTGTGTACAGTACATAGCCTGACCAAGAATTTAACACTGTTTTCTTCACAGATAAGTGTTGGTGACATCGGACCTGTCAGTAAGATCCGTCTGGAGCATGACAATTCTGGTGATAGCCCAGCGTGGCATGTCAATTCAGTAAGTATCTACATCAGGTGATGTCCATACGAGACCATAGAGTACCGTAGCATCTTGGCCTAGAGTACAACCTAAGATCAGTGTAAAAGATGTTGAAATCAGGTCAGGCCTGTGGAGGTGCTTTCCGTGTTTCCTTGGGCAAGGCAATTTATCACAATTTCCTTCTCTCTACCCAGGAGTGAGCGGAGTTAGGCAGAAATTGTTGTTGGTCATAAAACTGTTAAAATCCAAAACAAAACAAAGTTTTGCTTTAATTCAGTTGATTGCTAAACTAGAAACAACTCATGCAATAAGCTTTTTCAATCCACGTGAAAATGGAGCTTAAAATAATACTTTAGAAAAAAAAAAAATTATCCGCAAACTATTTGTACCATATTCTGAAGTTCCATTAACCGTGATTTGTTGAATGGGAGGTTTGCGGTAACACCATGTGAATGATATCTCCAAGTGAGTTGTGTCATTCTGAGAAGAACCAGTTGGTTTAACTCGATGTTTCAAACAGTGTGCTCGGTTTGTCATCAGGAGACTGCGATTCGTCCACAGAATATAAAGATTCTGACAAAAAATGGTTTCCTCAAGGACTGATATGTTTGAGAGAAATTCTCTGGTCTTCTATTTGGTATTAACCTTGACTTTGAGAGACAAAGTGGAAATCTTTGTGCTGTTTTTTTCATAACCAGGTGACAATGAAGGACCTGGACACCAACGAGGAGTTAGACTTTAAGATGGACCGTTGGTTGGCCCGTGATGAAGACGACGGTCAGATATGCCACGAGGTCCCGGCGGTCAGAGAGGGAAAGGATTCATTGCAAGGTACTGGCTCCGTGTACACAAACAGAAAATTGAAGACTATATATGAGACATTCTTGCAAAATGAGACAGAACTGGGCAAAGGTGTTGATTTTTGGGTTTATTTGGTGCCGGTAAGAGGAGAGAAAATCAAATTCTCCTTACAATTCTGTTTCTTGCACTTCAATCGGACTTTCCGTTGACAAGTTATGGCTTTTTAAAGTTCGCATTTATCAACGTGTCAAGAAAGTAAAGAACTGAGAAAAAGAGTTTTGTAGTCATAAAAATGAAAGATGCCAATTGTTTTTGCTTAAAAACACTTTTATTCCATAATTTTTATACTATTTCTTTAAAATATGTAGTAGACATTGCAAAGGTTACAAATATCAATAAATCTGAAAGTCAAAAAAAAAATAAAAAATTGTTCATTTTTTTTTCATTTTTCACCGTCTCAGTTTTGCCAGAACGCCTCAAATATTTCCAAAATTTGTTTGGAAAAAAAAGAGGAAAAAGTTGCATGGTTATGGAAACTTTCAGAACATACACAATATAACAGCTGTTCCTAAAACTCAATTTTTCACTTCATTGAATTATTAAATTGTGTTCAGATATAAAATAACAGCCATCAAACCTGACTTTGGCCAACCAGGAGAGGGCGGGGTTCTAAAAGGTGACAAAATGGCGTTTATTGCGATTTGGAAACAGATGGCCAGAAGTGATCATAAAAATTAAGCTTGTCACCTCCCCCCCCCCTAATTTTACGAAACTGAGAAAAATAAACTGTGAAGATATTGAATATAATTGTCATCATCATTGATTTTTTTTTGTTGGTATTCTGCGTATTTCAGTGTATAGCTACCAGGTCAAAGTTCACACTGGGGACCGAGACAATGCCACCACTGAGGGCGCTATTCATATGACCTTGCACGGCTCTCGTGGCGACAGCGGTCAACGGCTGCTGGTGACGTCAAACAACAGTCAGAAGTTTGCCAAGGGACAGGTACCAGTCAGCCGTGTTTTGCATATTTCTTAAAAAATAATTGACTCTCTCTCCACAGTGCCAATAAACGGGTCTGTGAAATAAATCTTACACTGCCTCTTAAACAGTACAAAAACAGTGAGACATCCTTTAAAGCTACAGTCCATCATTTGTAATTTGTGCATTTTGTTCGTTTGAAGCAACAAAAGAGTTCAAAATTTAATGAAGGATACTGAGCAACTAACCTGATGAAGTTTCAGCTAAGCTTCAGCTGTACATTTCGAGAAAAACAGCATTATAAGATCTCAATTTCAAATCAAAAGTTACTGAATCATGTTTTGAATTGTTTTGAATTGCAGCTATACGCGACGTCGCGCACTGATCTGACGAATTACAACAATTGCGTCGTTCCAATACTTGTGCGCGCTGCGCTGAATAACAAAACGAACTACTCATTTAAATTTTCCTACGGTGCTTCTTAAGAATCACCGTTGGAAATGCCTTCTTTCGTTGATTACTTCAAAATGACAGCTTCCCAGAAAGAATAATTTCACAGGGAGTTTAGTTCCCTTACTATCTTTCAACCAAGTTTGTTTTTCAAGAATAATTACGCCAGTTACTTTTCGGATGGCTGCAAATGATGGACTCTAGCTTTAAGTTTTTTTTCCCTCATCAGATTGACACCTTCACCATACAAGCCGTGGACCTAGGCAAAGTGCACACCATCTCGGTGCGCAATGATTCCCTTGAACCGTCCCAGGCGTGGTATCTGGAGAAGGCTGCCGTCAAGACGTCACCGACAGCCGAACAGGAGTTTGTCTTCCCGGCCTCGCGATGGATCGGCCAGGCGGACGCGGAGAGCGAAGAGTTGAGGACGGCTGAGAACAACGTCGAGTTGCTGGTGCAAGGTTTGTTTGCGGCAGCAATTCTTGTCTTGAGGTCTTCTAAATTAAATCTTTGTCTTGACTAAGTTTGATTAAGATACAAGCCTTGCAAGTTGCCAAAGTGCTGGACAAAAGAATGTGTACAAAGCTAGATGGGATTTGGGGGAGAAGAACAAGAAAAGGATCCAGAAAAAAACAGGAAAAAAATCAGCACAAAAACAACGGCTTTTCCCAAACTATCCATGAAGTCAAAATTGGCATTGAGCATCTATGAAGGCAATATGTTCCTAAGTTCAGAAGGAATGTGCACATTACAATTGTTGGAAATGTATAAGTGCTCTTCAGGAATGTTACTTAATGCTTTTTATGCTCTAAAGAGCTGTACAATTCATTTTTTTTTTTTACTCAAATTTGTAACTTTCATTTGGTATTCAGAAAAATGGAAGTGCACCGTCCACACCAGTGACCTGCCCGATTGCGGCACTGATGCCAATGTCTTGCTGGTTGCCTATGGCAACGCAGGCATGTCAAAGGTCATGCCACTGACCAATGGGCAGGAGGGTAACTTTCAACCAGGCAAGAGTGCTGAATTTGAGGTAAATTTCATCTTTCAAGTGTTTTCCAAAATGGCATTGTATTATTTCCAATAGCTTTGTCTTGCTTTGACATTTGATATTGCGAATGGAAGTGTAGTTATGTTACTGCAGTCAAAAGTTTCTCCATTTTCGAACAAGAATTTTTATTTTGTACGAATACAGCATACAGCAGATTATATCACACTTATCATTGGCAGAGCAGTCTTGTGCAGTTGCATGCAACTTGAAGTTCCAATTTTGCTGATTTGTCCAATTGTATACAAATATTGACTGCTTCGAGTGGTGTTGTAAAACTAGCCTCCCGAGGTGATCCATGGACATTCTTTTTTTCCCGAGGGGAAAGCCGAGGGAAAATAGAATGGTCCATGGATCACCGAGGGAGGCTAGTTTTATTTCACTACGAGATACAGCATTCAATATTTGTTTTATGACACTTCACCCACAGATTCTGCTTGGTTTTAATATTTTAAATTATTCAAATCTGAACACAGTTGAAATAAACTTCAATTTCAATACAAAATTGGTGGAAAATGTATTTTTCTCTTCCAAACTATCCCTTCTCTTTGAACCCAACTCTGCAGCGCGCTCTCTTTGGAACAAAACGTGCTACGCGCAACACGCACACCAGCATGCATTTACACACAAATACCGCGCCGTGGATATAGTACTTTGGTTGCTAATGGTATAGTACTTTGGTTGCTACGGGTATAGTTCTTTTGGCCGTTCACAGAAAGATAGCAAAAATAGAAAGTACCATGTGACTCGCTCTCGGCCAATCAAGACACAGAATCTGTAGGTGAGGTGTTATGATATATGTAATCTCATCACAGACATATACACTATGCAATAATGTATGTTTTTTGGTACTAATTTGATTCGTAGCTTGAGCCTGGTTCTTACATCGGCAATATCTACAAGATCCGAGTGGAATTGGACGACGGGAAGGACAAATCATGGCATCTGAAGCAGGTAATTCAAACAGTGAACTAAATGAACTCAACAAGTTTTCTTTCGTTCTTAATTACTGATCGCTTTCTTTATGTTTTTTTTAACTTTATGCTGTACATGTAGTTAGACCCCTGCAGCCAAACTCCCAAAGCAATGTGTAACTGATGCCATGTACAGAATTTATGCAACAAATTTGTTGCACAGCTCATCCAATTTAACTATTTCAGTATAAAATAAAGTTTGATCCAGAGATGCCAACCATTACTCTTTTGGCATGTTCGTTTGGAGTAATTATTAGGATTTTGAGGCATGTTACTACTCTTGAAAATTCCAGCTGTCCTATGCGCCAACATTGTGGTTACTCTGAAAAGTACTGTGGTTACTCTTAAACTTGACTGTTGTCCTATGTATTTACATAAGCATTACTCTTTGCAGGAAGAATCATTACTATTTTGTAGTCTGTAAAGTTGGCATCTCTGTTTGATCTTCAAGAAAATTGTGTTTATTTTTGTCCACTTATTACTGAAAATCTTGATTTAACCAAACTAAAAGTGCTGTGTTTTTTGTCACCTATTCAGGTTGATCTGCAAGATTGCTTCTCAGACGAGAGCCTGACGTTTGAGTACAGCGGATGGCTGTCGCGGAGTCAGAACGACGGAACAGGAGACATCGTCGCTGATTTGCCGGCACTTAGGCCTGATGAAGAACCATTGCCTGGTAGGTATAGACTCAGTGAAGAAATCTTTTGACAAGGGTAATAATAAGCACTTTGAGACCGACCTTTGGTGGTTGAAGTACTCGATAAGTACTACACATTTTGAAGAAATCTAGGAGTACATTTAACCATTTTTTGTCCTGAATGTGCCCAAGAGAGTACCAGGCAGGGCGGTTCTAAGTGGTATGGGGACCTATGGATTATCCTAGTTCCTGTACTGCCCCAAACCGCCCTGCTAATTACTCCTACACAGCCAGAAACTGCCCAAGCACATGGTTTTATGTATTCACCAAGGAATAAGTACAATGTAATACATTGTAGTAACAATGTAATGCATTGTAGTAACAATGTAATACATGTAATACATTGTAGTACAAGTGCAAATGAGTTTATGCTTCTCTCTTCATAAACGTTGAGGGGGTACTTGTAATAACAATGATATTGTCTCCATGTTTTTTTTCTTGAAGTTGTCAAATACAACCTGCAAGTTCTCACGGGCGAGGCCGAGGACGCAGGGACCGACTCGGAAGTTTCAGTCACTTTGTTTGGCGAGAGAGGTGACAGCGGCAGGAGGCTTCTCAACAAACCCAGGGAGGGAGAAAAAGCCTTTGACGAACCCAAGAAGGTATTTGTTTTGTTGATTTTTTTTAGTTACAAGTGAGGATGTGAAACTGAATCTGTAATTAGAAAAATCCGATTCACCATACACTCATGAGGCGTCCTTCAGTGGAGAAACCATTGTGTAAGCTATTGTACAAAGCAACTGTCCCCTGATGGATTATCTGAACAATAGCTAGCACAATGCTTTCACCATTGAAGGGGGCCTTCGCGATGGAATTGTTAGCATGCCCAGATTGGTCTATAAATAACAACTCGTCGCATCAGTGCAACAAGGCCGTAACTCGATTCTGCAACAAAGTCGTATCTTGCGCGAGTACGCTCCATGCAACAACGTCGTATCTCGACGTCCGTTGACTTTGTGTGTACATCCGGGTTATTTTAAGCAAGATATGACCTTTTGACATTGAAAACTTGCGTTTCACGTACACGACGTCACACGCCATTTTAGGAGATATGACCTTGTTGCAGGGACACGACGAATTGTGTTATTATGAATATGTATCATTTGTAAATGCTATTTTTTTGACAAATTGTTGGTTTTTTTTATTCAGACGGACGTTTTTGAAATAGATGCAGTGTCACTGGGAAACGTCAGCAGAGTGCTGATCCACAAGGCAGCTGGCAAGCCGTGGTTCCTGGACCGACTCATTCTCAAAGAAGGGGAGTTTGCCAACACCGAGACGGAGTTCAAACATGATGGGTAAGAATATGCTGTCAAGAAAACGTCTCAACCGTTTAGTCTCTGCCTGCATGGCCCAAAACTGCCCTGCCTGTTACTCCTTTAACCGCTCCAGTACTCTATGGGTTCAACCCAAAAAGGGCGGGGGCGAATTCTGCCCCCCCCCCCTCCCCCTCAACATTTTCCGCAAAATTTTTTTTTTGCAAAACAATTTTTCCTGACCCGAGCTTTCCTGACTTCCGACCATAGGTTACGGCGCAGCGAAATTTTTTTTGGTGAAAACTGAATTTCCCCATATGTAGTGTACACCAAGCAGAATTACCCTTGTGCATATGAATAATTAATTTGCCATAATTCCAAAACCCTTTAACCTATAGTCATGAAAGTTTTGTGTGTATGTTCTTTGGTATTGTTATTTTAATAATTTGTTCTATGCATGACCAAGTTTCATAATTTTTCGTCACTCAATGGCCGAGATCTTTTTGCATAGTAACATGCCTTCGTCCTGTAACTAAAAGATTTTGTGCTTACATGGTTATTGCAGAACTTGGGGTGGTGATCATAAAGATGTCCGTGCAGAATTTTGGCATAAGTACATCAAATTGAACCAAGCCAGCAGATAGTTCTCTGGATTTGTGTTGAATTTCTTGTTTTTTGGGGTTTGTGTAGTTGGTTAGGTGACAAGGACCAGCCCGACCAGCCAGTAGACATTGAGCTGGTGCCTACCACTGAGAGGCCCAGTCACACTGTGGCTCCATTGCCTGAAGGCCAGGAACCAGTCCAATCTAGTGAGTAGCATAACCACAAGGCGAACTTTTGTGTTGTGATATGGCACACAGTGTTTTTTAAGTCATGCCTACTTCCAACATATTTTGGCATGTTTATGTTTTTTTGAAATTTTTTATACAAAGCATAACAATCGTCTTAGGCCTAAATCAGATCAGGTAAATTGAAAAACTTGGTATGGTTTTATATCGAGAGTATTGAAAGAAATACAGCAACATTACAACGTACGTATTTCGTAGAGCTTTATCATCATATCCTTGTTACCCATTCTGTATAACATTAACAGAGTTCATAAATGGAGCAAATTAAAAGCGAACGTGAACGCGAACACAAATTTATGATCACCTCGCGCATTCGCATTTACTCTGTGAATGTGTACAAATTGTACACACGTTTTACTCCTGTGAATGTTGCCATTTGTAGTTTCATAGCAAACTACAAGCAATATATTTTATATGTTCACTTCTGAAGTTCTGCACTCCTGCTGGCTGATTGTCATTTCTGAACTTGTTCCAATTCTTTTACTTCTCTATTTATCCAGAAGGCAACTGGAAGGTCTTCGTCAGCACGGGCGACACCGACACTGCTGGTACGGAGGCCACCGTTACCATGACAGTGTACGGGTCAGAGGGCATCAGCAAGCCCCTGCCTTTACAAAAAGACGATCAACCGACAGTGATGGAGCCTGGACAGACTCAGGAATTTGAGGTGAGATTTCCCAAAAGGTAACGTCCTCTGAATGTGGGCCTAATTTCACGGCTGTTCTTTCTGAAAGTGAAAGACATTCAAAGCTCAACAAACTCTCACCAAAAAAAAATCAGTGCTCACAGAAAGCACATTACACAACAGCTTGGCGAAGAACTTCGGCTTGTGCACATGACATGCATATATATGTATAACTATATATTCTGCACTGATATTCAAGGGAATGCTGTAAGCGAAGAATGATGTTTATAATTGCCTGTTTTAAACTTGCAATGCAGTTTTGTTTTGCCTTTCATTAACCAGTCCGCGCCGGGATTATTTTGACATTGACCGGACTCAGACACAGAATTGTTTTTCACGAACCTCGATGCCAGAAGGGTTCAGGCTGTCATATGCGGGTAGCACACCCTGATTTTTCCGGCCTCGCTCGCTGCGAGCGGGTCGCTGACAGATATTTCCGGCCTCGCTTGTGGCGTGATTATCCGTCATCCGTTCTGAATACCGCAAAACCTCTGCGTGTATACACGTCATCCGACGTGAACTGTTTAAAAGAAAATTGCCTGGCAATTATTTAAAAAAATGCTAGCCAATAAATTGAATTTCAGCTCAATATTGCTACTGAAAGTTGAATGGTATCCTGCTGTTAGAGTTAACATTGCCAACTTTATTAAACGCCGGCTGAATTGAGATTTTGACTTTTTTTTTTCAATCCCAGGTGAATGTTGGTGAAGTTGGTCACATCTACAAAGTACGTCTGGAGCACGACGGAACCAACGAAGAATCTGATTGGTTCTTGGAAAAGGTACTTAGCGACAGTCCTCTGAATTGTGAATACAATTGGCTTCCATTGTTGTGTAGATAATGCTGCTTGAAGAAAATATATATATCACTGAACAGTTTAGCTATAAAATAAAACGATGAATTTTTGTTATCATTTCTTTTGCTCAGTTTAAGATGAAGGATGTGGACACGAAAGCCGAGTTCAGCTACACGCTGTCTCGCTGGCTGTCTAAGAATCAAGAAGGATGCGACCGAGTCGTCGAGATTCCTGCCGTCTGGCCAGAAACACCGATACCCCAGGGTGAGGCTCCAAAATTCCATAAGAATTAAGCCCGAGTTATAAGAACATGTTCTGCCTCTCATTGTATATTTTTCATATTTGTGAGGCGCTCTGGCAAATACGATGGAACTCGGCACAGGCCGTACTGCAGATTTATTGGTGTTTGTAGTTTTTGATATGTCTACTACGAATATTTTAAAGAAATAGTATAAAAATCCTGGAATAAAAGGGTTTTTTTAGGGGAAAACAATTAGCATCTTTCATTATCACGACTGTAAAACAGTGGAAACTTTAAAGGCCTTTTTCTCAGTATTTCACTTTTTTGACATGACGATAAATGTGAACTTTAAACAGCCATGGCTTGTCAACAGAATGTAAGGAGAATTTTCAAATTAGGTTTTGCCTTCACCGACGTATAAACACTGTATACTCAGTGTGTTACCTCCCGAGTGAAAGTTGGAAAAAATCACTCGGGTGGGACTCGAACCCACAACCTCCTGCTTTCTAGTGCAGACTTCTTACCACTCGACCACCAAGCTAACGGGATCAGTTGGCTGGTTCGAATCTGATGTACATATCAGCGGGTACTGCATTATTCACTGACGTATAAACACTGTATACTCTCTTATTCTCTCTCCTTATACCCACAAATCATTTCGATCTCTGCCCAGTTCTGTCTGATTTTGCCAGAACGCCTGTCTCATTTTGTGAAAAGAGCCTTTTCAGTTACTTTATAACAACTTGAGAAAGTCGCAACAATTGTGGATACTAACGGTCCTCTGATCTGATACATTTCTCACATTACCACATGCGGCAGTCGTGAAATACGAGGTTCAAATTCTGACCGGCGGCGAAGACGGGGCGGACGCCCAGGCAAATGTCTACCTGACCCTGAAGGGCGAACACGGTGACACGGGCCGGAGAGACATGGTGAGAGACCCAGGGGATCCGACCATGTTCAGCAAGGGGCATGAGGATAGATTCACCATTGAGGCCGTGTCGCTGGGAAAGATTGACAAGTGCATTGTCGGTCACGACGGCGACAAACCAGGTATAAATAATACAGTTTCTTTTTGTTAACTCAAACATTTCATTAAGATTTTATCTGTTTTTCCTGGGATTTTTTTCTACCACTCCCCTTTTGTTACACCACTGTTTTCATGCTTATTCTAGTTTTTATTCCACCTTTGTGGTTTTTTCCGTAGATTCTGGATGGTTTTTGGACAAGATTGTTGTAAGTGAATCCGGTGAAAATCCACAAGAAACTACCTTCCTGTGCAGTAGGTAAGAATTACACAGCTGCTTACATTTCAAGATTAAGGGATACGAGCCAGTTGTTGCGATCTGTAAGTGAGAATTTTGACCCTTCATCACCAAGCACTTGTCAATTTTGAACTTCGGCAAAAGCTTGAAAATCAGCCAGTTGGCAGTTTGATTATTTTTTTTTGGAAAAAGACTTAGTTCAATTTGTTTGATTCTTCTTCAGTTCTATAACAAAATTCGGAGTGACTGGCAATTCCAAATAACGTGAATTTCACAATTTTTTTCAGGGGCAATCGGTCCAGATTTCCCTCCAAAAACTGTTTAAATTAACGCAGGAAATCTCACACGTTTTAGCCTCGTAGGAAAGTAGGATTGTGCTGTGTGGTTTTAGTGATTCTTAAGTGATAAATACAATGTAATACATGCAGTTCAGGTGCTGCCCGATCCTCAGAAAGTGAAATGTTTCATTTCGCAGCTTATTGGTGGCGGCCTGTCACAGTTTGTGCTGCTTCTGAGCATTGAATGCAGGACCAAGATTTACTGTTACTGTTGCCAAGAATTCATGTTTTTGAGTAGCGTTTATTGTTTGGCCAAGTGCATTTTTGTTTCATGCTGTGAAAACTTGTCAAATTTCAGGTGGCTGGCAGTAGACAAGGGCGACAACACCACAGAAGTAGAGCTGGATGCATTGCCGCCAAGTGAGGGGGCTGTTGACAGCTCGGCCGAAGCTGATGCAGGGAAGGATCAGGAGGAGGGAAAGACTGACGAAGGGAAAGATGAGGAGGGGAAAGAGAACGATGACAAGACTCAGGATGGACAAGAAGAGGATAAGAAAGATGACAAGAAAGATGACCAGTGAGCATGGAAAAGGAAAGGAACATCTTTTTGTTGGAGTTTGGAGTTGAAATATGTAAAAGAAAGGAATTCCCCACAAAGTGAGTAAGTAATCACTAAAATTAACCACATTCAATTTTTTTCCTGAGCCTTACTGTTCTCTGATGCCTTAATATTTTGCACATATATTCACCAGATTTTTTTTTTTTTATAAAATTTGGATGAACTGTTCTCGTGAAATTGTAGAAATTTCACGGCGATGTTGAATACGGTCTTTTTTACATTTGGCAAAGTATAGAAAAAGAAATTCTTATTTGCAGGATATTCTATTGAATTTGATTTAGCTATTTTGTTCACTTTGACTGTTTACTGAGTTTTTGTATTTTTTTGCTTGATGAAGCAAGGCTACATATTATGGTTATTTTCATTTGATTATTTGCTTTCTGCTTTTGTGATTTAGTGTACGCCGCGCTGCCGTCCATGTTCGTACATTTCTGTGCAATATCTTAATTTACTGCAGCTTTCAAAGAGTACTTAATTTTTGTGAATGAAATTGTTTTGTTTTTTTCGAGAGGGTAAATAGTTTGCTAAATATTTTGTCAGAGAACAGAAAATGAATAAAAATAAATTCTCATCTTTAATTGTCATCGTTTGTTATCAGCTTCTTTTCAGTAAAGAACTGGGTTTAGCCATCCTAAATTTGAGCGATCTTTTTTTTTTTCATTTTAGGCAAAACATGGTTACTCTATTTTGAAAGTAGGTAACATTGTATTTGTATCTTTTCATGGAGGATTTTAGTATGCACTCCGAAGTTCTATTTTGAGATACAAATAGAATGTAATGTTTGGCAAAGTGTAAAGGGTGTTTTACAGTTTTCAGCAAAAAAAAGGAAGTTTGTTGGCATGTTATGTTAAATTTGTTGATTTTCCCTCAAAATATAATTATGAAATAATCAGATAACAAATATATGCTATTGCAATTTTTGCTTATTTTTATTTTGACCACTGATCACCTTGATTTATTATGTACAATTAATGCATTCCTATGTAATCTTGATGATTTGAAGTCTCACAGTATTTTTTTTGCTTTGTTGAATTTCACGCGTTGTTCACGACAGCACTATTTTTTTGTAACGAATGATAGTATCATGAAGTTGATGTTTGCAACATTACTGCTTGTGTGGGCAGTATACTTAAATATATTGTGCACTCTTTCATGAAATAATTTTTGGCTGTGTATTAAATGCAAAATAAATATTTTAAACAGATATACATATAGTGTAAATAATCTTTAGTTTGAAAAAGAAAATATGATTTTATTCTGTACAGACAGATCGTTGTATATTTGTGATTATAAAATATCTTCTATTTTGCTTTGATTATTGCTAGAAAGTATCCTGGAAACTGCCGTTAACTTTGAAAACTGCTGTTCTCTTCTGACTTTTAGTACCTATAGTTTTTAAAATTTTTAACCTGAAGAAGGGAAGGCCAAACGATGACGTTTTGGACCAGACTATTTGCTATCTAAATGTTAGGTTGTCTTATGATAAAGCCTACATTTAGAGTAATGAACATTTGACAATATGCTTAAGTTTTTAAATAGCCCTAACTTTGTGACGTTTTGATACGATTATGCTGGATAGAACTATTAATCTGTTTATTGGTTTATCTTTTCATCTGAAATTTGGACATTATACGAGGCCTTTTAATTCTGTCCACCATTGTGGTTTGAAACGCCACTATATTGTCCCACGAATACTGTAGTGGGTCTAGTGTCTTCGGCCTCGTGGTATGTGGGGTGCAGACGCACTACATTTCCGTGTTCTACAAATGCGAACGGGACAATGAATTTATTTTCAAGCAAACCTGATGCACAGTTTTTAACAGATGGAACGCGCACGTTGTACAAGAACTTTTCAGCGGTTATCGTTTTACACGTGTGTGTTGTACGGAATGGCGCGTGCATCTTAGAATAGTGCGGTATGGACCGTGGCCGTGCTGGGTAGATGTAGCACGGCTTGTTGCCATGGATCGACCAATCACGATCGAGGATTCAAGTTTACTTGAAGATACTAATATATGCATGATGCAGGTCATATCCTAAATGCTCTAGAATTTTTTTTTTTTAAAGTTAGCTTTGGTTGTTTGCCGTGTTTTATGAAAGTTTGAAGTGCTTTTTTGCAAATCCCTGTAATTTTTCAACCAAAATATTGTGCAATGAATGATGCGGATAAAGAAATAAATGGATACAAAATTATGTTGGTTTCATAATTTACAAAATATTCTTTTAAAAAAATGCATTGAAAGGTCACTCCTATAGTGGGGCGCTGTGGTCTAGTGGTTACAGTACTTTACTCGACTCGTGTCCTTTGACACGTGGGTTCTGACCCTGATGGGGAACATGGGGCTTGTGTTCTTGGGCAAGACGCCTTACTACAATTGCCTCTCCCCACCCGGGAGTATAAATGGGTACATGTGAGGGTAGACACAGATTGCGCTGATCTTGAGCTGCTGCAGAATATGGTCTCATGGCCTGATGAACAGGGGTAATAATTGTGAAGTGCTTTGAGACCTTTGGTATAAAGCGCTATATAAGATTATATAGAGTTTTTTTTGTCTAGAGCAAGTTTGCAAAATTGTTATCGAGATTTGAAGTAAATAATCCCCTTTCTTTTAAAAATTGCCAAAATGCAAATTGTAAAAAAAAAAAAGTATGGTTAATGCCTTTCATTCTTGAATTTTTATTAAAAAAAATTGCTTTGCAAAGATTGAATGAAAATGCAGGGTAAACGCTGAACCATCTTTCATATATTCAAGAAAATTAACTTTAAATGAATTTTATTTCAAAAAAGTAAGGTTAACCTTTTACTTTCTAAAGAATTTGAAGAGAAATCAAATTTAGCCCAATTTGAAAAAAAAAAAAAATTAATGTACAATTAAACCCTTAAGATCACACATTTTTGGAAAAGAAACCAAACATTGCAGAATTTTAATGAATTGTAATTATCCAGGAGAATCTAATTGTAATCAATTCGATAAAAAAAAATAACAGGCCACATAACCCAAAACACCAATACACAAATACACCAACAAAAAATGCAGTTTAATTTGTTGAATAGCTTTTATTACATCTTTGTAAACAGTCAGTGTTACCATATCTGTTGAGCATGTATGCTAACAGTCTCCCTCTTTGTAGAAAACATGCATTGCATGTACCTAATATCCCCCCCCCCTCTCCATTTTAAAACATCAACCCTTTTATTTGTTGTTTTATTTCACACATAGTTTTGGCTCCATCTATCCCTCATACTTGGAGAAACAATCTTACGTTGCGAGACATTACTTTAGATATTCTATGTACAGCATTGGGGAGAAAAGTCAACATGATCACAATTTCAGAAATAATTCTGCACTCACCAATTCAATGGCAATAGGCTTTTTTTTTTTATAAACATCAGTCAAGTCACTCGGTGAAGAACAGAAGAAAAAAAGGGACCAAATCTTAAAACATAAATCTGATAATAAATTAAAAGAGAACTTAAGCATGAATTCAAAATGAACGTACCCCGAAATTCATTGCATTGATGCTGCAAAACTACATATTAAATTATAGTATACAAGCCCTTATAATGCAAAAAAACCCAAATATCTTTAATTTGTTAGCATATGACATTGCTAAACCCGTCCCTTGTACGTTTAAAAAAAAATATTCCCCCCCACCAAAAAAAAGTACCCCACATTTTTTTTATGAATCTTGTGGTACGCCCTTCAATGATGACTCTTCTCGTGTGGGCACTTATGAGGGGTATTTCTCAATGATCATGGCATGGCCCTGCGGATAGAACAAAAATAAAAAAATGAATAAAATATAACAGATTTTTTTAGCAAGTGTGGGAGCTCAATGTACAGCCGTGTTATCGGAAGAGACATTCTGGGCACAATTTCACAGCACCCAAATGCGCTTTTTCTACTAACAAAACTATCAATTTCACAAAAACCAACGCAGCAAGCACAAACTTTACATATAAAAAGTTGTTAATAAAAACATCTAATAGATCGGGGCGGAGTGACGTCCCCCATGAAAACATCTATTCATTAACACACCAATTTTCATCGCTTGCAAGACTCGAGAACCATTGAGTTTCAAGAACATAGGTCTGGGAGCTAGATAAGCCAATGAAATAAATGAAAGGTCTGCGGAAACACCATGTGCGAATAATTTCTCAACTAAGAGAATGGTTCTGAAAAGAAACCAGAGGTATAAACTCTGGTGCTACAGAATGGGTCTCATATTTCTCGTTAACTTCATTAATACCCGTCTTTAGCAATACACATAACTACCAGCGCCTTGAGTACCAAATTGTTGGTAGACACGTGCGCTATATAAGGCCAAAAAAAATAATAAGTCGGTCTCTGGTCAGCGCGCGCGTCGATTTTAATCATGCGCGTCAATCTTTTTTTTTTCCAAAATGTTCCGCGGTAGCTCCAACAGCGCCCTCTATTTCTGCACCTCCTAAATTTTTTTTACCAAAGAGCACCAAGGAATGGGAAATTGCACCAAGGCAAATGATCGAAAGCACCAAGGCAAATTATGGAGGACACCAATGTACATGAGGACACCAAAAAAGCAAAGTAGTACCCACCTTGTCTGTACAATCCAAGCTTGAAGAAAAAAAAAAAGAAAGAAAAAAAAAAAAAAAAGCCGCGTGGCCGCGTCAATTCCAGAACTTTGGTCTGACCAGAGACCGAATATTTTTTTTTTTGGCCTAAGACTCCGGTATTATTATCATCATCATCTACTCACATGTCCCCCAGCTGCACATGCTGCAACGAGCGCGTACTGGCCGCCCTCCTTATGCAGTCTGTTAGCGGCTGTGGTCACCAGGCGAACCCCGGTAGCAGCAAACGGATGTCCGATGGCCAGGGATCCGCCCCATGTGTTCAGCTTTTCCATGGGCGGTGCTCCAGCCTATAATATAGTACACACACGCAAGTTTGTTTTAGGATTGTGTTGTAACCTTCATTGGGGCAGACAACTTGGATTAACCGTCGAACGCATTGCCGACGATGCCTGACGCTCGTGCTAAGACGCTATGGCCTTGTGCACATTTAGACCAAAATTAATCATGCGTACTTCAAGCTATTCGTGCGTGTACGTGTTCTACATAACCCCCCGAGGACAGACACACAAAGGGAGAACAACAGATCCTTTCAGTCCTTGGGAGTTGGGTCTTTTGTTGGAAACGGTCCTCTGTAGTAGGTTCGTGCGCTTAGTCTATGGGAGAGTGTTATATTACAGGGTCAAAGGGAAACACAAAGCATTGTCCTTGAGAGTATAGTAAAGCACGACTGTCTGCGCACGCGGTGTGTCCCATCCACGGGACTCTTGAATGTGATGCAAAAGCGCCCTCTCTGTTCGAGCACGGAACCCATAGAAACTTCAAACAGAAATATGCCGTGTGAACAGTTTCAGCCAATGAAATTTGCAGTCTAAATACCATACACTGAAACAATGGTCAGATGTCCCAACTTTTAACAACTCTACCTTGCCCTTGCGGCCCATGTAGTTCTGGGCGAACCAGTCCGAGTCCAAGGCCTTCATGTTGGCCAGGATCTGTCCAGCAAAGGCCTCGTGGTACTCAAACACGTCAATGTCGCTCAGGGCCAGGCCTGCCTTGTCCAGTACCTTGGGGGTCCCATACGCTGGCCTGTGGAAGTAGATAGACATTTTTATCACTAATGATGATTCTATCCTAATGTTGTACATCGGATCGGGTCAACCAGGCCAAACCGACCCGAAACGTTATAGATATAAACAAAATCTGAACCGAAACTGATTTGAACTCCCTAAAACCGACCCGACCCGATCTGACAAAAATTCAAGGAAACTGACTGAACCGACCCGAAACAAACCCCCGAATGTCTGGCTTGGGTAACTGTGCCCGTTTTTGCACCTGAACTTACTCGCGTCGCGTGAATATAGTCGTCTCTCAGTAACTGAATCATACCCTGTACGGCACTCACAACATACTGGTGAGCCTACATGTTACAGACCATGCATGATAGACTGCAAACCACGTTTAATTGTACTGGGCAAAGTGACTCTGCAATAATATTGCACTGCGTGAATTTCTGAGCTTTCATTTTTTTGGTTTATTTTAACCTGACCCAACTGAAATGATGGACAAACTGACCCGACCTGACCCGACCCGAAGTCGGTTTGGGGTCGGGTTGGGTTTGCGCAACAGTATTCTATCCCTTACTGTGTCTGAACAGAAAATTCTGTCTGTGGCTAAGGCTATGTGTTTTAATGCGTCAATGGCAAAACTGTTAGTGTAGCCACAAAGCATCAATACTCCCAATACAATGTAATGCAATGTTTCACAAGACAATATGAGTAAACACATTTCACAGTAAAGACCGTACATGTATGTTGTATACTGACCCCAGCAGGAGCTGGTCTTTGGGATCCTGGGCCACAAAGACGAAGTCCCTGAGGTAAGCCTTGGGTTTCAGGCCCATGGCTTTGGCCTTGTCTTCAGTCATGACCAGGCAGGCTGACGCACCGTCGGTCTGCAAACAAAAGCAGGGTCAAAGATTGTCGTTTTAGGCTTGGGCAAACATTGAGGTAAACATTCCTTTTTTTGAGGAATGGGTTTTGTAATGAGGCCGATTCACGCTTCGTGTGAAGTAAGTAAAGTCTGTCACGAACCAATGCGGCCCATCAGGCCGGCGATTATCTCCGGTTTCAGTAGCATGAGGTTTCACTCATCTTCGTACATTTCTGTTAAGTTTGTGAAAAATGCTACTTTTCAACAAACTTTTGGGTGGTAAATGATCATGTGTAATGAAATCAGACCGGAATTATATCTCTGAATAACTTTTTATAAATTCATTAGTGGAAATATATATATATTTTTTTATTATTTTATTTTGCTAGAGAACTCGTAAGAAGATTTTGAACAGAATTGTGACTCTTTGATGGAATTGGAATCAAGTAAATTTTTTCTTTTTTTTGCTAGATTCTGATAGAGTTGGAATCAATACTAATGAAAGACAATATGATAGGACTTGCAACTGCTTGTGAAGTCTTCGTTACAAATTTGCACATTACAGACTTTTCGTATAGTTTAGCGAGTACATGGAAAGATAAGAGAATAAGTGGGCTTACCAGGAACGATGCGTTAGCGGCCGTCACAGTGCCGTGGGGTCGGATGAACGCCGGCCTCAGCTTAGCCATCTGGTCCGGGGTGGACACACGGATCCCGTTGTCTCTGTCTAGGACCTTGGTCGTGCCTGGGACCTGGTAGGTCAGGCGGTCCTCCAGGAAACCTTCCTTGGTGGCCTTGTCCGCGTTGGTGTGGGAGCGCAGGCTAAAATCATCCTGGAAGGAGGGGGGGGGGAATTTAATTTATTTGTCATGTTGCTAGCATCTTGACTCTGTACACGATCCCTGGCATATACAGGTTTATGGCTTCTGACTAGCGCCCCTCGCGCAAAGATATTGACAAATTGGGGAATTGCCAACATAGGGCTGGATAGCTCAGTTGGTAGAGCACCGGAACGGCAATCCGCAGGTCGCAGGTTCAAACCCCGCTCCAGTCAATTGCTTTGATTTACATCTCTGCACTTACTGGTAAAAAAGGGAGAACTTCCTATTAAAATTCTCAGGTCATGCGCAGGATTCGACCTCGATTTCTTTTTTCACTAGCCAGCCAGGCTACTGAAACAGACTCTTAAACTAGCCCGCTGCATTTTCACTAGCCTGCATGTTTTTATTTTATAGAGCGTCTCATAAGCAACAATGTGCATACATGTAAAACGTGTTTGAGGCAATCTTGTCAGTGTTTTTAATAAACAAAACATAATAATTTAACCCTAAACCGTCAACAAAATTAGACACAAATTGATACAGGTTTGCTTTCTGAATTTGATGATTTATATCTTCCTGTCCTTTCATCTTTGCCGTATCCCAATAATTTTTGACTCGCCAGCCGGGCTACTTAAGAAATAGTTTGACTAGCCCGGTGCTGTTCTGACTAGCATTTGGATGGCGGGCAACTGCTTAAGTCAAACACTGGTCATGCGACTTTTTTGGTACCTGTTCTTTCCTGGATATGTTGAAGGCGGCTGCCAATCTGTCTCCGGAATGACCCATGGTCTCGCTGGTAGAGAACTCGGCTACAGCGGGCAGCTATAAACAAAAAGACAATCAAAGAAAATTATTAATTCGACTTGATCTGAACTTACACTGGACACAAATTAGTGCCTCTGCAGTGTGTGTGTGTAGTGAATAAATACACATTTGACCATTTTTAAATCCTCTTTGCAAAATGTAGGATTTTGCAGGATTGAGGCTATATGGCAAAAGTGTGAGTCTGATTTTAGAGGATGCACTGTGTCAAGGTCTTAGGCCGGACCTCGTGTTGTTTATGCTCAGCCGTGCATAAATTTAGGCCTATGTTAAACTTCAAAATCCTCCGCACTGCTCCAGGATGTCACTGGCTCTGCCTCAACATGTTGACAGTGATTGTTGGAAGATTTTGCAGGATTGCGGTCACCCCTCCAAGGACCACATTTTGCAGGATTTTGCAGGATTGAGGCTGTATGCTATTTTGACATGGAGGCAGTTGGATGATTTTGCAGGATTGAGGTTGCATCCTAGCAAAAAATGCCTAGAGAGTTGGGGTTAACCTTTTCAACGTCACTGCATTGTGAATTATTTGTTCCTGTTTGTTGATTGAACATTCCTTTGGGTACTAACCTCTGGTGCGAAGGCTTTCATGCTAAGATGCTTGGCAGCAAGAGACAGCTTGGCTCCAGTTGTCTTGGCCTGGGGGAACAACAAATACAAAAACAAGAAAGTCAGAAACTTTTTCTTGTTTTTAGTTGAACGGTCATTTTATTTGCAAGTCCAATCACAATTCAATGGGACAGATTTACAATTTACACTTTTGATTGTCTTGATTTTGTTCAGGGCGCCGTGAAAAAGTGAAGTTGTAAATGAAATTTTCAAATTAATATTTGGTTCAAATCAGCATCTGCTTCTACAATGCAATAACTCAAACACCATACCAACATTGTAAATAAGTAAAAGTCAATAATATTGTGAAGAAAATTTCGTTTTCAATTTTGAAAAGATCCTCATGATAATGCCAACCTGTTCTGTTGTAATTGATTATATCTGACACCTACCTTGTTTTGGGCCAGCATAAACTTGCGCATTGGTCGGCTGTGACGGATGGGGACGTCAGACATAAACTCCACCCCTCCAGCGACGAAGGAATCACCCTGGTCCGAATTGATCATTCCAATGCCTATAAACAATTTTTAAAAACCCAAAATTTAAATAATGTAAAATAAATCACAATATCTTGAATGACGTGAGCTGTAAATGTGAACAATTCGGGCGTTTCACAATGCAGTGCGCCACCAAGAGTTTGCCACGGAGAGTTCATTTTTCTCAGTGCATTGTGGGAGATGGTCGACAAATTCACAGCGCGGGACATTTGAAATTGTTCGTTTTTCCAGACAGCAGTTTCGTAAGCGTATGGTACGAGTTATCTGTTTGTCCTTTTGTCTCTCTGTTCATTTTTCCTATTGCATTGTGGGGATGGTCGACAAATTCGCAGTGCGGGATATTCGAAATTGTTCATTTTCCCGGTCAGCAGTTTCGTAAGCGAATGATACGAGTATCTGTTTGCCTTTTCGTCTCTTTTTATCAGTATGGTGTTTTTTTGTAAGGCGGCAGAACGCTATGCCACAATCTATAACAAATTAGCTCAAGTTGTCTATTGACACTCATTCGAAAGGGCCATGTTTTGTCGACCGTAAATTTGAAAAATGGCCTCTCCATGGCAAACTCTTGGTGGCGCACTGCATTGTGAATCGCCCGAAATGATTTTGCACGGCACATGACAAACTTTATCAGTTCCCTAGACTTGCCACCAGTCTACTGACCTGCAGTGATGGCCACATTGGATGAGATACAAGCCATAGTGACCGTGTGACACGGGATCCTGTCCGAGAACCCAGCTCCGAGGGCTGCCTCTCTGGCGATGTTGCTGGTCTTTACTTCCTGAATGACTGTGCCGTAGATGATGTTGTCAACAGCATCTAATGTTATCCAAAAAAAATGAAGAGGAAAAAAAGAATCCTAACTGCTAATTCTATATTCCGCGAACTTACCTGTTTGACCTCAAATAAAACTTGACAAGAGTTAAGGCCAAAAAATAAAAATATTCGGTCTCTGGTCAGACCAAAGTTCCGGAATTGACGCGGCGACGCAGCTTTTTTTTTTTTTTTTTTTTTTTTTTCTTCAAGCTTGGATTGTACAGACAAGGTGGGGCACTACTTTGCTTTTTTGGTGTCCTCATGTACATTGGTGTCCTCCATAATTTGCCTTGGTGCTCTCGATCATTTGCCTTGGTGCAATTTCCCATTCCTTGGTGCTCTTTGGTAAAAAAAAATTGAGGTGCGGCAATTGAGGGCGCTGTTGGAGCTACCGTGGAACATTTTGGAAAAAAAAAAGATTGACGCCCATGATTAAAATCGACACGCGCGCTGACCAGAGACCGACTTATTTTTTTTTTTGGCCTAACCAAGTCTAGGCAAAATCCATCCTAGACAAAAATGTATGTATGTCGTATCAAAATACTAAAAAAAATACTATGAGTGCTGTGCCCACTTACATGCTGAAGTTACTAAGAGTAGTATTTTGTGTTAAAGATGAAGTAGATGAACTTGAGAAAGTAAGCTTTATAAATATCCTTACCTCTTGGAATATTCGTCTTGTCCAACAAGCCCCTGAAAATTAAAACCGCAAACAAAAAACCATTTACAAACAGTTTTGTTTTGGCAAAATATAATCATTGCAGATATTCTGAAGTAAATCACAGGGAGTGTTGCCTAGTGGTTAGGGTTGGTGACTCCTGATCAGAGGGTCAGGGGTTAGAATCCAGCTGCTGGTCTTATGTTGTGTCCTTGGGCAAGCCGCTTCACCCCAACTTGCCTTTCTCCACCCAGGAGTATAAATGGGTACCGGCATTAGCTGGAGAGAAACCTGCGATGAACTGGCATCCCATCCAGGTGGAGTGGAAATAGTCTCAGTCGTTTCATGCTACTGAACCCCCGTTAAACGCCGGCCTGATGGGCCACATTGGCTCGTGACAGACTTTACTCTTTTACTAATAACGTTATTAAAGCGAATTACTCCTTGAATGACAAACCACTGTCGTCTGTACTTACTGCAGCGATCCCCTCGCCAAGTCATGAGGCCACAGATCCTTGTAGCTGATGGGATAAAACAATAAATGAAAGTCATTAAAAGCTATATCTCACTTGTAAAACTACAGTGATTGCATAAATAGTCTATGCCAATAAACTTTACAACTTGGGCTTCTGGCAATTATAAACCCCAAAATCCACCCCAGTTCAGGAGACCACAGTCGCACTCTTTGCATCTTTTAAGGAACATCAAAGTAAAAAAAGACTATGTGTATCTTCCACTAACAAGGATTTTGGATTTTGAATGGATCTTGGAGGATAAGGTTTAAATTCTTTGGTAAGTGACAAAAAGAAATTTGTCAGAGTCTAGAGTCACGATAACATAAATTTGCCGATGAGCGTGATGACTTACTCTGTGCCTGACATGAGGAACGGTGTCCTGACTCCTTCAATGAGAACGATGTTCTTCCTTCCGTCCTTCGCCAGGGTTTTCTTGCTTTTGGCATCTCTGGTAGCTGAGGTGCTCAAGGCTCGAACTCCAACTAAAAAGGTTTTTACAATTATATGCTTTGCTTAGTGGACATGATCATTTGAACTGTCAAGTCATCGTCAAAAGTACTACGAACGATCAGCAATTGAGCAAATATGTTTTAAAAATGAGACACATGCAGCATCCTGCATCCTGTATTGATACATGTATGATGATGACTCTCAGCTGACCAGTCATGCCAGTTACTCACTTTATTACATACAAAAAATAATCAATATATATGGCCTAGTTCTAAAGTTAATCACACAAAACACAACTGCATTTCTTAGATTCAAAAACACGAGAATTTGCCACAGACTCCGATATTATTCTGAAACTTAGTTAACAGTTTTAATATGTTATTGTTAATAACTACCTGCACTGCAGACTGTGTACACAATAACCATCTATCTATACTAATCACCCCCCCCCCCCGCAATTATTTAGATGGTGAAATGTTCAAGGAAAATTGTCCAAGCGAAAAGATTGCCCGCATATATACCATTACTTCTCTACTAGAACTAGTACCAGTTCAAAGGATTTTTAATATCGCAACTGGTCAAGGCATATTTTCGCGGCCGATGATTTTTCTACTCACGAAGTCCCCCTGAAGATCCAAGACGCTGGTACAAAGAGGACGTCCGACATCGCTGAAGTAGTTGGGTGGTCATCTTTGGTGATTTAAGGTGCGATCGATTCTTGGAAACAGTGTAATTTATGAAAGGAATTGGAAATTACTCTGGAAAAAAACAAGCCGGTTGCACTGAGCTTTTTAACCAGTCGGACATGCACTTCAGGTCAATTTGTCAACGAGAAATCACGAGAAATTACACAATCATATTAAATTCTAAACTCAAACTCGCACATTGAAAGTATGTAATATTCTTAAATATTACTTTGTAAAAGTAGTGAAATTTGAGGGCTTTAAGGTAGACGATATTGTTGGATATTAAAGGACATTTAGACGAGAAATTGTGAGATTTCCCTTTCATCATGTGCGTATTTGCATCATGCATGTTTTCTTTCGAAGATCAGAGGTTAGAGGTCACAGCACCGATTCAGCCGGCAAGGATGGCGACCACACGAGTTTTCGGAGCTCTGCGAGCAATTTCTCGGACAAATTACACGCATACCGGAGGTTTGTGGAACATAGAAATTAAATAGTTGTATGTAAGGTATAACAGTTGACAGTTATTGTTCTTGGAAAGCATTTGTTGATGTCTAGACCCAGAAATATTTGTACCAAAACTTGCCGGTCATGCCATTTCGTCGTGGTCGTTCACAGTGTTTAATTGGTATACCGCCCTCTATCATCTATGCAAAAAAAAAAGTACATAAAATAGTCATTATTTGGTAGCTCCCCCCCCCCCCGGCCCCCAATATTTGCTGTTTTTAATATTATTAGACTTTAGAGAGCCCTACATCAAATTGTGTGAACATGTTGGAATGGGCCCTTTTTTTTGGCCATGTTTTAGGCTAGGCCTAGATCTATCGCGGTAGAATCGCGTTAGAATCACGTCAACGCAGCTTGTGAAATAAATTAAATGATATACGAGTGGACGCGTAACGCGCAAAATCTGAGACAAGCAAAACTTAGTGTACAAAAACTCCATTAAGTGATTAACTAAGGGGCGGGGCTAACTCGTAAATAGCGATAGGTCAATTGTTGTCGGGCCCTTCCCCACGGGCATTGCTAGGGGGTGTGTGGGGGGGGGTGTCACCCCCCCCCCCCCCATTATTCGTACGGTTTGTCGGCAAGATCATGGTCACTGATGGTGCTGTTGGCGGAAAAAATGTTGCCACCTAATGCCACTTTTTTCTTCATATATCATCTCAATGAAGGTCAGTCATTGCAAAAATGATGAAAGACATGAATCCGGGAGTAGAAACATTTCCAATTTTGTAAGGAAAAACTTAACAAATTTTTGTTGACTCTCCATAGACGTTGTACACAATCGCTGAAGTGGCATCAGGTTGCAATATTTTTTCCCTGTTGGCAAAATAGAAAATGAAGAATGGAAAAGGAAGGGGATGAAGGGGAAAGGAAGAGGGAAGAAGAAATCTCCACTTATTAGGATTTTAAGACACCCCCCCCCCCTCCCAGTCTGGGACCAGGGATCAGGCCTAAACAATTCACGCACACATGTACTGAATGTGTACACACAGTTTTGCGACAAGCAAATGTCCAAACTTTTCAGTATATATATGCTGGGGCCAAATTTTTTACGATTTTGTACACGTTGAACTTGTCCCACTGAAAAAATTTAATCCATTCAAAATCAAAGTAATCAACATAATTAACCATTCATATATTTGTGGAGGAAATTAGAAATGGAGTTACACATGTAAAGGGATCATTTTGGGCAGAAATGATCAATTACCCTCATTTTGCGTGACCGTCCTACACAAATGTAAAGTAATGAGCTATAATGACACTCATGTCCCGGTACATGTACAGTACATGTACATACATCATGTACATGTGCATGGTACATATATACAGAGCGTACGAGTACATACCACCACAAAAGTACATGTACATGTTGTACCTGCACAAAAGTACATACATGTACCTGCAAATCACATGTTTCTTTGTCTTTTGATGGTGCCAGGAAACCAATTAATACAATGATAGGTTTTCAGGTCACCAGTTGCCTCATAAATGCTCACTTCCTGAGTCCGACCATGTGTAGGGCACCCTTAAATGTGGAGCTAACTAGTTAAATTTGAAGAAAAAAAGCCAATTGACCAAAAAAAACAAACCAGCTTGATTTTTCAGAGTCCAAATTTTCACCCCTGAAATTCGTTCTCGCTCACCATTGCAAGAATCGACCAGTTTTTAAAGGATGGTTAATGTGTAGATGTTTTACTTCTTTTAAGCGTTCTGCGCCTTGGACATTATTTCATTTAAAATGTGTTTTGTAGCCCAATTGGCGCATTCCAGGACGCCCACCCAATGTAGAAAATCATGACAAACCTAAATCGGCTTATTCAAAAATTTAAAAAAAATTAATTATAACTTCCATTATGGTACTGCCCCCACCCCTAGTTTTTGCAGACATCATCCTGCATTTTCAAAAAAATTTATTTCATGATTTTTAGTTGGTCGGCAGTGTGGTCTTGCCACAGTGAAGCAAAGCAATGCAGCTACGTGTATCAGGAGCAAACGCAGAATGAACAGTTACTAACATACTTTAATGAAAAAAAATGAAAAAAAATTATCGCACCCCATCTGTATATTCTTTATTTAGTTATAACAATTTGGAGCCCCCCCCCCCCCCCCCCCATGCTGGGGTAAGTTTTGAAGAGGAAAGTGATTTCAAACTAAGCAAGCAAGAACACACAATATTTATTGTAACGGTGCCTTTAATTAATAACAAGTTAGAGTGCACATATGGCTCAATTACTCACTTTAACAAAGTAACAAAATTGAATATGTTACTTAGTACAATGCAAATTGATACAACAATACACATACATGTACATGTAGCTTGGGGATTTTTACTTATCCAAGACATCCATGCAATATCACACCTGCAAATGCTGTTCAAGAATATTATCCATGTACAAAGCTGGTATACGTAGATACATGAACAAAAAACTTCTGATTTGGTAAACATTTCAAATGAATTTGTCATCTCCCTAGGACGTGTAGTGTTGGAAACAAACAAACAAATAGTGAAGTTCTGTCCTCATTTTCCAGTACATGTACATTATAAATTGAACTTGCTAACTCCCTAGCATGATTTACTAGGAACCATACCCATCCTGGCAAATTCCAACACCATATGTGAAACTGCACACACATATTTCTGACTTTGATTCTGGGGGTGTGCCAACTCGATGTAAAAGACTGTCAGTTAAGGGGTACTGTACCCATCCTGACAGATTCCAGCATGCAGTTGGGGTTCGATGGGTTGAGTTCTGTAAAACAAACTTCACAAATGTTCTTGGTTAAACTCATGTACATGTACCAATAATTAAATCAAAATAGTCTTCAGCAGATGTACGTACAAAATCCTTTAAGTTTCACTGAGTTGCTGTCATTGAAATGTAGGGTTCAAATTGCCATCCTTGGCACAACAAATTTATGTACAGTACATTTACATGTGTGTAGTGTGTAAGAAAACTATTAGGCCAAAAAAAATAATAAGTCGGTCCCTGGTCAGCGCGCGCGTCGATTTTAATCATGCGCGTCAATCTTTTTTTTCCAAAATGTTCCGCGGTAGCTCCAACAGCACCCTCTATTGCCGTACCTCCTCAATTTTTTTTACCAAATTGCACCAAGGCAAATAATCGAGAGCACCAAGGCAAATAATCGAGAGCACCAAGGCAAATTATGGAGGACACCAATGTACATGAGGACACAAAAAAGCAAAAAAAAATCCGTGTCGCCGCGTCAATTCCGGAACTTTGGTCTGACCAGAGACAAAAGATTTTTTTTTGGCCTTACCTACATGTAGCTACTATCATGACTATCTGCGATTAAAGAATGACATGCAAGTAATTAAACAAGTACAACATAACAGTGTGAACATTTCATTATAAAATATATTCACTTCAACTCCTGCCTTGGACTCAAACTGTTTTCCAGACAGGTACTGCATTTGTAGAAGGTACATGTAAACTCAGACTCCACAGTTCCTGCAAAACCCAGCAGGAGGCTTTGGAGGATTTTGGAAAATGAAGATAACATGTACCCTCCAAGCCATAATTATTTGACATTGGAATTTTTGCTCTTGTAAACTAACCAGTTCATTTCCAAATTCCTACACCATTTGTACACATTGGTGACTTTTGGAGGATTTATTGAAAGGTTGGTAGCCAAAGGAAATCACAGAACTTGGGAGTTCAGAACTCGTACAAGTCTTTTTGACAAAAAGATCTCGAGCAGTCTGTCACTTTTGGAAAATAATTAACCTGACACATTTTTGTGAAGAAAGTTTGTAGGCACATCAGACCACAGTGATGAATAAAACATGGCTACAGTTTGTAATTCTTCAGGGACAACTTTTGCCTTGGAAAGTAGATAGATGTACGCTTGTGTCCTATTATTAAGTAACAGAATGGAATTCCAAAAAGCACTGGCCCCGGCACAGATGAACATTACAGCTGGAACATCCTGTGCGCGTTTGTACTGGCTTCCCCTTCTTGGTCTTCCTCCCTGCCCTGCGACACTGCATGCACATCTTGGGGTAGAGAACTTTCATCCTGGTGCACACATGGTTGGGCCCATTGATGGCAGGAACCGGAGCGGCGTTGGTGGACTGGTACACCGGGGTGCCCTCGGCGAAACCCGCGATGAGAGCCGTGGCGATGTTGACGGTGAACATGCGATGGTTGAGCTGCTTGCCCTCGGTGTTGATTTTGTAGCAAATCCAGGCGTTCACGCGAGCAATGTCAATGAGGAAGAAGAAGATCCGCTTCCAGGCCTTGTACTTGCGGTTGCAGGAGTGGTAGGAGCGGAGATGGTTGGAGTGCTCCACCCCACTCTTGAACTTCATGTAGTTGACAGCCTGGGCGGGTGCTGGGATGTTCGCTTTGGTGGGCGTCTTGGCTCCGGTCTCCCGGATGGTTCTGGTGAAGAAGTCTGTCAGCTGGTTGCGGTACCCCTGGTGGCAGGTGGAGAGCAGCGACATCACCTTGACGTCGCGCCAAAGAACCAGCGTCATCTGCCCCTGCTGCCATGCCACGCTGGTCCCTCGGGGAGAAAGCAGCATCGTTTCCATCAGACGGTCCTTGCCGATGGCGCTTCTCTGTCTGTTGTTGACGTCATCTGGTAAACCCTTGGACGAGAGGGCCACAGCACCGCACAGGTATGTCTGATTCACCAGCAGGTCTTTGGCAAGCATGGTGGACGTGTACTGCGTCCCACAGTACAGCTGATGGTACCGGCCGAGAAACGGCTGCATCATCTGGAGAGGGAGCTTGTGCCTCTTCCGACCAACCTCTGAGTGAAGCAGCATGTGGAGGAGGTAGCCTGAGCTTGCTTCGCATACTGCGTAGATATCTGTGCCAACATCGACCCGAAGTTGAGGGAAGAATTCCCTCCTGGTGTTGGCCTTCAAGGAGACCTCATCCAGGCAGAGCTCCCTCCTTGGGTTGTAGTTGGCTTTGCAGGCATCATTGACTGTGTTCCAGATGAGCTTCACAGGGGCTAACGGGTCACTGTCTCTCTTGCCGTCTGCTTTCTTGGTCATTTTGCCGGGATTGGTGCAGGTCAGGTGCTCGGCGATGAGGTTGAATCTCCCCCGGGTCATTGTTGAAGCCACCATTTGGTTACGGAGTCCAGGATGGGTCGACCAGTCATCTTCATTGTTGACGTTTGTGTGTACCCCCTGAATCATGCGAATTCCGATCCAGGCTTTGATTTCTGCCTGTGTAGTCGGCTTGAAGCTGGCATGGTGCTCGCCAACAATGTTGGTGTACCGGGCCATCTTGGAGAACAGAGTCATCGGAAAGAAGCTCAAGAAATAAGCCAGAGGATTGTCGTCCCCTGGTCGTTCAATGGTCGGACCGTATGGTTGTCTGCCTTGAAATTCGTGCACAGGTACATCCTTGAGAGATCTGGTCCATCCATGTCGATCTGTGGAGTGCTTCTGAGGCGTGTTAGAAGTACCTTGCATATTAGGAGTGCCCTGTGGCTGCTGCGACCAGTCAACCAACCAATCACCTGCTGACCCTTGCTCCATGTTTGAAGGTTGCTTGCAGACCCTCTTGGCCGGGGACGGCTCTTCATCGGAGGAAGAATCGGAAAAGGATTCCTCATCTGATGGTATGGGAGAGAAGTCGCTCTCATCATCTAATGGGGCGTCGCTGTTCTCGTCGGTTACAACTTCTTCCTCAAAGTAGACTTCATCTTCCATGGTGTCAAACTCCTCCTCTTTAATGCCATCAAGTGAATAGTAGTCAAACTTGGGGGCAGTGGATAGGCCAGAGCCACTAGAACAAGGGTCCAGGCCTGGGTTAGCAGCAGAGCCGCCGGTAGAGCTGGTCAAGGAGTCTGTCGATCTGGTCACTCTGGTCGGAAGAACAACAACTTTGCCTTGGGCCTGGGTCGAGATTGGGCCGCAGACTTGAACGGGAACTGGGTGAGCATGGGAGAGGCTTGTGGATAAGTCTTCCTCTGTCTTTGCGATTGCACCAGCCGGCGCATCAGAGTCCTGGGCCAGGGCTGATTGCAAAATGGGGCTACAAACATGAGCCGGAGTTGGGTAAACCACGGTAAGCCTTCCGGTTGCATTTGTCTCCATCTCTGTGGATACTTCAACTGGTGGATCAGTGACTTGATCCGAGGTCGGGCTGGACTCCTGGCCGTTGGCTTGATCGGGAACTGCAGTCTTGTCATCCATGATTCAGCAGGCTGTTTAGTCACTGGTGTACAACTTCACTGGTGACTGAAGCTGTTATCATGTAGACAAAGACACTGTAGACTGGAATGCAAGTCTGAAATACAAAATATATTACATGTAGGTGTTAATAAGGTAAGGTTTCATACATATTAACATTGAGCAATTATATACTTCTTTTAATTAAAATTTCATTCTTCAATTTAAAAGGCAGGAGAGTCATCAACAATATCACAATTTCTGTTAGTTGATCCTTTGGGAAAATCTGTTTGGTTTTGTCTATTATTATAATTATCATTTTTTCTCATTCATTATAGGCGCATCATAACTTTATTCTCACCTTTGTTCTTATTCATTATAAGGGCATCTTAACTGTATTATATTTTGAGTCATTTTTAAATGTTACATTATGAGAAATGAAGTACATTGAAAATCAATATCATTTGTAAATGTAAATATATGTTAAAATATCAATTTTTAGTCTTTTTAAATGCAATAAGAAAATAATGCAAATATGTAAATTTATACCAGTATAAAACTTACATGCCATTTTTTTATAATAACGTGCAAATTAATATCCAATGAGTCACGAATATACTACATTTTAAAACAAGGCCGCATACTTTTTTGTGGTAAATCTTATTCTCCAAGTTATACGTGGAATAACATTTTCTGCTTTATTTTTTGCATGATTTTTTGGTACACTCTAGAGGAAGGCCATTTTTACATCATACATGTACAATTTTTACATTTTAATACATAGCCTATTCCACAACACAGACATATGCACACTATCAACAAAGTGCACACAATACACATTTTCGATATTCGCTATGCATCTTTTGACAACAAACCAGGCAATTTGTGCACAAACCAATGGGGAATGGGAACCAGTCAAGCTTTAAAGTATTTTTCTTCATTATTTTTCCAAGCTTAAGTGATCAATCGATTCACCTACCGGTAGACAAGTACAATGTATGAAATATTATTTGCAAATAATATTCACCTTTTTAAACTTTAGAAATAAAAATAAGAAATAATCTTTAAATAAATGTCAGGATACCAGTCACCAGGCACAGTGTAAAATAGTTGTGATTGGTCAGTGTGGGGCGGCGTGACCTCGACATCTTGATTGTGATTGGCCAATATCATTCATGATATTAATATTCATGAGTAACAAAACTATTCTCTAAAAGGGATTACCAAAAACTTTCTGTGTTCTAATAGGCTTTAAAGAATGATTTTAGGAAGATCATATGTCAACTTAACAGTACAACTACCGTATGTGTCAAAATATATTCACTAAATTCCTGATTTAATGAGGAGGAATTAAATGAAAGTTGCAACTGGTACTTGGCCCCATAGGTTTGTGCACAAATTGCCTGGTTTGTTGTTTGTTTGTCATTCAATCCTAAGATGCATTGCGAATATCGAAACTTTAGGTTCATTACTGCGCACACCAAAATTATACTACTTCAAGTTCTAGTAATACATCATACATGTACACTATTCCTTCCTCCATGGTAGTACTACTAGCTTTTTCCATCTTAAGATGCAGCCATATGGTTTACAAGTGCATGGTGAACTGATCATACACCTACACAACTCCATACAGCCATGCTCAATGCCCATACCATGGAGCTATGCCCTATACTGACAAAACCAAACAGCCAAATTCACACAAATTCTCATCTCCTCATAGTTTAGAAATAGAATCAGTACTTACCTGGATGATTAACTTGATACACGAACAATAAACGGAGTACACCTAAACTGGATGTAACGTGCAAGACTAGCGCAATGACGGCGAAACCCTTCTGTGCTGTGCAGCAGTTTGCCAGTACCACACTACATGTAGTACAACTACAAGGCCTGCCAGTGCATTGCATGCATCATACATAATCCTCCAAATCCAGTCCCAGCCACACTGCACTGCTTATTCAAGGCCGGTACTTAAACTTTGACCTCCACACCACACAATGCCTGTGTGGTTTTGAGCCCTGCTGCAATCTGATCCAGTAAGCATATGCAGGCAGGTCAGCCATGCAGTGTGTATTATTGTGCATTAGGGACATGTTTATTTATAGTCCTCCAAGCCTTGTGATAAGCCTACACAGCTCTGTCTGCCTTTGATGCATAAAGTAATGGGGCCAGTGTGGAGTACAGGCTATACTCTGTAGAGTTTCATTGGTTGTGATAGCTGCACACAGGATTACTGCTTTGATGCATAAATGATGGGGCTTGTGTGGAGTACAGGCTATGCTGTATTCCATGGCATTTCATAGGTTGTGACAGCATTACTTCTGTAGCATTTTGTGGGATTTGTGTGGGCCCTTGGGGGATAGGGGTAGCATGAATAATTTTCAGGAGAGGCTGTTCTTGGTTATAATAAATGTTAATTGTCTGAGGATGAAAACTTGTATTTTATTTTTCCAAGGGAAAGGGGATATTGAACAGGAATTATAGGTTCATGTGTATTTGTTCCGGATGTAAAATTAATAAAACTTTTCAGATGTCAACTGGTAATTGGTTTGTGAGTCTAATTATTTGTTTGGGAAAGATTTGAAAATGACAACATATTTTTTCTTCAGGGGGAAACATGAACATCTTTAATTTAATCTACTAATTTGAAATTAAGTGCCTTAAAGTTAAAAATGAGTTTTTAATAAGGTGATTGTCTGCTCAGCACGTACATCGTTAAAATGAAATGTTAAGATCCTTTCCAAAATAACAAAACTCTAATAATACCGCGTGGCCAGAACCAAGTACATGTAAAATAATGTACTTATACAAATAATATACTGTAGGAGAATTTATTTCTAAAAAATACTCCCCAAAATATGAAACAGATTCCAGAAAATGTATAAAATAACATCTGTAAGTGTCCAATATGAACTTAAATTTGCAAAACTCCCTCAATCTCAGTCCAAAAAAATTCGGCATAATTTTGAAGAGTATTTCTGAAATTGCAATGACCAGTGTCACGTCTCTTTCTCTTTTTATTCCCCTCTCTGTGCAGGTTGTCGAAGCATGGCCATGCCCAGGTATTTTTCAGTGTCATCAGTGGTTGCAGGTAATTTCTGAGAATGTTGAATTTTCTCTAACCCTCACTCCCTGGGAATTTTTGCCGGGATGCAACCTCAATCTGGAAAAATCCTCCAACTGCCTCCATGTAATAATTGCATACGGCCTCAGTCCTCCAAAATCCTCCGTTATTTTTTGAATGTGGTCCTTGGAGGGGTGACCACTGCCTCAATCCTGCAGAATCCTCCAGCAATCACTGTTAATATGTCGAGGCAGAGCCAGTGACATCCTGGAGCAGTGCCGATGATTAAAAGTATCTAGGCCTAGATTTATGCACGGCTGAGCATAAACAACACAAGGTCCGGCCCAAGACCTTGACACAGTGCATCCTCCAAACTCAGCTACACGTTTTTGCCATATATCCTCAATCCTGCAAAATCCTCCCTTTTGCAAAGAGGATTTTGGGAGGATTTGAGAAGGTTAGGTTTAATTAAGGGAATAAATGTGTGCTCCGGAGGTTTTTATCACTCTGTTTAATACCACTTAGAGTCTGGGTGCTGATAATTACCCGAGCCGGAGGCGAGGGTAATTATCAGCACCCAGACTCTAAGTGGTATTAAACAGAGTGATAAATACCGACGGAGTACATATTTATTCCCATTCATAAATACCTTTTCGGTAAAAAAAAAATCATATAATTCGTTCAAAACATCCCGATTTTGTTCAACAAATTTTCTTTATGCTTTTTGAATCATCCCTCCTGCAAAATAATGGAGTGTTCAGCTGGCGAGTAAGATGAAAACAACCCTTTTATGGAGATTGACGCGCGCGTATCATGTTCTATGCGATGTCGCGCAGAACGCACCTGGCGCGTTGCGTTTTGAATTTAGAACTATACAATTCTAACTCCCTGGTAGTGTTGCGCATGCCTACGTGAGGATTGTGAACGTTCAACCAATGAAACGATAAGAGGCACTGATTTTTAGGAGTCCACATTTTATTGTGACACTGGAAAAGTGTTTAAGACCAGCTAGCCATGTCTTTATCATCCGTTTAATACCGGCCACGTGACGGGCTCTCGACCAATAGGAATGGCTAAACTGTCTGAGGTATTTATGAATAAACTTTTAAAGGTGGAGGATAGAGAATCCAATAGTTGGCCCTTGGTCTCCCCTCCAACCTGTTCTGGTATCTCAAAACATATGATACTCTCAAAACACATAAAGGTATGAATTCATGGTTATCAAAAAAAAACATCTGGTACCTTGCCTCTCCATCTTATCATTTTCTCCACAGCCATGCTACCAGACTACTTATGGTTGACCTAAAAGGACAGATATATAATGTCAGTTCAAGTCTTGGGCTTAAGAAAAATCACTTGGCTAGTTGACAGAACTGTCCTTTGAATTTGAATTGCGACCGGAAACATGGATGGCGAAATACTGAGTAGTTTGGAGGGTTTTATTTTGTTCTGCTGCTTTAATTGCTACACTAATTCGGACTCTATAAGCCTATAAATTGCAGCATGCGCAGCATAATGCATCTTACATTACTTATTTACCGTTTTCATTCAATTTGGCAGCCAATAAGCATGTCAGCTATGACGTCAAGGATGAGATTGCTGTTGTACGAATGAATTCACCAGATTCGAAGGTAAGATCAACCGTGTCTACAGTACAGGATGAGTAAAAAAAACGAAACCCAAATGTCGGAACTTTTGTTTTTGTGAAGTTCTAAATGTAGCACTTTCAAAATCTAGGATATGAAAGCTCAATTCAGTACATGAGTGATTTGAATGATTCTTGTACTAAAAGAAAGCTTATGAATTGGGCTTTCATATCCTAGATTTTGAAAATGCTACACACAGAACTTCCCTTAACCAATGGTCCCAACATTTGGGTTTCGTTTTTTTTACTCACCCTGTATACTTTAACCCAAATATGAGAGTATGTACACGGCACCCCTGAAGTATGCAAGATGTCATGCATATTGTAAACAGAAGAATCGATGGAACCTTTACTGCAAAAACATTTCAGCACTTTTCTTTTCATGTTGATTCTTGAGGGATTTTGTTTGTGTGGTTTTTTTTTTGGTTTGTCAATGAAAAAGTTCTTTTAAGAACGATTGGAAACAATTACTTTGTATTTTTGGCTGAGTACAAATGCAGGAAGTATATGGATGTGGGGTTGGACGATTGAACTTTGCAAGAATTTGCTTTTAAATCGAAGATGGCAAACGTAAAAAAACAAGTTAAACAACATATCAAATGTGTCGTTGAAAATGGATAATTTCAAATGTGAAGATTGACGACAAGTCTGTTGAATTGGAATGCTTGTTCTTTGGCCAGGTCAACACGTTGTCCAGAGAGTTCAACAGCGAGATAGAAAGCATCATGGGTGAGATCTGGCAGAATGATGCCGTCAAGGGCGTGGTTCTCATCTCATCCAAGCCAGACTGCTTCATTGCAGGAGCTGATATCAAGTAAGAAAGAGAACGTCTTAGGAGTTGTGATCTATCCGCTGAAAATATTGCAGTGAGATAACTTCAAGTGAACTCGGTTTACAAAACACCAGTAAAGACGGCGATCCGTGAACTTTTGATTAGGCCAAAAAAAAAAAATATTCGGTCTCTGGTCAGACCAAAGTTCCGGAATTGCGGCTTTTTTTTTTTTTTTTTTTTGCCTTTTTTTTTTTTTTCTTCAAGCTTGGATTGTACAGACAAGGTGGGGTACTATTTTGCTTTTTGGTGTCCTCATGTACATTGGTGTCCTCCATAATTTGCCTTGGTGCTTTCGATCATTTGCCTTGGTGCAATTTCCCATTCCTTGGTGCTCTTTGGTAAAAAAAATTGAGGAGGTGCGGAAATAGAGGGCGCTGTTGGAGCTACCGCGGAACATTTTGGGGAAAAAAAAGATCGACGCGCATGATTAAAATCGACGCGCGCGCTGACCAGAGACCGACTTATTTTTTTTTTTGGCCTTATTAAGCTATTGTTAGACTTAGCTCTGGGGTCAGATTTGTCAGGATTTTTCCTAATTTCAGGATTTTTCCCTTTTTAAATCTGGATTTTCTGAGGTCTTTCCATAAAAGTTTTTTTTTACCACTAAATTTATACAACAAAAGAAAGGGGTATTGTAAGGGGTGCATTTAGGTAAATGCAAGCATATATACCCATAGACCCTACATTGCTCTGGGGCCCTCGCCAACCCTTTAACCCTTTTTGTCAAGTATTAAAATGAAAACATCCACGCCTTGGTGTATTTACTTTGTGAAATATTTAACAAGTTTAATAGTGAGTTCTGAATGTGTTCTTTTTATTTTGACCATTGATTACCAAATTTATTTCTGCAGCATGCTGGCAGCATGCAAGACAGCTGAAGAGGTAAGCCTTATTTTGATACTTTTTATCTTCCCCAAAAAGTTTTCAGCAGGATTCACTGTTACATTTTGGTTGCTCTATAAATTTAGCATCCAAAGTGCGATATTTTTCCTTTAACAATTACCTCAGAACTTTGTAATTTTCTATTCAAGTATCCTTGAGAATGACTTGAATTTTAATTTTTTTTAGGGTTCGTAGTTTGCTGTTCATAATCATTCTTGGAGGATGACCGCATCCAGAAATACATCAGAATTTTAAAATCATGATGTCAGATGTGACAGGCAAAGGACAAAAGTGGACCCCAAATTTATAGAATGCCCCTTGCGTAAACCCTGTGATTTTTCTTCGAATATGTTCATACATTTCTGCACCCTTTGTTTAATCCCTCAAAGTTTTGAACACTAACAGTTACCTATTTGTCCTTAATTTCTTGAATACAGATTTGAAAATATGATCTGCACAATGTCACAGCTATATTTTTTTACCAGAAGAAATTCTGATTTTTCTGATTTCTAAATTTGAAGACACCTTTCGTTTCTATGATTGTTTTGTGGGCTTGTTATTCATTTTGTCCAGGTGACGGAATTGTCCACCAACGGTCAGAAGTTGCTAGCCAGGGTAGAGTCTAGCCCTAAGCCGGTCGTAGCGGCCATCATGGGCTCCTGTCTTGGTGGCGGTCTGGAGGTAAGATCTGCTGTGGTGTGTTCCATGGTATCTTTGTACCAATCTTAAGGAGTATAAAAATCTCATGGACCACACATGTATCAACAGAACAATTGCCATGGTTGTCTTTTCTAAGGTGCTTTTGCAGTTTGACAAATAGTGGGCCTTATTCACGAGTCGGCCATATTAGATTGAGAGTGAGGTAAAATCTTCATTTTTGGAACTTGTGAAGAGAAATGAAAGCAATGACGTTACAAATTAATACCAGTCTGCTCTGATGAATAATTTAAAATTTGTGATTAAACATACTCTAATGTTTTAAGGCTTATTTACAAAAAAAAATGAAAGTGAGGCTACAGTGAATAAATGGTCTGGCACCATCCCTTTCAACAGTTCACAATGTATGAAATACATGCAGGGAACATGACAAAATGGCCAACTTGTGCATACTTAAGGCCCTTGGGACCATGCAATAGAATTTGTATTTACTCCTGCAAGATATTTTTCAGAGTTTAGTCTGAGATCGGATTTTATAATCTGAGAGAAAGACATTAGGAAAAAAATGCATCTTTCAGACCTTTCATCCAATTTTCAGACTTTTTTTTTTAGTTGACAATATCATATGTGTTAATGAAACCTTTTACATTCATCTTTTTGTCCATTTTCCCTTAAATTTGTGGTCTTTGTATTGCCTAACTGAGGGTGTTTCAGATTCTCCTAAATCGTCATATGGTAATGCAAATTTCCATATTCATGAGTAAATCTGTATCGAGTTTGTTAGTGACTTCGTCATGCAAGCGCCCATTTGCTAATCACTCAAGTTGCGTTAATTTCCGGTTCCATTAGTGTTATGCTACACCGTGTGAAGTACGCATGGTTGAATTGAGATGACGTCACAAAACCGAACCGGATTGTCATAAGGCAAAAGCTAAAGCAAATCCAGCTGCATAATAAATTACGCAAATTTTAGACTTTCCAATGCCAGCTTCTCCTTCTCTAGTTTTCTTTTTTGTTTTTCCTGGTAGATTTCAAAGAGGAATCAAGTCCACAAACTTGTTACAGTGAGCTACAGTAGAACAGAGAGTAAAATCCAAACTTTACAGTGATGTTTCACATTTGCGTAATTGTCAAGTTCCTGTTTTTTATATTTTTTCGGTTGTGTTTGCCACTGTCCAGGTCGCGCTGAGTTGTAAATACAGAATTGCAGTGAATGACAAGAAGACGCAATTGGCCGCACCGGAGGTCTTACTAGGCATACTTCCCGGGGCCGGGGGCACACAGAGACTCCCAAAACTGGTAAGAAGTGGAGAAATACTTTCTGTGGAGATTTTTCACTACTCTGCCATTTGTTAAAGGGAATATACATGATTGGCTTTTGCTGTAATTTTCAGAAATGAACTATTTGAGGGGTTAATATAATAGATCAAATATTGTTAGACTGACATATTTGAAGGTTTGTGTTCGAAAATGCTGGAAAAACCAAGAAAAACAAAAACGTTCAAGTAGTCTGGTTCCTTGACTCCACTAAAGATAAAATGGATCAATTTATAGATGCCGGAAAATTGTAAGGTAAGGGAACCAGTCTAGCTGGCCTGCACCCGTTCATGAACATGTAACCAATAGCAAACAAAATGTGGACTGAAAAAAGTGTAAAGTTGGAGGAGTAGTTGAAAAATAGTTAGGTTTTTCCAACGGTGGTCGGCCGACCACCGTTGGAAATGTATACAAAAATACCATTTTCTTGAAAATGACTTCACACCAGGTGCCATAATTTTACAGGATGCTTTAGACTGTCATTTACCAACATCCAAGTAAGGTATTTCGTAAAAACTTGATAGTTTTATTTTTTGATGTTTGCAAATGTTGTATATTCCCTTTAACTGAAAAGGTAGTTTATTCAGCAACAATGCTTACGAGCTTGGGTCACCTACAAATAAAAGGTGATAGGGTAATCTTTTGATCATTTTTAAACAAGGAACTTTTGTAAAAGACGAGAAAGAATCTGTTGTTCTCCCTTTGTCTGTCTGTCCTTGGGATGTATGCAATTTAAATACATACACCTTTTGCCCTTTTATAGCACATCAGTGATAGGCAACTAGGAAAACAAATACTGTAAGTTTTTTGCAAAGATTCTTTGTTTTTAAGAGGAGCCTTAGAATAAGCCATTTGCGAGTAACCTATACCCTTTGGGATTTACATTTGAAAAACGTCTGGTACAATGACTTGCTCAGAATGCTTGGCACATTTTAACTTTGAATTCTCCAGACCAAAGACACTGTTGCTAATCACAAGATTCGGGGCAAGCTCTTGCATAGTTACGTAAGAGACGCTCAGCACCAATACATCGTTCACAATGGGTGAGAATGGCACAAAGACACCAGACCATGCCGGAGCTGGGGGTTGCTAGCATAAGGCTTGCCCCGAATCACGTGATATAGTAACAGTCTCTTTGGTCGGGAGAATGCTAGGTTAAAACGTGCAAAGCATTGTATTAAGTCAGCGTTCCAGATTTTATTCAAATTTAACCCGCAAATGGCTTATTGGGCTCTGTTTTGACCGCGTAACAATACTGCAGGATGCATTTTTGTACAAATGTCTGTTTTATTTTTCGCAGATTGGTGTTCCTAGTGCCTTTGACATGATGTTGACCGGCAAGAATATACCGGCCAAGAAGTCCAAGTCCATGGGCCTGGTGGATCGCCTGGTGGAACCGCTCGGTATGTGGGGTTATTCCGTGTCGGATTAGTGCTGGTCCCAGAGGGCCAGCCTAGTGTCTTGACTGACTGACTGTCTGTCACTTGTGACTTAGACTGGTTGTAGGTTTGTGAAGAGAGCCGGGCAATGCTATTGTATAGGATTACCTGTGTGACGTCAGTGTATGGGCTAATTAGCCCATTGTGTAGACCAAATGCATGAAGAGACTTTCAGTGAATAGCTTTACTTTACTAGGCTTGCCTAATCTTTTAATAAATAAATAATAATAACAGGTTCTTATATAGCGCTTTTAACTAAGATCAAAGCACTTTACATTATCATTACCCCTGATCATTGGGCCAATTAAACATTCCATATACCACCTCAGCTCCCTGGGGAGTATACAGCTCGATGCAGCCTGTTTAGGCGCAAGGAAGCTAATTCAATCACAATAACCATCACTGCCCTCATAGGTACCCATTTACTCCTGGGTGGAGAGAAGCAATGAGTGACAAAGTGCCTTGCTCAAGGGCACACGCACCATGACCCCGCCAGGACTCAAACCCACGACCTGCAGCTTTACCCACAGACCACGAATCAGTGCCCTTAACCACGAGGCCACAGCACTCCACAATTTTTAATTGAATTTTTTACTTTATATAATTATTTACTTAATTTTTTTTATTTTGTCTTAACCCTCCTATTGATAACTGTCACAAAGTGTCAAAAAATCTATCCACTTCCTCTCCCGTAGCTTTTGTACCGGCTGGTTGCCAACTGCCAGATCCCCTATGGATTAAACCGTATAATTGTCAAAACCTGTTTGATAGATTAGGGGTTTGATAGATTAGGGTGACCATTAATACTGCTACAGCTTGTGTAGCAGCCATTTTAAAGGGCAATGGCTTTGTTTGGCTGGAATGCATGAGCGAATCTTTTGTGCCTTCATTGTTACTGAGCTAAATCCATCGTTGACAGGCACTCACCAGTGCTTACCCACCACATCTATCAATGTCAGTCAAGGCATGGTATACCCTCAGTTAACATACCACAGCCTGTAAATTGTACCAATATGAGGCCAATTTACAGACCTGTTAAAACCTGTCACCTGATAGACTTTGACGTGTAGGGTAACTCTCTACAGATTGTCACTGAGAGGGAGAGGGTTAACAAATTGATTACCATTGTGTATATTTGTCCTCTGTGCTTATACTTACTTACTTCACCAGCGCTGACCAACCACATCTGTCAATGTCAGTCCAGGCATGGTACCCTCAGTTAACTACCACAGCTTGACAATTGTACCAATACGAGGCCTAATAGATGTCACCTGATAGATTTTGACGTACAGCTTAACTCTCTACAGATTGTCACTGAGAGAGGGAGGGTTAATTTAAATTAAGTTGTTACCTGTCCTTTTCTCAGGTCCTGGCGTGAAGTCACCACAGGACAGAACGCTAGAATACCTAGAAGACGTTGCCGTCCAAGCAGCCAAGTGAGTAGACAATGCAGCCAGGGATGCAGTCCGGTCCATCACAAGTCCCTGCATAAAAACGGTGTATGCCACATCACAGCAGTCAACAATTGTTTTGCTATATCGTGCCACGAACTCCAAAAGATAAATGGTTGTAATTTACTGTGTGAGAAATAAATTAAATCACTGCGATGTAACCTTTGATAACTGGTTTTAATGTCCTACCGGACATGCGACTGAGCGTTTGACGTTGTGGGAACCACAACGCAAAGCTTGCGCGCCTCGCCAGCAGGTTCCACACGCACGCGCAACGTGTGCAGTGTGATATCTCGCAACAGTGTAACAATTTTTTTTTATGCCATGCACTCCCAAAAGGACCATACCACAGCATAAAATGATTTAGTTGGTTCTCACAGATTAACATTTTCTTTTTTTGTACAGAGACATTGTTTCCAAGAAGCTGAAGACAGAAAAAGTCAAGGGACTCACACAAAGTAAGTTTTCATTTTATGGTCAAAGTTTGCTTTTTTAATCAAGTGACAAGTGTATGGCGGTACTGTTTGTAACTTCGGCAACTTGCACTTCAATTCCGTTCAACAGAGATGACAGACTACGTGATGAGCCTGGACTTTGTCAAGAAGCAGATCTACAAGAGGGTCCACGGAATGGTCATGAAGCAAACCAAAGGCCTGTATCCAGCGCCGCTCAAGATCATCGATGTAAGTCTGCTGCCAATATAAACATTGTTGAGTCTTTGTTGTTGAGAGTCGTGTTCTCTCTGTCATCTGTGAGCAATGTGCACCTGTGTCCACTGTTTGCTGAGAATAAAAGGAAACAGTAATTTACTGGTTATGCATTTCAGTTTTAGCATGTTAGGATCGAAAAACATCAGTATTAAATGCAGATTTGTAAATACCTAAGATAGTTTACCCATTCCTATTGGTCGAGAGCCCGTCACGTGGCCGGTTTGAAAAGGTTAATAAAGACCGGCTGGCTGGTCTTAAACATGCACTTTTCCAGTGCCACATGAAATTTGGACTCTTGTGAAATCCGGTTCCTTTTTAGCGTTTTATTGGTTGAACATTCATGATTCTCACGTAGGCATTTGCAAGATTACCAGTGAGTCAGTATTTCATGGTCCTAAATTCACAATACACTGACACAGCGGTGATCTGCGCCAAATCGCGCAGTACGCGCGACGCGTGCGCCAATCTCCATATAAGGAGTTGTTTACGACTACTCGCAAGAGGCACATACCATAATATAGCTAGCAACATCGTTGGAAATTTATAATTTTTGACTTGTTTTGACTTTTGGTCCGAAAAGTGGGGTTTTGCCTTCAGCTTGGGTAATTATCAGCATCTAGACTCCAACCGGTCTTAAACATAGTGTTTAAAACAGGCCAAGCACATATTTATTCCCTTATTTGCAAATAGCCATACTACGAACCTACCAAGTTTCATTCTCTCCATGGGTCTGTGCACAAACATGCATGCATCAACGTATGGCAAAATAACCCTCTACCAGTACGTGTAATTTAACAAGCTCTACAGTTTGAATAAATGTCGAACTGATTTGAATAACACACCAGTAGTAAACAAAGATGTGCAAATGACAATACTACGAACATACCAAGTTTCACACTTTCCATGGGGCTGTGCATCAACCTGAATGCACAGACATATGGCAAATAAACCCTCTGTGATTTGAACTGACGTTAGCATTGTTGTTGTGGTTTCAGGTGGTCCGGACTGGTCTTGATCAAGGTCCCGAGGCAGGCTACCTCGCCGAGGCCCAGAAATTCGGGGAACTAGGCATGACCCCGCATTCCAAGGGACTCATGGGACTCTACACTGGCCAGGTAAGTCGGAATTAATCATTCAGATTAATATCAATATTAGGTTTTGCCCTTCACCGACGTATAAACACTGTATACTCAGTGAGTTACCTCCAGAGTGAAAGTTGGGAACAAAATCACTCGGGTGGGACTCGAACCCACGACCTACTGCTTTCTAGTGCAGAGGTCTTACCACTCGACCAACGAGCTTGGGTTCGAGTCCCACCCGAGTGATTTTTTTCCAACTTTCACTCGGGAGGTAACACACTGAGTATACAGTGTTTATACATTGGTGAAAGGCAAAACCTAATATTGATTTACATCACCCCGACGCAACTTCATCTTTTGAATAGTTTCAGATTATATTTGAGTTTTTCCACTTATTTATAAATAGTCTAGGATAAGCATTTTATTCAAAGTTTCAGTACAGGTCATCATGAAATACTAATTTAGCTGAAACACATGTTTTTTTGGTCGTGGTGGTATTGGTAAAGACGACAAAAAGTGGCAACATCATTTCATGGGGACTGTTATAAGCAGAAAATCACGCCCAAGAAAAATGGATAATGTTTTGAGTTTGGGAATTATTTCTCACCTGCATGAACTTGAATCGTTTTCTTAGCTTCACACAGAGTTTCCATACAAGGGTTTCGAATCCGAAAAATTGCAGTCAAAGAATCTACAGGCTGAGTCAAAACATAAAAATACCCAAATGGCAGGACCAATTTTTGAATGAAGTTTTGCCTGTAGCACTTTCAAAATCAAGGGTATGAAAGCCCAATCAATGAGCTTTCCTTTAGTACAAGAATAATTCAGGTCACTCATGTACTTTTCAAGTTACGGAATTTTAAACATAACCACCGTTTTAAAGTTCTGTCCACAGCTCACAAAAAAAGTAAGTGTTCTTTCAGCAAAACGAAAACAATTCACATGCATCACTATGAGACGATGACTAGAGCAGGCTAGTCGAAACGTTGAGACCAAAGACAAGTTCTTTTAGAACTTACAGCAGAACTGTTCTAAACAGAACAAAAAAACAAAACAAAAAAAAAAAAAAACTACTTAGCAAGTTGATAATAAGCAGGACAAGTTCTTCTCAGAACTAATATCTTCTAAGCAGTAGTTATTACCACATGGTGTTACCGCAAAACCGAAACGATACTATGAGAATTGTTTTCGTTTTGCTGAAAGAACACTTACTTAGACGCACAAACTGCTCATTGCGTTGGCGTTGTCTTTCAGGTCATCTGTAAAAAGAACCGCTTTGGAGCTCCTGAGCGCCCAGTGAAAACGCTGAGCATCCTGGGCGCCGGTCTGATGGGCGCCGGTGTCGGCCAGGTCAGCATCGACAAGGGAATGCACATCATCTTGAAGGACATGGCGCTGGACGGCCTGGCTAGGGGAGAGGACCAGATCTACAAAGGGTAGGGCTAGGGTGTCAACGATGCCCTTTTTCATGATGAGTTATTTATCGTGATATTGATGTCATGATACGATATGCATCACAACTTTCAGCGTGAACTTAAGTAAGGGAAGCTGTATGACATTTATGTACTAGTAGTACTGTAGATGTGTCCAACACAAGTCCATCACAATTCTGGTCAAACGTAAATCAAGAAAGTATCGTGTTGGCTGAAGGGAAAAAAACAAATATAATATTTACACCTCCCCATCGCAAATTCCACTTTGTAAAACATTTTTCATTTGTTTGTCTTTTAGGTTGAACAAGAAGGCCAAGAGAAAGAGAATTACAACGTAAGTTTACAAAGTGTATTGATCATGTAATATCTTTGTTATTCTACACCATCAGTATTTTCGTAGCAATATGCGGTACACGTAACACACATGTGTGTATACTGTACATAACATGGTGTCACAAACAACACTGCGCTGTTATTGTTGGTTTGTGTCAAAGTACTGAATGAAAATAGTCAAGAATATGGCATATGTGTATATTATTAACAACTTAGAGTCCGCTATCACATACTCATTATGTACACGCCTGTGTGTACGTTTGGTAGAGATTTTATGCACCAGTAACAGTGTTAGTGGTGTCTGAAGGCGGCAGGTCAACACTTGATGGTGTCCTTTTGACAACTACTTTGCTATTGAAACTTTGCTATACAAGTACGTTAGCACAAGACGCGTGCAACTTTGAGCCAGTATGTACTGCTGTATTGTTACAAGCTACCGTAGGACTGTTGTCCATTTGGCCAATCATTGGCTTACAGAATGCTTGACCAATGCTGGTTCAAGGGCCATTTATTCGCTCGTTCTCAAAGCCGGTCTTTATATCTCCGTCAATACACCCCCACGTGATCGAGTCTCGATAAATCAGAAGCCATTAACTCTCCAAGGTAATTATTAACCCTAACTCCCTAGGCCTTTTTGCTAGGATGTAGCCTCAATCCTGCAAAATCCTCCAATTGGCCTCATGGGAAAATAGCATATAGCCTCAATCCTATGACTATGACTGTCAATAGGCTATGACTGTCAATAGGCTGAGGCAGAGGCAGTGACATCCTGGAGCAGTGCGGAGGATGTCAAGTATAATCAAGGACTAAATTTATGCACGGCTGAGCATAAACAACACAAGGTCCGGCCCTAGACCTTGACACAGTGCGTACCCCGAAATCAGCAACGCACTTTTGCCATGTAACCTCAATCCTGCAAATTCCTCCAATTTGCAAAAAGGATTTTGGAGGATTCAGGGCAGTTAGGGTTAATGCAAAATAAAGTACTTGTGCACAAAGTACAGTGGTTTCCTGAAAAATTCTGTTCATGATTTTATTTTATTTTCCAGCTTTGAGAGGGACCATCTGATGTCCAACCTGACCGGCCAGATTGACTACCAGAACTTTGACAAGTGTGACATGGTGATTGAGGCGGTCTTTGAGGACATCAACATCAAACACAGGGTCATCAAGGAGGTGGAAGCAGTAAGTTACAGTCAGGAAACATTACGACAGAAGTGCAGTCAAACAAAGTGGCAAGCGGAAAGATCATGACCCAATTTCACGGCGCGGCTTAGCACACGATTTTCTGCTAACAGAGCCTCTGTCTATTTCATGGAGACCGTGAGCATAAGCACAGCAAAAGGCACGCTTACTTCAGAGGAAAAATGTGCTTAACTTAGTGACGTAACAATAGAAATCTCCATGCACGCGCGACCGTTAGCACGTCCACGCAGTGAAATAGTGCTTAAGGTTAGCAAATTTTTCTGCTATGCTAAACACAACTTTTCTGCTAACTGTTAAGCAGCGCCGTGAAATTGGGCCATGTCCAAAAATCATAACTGTACTTCGGAAGTGAGAGGTCAATTTTTGGCACAATATTTCTCTTACACGTCATGCGATTTTTTTTTCAGTTTCCATAAATTGAGATACTAGAGGGTGATTTTGTTAAGAAATCGATGTATAAAAAATAATTTTAAAAACTCTGACTTTTACATGCTAATTTTCCCATTTGAGGGGTCCGGAAGTGCGCCACCGAGGGTCAATAGTCGTGCTCTATTATGAGAAAAAAATTATGAGTACAGTACTTTGTACTTTTAAGGGCATGGGTTAAGTGGGGTTTTTTTAGGGGGAGGCCATCGTACAGTCTTTTGGGAATGTAAAGTGCGATGCGATGCGATGCGAGGGTGCAGCCTAGCCAACACCAACTCGGGACTTGGTCGCTGCCCTCCACTCTTCCCTATCCAGCATTAGGGCCCTCAGCTCCCCCGTGTCACTGAGACCAACATCCCGCCGCAGCGTGTCGATGTACGTGTCTAAAGTAAAATAGTAAAAAAAGAATTGTTGTAGTATACCATGTGACATCGTCTTATGCAAAGAAGATGCAGAATCTTTCAGTGAATGTTCTAATCTTTTTCTATTTCTTTTTGTTTTCAGGTGGTGCCTGAGCACTGTGTGTTTGCATCCAACACGTCCGCCCTTCCTATCACCAAGATAGCTGAAGCTAGCATCAGACCGGAAAAGGTAAAACATCTCGTAAAATAGAGTCTACCATCTAGTAATACTTGCATAAAGCAGGATTGACTGGCTGTGACTGTTTATGTAACTTGATACAGCTTTGCTTCGACTGTGGGTAATTGATAAGCCAGCTGTGCCCACTGCTTTGTCTGTTCATGGTCTGTTGACTGAGATTGACTCGTCACAGTGTTTGGTGGAAATATGATTTGACTGCTGGTGACTAGCCCGTTTTAAACTTATAGCAGGGGACAGTGGTTCTTCTTCTTAGTTCTTGGTTGGTTCTTCTCCTAAGGACTTCCACAAGGGAGTATAACTAGGAGGCCAGAAACACTGGGGCAAACCCCTTCTCTTAGCGATAAGTGTTACTTGGTTCTTTTACGTGCGTTAGGCCTTATACAACACACGGGACCTTCGGCTTAACGTCCCATCCGAAGGACGAAGCAATAATGGTTAAGTGCCTTGCTTGAGGGCACAAGTGTCCGGGCTCGAACTCACGCCACTGTTGCCTCTGAAACACCAGAGCATGAGTCTGGTGCTCTTAACCGCTAGGCCATGACACTCCAGTGGGTGGAAATTTTGACTGTCTGTGACTGTTTAAATAGCAGGAGGGTTAAACAGGGGATAAACGGTGACAAAGGAATGCCGTTGTCGCACTGTAGACCAAACGATTAATATTCACTAGTGAAGACTTGTAAGGGCTTGACTACAATTCTGTTATAGAAATGATAGCTACCTTTCAGAGTCTGATTTTGTTAAGCATGACATAGCTTGCGAGATCGTCACGACCTCTTCATTCAGCGTTGTTGGCTAAATCCCTCCGCTCACGTGACCACCTTTGGGGCGGTCACGTGAGAGCAGATCACCATAGATGGCGGGCAGATCGTATCCCGCGTCCCTGTTGAGTGTTGGGTTCTGGGTCTTGATCTCTATGGCCTCCCTGATTTTTCTGTTCCAGAAGCGTTCCTCTTGTGCTATGACTTGTACATTGTCCAAGGTGATGTTATGCCTTTGTTGAACTAAATGTTCACCCACAGCCGAGAGGTTTTTTTTGATCTTGTGTGCCCCTTGAATCTTGTCCCCATAGATCTACTGGTCTCCCCAATATATGTATCCGTACACTCGGGGCAGTTGAGTTTGTATACGACACCGCATTTGTTTGAGTTGGGAGTCTTGTCCTTAGGATGTACAAGGAAGGACCTGATGGTATTAATCAGCTTGTGGTAGGTGTTGACACCATGGTCGCGGAATATGTTGGTCAGTTATTTGACACTGTACCATGTGTTCCTTCTTCCTCCTTACGATTCCTTGCTGCAGGTCATAGGCATGCACTACTTCTCCCCCGTCGACAAGATGCAGCTCCTGGAGATCATCACGACAGACAAGACGTCCAAGGACACGGCCGCCTCGGCCGTCAACGTGGGGCTGAGACAGGGCAAAGTGGTCATCGTGGTCAAGGATGGTCCTGGGTTCTACACCACCAGGATACTGGGTCCCATGCTGTCTGAAGCTGTCAGAGTTCTGCAGGTAAGCTGGTGTAGTTAGATCTTAAGTTTTGTATTAACAAAACAAAAGAAATTGACTCAACAGTCTTGTGTGGTTTGGAGTTTCCTCATCTTTTCTAACTTCCCAGCTGCATGCCTGACTGTATTTGGAGTGCCAATTATAAATTACATTTTGTTTTTGCATGTTTTTGTTACCAACAGGAAGGAGTCAACCCCAAGGATCTAGATAAGTACAGCACCTCCTTTGGCTGGCCTGTGGGCACGGCCACCTTGGCCGATGAGGTCGGCATCGACGTGGCGGCACACGTGGCCGAGTTCCTGGGAGGTTCCTTCGGCGCACGGTTCGCAGGCGGAGACATCAACGTCTTGAAAGACATGGTCAAGGCGGGCTTTTTGGGTGAGGAGCAGGAGAAATTCACAAAAAACGCCGGCTGCTCACGTTGTTAATTTCTTAACCCTTCAGGTCGTAAGATTCAACAGAGAACTTTTCTCACGTTGTTACTTGCTGATTCCTTCAGGTCGGAAGTCGGGCAAGGGTTGCTTCGTCTACGAGGGCGGCTCCAAGAACCGCGAGGTCAACCCAGCGGCCGAGGAGATCATGAAGAAATATCTCATCCCCAAGAAGGGCGCCGACTCCATGGAGGATATTCAGCTGCGTCTGGCGTCACGGTTTGTCAATGAGGCCGTCATGTGCTTACAGGAAGGCATCTTGATCTCGCCGGTAAGCAAGGGGGCCAGACTGTTTTCTTACTTGTCAGAATTGCATCATTTGTCATGCTTCTTAAGCCCGGTTCATACTCGGCGTGTAGGCAAAAAACGAACGCGAATCTGTGATGTCATGGCAAGTATTCGCACTGCGAATTCGCAAAAGTTGAACACATTTCAACTCGGGTGAACTTCGCAGCGAATGTTTCATGACGTCAAATTCGCTTTGCATTCACATTCGCATGAAGTATGAACCGGGCTTTAGAGTAAAAAAAAACCAAAAGCAAATAATTGTCATTTTTGTAGTGCACCTCAAACTAAATACTCCAATGTTTTCTCCACAAACTGCTTGAGAAGTTGCCTTTCGCAAGGTTACATCCGCTCAGTGTGAAAGCGTTTGATGCAGAATTTAGTACAAAAAAGGGGGACACACAGGAATAATGCATTCTGGAATCAAAGTACATTGAACAAGCTATAGATTTCAAACAAGCTATCGAAGTTATGTAACACTGACTCTACAAACAGCTGCCTGTCAAAGAGTGTTACGGAAACCTTAGTTGTACGTCATTTCCAGTTGAAAAAATATAAACAATCTGTATGCAAACCCTAGAATGATAGACCATGTCCGTATAGACATCAAGACATAATGACGTCACGCTCTGTTTTCGTGTGTGCTTTCCTATGGGAGCCAAGTTCGGGACGAGAGCCAACTGTCATTCTGTCTTAACTCTATTGCTCGGCTGACAAGCGAGGTGCTGGCTGATTATTCTTGGTCCTTTTTTCACCCTCTTTTTGTGTGCAGGTTGAAGGTGATATCGGAGCCGTCTTTGGCCTGGGTTTCCCACCATTCCATGGAGGTAAGATTGACAAAATGCCGACACAATGGTGTGCTTGACCCAGGGTGCGGCGCAAAATGTTTCAGGCTAAGTTTAGGTAGCATTTGCGTTTGGGATGAACACTTCATAACTATTGGCTAAGTTTTTTTTGCTAAAATTGCAAAAACTAGAAGTAGCCTGATAAAATATAATGGGTAAGGCCAAAAAAAAAAAGTCTCCGGTTTCTGGTATGGAGCTTGCCCAAAAAGTGGTGCGGCGACGCATTTTTTTTTTTTTTTACCTGATTTTTTTGCTTCAAATGTCGGCTGATGACTGCAAATGGTCCTCGACTAAACTTAGTGCAAATATATGGGAGTCCAGAGAGGCCACATAAAGCTTAATCTCGACCATAACCCAATCTAAAAACACGTTAAAATTGTGCAGCAGCAGGATTCCAGTCAAACCAGTGAGTTTGGCGGTTTTGAGACATCATCTTTTATTGAAAAAAAAACTTTTTCATTTTGCCGACGCGCATGGCTACGGCGACGCGCGCGCATACCAGAAACCGGAGACTTTTTTTTTTTGGCCTAAAGGAAGTCAGGAATAAGGAGATTATTTCCCCCCCCCCCCCTTTTTAAGGGGGATTCCCCCCCCCCCCAACTCTTGGATCTAATGGAAAATGTAGCAGAAGAAACTGACATCGGGCTAAAACGTGCCTTGATTTAAATCCATATGTCTACATTGAAGAGCACCCATTGGCCAACTGTCTTTAATGTGTATTTTGATGTTATTAATTGATGTTTTCATCACAGGACCCTTCCGCTTTGTGGATCACTTCGGAGCGGCCAAGTTGGTGGCCACGATGGAGAGATACCAGGGCTTGTACGGGGACGAGTTTGCCCCCTGCCAACTCCTGAAGGACCACGCCAAGGACCCGGCCAAGAAATTCTACCCCTAGTCCGTCTCATAGAAGCCACCGTTGCACTCAGCGAAAAAATCAAACGACAGAGCCAAGCGTTGGCCTACATTGTAACCTTCATTTTCAGACATCGATTCGCAAAGTCTGTTCTGTTTAAAGTTAGACTCACTGAATGGATTCTGTGGAACTTGGTATGTGTGCATTGACCTATCGCAGTTTGCAAATTAGCCACGCCCCTTAGCCACAACCCTATGGAGTTTTTTTACACTAAGTTTTGCTTGTCTCAGATTTTTCGCGTTCCGCGTCCATTTGTATATCATGTAATTGGACATTATTTCACAAGCTGCGTTGACGCGATTCTAACGCGATAGGTCAAATGTACACCAAAAAGAAAATCAATACTGACAGGCCCATGAGATGTGTTTTTCAAGAATGGACTAGTTTGTTTATCGTGAGAAGAAAGGTTTTGGTTAATACAGCAAGATCGTTTATGGAGTCACTATCGATATGTAGAAAAGTACATGAAGGCTATAGTGTATGTAGTTCTTTTGATGTACATTCACCATTCGGTGAGTGTGTATTTTGTTTGGAAATAAGATGAGAGTAATTGCCTGTGCAAATACAGTTAATCTGCATAACGTGGAATAGATTTTACTTTGGTTCCGTCGAGTTAATTCTTAATTTTACATGGTAGGGTTGGTTTCCCTTTTCAAGCAATGCAATTAAACATGTTTACTTTGGGTTTTTTTGGGGGGGGGGAAGAAAAGAGAATTGGATTAGAATTCACTTCGGCGATTAAAAAAAAATTCAATTTTTTTTTGTTTTTATGTTAGGCGATTTTCCAATTGAGCTGAAAGCTTTTTTTCACTCACAGTATGCAGCATTTCATATGTGTCATTATAATTTGCCTTTTGTGGCTTTTGTACTTGTGCTCAAAATTGGTTGAATTGAATGAGAATGTTCACCTATTGTGAAGTGTAAGGTAGAAGCATGGCTTCCCTTCTGAAGTCAATTTCTGATGATTTTGCGTTTGAGAAATTTGTTTCACGTAAGTGCAGGGGAGACAGAAAACACTGTTAGAAATTAGGTTTGACATTGAAAGAATTTCTCTGAAATAATATATGATGTTAAGGGTACAATTTGCGACTTTTTGTTTTCCCATTGCAATGCATGTTCACAGGACAATTGGCTATTTGAATGATTCAGAGAATAAAGTGTAAAATCACTGGAAAACAGGAACGAATGAGGTGATAATTAAGAGTTTTTTTTTTAATGTCTTAAGATCAGAACTCTGCGAGATATCTATGGTTGCCCGAATAAATTGATTTGAAAAACATGCATATTGGTAAGTACAGCTTTTAGTCAAGTTTGGCAAAATTTGATTTTTCTCAATTTTGTTTAAAATGGTAAGGGTTTACCCGGCTTTTTAATTAAAGCTTCTGGCAAGTTTGGATTTTTCTCAAAAATTGAAAATGCAAGAGGTTAACCTTGCTTTTGAATAAAAATTTGGCAAGATTTGATTAGTCTCCTGAAATGAATTATTAAAAAAAATTGGCAAAATTTGATTTTTCTTAAAAAAAAAAAAAAAGAAGAAATTTAATTGTCTTCATACAGTGATCATAAGGAAAGGATACTTCAGAAAGCCTTGGCATTTTTTATTTTACAATTTTTTGAGATAAAAATACGTTCTTGATCTTGAACTTTCCAGAAGCAAAACATCAGATTGTCCATCAGACCGTTGTCAGAATGGTAGTACATGCCTGCAGTCCCCGGAGGCCTACTCTACAATCACAGGTAATCCACAATGTTCATGAAAACATACATTCTGTGCAAAGTTGTCCTTTCAGTCAAAATCAATCAAGTGACTGTTTTTAACAGTTAAGATCTCCCAGCCTACATAAAGCAGGATTGACTGGCTGTGACTGTTTATGTAACTTGATATAGCTTTGCTTTGACTGTAGGTGATTGATAAGCCAGCTGTGACTACCACTTGCCTGCTTTTGTCTGTTGACTGAATTTGACTAGTCAGAGTGCTTGTGTGAAATATGATCTGACTGTTGATGACTAGCCTGTGTTAAAGGCATGGCAGGGACGAGGATTGAATTTTTTTTTACTGTCTGTGGAAAGATTTCCATATACGAAGTTCACTCAACACCCTGTGTACAAACCCTATGAGATTGGACTGAATAATTCTAAGTGTTTTCTAAGAAAATGCTTGTATTTTCTCACTGCTCAAATTGACTTTGATGACATGAAATTGCTATCTGGGGGCTTGTTAGTCAATACAGAGGAAAATTAGTGAACTTCGTATATGGAAATCTTTCCCTGTCTGTGACTGTTCAGACAGCAGGAGGGTTAGCTTATCGAGCAATAACAGGTGCTAGCATTTCACTAGTCCTTATAACCACACAAACTCACAAAAGAGATTGCCTTTCTCGTGGTGCTACCGCAAACTCACACCGATTCACTATGTAAATCTTATTTGAAGCGATAAGATTTTGAATAACCGTTGGTCTTGTTTTGATTCAGACAGGATGAAGACGTAGCAGTGGGTTCGTGGTGCTTACAGTCCAATGATCTAGCACTAGACCGAGGTCAAGCCAACTCGAGCATCTGATGTAAGAACGTGTTTATATTTATACAAATGAACTGAGTATATATATCCATCAGACCAATATTAAATATCAAGATTATGTTAAATAATTCTGCCATTTTTATTCCACAATTAGCATGTATACATAGAGAAGTGAGTGAAAAAGGCTAACCGTAATATTTGGACCACCGCATTTTTTTGGTCTTTTTTTTACAGAACTTGTTATTGTCTTGGAACGCCGCTTTAACGAACATCGGGATCCCCTATAGTGGGATCCACAGAAACTGTTCATAATAGTGATCGTTCGGAATAGCGATTTTAAGCTGTCTGTGCTCCGGTACTCATTTTTTCAATAAATAGCGCCCTTCATAACTTCACCCTGCACGCCCTGGTACTTATAGTTACTGAAAGATGACTTTGAACACAAGTGCCGACTATTGAATAATGTAATTACACAAATGGTGGGCCTACTACCGGTACCTACAGCAATGGGTGGCTTTCCCTTCTATTCCTTGGGGAAATAACGCCTACTTTTGTTGACATTTCTTAACAGCAATACATTTTACACGTCGGTACATTTTGTACACAAAAATCAAGAGCCAAGGACGATGTTCAGTATAGCCGAATGTTCGGTATAGCGGTGTTCGGTAAAGCGACGTTTCACTGCATTACATCACATGTGAACACGGAAAGTGTTTGTAAGATGTGAATACTCTGTTCCTAATTCTTCAGTTATTTACATATCAACAACTGTTATATTGTTATATTGACAACAATGTCTAAATTGCTTGCTTCATGCTTTTAATGGAGGGTTTATTATTCTCATGTTTTGCCATTTTCAATACATAATATCTTTTCGGCCAAAATTTTAAAAACATGCAAGGGGTTAGCCTTACATTTTTCACAAAATTTGGTCGAAAATTGACTTTTCTGCAAACAACTGAGAAAATATCTCTTGATGCAAGAGGAACACATTACAGTATTCGTTCATCCAGAATTTTGAAGTATTGGGTCTAAATAATTAATGTGTTTACTTGGTTAGGAGAAAGTGACCATTTTGACAGATTTTGCCCATTATATATTTAGTTATTCAATTTAAACGGAACATCTGTCTTATAAATGTGTTGGCATATGTTTTAGGAACCCTTATGTATCTTTTCTGCAAAATTTGAGCAATTTAATTTTTCGGCCAAAATTTTCAAAACATGCAAGGGGTTGTTAGCCTTACATTTTTCACAAAGTTAGGTTAAAAATTGACTTTACTGCAAACAACTGGAATGTCTAGACGTGTGTTTTAGGGACCCTTATGTATATTTCCTGCAAGTTTTGAGCAATTTAATTTTTCGGCCAAAATTTTAAAAATATGCAAGGGGCTAGCCTTACATTTTTCACAAAATTAGGTTAAAAGTTTACTTTTCTGCGAACGTCTGGAATGTGTAGGAATGTGTTTTAGGGACCCTTAGGTATCTTTTCTGCAAGTTTTGAGCAATTTAATTTTTCAGCCAAAATTTTTAAAACGTGCAAGGGGTTAGCCTTACATTTTTCACAAAATTAGGTCAAAAGTTGACTTTTCTGCAAACGACTGAAACGTGTGTATCTTTCCTGCAAGTTTTGAGCAATTTAATTGTTTGGCCAAAATTTTTAAAACGTGCAAGGGGTTAGCCTTACATTTTTCACAAAATTAGGTCAAAAGTTGACTTTTCTGCAAACGACTGAAATGTGGGTATCTTTCCTGCAAGTTTTGAGCAATTTAATTTTTCAGCCAAAATTTTAAAAACATGCAAGGGGTTAGCCTTACATTTTTCACAAAATTACTATAAAAGTTGAATTTTCTGCAAACGATTGGAATGTGTAGGAATGTGTTTTAGGAACTCGTATGTATCTTTCCTGCAAGTTTTGAGCACTTTTATTTTTTTTTGCCAATATTGAAAAAATATGCAAGGGGTTAGCCTTACACTTTTTTTCACAAAATCTGGTCAAAAATTGGTTTTCTGTAAAGGTCTCAGATACATGTTTAGATGCAAGAGGAACATGTTTTGAAAGTCCTAATATAGCTAGAGGCACCAAAGCTTGGAGTACATGTATTAAATAAAGGATTGATTGGAACAAAAGACGATATTTTTGACTCCATTCTTTTATATTGTTTGTGTTTCATTAATTTAACCTTATCCCATTAGTGACAATTTCATGCCTAAGGTTATGAACCTCTTTCCCAGTGTTTTCTATCCTTGTCCCCAGGGCTATCAACCTCTTTCCCAGGGTATCAACCTCATTCCCAGGGTACCAACCTTGTTCCCAGGGCTATCAACCTCTTTCCCAGGGTATCAACCTCATTCCCAGGGTACCAACCTTGTTCCCAGGGCTATCAACCTCTTTCCCAGGGTATCAACCTTGTTCCCAGAGCATCAACCTCATCCCTAGGGTTATCAACCTTGCTCCCTGGACATTAACCTGGTTTCAAAAATTTAGAATCCAACCCTCCTTGGAGTTTATTTTTGTATCATTTTGTGTGGATCTCCCCAACGATTCCTCATTTTCGGCTCAACAAACAAGTCCAGATAACCAAAAAAAATCAAACTTTACAAACGTTAGCTTCAGTTCTAAATTATTTTCAATTACATATTTATTTCAATACTCGTTTCTTAAGATTAAATATAACCAACAGCTTCCACATTTGTCAAGTTCAAATTATTACTTTAAAAACAACTGGCAACAAGGGGCTCCAAATTTGATTTATTTCAAACACACCAGATACACCAAATATATTGCAAGACATTTTTATTAATCATCAGTGAACAAATTCAGAATTTAATACGATACAAGTATCTTCTATGTAACTTTAACCAGAATAAGCGTCATTCAGAGTATGTCTAAAAAAGTAAAGAAAAATCTGAACAATATATTATGTACTTGTATCTCTATATTTTGTGGGTTTTTTGCACAAATGTTCGAAATAAAAAGCTAAGAAGAATAAAACATGTTTAGCTTACATCAACAGGTGATCCCGTGTTATTTCAAGAAAAGTCCATTTTGGACCAAATTTCATTAAAATTGCAAGGGGTTAGCCTTACATTTTTCCACAAAATTACGTCAAAGTTGGCTTTTCTGCAAACGACTGAAATGTGTAGGAATGTGTTTCAGGGACCCTTATGTATCTTTCCTGCAAGTTTTGAGCAATTTAATTTTTCGGCCAAAATTTTCAAAACATCAAGGGGTTAGCCTTACATTTTTCACAAAATTTTGTCAAAGTTGAATTTTCTGCAAACGACTGAAATGTTTAGGAATGCGTTTTAGGGACCCTTGGGCTTCTTTCCTGCAAATTTTGAGTAATTTTATTTTTCGACCAAAATTGAAGAAAATACAAGGGGTTAGCCTTACACTTTTCACAAAATTTGGTCAAAAATTGACTTTTCTGCAAACAGCTCAGAAATACCTCTTGATGCAAGAGGAACACAATCCAGTATTTATACAGAGAAAATTTTGAAGATTTGGGCCCAAAATACTTTGAGAGAAACAACCATTTTTTATTGATTTTGCTTTAAAATGTTAAGTCTCAAATGGCACAGCTGTCCAGGAAACGTGTACAATAGTAGGCATACGTATAAGGGCCATTCGGGCATCTTTCCTGCAAGTTTCGAGAAACTTTTTTTTTTTTGCCAAAATTGAAAAAATTACAAGGGGTTAGCCTTACATTTTTCACAAAATTTTGTCAGAATTTGACATTTCTGCAAACGATTCACAAGTACCCCTTGATGCAAGAGGAACACAGAATTCATACATCCCAAATTTTAAAGAATTGGGTGAAAATAATAATTTTTGAGTAGAAAAGTTCAATTTTGACTGATTTTGCCCAAATGTTTATTACGCATTATTTCTCTAGAATGGCACATCTATCAAGGAAACATGTACGAATGCATTTAAAGGACCATTGAGCGTCTTTTCTGCGAGTTTGGAGCAATTTTACTTTTTGGCCAAAATTGAACAAAATTGCAAGGGGTTAACCTTACTTTTTTTCACAAAATCTGGTCAAAAAATTGACTTTTCTGCAAAAGACTCAGAAATACCTCTGGATGCTAGGGAAAACACATTTCGCTATTCATTCATGCATAATTTTGATAAGTTGGGCAAAGGTCTTACATTTTTAGTAGACGAAAATATTGTTTTTAGCCATTTTCCCTCAAATAATTGATAAATAATTTCTTAACTGTCTAGGAAATGTACAGGAATGTGGTTTAGGGACCCTTGGGCATCTCTCCTGCAAGTTGGAGAAATTTTAATTTTCAGCCAAAATTGGGGGGAAATGCAAGGGGTTAACCTTGCATTTTTTACGAAATCTTGTCAAAAAAATGACTTTTCTGTAAACGACTTAGAAATGCCTCTCGATGCAAGAAGGACACATTTCAGTATTCATTCATCCAGAATTTTAAAGATTTGGAGAAATAATATTTTTCAAAAGTTTTCACAAGATGTGTCTTACTCCTTACATCAGGCGCAATACTTGAAAGTATTTTAATCAAGTTACAATCCAATTGAGTTTTTGAACATTCCAAGAATACAAAATCTGGAATAACTGGTTATTTTGCAATTAAAAAAAAACTTAAAAAAAAAAAAAGGATATGTAAGAATACACCACTCTGTAATGCCCATAAGATGTATTTTAAATAAAATTGCAGTTTACTTAATACTTTTACTACGAGTTTTCAATATAACTTCGAAATCGAGGCCAATGTCTCCAAAGATGTTTCTGCCAGGAGACGTCAACGAAACCTTCAAGAAAAGAAAGAATAGAGTATATTTATTAATTAATTTAAAAAAACATCTCAAGCTCTTTTTTCCAAAGTACAAATAAAGATGTTCCAATTCAATTTCTGGCCGGTTCTCAAAACCTAGTGAAATCTTGTTGTTTCCTGCAATTTAAGGAAACTGATTTGCAGAAGACCCCATCCAATGTAGAAATCAAGCTGTTTCAAAATTAATTGTACCAAATTTGAGAAGTTGTAAACAATTTGCAGTGTACATAATCTGTGATTTGTTCGTCCCAATTGTTTAGTATACTTGCCTTGGCCTACAAGAGCCTGCAGGTTTTGCTAGAATGAATCCCCAACACCGAGTTAAAAGTTTCTTCTTAAGAATGATGAAGTCAATTATTCAATAATAACAGAGAATACTACATGTACTTACCCCAGTAATCTTACACCCTTGATCTCATCGCCCTCTCGTCTCACCTCCTCAATGCCCATGCACCAGCTGAAAATAAAATAAATCAACAAATGTCAGCGAAACAAATTATCAGTTGCATTGCATTTTTTTTTTTAAAGTACACATAAGGCTAAAGTGTGGCGATCCAACAGTATTGTCATCTTTTGCCTAGAGTCATATTTTGGAAGAGAGCTGTCATGATATTTAAAATATACCCTTGCTAGCAGATTCGGCAATTAATTATGCAAAACAAGACTGTGTCTTGACCTCCAGATTCTGGCCATTCAGCGGTCACCTTTATATCTGTTCTTCGGTAATCTTTTGCATTACAAAAACATGGTAGCCAAATTGACCAATCAAACAGCTTAGTCCACATTTCTGATAGAATGACATCACAATTTCTAAAGTCGAATCCGACTGGGAACGGGGTCACATTAAATGTGCATTGCTGACATATATCAGACATTGATTAGGGAAAGGGTTTCGTTGGACAACTGGTGATACTCGGACTACCATACAGTTTTGCACGATAGGATTGTTGTGGTTAAACACTGCATTTGGATTTCAAGTTTGGAAAATTGGCAAATAAATCATCAAGGTGAAAAAAGAAGTTATCTCATTCTTGTACTTACCACTGAGATGTTCTCACTACTCAGCCTTGGATGAGACGATTATTTCCCCAGACGCTCGTACCATCTTCTTCCAGCCTTCTTGCTGTAAGCCAAGGTTTACCTCCATATACATAAATAAAAACAACGATGATTGTGGTGAAGTCTAATAATATAGGTTTTCCCGGCCAATTTCCTAAAATGTTCATTCACTTCTGAAAAATCGGTCATTCGGTTTAGTCTGAATTTAAATGCACGTCTTTAATCCCATTTCAATTCAACGAAAGTTCAATCTTTTCAATGTCGGTGCACTCGGTTTTGAGAAACAGACGGCCAATTACGTTGCCTGTGCATTCATTTACGCAAGCATACCTTTTTGCGCAGAGTTCTGGCAATCAAAAGTGTGTTTTTCTCATTCAAAATAGCAGATCTGCATCACATACATTAAACTTAAAAGTGAAATAGAATGACCAATGTTTTGAATCGACCTCTAAAAGCGAAAACGAAGTCTTGTAAACGAATCTGAATGAGCATAAACGAAATGTGCTGCTCATTAATTGATTGAACTGAAATGGAATCGAATGCTCTGGTAGCGAAAATGAAACGCGTGCTCAGAGCGATTCTCAAATTCAGACGAAAATAAATGACGGCTTTTCAGAAGTGAATGAACATTTTAGGAATTTGGCCGAGAAAACCTATATTATGAACCAGAATACTGTTTTTAAAAATGTAATTCTGTGATGATGTATTTTTTTAAACTCTAAGAATCATTCAGTTGCCTTTCACCTTTGTTTCTTTTTTCTTTCAACACCAAAACCTATTCTGGCTCCAAACAAGAGTGTACCAATTGGTTCCATGGATCAAGTATTTTGTTTTTATCATTCAATAATTGATTTTCTTTTCTGAACTTGAATAAATCAATTCCTTTTTAATTATTTCTTTCTGGGAAGTGTTTTTTCCTGTTCTTAATTTTCAATTTTTTTCCAAAACATAAGCACAGGAATCTGACTACTCAAATTTCATTGGCTTTGATTGGAAAGTTGAAGTAATTTTCACCAAATTTCCTTTTTTCTTGTCATTTCATCAAACAATTCAAGGTGCTAGTTTTTAGTGCTAACAGTTTTTGGGGCTATCGGCCACTGTTACTCAATTCATTTATGCAAAATCAATATAAATTGATGTGATCCACTCAGTGAACATGATTCAGAAGTACTGAAACCAACTTTTGACACAATTATTCCAAAAGGTTTCAAATTGACTTAAATGTAAATTTGGACCGACAAAATGTAAAATTTTGATTAATTCAATTTTTATTGTATCAAGTTTGGAAACTTTTTTTTTTGGAAAACAAAAATGTTGTCAATAATGTTTAGTGCCACAGGGCAAAAGCAAGTTCTAATCACAAAGAAACACATAAAGCTATACAACTGATTCCTGTTCACTGAGCAGGTCAAATATCCTGGTAAGGTCGGTTTAAACAGGGCCACCACGAGAAGGTCCCAGGATACCAGCCCCAACGCGCTTTCAGTATCGTCAGGCCCATTGCTGGATAAAAGGTAGGCCCCGGAGGGCCAGACACAGTTATCGACTGTCCGGTCCGCCCGCCCAGCCCTGAAGGACCAGGAAAGCACCCTAACCTATATGCACGCCCCCCTAAGTCCATCCCCCTTACGGGTTCATGCGGTCTGATAGGAAGTAGCAGCGTTTGCCGGCTGTGAATACAGGGCCACGCCCCTATAAAGAGGGACGCACTACCTGCTCCTTTATGGCACGGCATCCTAGGGTTTCCAGGCCGCTGCGTAGGACCCACGCCCCACGTGGAAGGCGGACCTGCCACGCGGACGCAACTCGCCCCTTGAATCTATGCTGGATTTTCGCCGCACCTCAATTGAAGCACCCAGTCAGACCCCAATTAGTAATCGATACCGCCGCACCCGCCTAAGCCCTAACGGCATAGGGATATAGGAGATCCCATAGCCTTCAAGTTCTCAGAGGGATATAGCAGATCCCCTGAACTAAGGAAAAAAACCCTATTTATAAAGTGAAATCTACATTTCACTAATTGTTCATTAATATTAAATAAAAAGAGAGGTCCCTAAGGGAAGAACATGTTTATGCCCTAAAGGCGGTGCACTAGACAAATTTATTTATTGAAGCCTTGCAGCAGGGACGGATCCGAGGGCAACTTTTACATGAAATTTGGGGGTTTTGGGTATCATTTTTCAATTGTTGGTGCTTAATTTCTTTAAAACAAGATTTTTTTCAAGGGTTCATGATCACTGTGAAAAATACACAGAATTAAATGGAACATTTTTTCCCTTTTGCCATCAAGGCTATGGTGTACCCCACCCAGGAGTAAATGGGTGCAGAGATGGTTATTGTGATTGATTGTAGCTGCTTTGCGCCGAAATGGCAGCTGTATACTCCCAGGGAGCTGAGTTGGTATTTTGGAATGTTTAATTGACCCAAGATCCGCCCCTGGATGGACACGGGGATATAGAAGATCCCATAGCCCTGCTGGTCTTGCGTTGCCGGATTTAGGGATAGAGAAGATCCCATAATCCATCTTGATCCTCGAGGACATCGGGATAAAACTGATCCCATAGTCCTGTAGTCTTGTGTGATGTGCTCAATTTGAGCCGATGATCTGCAGAGAAACCACCACCCCACACAAAACAAACACATACCACCACCAACCCCACAATCACAACAAATACTTGAAAACCACCCTGGGAAAATGTTAAAATATCACTAACATAAAAAAAGGTTTGATTTCTTTTTAATTTTCTTTCTACCAAATCCAAAAATTAAGGTTGGCAAAGTTTTAAGAAGTTCACCAAGTCTTTTTTTTCAATTTTGCAATGTATAAACACAATTGTTACTTCTTTTGAAAGAGACTTGTAGTTATAAACTCATTGGAAATTTGAGAAAAAAAATCAGTAAGAAAAAAAAATGTTTGATTTCTTTTAAATTTTTTTTCTACCAAATCCAAAACTTAAGGTTGGCAAAGTTTTAAGAAGTTTACCAAGTCTTGTTTTTTGTTTAGTCTTGCAATGTACAAACACAAATGTCAATTCTTCGGAAAGAGATTTGTTGTTAATATGAACTCATAGGAAATGAAACATTTGCCCAGAGTGGTTTCAGTTGCACACACAATTGGCAGAAGGAGCAGGACACAATAAACAGCTTAGTCTGACTTACTCTCAATCCATCGAACGACTCCACTTGCAAACTGTACTTGGGTCTTGAGCTCCTGGGTCTTGGGTGTTCACTGGCTCAATTTGAGCGCTCATGACTGAAACAAAGGGTTAGTCCTACCTTAGTGAACAGATCTATAGCTGACTTGCTTGCTTGCTTGCTGGATTGCTCCCCGTTGCTGGCTGTCTGGCGTGGCTGGCTGGCTGGCTTGCTTGCTTTATTGTTTCATCTGTTGAAAAAAAAAATTAGGGAAATATCATGATTCATGCAATGAAAAAATCATGAAAAACTGATTTTGCACAAACATTTTTGACATATTTTTTACTGAATGGCATATATCTGTTTTTCCTGCAAGTTTGGGGCTTATAAATAAAGTTTTATATTTCGGCCAAATTTTTTTAAAATTTGCTTAATTTGTGGTCAAAACTTGACTTTTCTGCAAACTACTCAGAAATACCTCATGATAAAAGAGGAACACATTTCAGTATTCCTCAAGAATTTTTAATATTTGGGCAAAAATCAAGTTTGACCGATTCTGCATAATATTATTTTTTGACGCATTATTTCTTTTGAAAGGCACAACTGTCTATTCTTGGAAATGTGACAAGTAATTGAGGGAGTAGAGGGACCCTTGGGCATTTTGACCCTTGAATGACATTTGGGCATTCCTGCGAGTTTAGAGCAATTTGATAAATTTCTTTTGGCCAAAAGTCGAAAACTTTACAAATTCATAACCCCAAAACATTAAGAGTGTGTGACATTCTGTTATAACTCAACAAATTTGAATATTTTGGAGGGGGGATGGATCAAGTTTTGGGGAAATACAAACTTATTTCTGAAGGATTGCATCCTAAAGTATTGTGAAAGCAATATCTTATCAAGAAACATATAGGAATGTTTTTAAGGCCACCCCTGCCATCTTTCCTGCAGCAATTCATTCTTTTTGGAAAATTGAAAACAAAAATTGCAAAAAAAGCTTACATTTTCCAAAACACTTGGTCAAAATGATGTTTCAGCAAATGAATCAGAATTTCAATTCATACATCCAGAATTTTGAAGAATTATAATGGGCCAAAATAATCAAATTTTAGGGGGGGGGGGGGGAAAGAGCACATTTGGCTAATTTTTAAAGTGACACACTGTCTTTTGAATGGCACATCTGTCCATGAATTGAGTAGTAAATGTGTTTTAGGGAACCTTAGAAATCTTTCCTGCAACTTTTGAGCAATTTCATATTTGCATAAATACTTGAATAAATTTGGTCAAAATGCGACTTTTCTGCAAATAAGTCAGCAATACCTTTTTATACCAAAGGAGCAAACATTAGCTAATGGGGTGTTAACAATTATGAATATTTGGGCCAAACAAAAATCTACTATGGGGGGGGGGGGGGGGTTCATTTAAACTGATGATGCCAAAAAAGTGTTGATGCCGGTTTTTTCTTTTGTAAGGCATACTTGTCTCAGCAATGGGTAGGACGGTGTTTCAGGGACCATAGGGCCGATTTTCTGCAAGTTTTGAGCAATTTCTTTTTTTCCAGCCAAAACTATAATACAAATTGCAAGGAGTAACCTTATATTTTTTTTTCTATTTTTTTTCCATTAATTTATTCAGTCAGAATTTTAACTTTTCTGCAAATGACTTAGAAATACCTTTGCATGCAAGATGAACACAATCGAGTACTCATACCTTAGCAATTTTGAATATTTGGGCAAAAAATAATCCGTGTGGGGATTTTCATTTTTCAACTGACAGTTTCACCATTTTTGACACAATTTCTTTCGAATAGCACATCAGGCCAGGAAACAAGCAGGAATGTGTTTTGGGAACCTTGGGCATCTTTTCTGCAAGTCCAGAGCATTTTTTTATTTTTACTTTTTTTTACCAAAAGTAAAAGACAAATGCATTTTTAGTGAAACACATCCCTATTCGCTGCCAAACAAATGTCATCAAAATGCCAAAATAAAAGAGTTTACCTCTTAAAAATTTTGCAAGTGAAACGAAGCCAAGTCTACTACAAAAACTTCATTTGTTGTAGAAGCATACTCACTGGTGTAACTGTTTATTGGATGGCTTTG